GGCTATGCCCCTGGAAAGCAATGGTCATGTTCCAGTTTTCCAAATAATCATGAGTGTCAACCTCGTAGGGATTACAACAAAACAAATCTATTAGCAAGATTAATAAAATGACCCATATTTTAATCCTATTAGTACCATGTTGACATTTCGGAGATAAACTCATTATTAACTATAATCTAAAAAGGCAGTGGTCTATTAAGAATGAAAATCACAAACTGAATAATCAGAATTATTTTTATGAAATAAATTTTCTTATAAGGTTATCAATATATAGAAATATAGGGGTTGAGTTTTACTGGGGTTGAGTTTTACAGGGTTGAGTTGACTTGGGGTTGAATTTTACTGGGGTTGACTTGACTTGGGGTCGAGTTGACTTGGGGTTGAGTTTTACTGGGTTGAGTTGACTTGGGGTTGAGATGACCAGGAAGCACCCAGATGACCCCATTTGAATAACACCAAGAATACAGAGGAATCACAGAGGTCTATAAGAACCATACGTTTAAAGCACAACCAATGCATTCCAGATTATCACTATAAAAGCTACCAAGGAAGTATTAAACCACAACCAAGGCATACTATGTAATTGCTAAGGCTATTTCATGAACCAATGTGGGTTATCAAAGCACAACCTAGCATACAGAGGAATCCCAAAGGTCTATTAGGACCATATGCAAAACCAGGGCATACTACTAGACTTGATGAACCAATAAGGGTTATTAAAGCACAACCAGGGAATGCAATCTTATCACTAAGGCCATTACTAAAGCTATTAAGGAACCAATCAGGATTACTTTAAAACAACACCAAGCACAGGGTTCTCACCGGGAAATTTTTAGACCCTGGATTTTTAGCGGTAATGTTGTGACTACTTTTTTCGCGGTATCGCGACTACTTCTCCCCCATGTGAGATCAATATCAGTATACTTTTCAACATACTTCTTCAGATTATATATATATTTTAATCCCAATTAATTATTTCTAAAAGGTTTCTGACTTCCTATTCCTTGTTTGTATGAATTTTCTCGAGAGTTTTACTGCAAATAATGTGACAAAAACGTAAAATTAGACTTCGGAAAAAACACTTTAGAGTCCGGAAAAGCTATTAGACTCTGGAGTCTAAAAGCCTAGTGAGAACCCTGAAGCATTCTAGGTAGTCCCCGAGGGCTATTAAGGAATCAATAGGGGTTATTAAAGCACAACCAGGGCATACTGGTTATCACTAATGCTAATAAGGAACGAAAGGGGGCTATTAAAGCAACTCCATGGCATTCTAGGGGATCACCAAAGGCTATAGAAGGGTTACCTGTATTTTACCGGCGGGCAAGCACCCAGGCGGGCGCTTTTATTTTTTTTCATAGGGGTGCCGGGCAGGATCAAAAACACATTCCAAAATTAATTTATGGACTATCTTTGGGATTATGTTGTCATAACAAAAAAAGCTAACATACTTGGGCCTTAGGCCTACCCGAATAAAAAGTATCCAAATTGTCCTTGAAAATAAGAAATCAAGTTTACTGCATTATCTTGTTGGACCTATCTTGTTGTTGTCGTCTTCCAGTCAGGTCAAGGTTTCACTGTACGTATCACTCGACCATATACAAATTCATGTAGCCTTCTCATATAAATAGCCGTTCAAATCCAGTGTTTGTTTAGACTACACCATAGCGTGTAATGATTCTATAGTATGTCATTGATGCGGTTTTATAGCTGGTTTTCTAATACATATTTTAAACGAGCTCGTTTCCTAAGATTTTTGGCGCTAAATCATGCATGACATACATCATCGTGTTCAGCAAGAATTCAACTGTGCATTGAAATCAAAATTGACAGCATAGTGTTCAATAGACTCGAGTAAAATGGTTCCCGTTGACCCAACGTCAAATTTCAAAAACTCCCGTTCTAAACCCGAAATTCTGAAGCTGAAAGAGTATCTGAAGTAGACTAAGCGCGCATAAAACTATGAGCGCTCGATACATTCCTTTGTTAATTTTTGTACTTTGCGTTCACGGTTACGTTGTGAAAAACATCGTTAGCTTAACCTCTCCAATGACTATATTTCTGCGTTCCCCTATACATAACCTTCATCTTGACACTATATTTAACATAGGGTTTGCGTCTCGATTTTTATGTATCACTACGCCAACATAGGGACTCATTTTCAGGTAAAATCCCTGCTTCACCGATGAAAATTAACGAATAAAGTAGTTCCAGTTTACGGGACTATATTCTTGCGATTTTTTCTTAAAATGGCACATTTAGAAAGTACTTGGCCTCAGCTTTACATACATACCTCAAATGGCCACATTGCATACACTTAAACCTACTATACATACCATTGAAGTTGTCATGGCTTCGTTTTTAAAGTATTAAAAAACACTTCCTTACCCGGAAGTGGTATTTACCGGAATGACACCTCAAGGACACTGGATTTTTAACTTCCGCCCAAGATTTTAATAACACTAAATTTAGGAACTTTCCAAACAGTTTCGGCCTTTTAAATCCTGTGTAATATTTTGCAATATTGTTCAGTTTACTTATGCCATGCTCAGTTTGTCCCAATTTTCTCTAAATTTAATGTTCTCAGTGGTCAAGCAGGTGACCTCACTTGACCCTGACGTCACCGATGATCACTGTTGACCAATCAGCACGCAGTAGACCAGACGTACATCGCTATCGCTCTCGTTTTATTGAACAGATTCCAATTTGCTGCTACAATATTGCGTATACCACCAAGTACCAACCACCATACTGCAATTGTGGTTAGCAATATAGTTACACGACGACAGAATCCCAAAGATAATCATGCAATAGAATAATTTTGGAATGTGTTTTTGATCGTACCACCCCTATGAAAAAAATAAAAGCGCCCGCCTGCCTCGCCTGCTCGCCTGTAAAATGCAGGTAACCCTATAGAAGAGCTAATAGACTAGATGCGAGTAGAAATGGTATTGATTTACGTCATTAAATATCTAAAATTCAGTTAAAGTGATGTCATATTTGAAATCTACAGGTAAAAATACATCTAAAAATATGGTTTCGAAAATTGTTTATCAACTTTGAAAATTCAATCTTTTTTGAAAATGTGACTTCTAGTTCGGGTTGATTCCCCATTCACGGTGTATAACCCAAACGCTCCCTAATAATCTGAAAATGATATCAAAACAAAATGGTAAGAGTGTTTCTAAAATTGTGGTCTAAATCGACGGAGCGTTTCGAGGAAAACAAACATTTCTCGAGAACAAGTAATGGATTTGGACTGGGATTTTAGGAAATGAGAATATACAAATTTGTGATCTACTACTTAAACAGAATGATTAACGTTTTCATAGAAATACTAGTTTAATTCGTAATTTGTGGTCAAATCGTCATCTTCAGATTCGTTCGATCCACACTACGGAGCTTTGATCAAGCAAATAACAGTTTACCACCAGAAGTTGAATAAATAAGATCTTTGCTCACGGTATTGTTCATCGAATGGTACATAATATTTCACCATGACATATGATATGTAAGAGAAACGAGAGAAACAATACTTACGGTCATAGTAGAATCTTCATTAGCCGCCATTTTATTTTGCTCCAGAGCGTTTCTGCGTAAATGTAACGCTCCGTCGTGCATGTAGGAGCGTTTGGGTTATACACCGTGCCATTGACCCCATATTAAAAAATCACAAAAAGTGAAATATCTTTTCTTGTATTGGACATATAACATTTTCTTTTACTGGACATACTAAAATATGCATAACTATTCGATACATAAGGGCTATATGAAAATTGAACCACTAAAACAGATGTAATTTAAGTTAAAGGGAACTTTCTATTATACCCGCCATGCTATCTGACCCGAGCAAGCCACCTGGTGGTGAAACTGGTAACTACCTACTCGCATTTGTGTTATTGGAGCAGTCTATTTATCATTTTTTGTATTTATCGGCAGAACGAAGATATTTTCGTTTTTGATAGCAATATTTGTGTGTAATATTTAACATATTTCAACCGTCAAATTCCTCCATTCAGTTCCCAGCATGCACCAGTCATAAGGGGAATCCCTGGGGAATTCCCCTTCCGACATTTTGAAAATTGCTGACATATTTCCGATGTAAAAACTAGAATCTCTTCGTTCTGCCGATAAACCCATACAATTAGTGATCTAACAACATAAAAAGAATTCTAAAATACTCTGGAATGTATCGAGGTAGGTCATTTAATAGTGCAATGCGTAGTTCATTTTCCGACATTGTAGAAAGACAGGCTTACCAATGAATCGGGCGTACGACAACAACCTTAAGGGGTCGTAGGATGCGATAAGCATAATTATACATATTCAGGAATATTTTTAAGCTCGAATCCTGAATAACACGAAGGTTGCGGAATTTAACCTAAGTACCCACTTTAAAATAGGGGGCATTTTAAGGGTTAAGCTTGAATCCTGAATAACACAAAATAGTTACGAAAGTTAACTTAAGTACCCCCTTTAAAATAGGGGGCGTTTTAAGGAGTTATTTATCTATTTCTCCATAAATTATGATTCTCACAGATTGGAAAAATTTTAATGCATAATTTAATGTACCATTGATCAATTTAAGCTAATTGAGATGTCTTTATTGTTTCAGTCATGAAAATAATAATTAGTTTTAAATTTGGTGGTAAATTGTAGGGGGCGCCACCTATAGGACCAATTTTCACATCCGTTGCCAAGGCTAGGACAGAGAACCGAAGCTCAAAATAAGCCCAAGACCTTGCTCTACATGAATCCATTGAGAAACTTAGGGGACTTTATTTTCTAAAATTTGACCTACATAGAATGATGTATGTGGGCCAACTCCCAATATATCATACATTTATGTCATCTCCTTATTGATTCACAAAAACCTGAAATTATGCATTGAAATAAGCCACATAGATTCAACCAATAAACGAATAGCACTGAGAACGTTCCCTTATTTTATGCTATTCCAGAAATCAACAAATGTTAAGATTTTCACAATTTACTTTATTTCAGTACAAACATCTATAAGTCTACGTTGCTTGGCAAGTCCAGGCCCGTCAGATGGGGGGGGTGCGATGGGTGCGACCGCACCCCCCTTTGACACCCCCCAAAAAAAATTTAAAAATTAAAAAAAAAATTTTGAAAAATATTTTTTTTGTAATTATTTTTCATCATCTCATACACTTTTAGAGTGCCCAGAAAGCATCAAATAGCATCTTAAAATTGTAAAATTTTCTAGAGGGAGTGGGTCACCCCTCACATCCCCTCAATACAATGGAAACGTTCTGAATTTATTTTATGTATTGTCTCAGACACTTTTAAAGTGCCCAAGTGCCAAGACTTCATAACATAGCTCCTTGATATAGTCAATGTTTCTGGTGGGGGACAAACACTTGCTCCCCTTCGGGATCCCCACCCCACCTCCCCCTCTGGCACCCTCGGCCCTCGCCCCCTGGACACCCCTCCAAAAAAATTGAAAAAAATTGTGATTTTCTCAGATTTTTAATTGACTCATACACTTTGAAAGTGCCGAGAGAGCACTAAATAGCGTTTTAAAATTGTAAAACTTTCTAGGGGGAGTCGGCCACCCCTCACACCCAAAGCAAAATTGAAAAGTTCTGAATTTATTTTATGCATCATCTCAGACACATGTAAAGTGCCCAGACATCATCAAATAGCACCTTGATATAGTCAATGATTCTGGGAGACTAACACTTACTCGCCCTCTTGCATCCCCACCCCACCTCCCCCTCTGGCACCCCCTCCCCCTTTGACAACCCCCAAAATATTGTGATTTTTTCAAATTTTTTATTGAGTTATATTCAGAAAGCACCAAATAGCATCTTAAAATTGTAAAATTTTCCAGGGAAGTAGGCCACCCCTCACATCCCCCACAAAAAATTCTGAATTTATTTCATGCATTGTCTCAGACACTTTTAAAGTGCCCAGACTTCATCAAATAGCATCTTGATATGGTCAATGTTTCTGGGGACAGATATTGGGGAAAAACATTTGCTGGCCCTCTGGCACCCTAATCTCACCTCCCCCTCTGGCATCCCCCTTTGACACCCCTAAAAATTGAAAAAATGTAATTGTTTTTAAATTTTTTTTTTCGATTGACTCATACACTTTAAAAGTGCCCAGAAGCACCAAATATCATCTTAAAATTGTAAAATTTTCTAGGAGAGTTGACCACCCCTCACATCCCCCACAAAACAATTGAAAAAATTCTGAATTTCATGTACTGTCTCAGACATTTTTAAAGTGCCCAGACATCATCAAATGGCACCTTGATATGGTCACTGTTTCTTGGGAACAACCCCTTAATGCTCCCCCTCTGACACTCCACCCCACTTCACCCTTTCATTCTCTTTGACATCCCCAAAAAGAATTTGAAATTTTTTTTATCGACGACTCATTCACTTTAAAAGTGCCCAGAAAGCACCAAATGGCATCTCAAAAGTGTAAAATTTTCTAAGGGGAGTGGGTCACTCCTCACAAGTTTGGAAGTTGCATTTGTTAATTTTAAACGCTTTAAAGTGCCTAGAAGTCACCAAGTGACATAATGAAATCATAAAAACATAAAAATTTCTGGCAGCCAACCCCAAAAACAAAAGCATTCATTTACTCAAACACATTAAAAGTGCTCAGAATTAACCAGACAGCATCTTGAATTTGTAAAATTTTCCTTGCTGCCCCCCTAAGAATAAAATGATTGAAAAAAATTTGAATTTCTTATAAATAGATTCTGTTTCAATTAAAACACCTTGAAAGGATCCAGAAATCACTGAATGTGATCTTGAACTGGTAAAAGTTCTCGGGCATTTATGCCCTTCTAGTACACCCTCCCCCTATTCCAGTATTTCTCCAAATTGCTCATACAATATTTAGTCTAAAAACAATACGAAAACAATAAAATACTACAAAATATAGGGAGTAACTGACCCCCCCCCCCCCCTTTGACTTACGCAATTTTATTTACGCGGCAAAAAATTGACAATTTTATTTTCTCTTTAGTTAAAACCGCACCCCCCTTGGAGAAAAGTGTCTTACGGGCCTGAAGTCTATCACAACCAAGTAGACTCCCATCAATTCGCCCTAAGATGTCCGACCAGTATGTGCTTCAGCCAAATACAGGCATAGTTTTGTTGGGGTGTAAGACAGCATTTGATGGTTTGACAAACAAAGAGAAACTCTATGCACACTACCTGTCTCAAGCAGCCTGGTATGGAGGCCTCATTGTTCTGGTGCAAGTAAGCCTAAATATAATACCATTTCTAGAATACTAGTATTCCGATTGGTTAAACCTTAACCTTTCTCTAGAAAGCAATATACTGATGTGTATAGTCAAAAAACAAAAAAAGTTTTGCTTGGATTTGAACCAATTTATTAGTAAAGTGACATTCTAAATTTAGAAAGATTATTAGACTGGTGAACTTTTGAGAAAATTGCAAGCAATAGAAGGAACAATCTTCATAATGGCACATTTATCACAAGTTTTTAAACACAGTTATTCCCCCATTTGTTCATCATTGTATATTCTCTCATTATAGCTCATTAAAATCTCACTTGAGAAATTGGAAAATGCACTACAAAATGTACAAAAAGTATAAAAAATTTCTATTTGCAAGAGGGTATCAGGTGTGTGATAAGTGTAAGTCATAGTAATATTATCTTGTTATCTATGGGACAGGTTCACTCATAAAGTAAACCTGTACATTAAAACTTGGTTACAGTATATGAACAAGACAATCCATCCAGTGAAAACACTTGAAATGATATGTTGAGAAAACTGATCCACTTTTATAAAAAAAACACAGAGAAAGACAATGCAAACAAAACTGAATGCTTATTTTGTTGCTGATTAGGTAACATGTTAATGACGTCAAAGAATTAGAATCAACAGTGATGTGTGATGTTTACATTGTTTGTTTATTTAGTCGCTGATGGGGCAAAAGGGTTTTGTCTGATAGAAACCTTTTAATGTTTAAGAAATGCATGTCTCAAAGACCTTTGACACTGAAATTGTAGACATCACCAGAGGCTCCTGGGCTGTATGTGCTACTGCAGAGACTGTTTAAAGGGCAGCCACTGGCAGACTTACAGCAAACTGCTACAAATAATGGACTGACTGATGAGGAGTACCAGGTAGTCTAACTTACATGTATTACCAAGTATATTTTCAAACGAAAAGGACAGGAAATTGATATTTAGTTTTTATTATTATTCATTAAGTGTTTAGTGTATAACCTGTGAATGGCAATATCTTCAGGCTGTATTGCTGTATGCTGCTGGCGTATTCTCAAACATGGGCAACTACAAGTCATTTGGTGACACCAAGTTCATTCCTAGCCTTCCAAAGGTAAGTTGCATATCAGCTAGAATCTTCTATTTGCAATTATCTAGAATTATTGTCTAGCACTTCACCCGTGTAGCTCAGCGGTAGCGCAGGTACCTCTTACGCAATAGGTCCCAGATTCGATCCCCGGTTCAGGCAAGACTAAATTTGCTTGTTTGCATGAAGTACTTCAGGGTGTTTGACTGAGTGGTCCGCAACTCGTACAAAAGGCTGTGGTGTGTACTTATATGTCTATGTATAAGTGCACATAAAAGAACACAGAGCTCCTTCAAGGAGGGGTTTCTGGGTCTATCTTCCATGTTAATTACAACCATATACCCAAGAGGTATTGCTCACCTGCATTGGTGGTAAACAAAATACAATACAATACTTGGGTATTAGTCCAGTCCATCAACCAATAGATTAGATGCGAGGAGAAATAATTTTGATTTACACCATTAAATGTTCAAATTAAATGTCAAAGTGATATCATACAGTATTTGAAATCTCCATGTAAAAGTGCAAACTGGCCTCTACAGATTAAAATTGATACTCTGCAACTTGACCCACGCAGTAAAAAGTTTCCATGGCTTAAATCCTTAGATGATCTATGTTATTTCAGGAAAAGTTCCAAAATCTCGTACTGAACAGTGCAGCATACAAGGCTGACTCTAAGTCTATAGAGAAGCTCTGGAACAAGGTATCTGGGCCTATGTACTCCTTAGGACCCAAGGTGAATCAGCTTGGATTAGGAGATAAGGTATTATATAAGCAAATCAAAAGTATTTAACAGCAGATCCCCACTCTGATATATCCCCATTTAGATGTGAGCTCAAGATGGCATCCCACAAGTGAAAAACTGAAATGATATATTTTGATTTGTAATTTTCTACTCTGTTTTTGCGTTTGGTGGAAATTGCTCCTATCAATCTGATTCAAATTTGAAATGATGATTTTTATTAGTATAATGCATCAAGTAAACAGTTTTTGCTCAAAGGTGACTTGCAGTTTCAATTTACTTTTGCATAGAGAATGGCAGATTTGGTGAAGTGTTTAAAGGAATATTCCTTGCAAATTTCTCACCTCATATGGTAACTATAACCATATATCTGGTGTCCCTAAAAAGGTGAGCCACTTTTTGACAAGTATTTTCTCAGCAATTGATAAAGCAAATTCACTGAAAATGTGTACAGATGAGCCTAAGAGTATTATTAGCAAGTTGAAAAAATATAAAATAGATCATGTTTATGTGAGGCAAGTACTAAGAAATTCAAAATAGCATGTCAAAAAATCCCATACCGGAGCTCTAAGATGAGACCATTGTGTTTGTACCAGCTATCAGGTGATAGCATCTGTCAATCAGTCAAAATAGCTCGTTTGGGTGTGACGTCTCTTTAATTCATTTCATTGTTCCCAAATATCCAAAATCCATTCATTCTCAAAATTCATTAGAGGTGATTTTGTTAGAATAAATAGGGAAAAGTATTTTGCTTGGAAATGGATTAATATTAAAGTGATATACTCTCTTAAAAATACTCACATAATATGTAACCAATCTCTTACATATTTACAGCACTAGCTGAACATTAAGTGTTTAAAGTAAAGTTTGTAAAGAATTTGATCTATTGCTGAGAAATTACTTGTGAAATTGCTTCCCATTTTATGGTAAAAATGCTATAAGAGTTCTCATTGCGTTGCTCTGGTATGGGATCTTTTGACATGCTCGCTTGAATTCCTTAGTACTCTCACAATATTTACTTGATTTTTTATCACACCATCGGTGGGATATAGTCGTCATACTGGTCGTGGTCGTGATCGTGGTCATGATCGTGGTCATGATCGTGATCGTCCCGCTTTTTGTCATCGCCGTTTAAGGAAAACTGCTCATCAGATTTTCTCCAAATTCGCAGAGATGATAGAGCATATGAAGTACTAGAGCTGATTAACTTTTGGGTGGCCATCTTGTTTTCTGGCAGCCATTTTGAAGGTTTTTCGAAAAATCTTGTCATCGCCATTTCAGAAAATCCGCTCATCTGATTTCCTTCAAATTTACACACATGATAGAGGATATCAAGTACTAGAGCTGATTAACTTTTGGGTGGCCATCTTGTTTTCTGGTCCTGTGCCTTGTTTCATATTTTTATAAGGATACTAACGGGGCTACTTTGTACAAATCAATGAATTTGGTTCAATTGCTGAGAAAATACTTGTCAAAAAGTGGCTCAGTTTTTTGGGTCACCTGATTTAATATCTCATTGTACTTTCCAATGTTTTGAAATGGTCAGCATATCGTCCTAGCAGAATAATAATGTCCCAACTCACATTTTTTTGCGAAACTAAGAAGTCAATTTTTGAAAGTTTAGACATCTATAACTTCAATAGTATCCATATAAATATGTGTAAATACACCATGGGCTTTCAAAGATTTCAAGATTTTCTAAAACAGTTTTTGAGCATATTAAAAATTGAGATAGGACAATTCAATTTCCAATTTTTGTAACATTGAAATATTAAAGATGAGGTATGTCTATTTTGGACACTCTATTTATTTTTACAAAAATAAATTCAAATCTCAGTTTAAAAATGTAATATAGTAAGGTCACATGATATAATTCAAACAATTTGATTGGTTAACATGCTAACAAAGTATTTTAAATTTTTTTATTGAATTAGGACTATTACAGTCTATTGAGAGTAGATAAAAATGTAAGGGAATCTCAAACGAAGAAAGAGCAGGATGATATAAATAGGGGAAATCTTTGAAAATCTCAATTTTCTCAAAAATGTAAGTTGGGACATTATTATTTTGATAAGGCAATATCTTAAAAGATGGCAGCTTACTGGAAGTGAGCACTACTTTTTATCACACCATCGGTGGGTTATAGTCGTCATAGTCATCGTGATCATGATTGTCGCGCTTTTTTCGTCATCGCCATTTCAGGAAAACCACTCATCAGATTTTCTCCAAATTCGCACACATGATAAAGGATATCAACTTCTAGAACTGATTAACTTTTGGGCGGCCATCTTGTTTTCTGGGGGCCATTTTGAAAGTTTTTGGAAAATCTTGTCATCGCCATTTCAAGAAAACCGCTCATCGGATTTTCTCCAAATTCACACACATGATAATGGATATCAAGTTCTAGACCTGATTAACTTTAAGGTGGCCATCTTGTTTTCTAGCGGCCATTTTGAAGTTTTTTTTGGAAAATCTTGTCATCACCATTTCAGGAAAACTGCTCATCAGATTTTTCTCCAAATTCGCACACATAATAGAGGATATCAAGTTTAAGAGCTGATTAACTTTTGGGTGGCCATCTTGTTTTCTGTCGGTCATTTGCAGGTTTTCCGATAAATCTTGTCATCGCCATTTCAGGAAAACCGCTTGTTAGATTGTCTCCAAATTTGCACACATTATAGAGGATATCAAGTTCTAGAGCTGATTAACTTTTGGATGGCCATCTTGTTTTCTGTCGGCCATTTGAAGGTTTTCCGATAAATCTTGTCATCGCCATTTCAGGAAAACTGCTTGTTAGATTGTCTCCAAATTTGCACACATGATAGAGGATATCAAGTTCTAGAGCTGATTTAATAAACTTCTGGGCAGCCATTTTTTCTGGTGGCCATTTTGAAAGTTTTTTGATGGTGTGATCTCGTACACATCATGTGCCTTGTTTAAATGATAAATACCAACCACATTAAAACATTTTCCCATGTTTTGCTAAATATGGAAAGTATATATATAAGTATATTATAGCAACCATATCAGGAGAGAAATGGTCTGGCAAGGAATATCCCTTTAATCTATATCAAAATAACTACATATTGTATTTCCTAAAAGTATGAGCATTGGAACTGTCTTTAAAATAATGGAAATGGATAATATACCAAACTTGTACATTGTTTCATATATTTCAGGGGACTACAACATATTTCTCTGCTAATTGCTCTCAAGTTGATGCTGATCTTGCAAACCAGTTCATTGAACAGAAGGTAACAAATAAGACAACCTTGAAACAATATTGTTTAGTCTTTGAGCAAGCCCTTGTCAGGCCCTTAAGACACATTTCAAAGGGCGCTGCAAATTCAAATACTTTTATTGGAAGTAGTTTTATGACCTCAGAGATCCTAAGAATGGGTTGAGTGGCCCTCAGTTTGTTGGACTGGGATTTTAGAAAATGAGAATATACAAGTTTGTGATCTACTACTTTGACAGAAAGATTGACGTTTTCATATAAATACTAGTTTAATTCATAATTTGTGGTCAATTCGTCAACTTCAGATTTGTTCGATCAACACTATGGAGCTTTGATCAAGCAAATAACAGTTTACCACCAGAAGTTGAATAAATAAGATCTTTGCTCAGGGTATTGTTAATCGAATGGTACATAATATGTCACCATATCATATGATATGTAAGAGAAACGAGTGAAACAATACTAACGGTCATAGTGGGATCTTCATTTGCCGCCATTTTATTTCGCTCCGTAGCATTTCCGCGTGAATGAAACGCTCCGTCATGCATGTAAGAGCATTTGGGTTGGACACCGTGAAACTGCACCAACGAATTCTCCCCAATATATTCTCAGAATTTTAAGATATTGTTTGATCATGGCACTCTATGCCATGCCCAAAAAGTTCTGACTTTATTTCATTATAATCATTTGCAAATACATCTATACAATATGATTGATATATGTGATGGTAGTATATGCAATATTGATATGATTAATAAGGTTTTCTGGCAAAAGAATTTAGATAGGGGATCGTTTTTTCAAATAAAATTTGTACATTTCTGCATCTTATACATGTATCTTCAATATCTCAAATTCCATTAACATGCTTTTGAAATATTTTATACTCTCCAGTCTTTGCTGCAACTTTAAAATTTGCACATAAATGAGATGTGTGAATAAAGTATCAATAAATGTCATTATAAATCCAAAAGATTTAGATTCAGTTCTAAAGCTTATAAATTAAGAATCATAGAAATCTGGAATTTTAATTATCTAAATAAATGATGCTAATCAGGTATCAATTAGAAGACTTGTAGAATGAACCCTAAGTTCTCTAAAATATGTCTCTGATTTTCCAGTATTTCAAAATACTTCTCCATGCATATTTAAACCTTATTTATGTGAATTCCAGCATATCAGTCCATACAACACTAGATTGTTTAAGATCTCAGATTCTGAATATGAAATCAAGCTGGCCTCTGTCTGCACCACTGGTAAATATTGTAATGTGTACACTCTATGTTTCTGAAAAGTGTAGCACTGTTAGACACTATTTCTTTATACAGTATATTAGTTTGGGAAGGTTTATTTTATAGGAATTTATTATTTATAATGTTATATATTTATAATATCATAATGTTTCATGTAAGCAATCAAATAAAAAGCCCATACAAAGTTTGAAAATATTGTTTTCATCATTTACATATACTGTACTATGCTGTAGTGTCCTGTCTTTTTAGATGACCCAGCTCCAATTCCTGGATTTGAAGAAAAACCAATCATAGGCTGCCATGCATTCACTCCTAATAACTCTGACAAGTCATACACATTCAAAGTAACGCGAGGGGACTATTCAAAGCTTATGAAACTAGTTGTAGACAACCTGACCAAGGCTAAGCAGTATGCAGCAAATGAGAACCAGGAGAAAATGTTGGAGCATTATTGCAAGAGTTTTTCATGTGGTTCTATCCATTCCCATAAATCTGGCTCAAAGTTCTGGATCAGAGACAAGGGACCAGTGGTTGAAAGGTACTGTACAGAGGTTTCTCAAACTGTCTCAACTAAGATTCCTACAATTTAAAATTTTGTGTGTGCATTTTTCTACATTTTTGTTCAGTCTTCATATGTTTTGTTTTGGTTTTCGGTTCTTCCTTTACTTTAATGAAATAAATTAAACAATTCAAACTGCCACATGTTATGTCACCACAACTTTTTTGTGGACCATGTCTGTAACAAATGGCAGGTGTTGATGTTTAACATGTTAATGCCTTGTTTTGTGATGTATTTGAAATATTGAAAGGCCTTGCATTCAACTGTAACAGTACATTATATAAATCTATAAAATTATCCAAATAATAGTGGTGCAACTCAATGTTCAATACTCACCACTCATGCGTTAAATCTGCATCAGATAGTTGTTCAAGTAAATTTTTTAATTTGAGACTGTTTTTATTGTTCCTAAAAAGGTATGATATTATTGTCAGCTTAGTGGACGGACAGGCATCGGTGGTAAATCTTGTCATCGTTTATATTACTTCTCTAAAGGTAAATAACATTTCCTTGTAGTTATATCGGGTTCATAGAGTCATACAGAGATCCCAATGGTCTGAGGGGGGAATTTGAAGGCTTCGTCTCAATGGTCAACAAAGAAATGAGTGCAAAGTTTACAGACCTCGTTGCCAAGGCAGAACATTTTCTACCTCTGCTTCCATGGGGGACAGCATTTGAAAAAGATGAATTCTTGAAGCCAGATTTCACATCCTTGGATGTCTTGACATTTGGTGGCAGTGGAATTCCAGCAGGCATCAACATTCCCAATTGTAAGTTAGCATGCCTCATGGTTAATAATGGGCTATTGGGCTAAATAACTTGCAGAGTGACAATATGTGGAAACAGGTCACAATATCTTCCCACCCTTGACTGATACAAAATGATATTAAAACTCAACAAGACAACATTGGTTTATTTCTTTTTGGTGACCTCAACCTAAGGTCATTAAACAACATGGCTATTCAATTCAAAATGGCAACATTTTTTCAGTTATTGTCACATATAGTTCTACAAGTATCTGAAATGCATTACATTTTGATTATATGAGATAACACTTCACAATATTTTCAAACACACCATTTAAAATATGACCACTATGTCATTGTTTTACTTTTGAGAATACATTGTAGATGATGATATTAGGCAATCTGATGGGTTCAAGAATGTCTCACTTGGCAATGTACTTTCCTCAGGATACAAGGACCAAATCATAACTTTTCTCACAGATGAAGACAAGGTGAGTCTAATAGAAATATATATAAAATCAGGGTGCAATACAAGCCTTGAGCACCTGGACCTGGACCATTATCTAAGTGTGTATAGGGAAATTACATGGCAAAAGTTATTTCTTCAACCAATAGGACTGAAATACATATTGCTAATAATGATTATGGTTTTCTTAGGAAAAATCAATGTTAATGGAGATGTTATTTAAATAAATAGTTTAGCTTCTTATTTTGGAAAACAATAAACTATTCCTTTGAGAGCAAAAGTTGAAAATTAAGATTTCATATATTTTAGGAATTATATGGTACACTTAAGGCAGCATCTTTTGAAGTACAAGTAGGTCTACATGAACTGCTGGGTCACGGAAGTGGAAAGCTGTTTCACAGAAATGCAGATGGAACATTTGACTTTGACACAGAACATGTTAAGAATCCACTGACAAATGAACCTGTAAGTACATATACTTGTTATAAGCAAATGTCCTCAATGAATGTGGAAAACCTAATTTACAAAATATGTCAATTATTTTAATCATATGTTTACTTTATGTAAAATACAATAAATTAGAATATGCATAGTCCCTCTAAATTGTTTACCAAAAATGACACGAAGAAAATGGTTCCATATTTCGGAAAGTTTTAAAGGTTAAGTTAGTTGTTTACTGTCAAAAGGTGACTCAATGTTATAGCACAGGAGCAATGATTTGATGAGTGTTTATTATACCCAGTAATGGCATTTAGTTTTGAAGCTTAAAAGCATTTTACTCCACCACATATGTTACCCAATATCTCTAAATATTCCGGGTTGGCATAAAAAAATGGGCAGTACTTTGTCACCTGATATCCATAACCCTCTTACCTCTACTTCTACATATTTCCACATGTGAAACCACTTATCTCCCTAATATGAAAATGAAATATTCAGTTTTATACTTTAAAAATTTTGGTAATCATCTCAAAATCAAAAACATGAGTCAAAAACAATTGTTCAGATAATTTCAATATGACGTTAATCCTTGTTACTGTTAAAAAATTGATCAACTGGTCCTCCATCTTCTCTGAAGATGGTGCACATTGACAAATCATTTTTTCAGGAATTGATTGAGATACAATAAATTGTTCAAAGATTGACACATGTTTTTGATTTTGAAATTTTGAAATCAGAAATTTTAAAAGATAAAACTGAAATTTCATTTTTATATCAGAGAGATAACTTAAGTTTCACATGTGCAAATTTTTAGAAGTAGAGGTAAGAGGGTTATGGAGATATCAGATGCCCAAGTACGGCCCATTATTTTATGCCAACCCAGTATATTTATTATATCGTAATATATTTATGTAAATGGTTATATGATATAACTATTAAAGAAAAAAAACTTTTCTTTAGATAAGCAGCTGGTATGAGCCAGGACAAACATGGGATTCAGTGTTCTCAGCTGTTGCATCCTCTTATGAAGAGTGCAGGGCAGAATGTGTGGGAATATACCTTTGTTTATCTGCAGAAATACTCAGGTAGCCACATAATTCTGTGTCACACATAGAAGTTTTTCACATCTCTCCTAGTCAATCTGGACAATTTTATTCCGAGTTGTCTCGATGAATCTTTTTTTTTTTATTAGTCATTATGGTTTGATTTTGTTGACAGTTTCGCATGTGGCATCAAATCAATTGTCTGTGCATTATCCCACAAACTGCAAAATGGATTGATTTGAAATTTTCAAGTTTGTTTCATTATTTAATGCAGTCATCTTTAGGTACAATAGTGCTTTAATGCTTTGTTTGAGTGATCTCTAAACCTTTTTGACAGGGCATACAATCGTCTTGCTAACTCTTATCAACAAAAGTTAATCAGCAAATTTTCTAGGCAATCTTATCCATTGGCTTTGAAATATTGCAAGAAATCTTAACAGACTGGTCATTTGTCTGTTATTTAGGCCTGATTTCCCTCTTGAGTCTAAAGGAAGCTATAAGTAGAATTGCCCTTGAATTCAATTTGTATTATGAAATAGACTGGTTGAGTGTAAAGCTTTCAGATACTGTATAGATGTCACGTTGATGTCAAACCTAGGTTCATAGATGGAAAATATCGTTTATATTGACATAATGACATATAATTATTATTTGTAGGATATTTGGGCATGAAGGAGATACAGCTGATAATATCATTTACATCAACTGGTTGAATATGGTACGTGCGGGGCTCTGTGGACTCGAGTTTTACACACCAGAAAACCAGCAGTGGAGACAGGTGACTATATTTATTATTTACATTGAGAGTTGTCTTAGACTTTGTATTATATTGCAAAATCTAGCATGGTTCTTCATCCAGGATAAATATGGAACAAAGGTAGCATATTCTAGGTTCTAGCATCTTATGGGCAAAGGACCTCTGCTCAAGAAGACATTTACAATATTGTAGCTCATTTTAAAATGGCAAGACAGAGGTTATAATGAAAATGTGCACCAATTTTGAAGGCGCTGTCGCACTAACGCGCTATTCAGAATGATCGGTCCTAGGCCCATTTTTATATAGGACATTAATAAAGCTAGAAATGTAGATATTAAAGAAGCACATGGCAGCCATCATGAAAAATAGCGGCCTTTACTCGTTATCTTACGATTTTTGCTGTAACTCGAAAAGTAGTGGAGCGCTTTTGGTTCATATTTAGTATGTGAATACTATAAGCATGGCACACTGTCTAATGACACTTTAGGTAGAAGGCACTGTTCGATGGGATTTGCTACGCTTTGGCTTTTGCTGTTATTGCCTTGTCCATTAAGACTTGTATATTAAGGCTTGTATATTAAGAGGGTTCTGGACTTGTCTGGTTTAAACATCATTCTTGCCCAGTTTGCCATTCTCTCAAGACCCTCAAGAAGCCACTTCATGCCAATGACTGACTGGATGGTCGCAGTGATGTCATCCATGAAGGCCCTACATAGTGGGTGTCGACTGCCATCCTGAGCAACTGGTCCTCTGCATTGGGCTTCTCCTGCTTTAAGAATGAGATTCATGGCAGCTATGGACAGTACAACAGATACTGTACAGCCAGCCATGATGCCCTTTTCCAACCTCTGCCAGCGTGTGGTGTAATTCCCCACAGTGAAGCGCATCTTCAAGCTGTTGAGATGCCTCATTACGAGTGCCACTGCCGCAGGTGGTACATGGTAGTGGTTGATGGCTGTCTCTATCAGCTGATGTGGGACACTGGGGTATGCTTTGGCCAAGTCAAGCCAAACTAATTAGAGGGTGGTGTTGTTTTTCTGGGCCTCTTTAATCAGCTGGGTGATTGCCGCTGTATGCTTGAGGCAACCAGAGTGTCCTGGAATCCCTCCCTTCTGCACACTTGGATCAATGTAGTTGTTAACTAACAGGAAGTTGGTCAGCCGTTTTGCCACTTTTGTCCAGTAAATCTTCCCCTCGACATCCAGCAGTGATATTTCTCTGAACTGGGCAAGTGTCTGGGCAAGGGTGATGTCGGACATGGCAAAGGGTGTCTCTGGTTCAGCTGCTGGTATACAGTAGGGTGGTTCTCCTAGTGGTACATCTCTGGTTGGGTAGCTGTGGGAACCTTGTACACTTTTTTCAACTTGCTCTTGGAGACATTGGGACAATCCAGTCTACCATTCTTGGGCTTCCCAAGGAGGTCTGAGGTATATGTAAATGGATTAGCAAAGAAGGCTTCCCTGGATCTTCTTTTTTCTCTTCGCTTCTTCCTCTTGGTTTCTGCTTTTCGAAGCAACAAGATTCTATGGTGTAGGTCTTGGCGTATTTGTTGTAGCCCTTCCTTCTCTCCGTATGGTGCTCTCTGCCATCTGATCTTAAGGAGGCGATTATCTTTCCTCAGGGAGACTATTTGGCTATTTGCCTGCCACCTTTACTCTCGTCTTTCACACCAAACATATCCTTACACTCGGTGTATACAATCTTCACCATAGTTTCGAGTTTCTCCTTAGCATCACCTTTTAGCGAGTGGTCGAGTACTTCACACTTAGGTTGCTGTCTAACTCTGTCCACCTCTTATCTGTTGCTGGTGGTAATTTCAGCTTTGGTTTTCTCTCTAGAACAGGCCCTACATCTTGTCCATCTGGCTCCTGGACTGTGCTCTGATTGGCTTCGCCTTGGAGGTCCTCAGCACTGTGGTGCGCTTCCTGGCTGATATCCTCCTCCGACTTATTGGCATTACTTGGTATAATCTTCCCTGCCTGGCGCTGTCTAAGCTTCTCTTTGCACTATTTCATCTTGCCTTGGTGGATCTTTACTCTGAGGCTGTTCTTAAAGATTCGTCCGCAGCTGTTGCAATGATCGTGTCTTTTATTCTGTTCTCAATTCCGTCATTCACTTTCTTTCCCTTAGACCGTTTCTCGCATTGGTCAATATCCATCTGTAACCTAGTAGTCTTTCGAGGCCTATTAAGGACTGGTAATTTTTCTGTACCTATTGTAGTGCTAGGGTGTGTTAGGCTGCTGACCCTAACACCTACGTAGCGGGGTTGCTGTCTTTCCAGCGTCATCTGTCTTTCCAGCGTCATCTGTCTTTCCAGCGTCAGTGGGGCTTCCACATCGGAGTAATTCATTTGTGTAAACATCAATAATGAGGCATTGCTACACTCCTTAAGTCAAAAGTACTGTGTCTCTAGAGATATTGGGAAATGTTGCCCAGTGATAGCTCGAATTTTCTCTCTACAGTTCTTGCTGCCCCTTTAATTAAGAAATACATGGCAGCCATCTTGAAATATGGCTGACTTTACATGTCATTTTTCGATTTTTTCAGTAACAGTAGTAAAAGTAGTGGAGCGATTTTGTTTATATCTGGTATGTGATTACTTTAAGCATGGCACAATGTCTAATGACGTAGTAGGTGGCCATTTTGAAATATTGCCACCATTTGTACTTGTGTTATTTTACATTTTTTACTATAACTGAAGAACACTGTTCCACAACTAGTTACATTGACGGAACGTCAACAAAATGGATGAACTTTCTGGATACAAGTTTTTTTTTTTCTCGATTTAAACTTACGTATATGTCATGTTGCAGATTATCATTTGGCACAAAGTTAGACAATATAGTCTAGCTTTTAGAAATGCTCTCAGTTTGGAATTTGACTTTTAAATAAAGCTGTAATTTATACATTTAGACCATCACTTTTGTTACATGGTAGGAAGTTCTAGAGCTGATTAACTTTTTAGCGGCCATCTTGGTGGCCATTTTGGATGTTTTTAGATAACTCTTGTCTCCAGGAAAACAACTGAACAGATTTACTTCAAATTTTCACATATGTTACATGGTAAGAAGTTCTATAGCTGATTAACTTTTCGGCAGCCATCTTGCATTCTGGTGGCGATTTTGGAAGTTCTTAGATAAATCTTGTTATGGATTTACTTCAAATTTTTACACATGTTACATGGTAAGAAGTTCTTGAACTGATTGTTTATTGGGCAGGCATCTTGCTTTCTGGGTCATCAAGCCCACACTGCTATGTTTTAGGTACGATATTGTTCACCCTGTGCCTTGTTTTTTAGTTTTATGTCATCTGAGTAAGAAAAAAAATATATAATAAGAATTAAAATAAAAATAATGACACTTTTCTGTTTCAAGGCACACATGCAAGCTAGGTTTGTGATCCTGAGAGTTTTGCTGGAGGCTGGAGAAGGATTAGTGACCATAGAGAAACTGCAAGGGAAGGATGGACAACCAGATCTTATTATAAGACTAGACAGAAGCAAAATCAACTCAGTGGGGAAACCTGCAATAGGGAACTTTCTGCAGAAGCTTCAGGTATATATCCATACATACATGTATATTGGAACTCATGGTCTAATGAAAGATTAAAGGTTGAAAAATCTGAGTGAAGCAAGACTATATGAACTACTGTATTGGATGATGGGAGAAAGGTTATCTCCCTCCTATTGAGAAATCAATGATCAACATTTATTAATTCTTTGGTCTCTGCTAACTTCAATATCATCTGAAAGTTTTACAAAAACATGCGGGTCCCATTCTTGGGGTATATCGTAACTCATTACGCCCTGCAAAAAATGAAAAGGACTATTCTCAGTTTGGAGAATGAAGTTCATCACTCTAATTGAGCACTCTTAATTTAATTTGGGTGATGTTTCTAGATTTTTCATAAAAAAATTATTAGCGCAGTACACTGATGAACTTTTTTTCTACAAATCGAGACTTGTATTATATTAAATCGATCCACTGAACGTTACCCCTGGTTCGGCCAATTGTGATCTTTTTAATCTTGTAAGATTTAAATGTCCCCTTTTGAATATTCATAATTTGATTTGGGTGATATCTATATTATTCATAAAAAGAATTGTTAGCCCAGGAAACTGTTCTCCAAACCGAGACTTGTCCTTTGAATTTCAAGCATACCATGGATATAGTCTTTTTAATGATAAATATGTGTTCATATAGCAAATTATTTTATGGAACTATCAACATATTTTATGGAATAATAAATTTTAGAGGTTATTAATAGGAAAGAAATGAACTCAACCATGCATGAAAGTGGTTCAAAGAAAAATGCTAAATGCTTCTGCTAACATTGTTTGGCTCCAGGTGACATTATAATTAATTGAATACATGCACTGTTTGGTATTCTAGATTTACAAAGCCACTGCTGATCTGAAGGGTGGCAAAGATCTGTATGATCATTTCTCTGCTGTGACAGATGATGAACCCAACCATTTCCTTACCATACGCAATATTGTCCTTGCTCGTAAGCAACCACGTAAAATGTTTGTGCAGTGTAATACCAAGGTCAATGGTAAGTAATACTGTTCAATTAACATTCTCTGCATGGACTCTGGCAAATGGAAATGACATGTCAGAAGAATAACTTCACTTTCCATTTCCTTTTTCTTGAATGGTGGCTCTTCTGTCATGCTTAATGCAACAAAGCTGATTTTGGAGTAGCATCATGTTCGTAATTGCTAACTTGTACTTATTTTTTTCAGGATTACAATTCAAAATGAAGCAAATCATTATATTTTGAAATTGATTGTTGTCCTAACTAAGTGTTGCACTAAGTCAATAATTTGAAAATTTACTTGCACCAAAAGTAGAAAACATTAAAATTTTGAAAAATTCTAAAAATGTTTTGTTGGACATGTTTAAAAGGGATTGAGAGAAAGTTTCAATGGAATAACTTTTCTACTTTCAGGAGATACAACAGAGCTTGTTGAATATGAGTCTTCATCAACAGGGCTTGTTCAATCATTCATGGAGCGTTTCCCAGAGGGCCTGGTCGAACCTATCCTCAATGAGCTCTGGGAGAGTGATGCTGCACATTTTTCATAATTGACAATTAAAATGACTCTACAGTAATGTCAAACATGACCTGAATTAATATTTGCTGAATATCTGGGTCATTTTACCCACAAATTCTAATGAAATGACTGTTAGTTGCTCATATGTAAATTGCCAAAATTCCAAATGTTTACTAATCAATGTGTAACTTTCAAAACATGAAATAAATTCACTAAGTGATTTTAAAGATTAACTTATCAAGTACATTTTCTATATGTCCTCAATCAGTGGATAAGAGAAGGCACAGAGGACTAATGCAAGACTGGTTTGATTCCTAAAATAGGGGTTGAAAAAATCAGGATGAAAATTGTGGTTCTTTTCCTGGAAATTCTGGAGAAAATCAGGATTTCCGTAAACATTATTAGGATTTCTAAAGAATCAGGCTTCTTTTCTGAAAAATCGGGATAAAATCAGGGTTTCTTAAAAAAATCATGAGAAAAATTGAGATAACAAAAACTAAATCGACACCAGTCCAAGCATGTTTGTACACTTAAATATTGTTCAGTTGTCATTTGAACTTCAAAGACTGTCAATCAATGCCAATATATAAATAAATAATAACTAGAATGGTAACTAGAATGAATTGAACAAGTTCATTTTAAGACTCCAGATTGAAGCTGAGTATGCTTCTTAGTAAGTAGCTGAGTAAGTAGTTGAGTAGATATCTGAATAAGTAATTGAGTAGGTAGATGCGTAAGTATTTGAATAAATATTTCAGTAAGTAGCTGAGTAGGCAGCTGAGTAAGTAGTCGAGTATGTAGCTGAGCAAGAAGCTTGTATTTTTTTTCAATTTGAACTGGCGTCATTGACTTTACATGAGGATAATATTATAATGATTTTTATCGTACCTAACAAGAGGTACGATATTGTAGTCAGCGGCGTCTCACTTTTCAGCTTGTCTACAGGTTTCCAGCCAAACTATTTGAGGGATTCATCTGAAATTTTCAGGGATGTTCCTACATATCAACGTCAAGAACTGATTGGTTTTTGGGCATTCTTGGTAAATTTTAAGGTGGCCATTTTAGATATCCGTCCTAAAATCTTTACTTTCAAGACTTGTCTACAGGTTTCCAGCCAAACCTTTTGAGGGATTCATCTGAAATTTTCAGGGATGTTTCTTTTAGACAGCAAATGGCTATTACTATAAGCAACAAGGAAGGATAGTGGCAAAAATAAGGAAACCCCATTTTGATCTAGATTTTGGCCTTGGCTGTGGTAGGGTTCCATTAATTTAATTTGTATTTCAGTCGGTGTCTTGTATTTTTACAATTTTAATTTTCTGCTGCCCGATTGACATAAGACGATATTCAAATTATGTTTTTTTTAAATTGTCTTCTGAACCGGCAGTCAAATCAAAATTTGGTTTGCAGATTCTGATTCCTGAGAAAATTCTACACTTTTTTCATAACTCACACATTAAAGGAGAGCTTTTTATTTTGGCCTATTTTCTGGACATCTCAAAAGTGGGGCAAAATACCAACATTATGAGCATACTCTTAGCTATCAGTAACCATCAGAGTGTAATGTCAGAATCATAAAAATAAAGAAAAAAAACTATGAATTTGACCTAGATCTTGACATTGACCTTTTGGTGTCCAAATTTTGAAGGAAAGAAGCTTTTCAGGTCTCCTTCTATTGAAGGTTTTCATTAAGTTTAGCTGTACTCAGTCTGCATCTCGTATTTTTACAATTCAAAGATTTCTTAGGTCCCATTGACTTTACATGGGAAACCAAAATAGTGAATTTAGAGATATCAAAATACCATTACTTCGGAACCAGGATTCCTGAGACTTTGATTAAAAAATACCGCTTTTTCACGGCTGATAATTCAAAGAACAGTAAGAGTAGTAAAAAATGATTTGCCTTTCAGAATTAACTTTGTTTTCAAGGAACATGATGAACCAGAACAACGGCAACGCCAAGCGTAGCGAATCCCATCGAACAGAAATGGCTGGCATTTTTACAAACGAAGCGCAAATATCATAAAACAACACACCAGAAAGGCCACCATTTTCAAAATGGTTGCTCACTAGCCAAGTTGTCATCAGAAGAAATAATATGCTTTTAAGTAGCCACCTCTAAAATTTTTGAAAAATGGCACACGTACTTGTAAAATAACACACATAAAAATGGTGGCCATTTTGAAAAATGGCAGACTACTCCCCAAAGTTTTATTAGACAATGTGCCATGCTTAAAGTATTCACATATCAAATATGAACAAAATTGCTCTACTACTTTTCGAGTTATAGTAAAATACGTTAAAATGGCTGCCATTTTTCAAAATGGCCACCTTCTACCAAAAGTCTCATTAGAAATAGACAGTGTGCCATGCTTATAGTATTCACATACCAAATATGAACAAAATCACTCCACTACTTTTCGAATTATAGTGAAATACGTTAAAATGGTGGCCATTTTTCAAAATTGTTTTCAAAATGGCCACCTTCTACCAAAAGTGTCATAGGACAGTGTGCCATGCTTAAAGTATTCACATACCAAAAATGAACAAAATCGCTCCACTACTTTTCGAGTTATGGTAAAATATGTTAAAATGGCGGCCATTTTTCAAATTTATTTCAAAATACACAAAATACACTACTTTTCGAATTATAGTGAAATACGTTAAAATGGTGGCCATTTTTCAAAATTGTTTTCAAAATGGCCACCTTCTACCAAAAGTGTCATAGGACAGTGTGCCATGCTTAAAGTATTCACATACCAAATATGAACAAAATCGCTCCACTACTTTTCGAGTTATTGTAAAATACATTAAAGTGGCCGCCATTTTTTAAAATGGCCGCCTTCTACCAAAAGTGTCTTTAGACAGTGTGCAATGCTTATAGTATTCACATACCAAATATGAACAAAATCGCTCCACTATTTTTTGAGTTACAGCAAAAATCGTAAAATGACGAGTAAAGGCCGCCATTTTTCAAGATGGCTGCCATGTGCTTCTTTAATATCTACATTTGTAGCATTATTAATGTCCTTAATTTTTTTTAAATTTAAAACATTGCTATTGCAGTTTTACATATTGCACCTAAATTACTGTAAAATCGTCACTAAAATGGCCGCCATTTTGAAAATCGGCTTTCGAGCAGAACTTCTACCCCCATAGGGTATATGTGTACAAAATATGAACAAAATCGGGCCAACGGTATTTGAGTTAATGCCCGGACGGACGGAGGCGTTCCCTATATCCCTCCGGACTTCGTTCGATGGGATTAAAAAAGACTGAGGAAAAATACTGGAGGATGACTGAGAAAAGTGGTAAAATAATGAAGACTCAGGATTTGACCTAATTCTTGACGTACATAAAACTTAAAAAACATAAAACCTAATTTCCAAGTAGCCCAGGTACATTCCCTAGTTGACCATGTAAGTAGCTAAAAGTAAGCTCTTATAGTTTGCGAGAAAACTGGTTTATAGGAAGAAAGAAAACTGGCAAAAGCAATAAAAAATAGGTATTCGGATGGGGTAGTTAACAAGCAAACTTCAAACATATTTACAAGTTTCCCATATATTGTGATATCATGTTTTCATAGTGACCATAACTCTAATGGTACTTATCAAATGGGTTTCAACCTTTGCATTTCCAATCTCGCAACATGAAAATATATTTTAAGAAATGTTGGCCTAGAAGTTACAAATGTCAACATCAATCTTGTCTTTTTAGGATACCATGACACCCACAATTTAGTGGAGTGGAAAAAATATGGCTGTATACGTTATTCACCAGCACACTTTCTTCCAAGACTGGACATAGAATTAAGGTCAGGGTGCACTTTGATGAAGTTTCATGACCATGTGCTATTTTCAGATAAACATAACTCATTCGACACATCATCTACATCTTTCATTCTTGCACAAAAGATGCATTAGTGTACCTATTAATTGAGGGTTGATAATTAATTCTTCAGAATGTTTGATAACTAGAATATTCAATAGTTTACTTTTCAAAATTGCAAAAAAATTCCAAAGTGCACCCTTACCTTAAAAAGTGACCTCTTTTAACATACATAAATTGATTTTAACAACCAAAGTACGGGGGAACTGGATTAAGTTAGTAGCCCTGACTTAATGACACAAACTTCATTCAGCAATGGAGTGATTTGGTTTTGAGATACTTGCTTCAGAGGAATATAATTCACAAATTCAGATAATTCACTTTTTCGAGCTTTATTTTTGCAGTTTTTAGTTTTACAATAATATTAGAAATGTCCATTAATGTTTTGAGGCTTGGGCCTTTCTCATAGCTTGTAGGGTAGCATTCATTTCTTCCCTCTTTCGTTTGCCTCTGATGTGTGTTCCCAACTGAAAATATACAATGCAAGATACCCTTAGATATATTATCCAATGCATTATTTCTGTTGTAAGGGATGGTGACCAAAAGTCTTTGGGTATAGTTTCGTTTGGGGAGAGGGGATAAATGACAAGTATTTTGTGAAAAACATAAAAAATAAAATTGTATGTTTTCATCTAGTCAAAAAGCAGTTTTAGCAGGCCCCTGGCGAGGAATTACTCGACAATGTTGGTCATATTCTGGGTAAAAAGAAGTGTATACATTAGCCAAACTGTAGCAAGCACACAATTTCTTTGCTATTTTCTTGCACAAACTTTGTTTGGCAATCATTTCAAGTTGACTCAACACTGAAATAACAGCAAACTTTGCTTTTTAATAAAGAATGATTCGTTATCAGACGATTATTGGCAATGTTGTCGTGGTTTTTCTTGCAATTTCTCCATAAAAGTAAATGGTGAAATAAATTCACATTCTTTGACACGATTTGTTAACATATAATTTATAAAGCATAGTCAGAAATACACATGATAACAGTAACTTGAATGGAAGTCTGCAAGGAAGACTTGAAAAATGGTGAGTGAAAGTAAAACCAATGAATTATCACCCACTAGTAAATTATGGAGACATTATGTCAGATATCCATCATTATGTTAGAATCGATTAATTGATTTACCATCTGCATACCACTAATAATGCATAATGAAAGTTCTGAATAAAACTGAAGGAGCAGATATCACCTGCTGTGGAAATTAAGAAGTAAATTCAATTCGATGACTGATAAAACCTACCCTCTTTTTGCAAAACTTGAGTGCCCGTTTGTCCTTAGAGATTTTCAACAACTCCATAGTTCTCCTCTCGTATGGAGCAAAGCCTGTAATTTCCCTCACAATGTCACGGATGAACTTCACATGTTTGTTGAGTTTCTGAAATAATTCACATCATAGAATATAACCAAGGGTATTAGTAACCAGAAATCAAAAAGTGTCAATTGGTCACATTGTTACATAAAACATATTTGTGTGATTAAACATTTCCAAAATTGTACAATTCAATCAGATAAAAAGCCTCGAAATAGAAAAAATATGAAGAACAATAAAATAATTTCAAAATCCCAGATTCTATATTCAGTTGTATCTTTAATTATAAGCTACAATGGGATCATTAATTCTGTTTAAGTGCTTTGACCTTGAAAAATAAGCAATCAAAGGACCACATTGCAAGAAAACGTGAATATTAAGAAAAAATGGAAACATATGGACCTCCGCTAACTTTCACTGGTCAGTATCAAGTGAAGGTAAAGGCCGTAACCTTTGCATCTAAGATGGCGGACAGTAATTGTCGATTTCAATATTTTTAGTTTTCATCGAATTAAACTACTTTATAGTTGATATTATGCTTTGATATCTGAACTAAATCAGGCATATATGACATAGGAACTATGGAGTATGATAATTTGCTCATATTCACCTTTCCACAAAGTAAAGAAAATCGATAATTTCCGGCGCGCTGATTGGTTGTATGCAAATGAGTCAAATCAATGACGTCAATGATGGAAAGTTTTGAAGAATTAGTACAGCCAGCATAGGAATATTTTGAATTAACTGCTATAAAAAGGCTTCTATTTGCCTAACGCACTAATTATTTTTAAAGTCCCCGTCTAAAGTTTGAAAATATTTTTTTATCATTCATTTACTATTTGTCAGGACTTAAAAAGTGATTTTAGAGAATTTTGAACAAAAAAAAATTTTGCAAAAAAAGTTGTGAGCATTTCATATCTCAAATATTCAAATTTCCCGCCATTTTTCAAAAAAAGTTGAAATTTCTTAATCATCAAATATTTCTTAATGCATTTCAAAAAAGATTATCTTTTTAACACCAATGCAAAGGTTGAACAAAGGACACACTATTTCAATAATAAAATACCATATTTAATTGGCCACTTCAATGTTTTAGCATATCAAAAATATTTTGAAACATTAGTGATGTCACTAAGGTACCAAAAACTTTTTGAAAAAAATTGAAATTTTTTTTTCGATGTCAATCTTTTCTAAATATGTTAGACTTTCATAAAAAACCAATGTTGATTGTCTAACCAGGTTAAAAGGAAGAATAAATTATGTTTTAGATTTCATTGTACTATTGGTTTCTATGAGAACTGAAATTTTGAAATGAATTTTTCTCAGAACCATTTTCATGCACTGATTAGTTCATTTCTCGCTTATTTATGAACCGATTTTCTTAATTTTTTCGGCAAAAAACATGGGAGGATAAATGCTATGCATTGGTATGAATTGTGGCTAATTAGAAGATATGAGTGACCTCTAAAAGTTGGTTTTAAATAAATTCACAAATTTTGGAACAAAAAGTTTATCAAAAACCACTTTTTGAAATTAAAAAAAAAGTTTCACATATCACACTTTGATAACATTGGGTAAGACTACAATATAAGCCAAAGTGGTTTAAACTTTATATAGGCCTTTAAGCAAATATGAAATATGGACGGGGCACTTTCTTTCCGAATCTTATGTAATTTAATTTAATCATTTTTTTGACAGAAGTATTGATTATTAAGACTTCTCAGATCAGCCTCACATACCCGGGCTCACGTGTCTCGTGCGATTGTAAACAAAACATGTAAATTGTGATGTTACAAACATCGGCTAAATTATCTGATAGTGGTCATACACTGGTTATTATGTCGTAGTAAGAAGTTCCATCAGAAATTCACCATGAGTGACATTCGCGCAAAGCGTTACCTTTTGGTATTTATTCGCCAACAGCGATGTCCATAATGATCAGCAATGTCAACATATCATCAATAAACATTATATGATATACGCTCTTTCTCTGAAATCTTCCCAGTGATCATTATTCAAAACCGATCATCACATAACTAATTTATCCAATGACAAGTGAGGTTTCACAAGTGAAATCAGGACACCCATATCCATGTTTGATTTCTGTTAAGCGTTCTCATTCTCATTATTTTCGAGAAATCCATTATCATTTTGGTTAAGAAAAATTCTACGGTCTGCTGGATCTATTTTGACAGTTTTGTTTTAGCAAGATATTTTAACATTTTCCCGGGGATATTTGGATCGGGAGATACGCAGCGGGAAATATACATTGGAATATATATACATGTTTATCCCATACTTGGACGTATATTGGGAATAAGTTGAGAGAACAGGAAAATCCGCCCACGGCCAAGAAAACAAAACTGGACATGAATATTCTAAAATATTTCCACGATTGAACAATGTGAACCAGATGACCAAGATTGGTATGAGATAAACATATTATCCTATAGTCAGTTCAGGATATTGGTATTATCCCTTGGCATGGCCAATATAATATATTTTCCCTCGGGACCTTCGGCCCTCGGGCAGATATATTATAATTGCCTCAGGATAATCCCAATATCCTGAACCTCATGTAGGATAATCTCTATATATGTCACGCTCCTCTAAGATATCAATTCTATATCCCAATGTTTTCAAGTATAATATTTTCAAGATACGATATGATATGACTTGCAGAAATAAATAGGGAGTAATCGTTTAGTTGATTGAATTATGGAAGTAGTGAAGACAATGATTTAATGAATAAGAGCAAATGTTTTTATTTTGAACAGGTCATTCACCAAATGAGACTGAAGATTAACTTAAAATAGATTGTCTATCTATATATTTTTATGCATGAGAGACATGTTATTATGTTGGTGAACTAATGATTATGATAATTTCAGCTGTTCACATCCAGTTCCTATCATGATTGAAACTGACCGGGAGTAATTCTCTTCAAATTATTTACTCATTATGAACAGAAATTTAATATTTAAATCGCTTAGAAGGGCGTAAATAAATGTCAATTTGACGTTCAATAAAAATCTGTCAATAATTTACTGATTACTTGCACATTTGAAGAGGTAAAACTTACAGCAATCAACTGAGGATTTACATGTTAACTCAATTGCATTTGTTTTTCGCGGGAAAAAGTTTCAGTCATTGACGTCACAGATTTTTAAGCAGCTCATTATAATATTCATAAGCTGACTTTGTGGAAACGTGAATATCATGCAAGGATGCCACAGTGCAATGATATCTTCCACCGCTTAAGGGAAGGTAACTAGAAGTGTATGATACGGCTGCTATTTCAATAACGCCGTCCAAGTATTGCAAAAACGTAATGAAAAATCCATGGACCCGGAAATAAAAAGTGATTGCGTTTTGTGGACGCAGTGCAAGCCATACTCATACAATCAACTTTGGATGAATGATTTGATAAAGATCTTACCTTCAGTCTCTTTATTTCGTCAGAATCCAATAAATAATTGAAGAAAATTCTATTTCTAAAAGAAATAAAATTTTCTTTCGAAATTTCCTTCCCGGAAGTTGATTTCTGATCGAAATAGTACGAGGCATGTGATAGGACAAAAATTTATACAATACTCGATTTCCGAGCAGTAATCAGTATGAGTCCTACGATTGGCCGGTAGCTTAAGACCTGATTCAAACCATTTTCAATTGGTCAAGTGTGATCACGTGATCATTATTTGAGACTGCATATGCGCAAGAAACTGAACTAAAAAGTTGAACCTCGCGCAGATTGCCCCTAAACTAAACATGCTAAAGCAAAATCAATAGCAAATTGTTTCGAAATTCGCAAGGAAAAGGTGTTTTAAATGGGAGAATATAAGTTATGATGGTATCTGTATCATTCAATGACATACTAGACTTGCAAGAACGCTGATTCAGACCGATAAATAGCAAAAGCAGTGGTACAAAATTTCATCAATTTATTTCATCCAGTGTAAAAACGTGACTTTTGAATTCCCGGGAACATTTTTTCAAGGGACGCAGTTTTTTGAAGGGAGACGCATTTTTTGAAAATCATTACGTCCAAGGGACGCAATTTTGGACAAGCCTACTGAAAACACTGATACGGTAATGGTCATGTTAGTTTTCAATACACAGTAACTGGATATCTTAGCTCTCCATTATATACTTTCATAATGTTACCACATCAAGGCATATCAGTTATCCTATCATCTGTAAAACCAAAATCCCAGTTACCTTACCTTAAGCGGTGGAAGATATCGTTGAATTGTGCTGCCTACAAATGGTACAGTGGAGCCAATTGGGTCATTTAATGTTTATCCGTCAGTTAACGTCATTGTAGTTGATTGACGGATACTACATTAATTGACCTTCTATGTTTTTCAATTGCGCATGTGTAATCAATTGCGTCAATTGACGTGTAATCGTTTAATCACGTACGGGAACGTCAATGTCAATGTTTGAAAGTGTGAGAATTGATAAAAAGCGTCTATTATAAATTCTGAAGAAGATGATAGCTTCATTCTCTTATGATTCACTTCACGATGTTCGGTTGGTATAGTAGTGTTCCAAATGGTAGAGAAAACTGGTGCCGGTATTACCACAATTCAATACCTTACCGTTACAGAATACCCCAGTTTTGGGTCTACGTTCACAAATTCGTATATTTCTGTAACTGAGTTTAGATTTTGCCAAAGTTTTTGGAAGTGAATTTGGTCCCTTTCATACAAACGCAGTTTATAGTCATGATTTATTAATGTCTTACGTGTCTCTCGTATCATAGGACCCTTACTCCATATAATCATAAAGATTTCAGTGAAACTTACTCCCTTTCTCCTTGATGGTCTTGGCTTGCGGACATTCTTAGTTGTTTTGTGACCTTTCTCAAGGCCTACAGCCAGGTCATATCTGATTGCCATTATGCCTGGAATTACAAGATGGAATGATTTCAGGAATTAATTTGAGATGAGTAACCAATTAATTAAACACGGGTGAATTGTCATATCATCATCATGCTCTGACAGTCAATGTTATGTGACTAAAGAAACTCTTCAAAATGGCATAAGCCATTTATATTCAGACTTAGGCTACTTTCCATTAATTTTGGAAGTATTAAAGTTCCAAATACATTTTTCGTCAATTACACCATCTCCCGACACCAGATAGCCCGATATGGTTAGGAAAACGATACTTTAGAATGTTATGCATCGATTGAAGTAGGGTAAATGTTCCCAACATTTCTTACATTTTTGTAAAATACTTTTAACATGGGCTGGGAATATCAACATATGCATAGCACAGGGGCTTGTCTCGAGGCGTCGGGCAAGCCCTCCGATGAGTGTGTACTGCTTATTAAGAGTATTAAGGGGGGTCGTTTTTGATGCTTCCTGAAATTTGTAGAAAATGATTGTTAGATATATCCAGTAAAAACATAAGGAATCCTTTCAATAATCAACATGCTGATTCAAACAACACTACAGTGCAAAGTTACCTAAAATGGTAGCAATCCATCCACTAATTGCTGAGAAATCTGAAGAATATGTAAAGAAGTGATTAAAATGCAAAAGCCCACAATTTTCGCATCCTAATTATTACCTCCAGAGTCGATTTCTTCCTCAAGACACGTCCACTTTGTTTCCTTAGGTTCATTCCTGTATGTTATTTTTAACGAAGGACAGCCTATAACAACTGCTATACGCAAAAAGATGCATGAAATTAGAAGTTTCGAAACTGAAAGTTGAAAAATGGCGACTTCCTGTGTTCTATGCGCATGCGCAAAAATGAAAGTACTTCATTCCCACGATTCAGAAGGATTCAAATTACTTTTCGGCGGTTGGTTCGGTTTTACTGAGATACCAAATGAAAGATTATTGCCAAGGAATGGAAAACGTATTTCGAAGATGAGAATTATTTGTTTTATCACTAAAGGAAAATATTTCCGCAATATAAGGTGCATCATGGGAAGGGACTGCTGTGAAATAATGAACGCAAGTGACATCTATCTAAAAATATATGTAGTTATTGCGCATGCGTTCGCCATTTTTCAACTTTCAGTTTCGAAACTTCTAATTTCATGCATCTTTTAGCGTATAGCAGTCGTTATAGGCTGTCCTTCGTTAAAAAAAACATACAGGAATGAACCTAAGGAAACAAAGAACTCTAGGAACTACCTATTTTTAACAGTGGACGTGTCTTGAGGAAGAAATCGACTCTGGAGGTAATAATTAGGATGCGAAAATTGTGGGCTTTTGCATTTTAATCACTTCTTTACATATTCTTCAGATTTCTCAGCAATTAGTGGATGGATTGCTACCATTTTAGGTAACTTTGCTCTGTAGTGTTGTTTGAATCAGCATGTTGATTATTGAAAGGATTCCTTATGTTTTTACTGGATATATCTAACAATCATTTTCTACAAATTTCAGGAAGCATCAAAAACTACCCCCCTTAACACTCTTAAGGCGACGCTATATTAAATAATAAGTACAAAAAATGACTGCCATATTTTTTTGATAAAGACACATGTTTTTAAAATCTGTTTACCTTGTATATGAATTGTGTATCTTGACTAATGAAACATGTCAAAGTTAACATCACACATAAACGCATTTTTCCAAACTATGAATTGGAGGTGCATGGATCCCCAAAGCTAGCATGAAGAGTGCGAAGTGAGGCTAATTTTTGAAAGTTTCAAGGAGTAGCCTTGCAACAGTCACACATTTGCAAGAGTCTAAAGAGTCTAAAATTTCCACAAATCATCTTACCTTTCCCAGGAACAACGAAGGAGCATGAAAATGTGCACTTCTTGCATTGTTAGAGTATAATAAACCTCAAACCATTGTAAATTCCAAATATTTCATGTCCACATTTTGTTTGCCGGAACTACTTCTAGACTTCCTGATTAATCCTCATGCAAGTTTTGTGACTACACCAAGTGGCATGGATTATCACTTGTATGTTTTATCTATTACAGTGTAATTATCATGATAGATACACACACCCGGTGATCGTGAATATGGGACGGAGGGGGGGAGCAGGCAATTTCTGCTAGGAAATTCAACAAATCTGGAAGATTTATTTTTTCAAGAAAAAGTTTACTATTGAATTGCTAAATGGATAGGCACACGGTATGGTAGAATATGTTAGGTTTTCTGGGATTTTTTCTGAAACGATACGCATCTAAGGTATGAGATCTATTAAAAAAGGCGCAAGGCCATCAACAGGCACAAATCAACGTTTTTGCTATAAATCAAGCAACAATGGTCTGGACGACCTGTAATAAATACTTGTAAGTGATGTTATCATAACTAAATTAATGTCATTGCTGAATTTATAAAATAAGTTTCCATATGTGAAATAAAAAATAATCGAAAATAATGAATTTGGGACGGAGGGGGGGAGGGGACGGAGGGGGGGAGCAATATGTATATAAGACATGATTAGAGATGTTTCGCGACTTTAAGTCCTTTTACTCCAAATGTCCCCATTTTTCAGTCTCCAGGGGTATATCATCCAGTTTCTTACTAAGTTAATGAGTTAATTTTTCAAATACAAGAATTCGTGTGAAGTTGTTTCACTTTATAGAATTATTACTCCCCCCCCTCCGTCCCCTCCCCCCCTCCGTCCCATTTTAATTATTTTCGATTATTTTTTATTTTACGTATGGAAACTTATTTTATAAATTCAGCAATGACATTAATTTAGTTATGATAACATCACTTACAAGTATTTATTACAGGTCGTGTAGTCCATTGTTGCTTGATTTATAGCAAAAACTTTGACTTTTGCACGTTGGTTGGGTTGCGCCTTTTTTAATAGATCTTATATCTTAAAAGAGTATCGGTTGAAAAATAATCCTAGAATACCTAACATATTTTATCATACCGTGCGCTTATTCAATTTGCAATTCAATCGTAAACTCTGTCTTGAAAAAATAATTTTACCAGATTTGTTGAATTTTCTAGCGGAAATTGCCTGCTCCCCCCCTCCGTCCCATTTTCACGATCACCGGGTGTGATACATGATAGAGGCTTTATGAATGATAAACAATGGAAACATGAATGAAGATAACTCTGGACTAAAAAATAGTTCCAGGAAACAAAATGGTGGACATGAAATATTTAGAATTCACAATGGTTTGAGCTTTATTATACTCTAACAATGCAAGAAGTACACATTTTCGTGCTCCTTCGTTGTTCCTTGGTAAGGTAAGATGATTTGTGGAAATTTTAGACTCTTGCAAATGTGTGACTGTTGCAAGGCTACTCCTTGAAACTTTCAAAAATTAGCCTCACTTCGCACTCTTCATGCTAGCTTTGGGGATCCATGCACCTCCAATTCATAGTTTGGAAAAATGCGTTTATGTGTGATGTTAACTTTGACATGTTTCATTAGTCAAGATACACAATTCATATACAAGGTAAACAGATTTTAAAAACATGTGTCTTTATCAAAAAAAATATGGCAGTCATTTTTTGTACTTTTTATTTAATATAGCGTCGCCTTAATAAGCAGTACACACTCATCGGAGAGCTTGTCCGACGCCTCGAGACAAGCCCCTGTGATGCATTGCCATCTATCTAAAGATGGCTATGTGCAAATATAGTAATCTGAGACTATGATGGTCTCGAATCTGTTTGATACATACTAAAGTCATGCCTAACAAGTTCAGATTTTCTATGTTAACGGTACTTCTGCTGTCAATAGACAGGTGTGTTCAGTAAGATCTAATTAAGCTAACTTTTTGACTAGCACTAAATTTACACAAATTGATTGAAAAATTTTGAGATATCTGGAAGGTAAACTGGGAGATGAAGCTCAACAAAAAGGTCAAATTACCTTAATTATGGAAGCAAACTCTAGGGAAAGTAATATATTATCTTTTGAAATGTTAAAATGTGCGAATATAATAACAAAATGTTGGGATTTTGGCCGATTTTAAAACTAAATTCCTAACCTGATTTGGTCAAACAAGTATGGCGGCTAAAAAGGAAGTAGAATTGTGGGAAAATATAGGCCTAAAATTCGACGCGGGAATTTTAAATACTTTATGTAATATTTTCCAGATTCGGTAACTAGAAGTGTAAATATACATCTATTTCTTAATGTTTCTTGTAAAGCAATGCCCATTTGACTGAATTCGATATTCCAAAATGTATGAACTTTGAACGATAATTGATTACTCCATGCTCCCCAGTTATTTACAATCGCTATGACACTGACCAAGGAGGATTGGCTCCCAGGATCGAAACTCGATATTTTCCAACAATGAAAACGTCGAAATGTCGTTATTTTCTGAAATTAAAACCGACTATAAATTCAAAATAAACAGTTCAAAAGATTCGAACCAATATCTCGATCATTTCTTGTGAGTTTTGGAATTTTTCGTTTGGAAATAAGACCAAAATTCACGATTTAAATGTTGAAGTGAACAAAATGGCGGCTGTTTGAATTCGAATTTTGTATTACGACATACCCATATATGGGACAGAATATCGGTGGTGCACTCTGGGAGCCAATCCTCCTTGGACACTGACGTCACGAATAGCAAGTTCTTTACTGGAAAAGTAGGACCGGATAAATTAATTTCAACAATTTCAGGTAGGCTACATTATTAATTAAGAACTTTTTATCATCGGTGTTTTTCGAAGACAATAGATTTACCAACTCGTTGCATACTTTTTAAAACTTTTGAAGTCCCAGTTTATTGATGAATTTGATGGGAAACTTTTAAAATTTTGAAAAGTCAACTCGACTTTCCGTTTTGAAAATCCCATCATCATGTATGATCGTCATCGTGTAGGCTAGAGGGTAAGGACAGGTAGACTTTAGTTCAGTGTTGTCATCCCTTCTGGGTGTTGTTGCTTTAATTGGCACTTAAGTAACTTCACAGATTTTCATTCAGAAAAAATTGAATTTTCACACAGGTGCTCTGGGTAATGAGTGTCAGACTTACAGGGAAGCCTGACACTCTTATTACCCAGGGAGCACCTGTGAATTTTCAAACTCTTCGTAAGACCAACAAAAATAAAGTCAGAGGGATGTTGGAATAGGAAAGCACAATCAAGACCCCTCTGGACTTTTTACATGTTGAGTCGTATATCGCATATTCACCTACCAACGAAGAAGCCCCAAATCTGCCGCTGTATGTGCTAATTTGGTTATTCTAAAAGAAATTTAAAACCGGCTGATAATATGATTGATTGCTTGACTCAAGGCACATACCCAGTTTGCCGACATTTGTGTCACTTGACAGGGGTGTCCCTTGATTGCCGCGATCAAACTCAACTGTGTTCACTTCTGACAGTTGGTTTGTACTATTCCCATAAGTTGGTCTCAAGATATACTTAATGTATGGGGTTTGTGTAAAAAACGGGTGACTGGGGGGGATAGGTACAAAATATTACAAAGCAAATGCGTGGCATATACAAATTTCGAAGCAACTGCTTGACATACTGAATTCGCATGAAAATTCCGACTGGAATGCCTTTGCTTCGTTTTCTCACCATATGGGCATTTTATAAAAAGCATAAAAAGGGGGAGATAAGTCCAACCAGAATGTGTTCACTTCGTTTTTTTACCATATCGGCATTTTATAAAAAGCTTGGTGGATATATCATATGCGGGTAACTTTCACTTCTGTTTGAAGTCCTATTACTCTGGGAAGAAAAGCTTTTGAAAATGGCGCCAGAGTATCATACTTTAAAATGTACCATTTCTTGTTTTAACTTGCCAATGGCAAGATATAGTGACACATGGTTTCAGCACAACTATGAAGGTATAAATGAGATGTTGATGTATTTGGTCTTTTTGATTCTTTCATAAAAATAATGTTTAATTTTTTTGTCTACTGTGACAGAGTTGCAAATGTGAACTGTGAAAATGTCTCTTGAAAGCCTATGGTCACAGCAGACAAAAAATATTAAAACTATATAACGGCAACTCCGCGAAGTAGCAAATCCAAACGAACAAAATATCAATTACCGAATTCCAATCAATTATACTCATTACTTTGGTTAAAATTGAAAAATTTAGAATTGCGAATTCCTGCAAAGCAGCCATTTTGAATTTTCTGAGGTACAAATCTGAAAAATAATACCATAATTGTGATCTACTCCAAAATTCTTTCAATTTGAGTATTATATAGCCATACTTTGAAGGGATCGAAAAATTATTGCAAAATCGTACATTAGACGGCCATTTTGAATTTTACGAGGCTCGAATCAGAAAAAAGATACAATATTTGCAATCTACTCTAAAGCTATACTTCAGAAAGATCTAAAAATTAACAAAAATTTCTGTTTTCCTGACCCCCAATACAAGGCCCCTGGGGGTCAGGATGAAAAACAAGGAATATATGTGAAATAGATAGATATTGCAAATATACTACCAAAATTTCAAACAATAATATTAATTACTTTGGTTTTGAATGAAAAATTTATGATTTTTGCGAAAAAGTCCCTCATTTTTAAAGTGGCAGCCATTTTGAAATTTTTTTTTTTTTGCGTAAAACTATTCATCAATATACATCTTTCCACCAAATATGAAGAAAATCCGTCAACTAATACTTGAGTTATCTTACAGACGGATGGACTGACTGACTGACTGACGGACGGACGGAGGGCTTCTCTATATCCCTACCGAACTTCGTTCGTTGGGATAATTATTTTTTATATAAAGAATTTAAAAGACCCAATGCATTAATATCTCATTAATACATTCAGAGTTATGCTGAAAACATACTAATAGGAACATAATAGGAATTTAATAGGAACATGGGTGCCAATTACGGCAAATACGGTATGTTAATATTATCGTGTCACTATATCGTGCCATTAAATAGTTAAAAAAGAAGTGGTACATTTTAGAGTATGATACTCTGGAGCCGTTTTTAATAGCTTTTACTCGTAGCATTATTGGACTTCAAACAGAAGTGAAGGTTACCTGCAAATGATATATTCATTGCATGGAGTAAGTTATTTTCTTTGATGTAACATTCAATGGATTGAAAGCATGATATAAGAACACATGAGTAAAAAAATAAATCGTTAAGCATTCTTAGTGTTTTTTATGAAAAATAGCATGCTCCGTCACAGCCTACAAATATTTCGATACCAGCCTGTGAATTAATAGACTTTCATTTCTCAAGAAATCAATTATGTAGATTCAAACATGCCAAGCATGGTTCAGTCAATCAGCTTAGCTAGAACATTTCAGTGTGTTGATTTATTGGTATAAGCAGAAAAATGATTTAGTTGTGCATTTAAATTTTGATATTTAAAATGCACTGACTGAGCAGAGCTATTCTTTAAAAGGGGTGACAGTATATAATCAATATGTTAATTTCTGTCAATGCTGTTTGTGACCAAGTTTTCGTAATTGTTATGTAGGCTAATGTTTTGATAATAAAACCTTATAAATAGTTTGGGAATATCAGTTCTAACTCATCAATCCTATTTAGTAAAATGTGTCATGGGCGTAGCCTGGGGGGAGGGGGGGGGGGGTCATTAGATAGAAGAAGAAAAGAGCTTTAAAATGCTTTTCATTTGAAGCTTCTAGCTCAATTTTGAAGGAAGTTGAATACATTTTTGTAAAATCTTAAATTTTGCCTTTGCTTTTGTCACGATCGCACCCTCCTGACTGAAAATCAAAAAAAGGCAATCGCACCCCCCTGACTGAAAGCTGGCTACGCCCCTGTATATCCATAACATATTTCATGTATTTAGATCTTTATTTAAATTGATTAATCCAAAGTTCCATATGCAATCTCAATACATGTAAATGTTTTTATGACTGACAAGGGTCATGTTTGAATTGCAGTCAAGAATGCTGTATCACTATATTGGAAAGGATTATATGTATCGATATGGAGAACTGGATTCAACAATGTTTTTCTCTTAAACCAATCATTGAAAACATTCTGTAAAAGAACATGGTATTTTATGTAATGTTGACTGATTGCCAACAATTTAATGCGAAAATTATTTAGAAATATTTTATATAACTGTTTTTGTTAACATTTTTTGTTTTTTTAGTGCAATTGTTTTTGCTCCTTTCTACCAATTCTTGAGAATGAAATGAAATGTCTTTTCGAACCATGTTGGAACAAAATAGCATATACAACATGTTTTTAGACCTCTCAATATTAAAGTTATACAAAGAAATTTTTGGTTCATTTTAAAAAAGTATTCAAAAAATTAAAACAAAATCCCCCCAAAATAGATAAAAATCAAGAAAACCCTTTTATTTCATTAACAAGATACTTTTTTAATATCAACCAAAATTTCCTTTGTACAATTACAATATTGAGAGACCTAAACATGTTGTGTTTATGTCGTTTTGTTCCAATGAGTTTCGGAAAGATGTTTCATTTCACTCTGGAAACATGATACCAAGAACAAAACAAGTGTTTGATGTGTTTTTTTAAAACAATATAGATGAAAGTATGTTTATCTATTTCAAATTATATTGTTACCATTCAAAAGATGGCCATTAAATTGACAATTTGGAAGATTTTCAGAAATCTTTGATGACTGGTTTAAGAGAAACGAGTGCCATATCGATACCCATTCTTTAAAAGCATTCATGCATTATGCAATATGCATATGGGTTAGTACATGCACTCAATAACATGCTTTTATATTTCTAATACAGAATGATACAGGATTCTTTATTCCTTAAATAAATTTGGTTTCAGGTGTATGTGTTCGTACCGTTATTATTAAAAAATAACAATGTGCACAACAATCAGAATTGTCTAATAAACATGGAGACCATACTAAAGTTTGGCTAATTGTAGCTATTAGCATTATTAAAACTTCCATTATGGGATGTGGAAGTTCCAAGGCAGTCAAAACTGACTCTGTAGCTTCAATTGGGGACCCTACATGCAACAGGACAGTCAGCAATGAAAGACTAATTGAAGTCAATGCTAATAATGAGGCAGATACAAAAGCCAACACTGTTAAGACAAAAGCTAATGTTGAAGGGGACACAGAAAATGTTAACACCAATATTGATGTGAATACAGAGAATCAGACTGATATTGGAGGTAGGTTGTTACACTTTCTCAAAAATACATTTAGCATTAACAACATTTCAAGAACCTGCCTATGCAGCCTTTCAGTAGGTTCGCTTCAGTTAAATATATTTCCTGAAATAGGTTCGCTATATTCCTCATATTAAAATCCCATTGCATATAGGTTTGCTTATAGGTGATGTTTCAATAAGCAAATTAGGTCTCAGGTTCACTTTAGGCAGCTACCTAAATGAACCTATAAGTTGGTTCTGCTTTAGGTAAACTACTTTTGCTGAACCTTTATTTAGGTTTGCTTTGGGTAACTTGAGTAATATCAGTGATATAATATACATATCAGAGTCCCTTTATTAGGTTAACTCTAGGATCACTTTGGATAGTACCAAGTACATTTGAGCAATTATGAATTATTTGAATATTAATAAAACTGTTAATTTCTATTTACATCTATAATTTCAGCTGGAACCCCCAGTCCGAGAAAGGGTGGTATAGTATTTGAGGTGTCATTTGAAAAAACCAGCAAGATAATAGCACACAATCCTCCCAAAAGACTACAGGTACATGAAAATCTATTAGTTTCTATGCAAATGAATACAAGATGAAAGTTTTATGTCAATAATAAGCAAAATCCTAAGCCTAATAGGATCCTGAAGCTATTTGGAATCTGAAAGGGAGCTTTAAGGGAAAGTGAAAGTCAGATTTCAAGGGTCATGTTATAAGGGTTTGGAAAAAAACTTATTTTGGAATAACTATCTCAATAGTGAAGGAATCTTCGTGATATTTTGCATGTAGATAGTAGTCATAGAGTGTTCAGTGGGAGAAACATTGGTATGCTTGCACAGCATCATCAATTTTGAGATTTAGTGATGTCACACTTTCCATCCATATATCTGCTTTAAATGGGTTTATTAGCCTTTTGCGGATTATTGATGTAAATTTAGATGTAGGTATGCTCTCAGTGAAATCGTCAATAAATGTTCAGCTATACAATTTTCTGAAATTGGGATTTCTGTCTTATCAAGTCATTTCTTGATAGTTTTCACATATATTATATTTATCATTAATATGTCATATCTACCCTATGATTTTGTCAAATTTGATGAACTCAAACTCGCTTATTGGGTACATTTAAAAAGACAGATTTTCTACATATACGAGGGGTGATCCAAAAGTCTTGGACACCCTGCTCTAATTTTGTTGGTTTTTGATAAAATTACTTTTAAACTTTTTTTTTTTTTTAACTTTTTTTCGTATATACACTTTTGAGTGAATTTGTATCAGAGCATACCTCCGTGGAAAATTAGATATGTTTTAATTTCCAAATTGTTGATGCTATACAAGCATGCCATACCAATCTTTCTTCCACTGAACACTCTATGTACACATAAAAAATCATGAAGAATCCTTCATTATTGAGAAAGTTATTTAAAATTAGTGTGTGGCATTTTTGTGTCACCCCCTATCATCCACTAGTCCTTGGTATTAGTCACTATCAGAGGAAGATAAAGCAATTCTTAAGAGTCTAATATGTAATATTTTAGGCATTTTCTTGTCCATGAATCTTTTATATCTCTCTTGATTATTACTTATTACTTCAGCGAGACTCATCTTCTTTTTAGCCTTTCCTTTTGTTGTTATTTTTTCTTTTTCTATGGTTTGGTCACTTTTCACTTGAACTTTGGATGATTCTTTCTCCATTATTGTATCTCTGTAGTTGTCATCACCATTATCTTCACATATGACACATATAAAACACACTTCCAAAATGTCAGCTATAATCATTGCAGTTTCATTTTAACTAAATGGACCATTTGATGACCACTATACAATGATTTTTCTATGCATTTTAATAAAGTATAATGGCAGGGCTGAGGCCCAGCTGCAGATTGAAAGCGTATACTAAGTTTAAGAACATGTTTTCTTTGAAGAACAATTCAAATGTTAAATGCATGTGTATTATATGTGTCAGTTCTTCCTAATGAAAGTATGTTGTGCATGACACTTATTTACACTGTTACAGCATTTGAAAGTCAAGATGAAACGTTGCAATGTTTCATACTCAGTTTGATTGTTTAGTTGGCAGCTGCTACGACCGACAACACATGTTCAGATGTTATTGACTTTGAATAGGAAAATAGGAATATGAAGTATATTCTGCATATCATTATTCAATCTTATTCAAGAAACTGGCTCTAATATGTACCATCAATGTGGTACATCTATATAATTATTTTATATTGTACCAAAAGCTGGCCCCATTGACAACATCTTTTACAATCAATCATTCACTCATCATTCCAGAAAATAACCAAACTGACTACTGTACATCTAATTATTTGTACCTTTTATTTCAAAAACTGCTAGCACTATTTTCTACATCTTTTAACCACATTATGAATTATGTATATCATATTCCCGATATTGTTTGCTCTAATGATATACACAATCCTATACAATATACCTCATATTCTAGAAAATGGCTGTATTGACTACATTTTACCTCATTTTCCAGAGACTTGCTACACTAGCCATATATTGCACCTCACAACATCTTATTGTATTGACCACTTCTTATAATCTGAACCTCATATTCCAGCAATGCCCTGTTGATGACTTATCTTATATTCTGTACCTCATATTCTAAAAACTGTTGGCTGTATTGACTACATGTTTCTGAAAGAATGTATCTTTTACTCCAGAAATTGGCTCCATTGGCTCATGTTCCAAAACTAACTGCTGAGATGTTAATAGAAAAACAACAACAAGTGGAAGAGAAGCGAAAACAAGAATTACAGCAAAAAGTTGAGAAGTCACGTAAAATGTCCAAACGTCAAAAAGATCTTCTGAAGGCAAAGGAATTTGAAAAAGCTCAACATCAGTACATTGAGGTAGCGTCCCTCTAACAATTGTCAGATATTATGTAGACAATTGATTACATTAATGTGCTTTGATATCTTGGGAGTTCTTGTGCCATTTATTTATATATATTGATCAACAAACAATTGGTAATCTTTATCCAAAATGTAAATTCCATTGAAGAAATTCTATATTAAAGGGTCTCTTTTCCCTGTAAATATACAGTATAAGGAATTATTGATCAATCAAAAGGCCTTATGTCTTCAAGATATTCTTTAAATTTGGACACATTTTGAATCGGGAATGTTTTTGGAAATAAGTCAACTACATGTAGTAAGAAATGATGAACGTCAAGTTTGTTATAATAGATGTTTATTTTAGTAAATTTATCTTATTTTGGTCATGTTTTGTTTGAATTATTTTGTAAGGGTAGTTTTCAGAATTGATGAAGACTTCAGCCTTTATATGTGATCCATAATTCATTGTCTTTATTGCATTAAGAGATTTACTGGCTGAATACAGTTGGAATCATGCAACAAATGAGCACCCTTGATATTAACATTTTGCCATCTGCAGTATTTACAAATTATATCATTGTTGATTTCAATTAACAATCTTTAGTATTTACATGCAAGAAAATCAAAGATCATTTATTAAAACAAACATTGAATGAATGAAACATGAATGAATTTGTATTTCTATAGTGTGTCACTATTTATACATGTAATCAAGCATTTGAAATTAAATTTTATTTATTTTTTGTAATTTAGGTTGAAGGAAAGCTGAAATCTGCTGGTAAAAATCGTGAACAACGTCATGCAGAAATTATTGAAAAACAAAAAAGACGAGAAGAGAGGGCTAAACGAGCTCGGGAAAGGGTGAGCAATAGAATTAGTTCATGGTTTATTGATGTTCATCTAACACGCAAAATTGTGTCCAGCAATACATAATAAATCCATGACACTTCTTATATGGTTCAATTTGAGTTAAGGAATATCACTCCTATTTGTTTAAGGAATATCACTCCTATTTATTTAATAACTACATCGAATAGAAAATGAGTCAAACAAATACATTCAGCCCACTCAAATGTTTCTCTTTCTCAAACCATGATGTAAAAATCACACACCATTCTCTAGAGAAAATCAGTTTCTTGAGATGTTTCAGAATTTATCATGAAATCTTGCGAGAACAAATTTAATACATTGAATGAAGTTGAATTCCATAAACCCAGGGTTATACTAATGTATAATATTGAGATGAGATATACTGTACACATACCCTAGTTATTAAAAACCTGTAAAGGATTAATCAAGAGGTGTGTTCACATGTTAGGGAGGGAATGCAGATAAAATATAGGCATAGAAATAGCATGTAGGGTATACATTGATTTGCGCCATATGAGTTGCACATCATCATGTATCAATCTTATTTGACTTTCAATATGTGAGTTTGAAATTCATACATTATTCTAAGTATACCTTTATCCATGTGTTATTCCTACTGTATTCTATGCTACTTGAACACATGTGGCATTTATGACATTTGTAGTGATTTGAGTTTGATGGACACTTTGATTGACACTTGTTAGAGACATTGCGTAAGTGAATGAAAATTAATCATGAAAGGAAAGGCATAGCATATTTAAACATGTTTGTGAAATTAATTAGATGATGCAAGTTTCAGATAGGATGATTCGGGGTATCCTCACTGATAAAAGTTAAATGGGGCTATATCTGGGTTATGGGGCGCCTATTCATTATCTGTTATCCTGCTGATAATGTGGTCGTTGAAGTGGTCTAAAACCATTCCAGTGCATCATTGGCTGTATGAGGCATGGCTCTGTTGTGTCAGAAAAACTGTTGCTACTTATCAATCCCATTGAGTTTACCTAAAGCCCCCCTCCAAGAACTTCCTGAGAATCACAATATAGCGTTCGATGTTGTTATTGCATTTTTGCTGGCATCTTCTAAGGTAAAGAACACTATTCCTATGTGCCTAGTATACATTAAACTGTGCATCTGTTTGTGTGAATGTGCCTCTCCACTACTTCCCAAGAAAACATACTTGTTAAAGTTTCATCCGAATACCAGACCAGTTCAGACAGCCCAAAAGTGGACATACGGGGTATGTTGTTTAAAATGCTGTGACATTGTGACTATCAGTCTGATTGTCATGAAATATGGTGGGCTGGTAGGAAATTGAATGATGTACAAATGTGCCAAATACGAGGGAGTAATTCCCTCAAATGACAAAGATATGAGGAAAAATTGCCGTTTTTTTACCACCCTGTATCTCTGTATTCCACATTCCCCATTTGAGCATCATATATTTGTATAGGTACAAAAGCTGAAGGAAGCTGATACACAGGATCTAGAGTATGAAGTGGAGAAAGATGATGGATTCAATAAAGATGATGATGGTAAGAAATATTTGTTTTCAATTATCAAAACTGGACACAACTCAGCTCACACATATTTTTTCTTAATTAAAGCCACTCCCTCAAATTGTTCATGACTTTATAGCAGCTAGGGTCAGTTGTGAAAAAAACAGGCCAATACTTAGTTCATGGAACCATGGGCTCTCTTGAAAGCCCTTGATGGAACGAAGCATGACACTTTCCACATCATCAGAACACCATTCCATATAATTTAAGAGCCAGAGCCAAATTATTTTGAAACTAATTTGTTTCTACAGTAAAATTTTAAATGTTTGGAACTACTTTGAATTTAAAAAATTAGCAATCAAAGGACCATAATGAAACAGTATATGTAAAACTAGAAACATTTATACATGGCTCAGCTGGAAAATAACATTTTGGTAAAAAATTGCTATGCCTGGACATGTTATATTCTGGTACAAAATAAAGTATGAAGGCATGTGTCATTTTCCTTGCTTTTTTCAGGAAAGTATCATTACATTGTCTTCTTTTAGAATAACTGGTAGGAGTTCAATGGGAACTCCAGGAAATTCTGATATTTCAACAGATTTTGGACAGTCATATGCTTGATTTTGGCCATTTCCTGAGGATTTAAACAGGTGCATATGTTAGGCGAATGCATTACCTCCAGGAAAATCACTTCAAGAGATGATAAAATAATTTCGACTTTGAGACAGGGTAGATGCAAACAACCCACCCACATGTTTTTTCTGAAATGTTTTCCTGATTTTCAACCCCTTCCATCCCTAAAAGGAATAAATGATTCCTTTTAGATAAAGTGGAAAACAATATTTCCCATGTTATTTTCCCATAGGGAAAATCATTGCTTTCAGCTAAGTTTGGTCACCCATAATGATAATCTTTAAAACCCCTGAAGGAATCACTTATTCCTTTAAAGTGGTTAACTATGTTTCAAAACGCAACATATTGATGCAAGAAAAATTAAAAAAGCAGGGATGGAAGGGGTCAAAAATTAGGAAAACATTTCAGAAAAAACATGTGGGTTGGTTGTTTGCATCTACTCTGTCTCAAAGTCGAAATTATTTTATCATCTCTAGAAGTGATTTTCCTGGAGGTAATGCATTGGACTAACATATGCAATTGTTTAAATCCTCAGAAAATGGCCAAAGTTTCCAGACAACACAGGAGCTACCATTGACCTGTTTCCAGGTTTACTAAAAGTAGACAGTGTAATGATACTTTCCTGAAAAAAGCAAGGAAGTACACACATGTCTTCATACTTTATTTGTACCAGAAAATAACATGTGCAGGTATAGCAATTTTTTACCAAAATGTTGCTTTCCAGCTGAACCTTAATCCGCCGCTAATTTTGCGATTGTGCTGACTGGTCGGTTTCGTCGAATTTAATTATCTGAAACTTGAATCAGCTGGGAAATCCGTGTTATCTAATTGGTTGTTAAATTTGTTTATCAGTATTGGTTATGCGACCAAAGGAACATAAATGGTAGTTCTGGACTAAAAGAAATTGACAACCACGGCTGTGCTGAGGAAATTTTTTTTTTAAAGTGCCCTATAGTGTTCTGAGCTGTTTATATAAAAATGGATGAATGACATAATACAGTAATAAGAAATGCTATTTTTATACATTTTACAACTGCAATCCAGGCCCTCAGATTTTGTCAATGTCCAGAAGTATTCCTCAAACATGTCTTTGTTATGGGTATTAAGCGCATTACAGGGAATTTAGCACAAGGAGCTTTCATGACCAGCTTCTTAACAAAGTGGGCTTTTACCCCTCTCAAAACATAAATTACATCGATGATTCTTGCACGATCAACATTTGCAATTACCTTATAGCAGGGTGAGCTGTTCTTGCATAGAAATTATTCCTTTTCGACAATATTGCCATTTCTGATTCCTTTGATTGATTATCTGACAAGTTTGATTTGGCTATCAAATCAGCAATTTTGGTATCATTGTTAATAATAATTCATGTATCATGTTTTGAAACATTTTTGATTTCAGTTGACTCATGGTTAGATGGTGGAAATAACAATGACAAATCATTAGACAGTGGAGTATCAAGTGCAGAACATGGGGATAGGCTCGACTCAGGCACTGAGCGTATTTATTCAGGACGTGAAAGTCCACACAAGAAACTAAACCCAAGAAGTAGTGCAGAAATGCGAGCAAGGGGCAGTGCGAGTACAGTTGATAGTTTTGATAACGCATTTATGCGACCTGGAAGTCCAGTGAAAATAACCAAAGGAACAAATGATGATTTTTTTGACAGTTGATGATCTTAGTCGTATACATGTCAGTATTAGGGAATCTCAATTAATCTACATGTGATCATCATGTGTCAGACGTGAGGATCGATTTTCATATAGTAGCACTCTATACAGACTGTGCTATACGAAAACAAGCGGTGCAGATATCACATGCTTAAGGTGTGGATAGTAACGGTCATCTTTGAATTTGAATTTGTGATATTTCATAAACTAAGGCATGTTGGTTACTCAGTTATAGTCATCCATTTGTAGAGGATACCTAATAAAAGGGACATTATGTCTATAGTTGTATTCTTCATTCTTTAAAGACGCACTTAAGCATTCATCCTTGCTCCATAGCAAAGAATTTGAAATTGCTGCTTTATAACACAGTTTACAGCCTTCACTCAGTATTGGTGATCGAGATGACTGATCGATATAAATTATTTTTGCATTTTGAAAGTCATTAACTTTCTGTGTGAATTTTAAAAAAATTGAACATTTATCAGATATGTGGTACCTCTAAACTAGGGATATTGTCAGTTTTCCGCCGTTTGTTTAGAGGTAGCACATTTTTGTTTAATGTTTCCCATTTTGTATAAAATAACACAGAAACCTTTCAACTTTCAAAATGCAAATATAATTTGTATTGATAGGTCATCTCGATCACCAATTTTGAATGAATGCTGTTTATGCTGTGAAACAGCTGCATTGCAATTTCAAATCATTTGCTTTGGAGAGAGTATAATTGCTTGATATGTTGCTATAGAATGAACTACACACCTATTTACACAATTTCCTTCTTATTAGGGAACCTGTACACATTTATGAATATAACTGAGTACCCAACATGCCTTAGTTGGTGAAATATCACGAAATCAAATTCAAAAATGACCGTTACCTTGCGCAATGATATCTGCAACGCTTATTTTCGTATAGCACAGTTTGCATAAAGTGAGTAGCCAGGACATTACATCTGCCCTGATTTTAACCCTGAATGAAAAAAAATCAGGAGAAATGAGAATAATGCTGCCCAACATAGTCATATTAGTATCACTAATCCTTGTTAATTGAAAGTTTAGATATATATATGAATCCAGTATTCTGCAATATGTGTGAAATCAAACTCACTCAAAGTTTGTGACTTAAGGAGGACATAGTGATTCTTGGTGCAAGATGTCAGTATTTAAGTCACCTAGATTCCACCTGGCCTAGCTTACAAGGCTTTCTAGAAAAGAGCTTGCTAATGAGTTATAACAACTTACAGTTTTTGTTTGATATGATCTTTGAATTCATCATGAATTGACCAGGCATAATGCTGTCCAAGGTACAACAGAATTGGTATAATTGGTATATTAATGTATGCATGTGAACACAATTAGGAGAAGGGAAAAAGAGCTACAGTGTAGGTGTATTTACTTGAAACTTAAAATTACATGTAATTGAAAATCTCTTATACAATATAATGAATAGTATTTTATGCTCTGGAATCCTATCTTGAAATATTGTTTAGTTTAAGTATGAGATGAGGTATACATAATAACATGTACATATTAGCTAGTATTTGAATATGGATTTTTTATATTACACTGCATGCTGAGTTTTGCTTCGTATTAGATAGTATTCACTGGTTTTGAGCCTCGGGTTTGTGTAAAAAACCGGATAACTAGCTAACTGGGTGACCGGGTACCCTACCTTCCTACCAGGGTTAGAAATTTGATTTTTTCATTTTATGCCTCAAAACGCCCAACTGACATCCCAATCAACGTACCAGTGACGCAACCAATCAAGCAAACAACCAAACAAGCAACAAAATTTATTAACCAATAAACCAACCAGCAAAATGACAAACAAAATTAATATAATGTCAATCAGTGAGGCAATAAATTAAGCAACTAACGTCGTACACTAATTAACAGATAAAAACGGCAAATAACGTTTTAATTTACGCGTACGTAAATCTTCCAGATTTGTATAATATCTAGTAGAAATCGCCATCATAGAAAACAATCATCGATATCCTGTCAATCACTCAGACAATAAATCAAGCAACTAACGTCATCGTACGTGTAAACTGTCTAAATAACTACCTAAGACTTCCGAAATTCAGTCTCTTACAGGTTCTTGGTAAAATGATAACGTAAACATATTGAAGGGTAGTCTACAAATGTGCAACTTTGAAAGTTGGTAACCCTGCAAGGAACGTTGAGTACCCGGTTACCCTGCCACCTGGCTACCCGGTCACCTGGTTTTTTACACAAACCCTTGAGCCTCGATTGATTTTTATGTTGTAACTGGAAAGGATGAGTTAAGAACCAACCAAAAATTTCAAAAAGCCTTAGTTCCTGCCTTAGTTAAGCTATAATGTCCTGTTTAAGAACCCCTATTCTTATTACTATGGATTCTAGCAATACAATCCCATATGAATGTATTCGCTGGGACTTGATCAACTTTAGTTCTAAGAAAATGAGGATTTTGTATCTATCCCCATGGTGACATACATGATGGTATCCCAGTGCTAAGAGCCTAAGTCATTAGTCAATGGTGTATATCCCCATGTTAAGTCAATGACATTCTCAATGTCAAAAAAGATTTGACCTTCAATGACCTTCTTAAGGTCAAAAAGGTCTTTTTCAACTTACTTCAAATTGACCAATTTTTCTCAAAATCATCTACAAGTTCTCAGAACTTGTAGATGATTTTGAATCAGAAATTCAAATCTGACTTAAGATTGAACCAATAATTTTGTGAGCAACTACATTTGTAGATGTTGACATTTTGTCATGTTAATGCCTCTTCTAGTTATACTGATATGGCACTTTTTACATTTTGATGCATAATTAACTTTCTGCTGAGAGTCAAAATAAATATCCCAAGTAGAAGTAAATAGCGGTCACAATAAAAAAAAACACAAATACAAAAATACAAATACAAAAATTAATGACCCATGAAGAAGAAAATCATGGAGTTTTTAATGGCTGCCATTTGATGTTAAAATGTCAGAAAATATTGCTTCACTTTTAGTTTGCACATGGAGTACAGTTTTATGGTTTTGAATTTTTTGACTGATTTTAGCTGTTCATCATCTGAGAATAGAGATAGTAAAATCAAAACAATAAACCTGTGGTCAGCATGAACTCAACTGAAATGCATACAACTCCACAACACAATTGAGGTGTCAAAATAGGATGGTCAGCAACTTTGAGTGACTATAATCCCTCGATTACCAAGATAAACACCAATTCTCTATCAAGAAATACCATTCAATGTCCATACAAATAAAGTAAACAATGTTTTGGAGGTTGTGTTTCAAAATTTTTGTATAAATTAATCATTTAGTATTTGCACTTGAATTTTTTTCAATTTTTATGTCACCACAATTTCAAGTTTATAGTTATATATGTCCCCTACCCTTAATTTTGAACTGAGAAGAGATCTCTGAATCTGAAGGATATTACCTCAAATTTTATCACAAAATGGTTGTATTTAATCAGACTTTCACTACATACTAGTAACTGATATTTTTTACAAAGTTTTATTGGATTGAAAACTTTTTAAAATGGTGTATTCCTCTAAACGTGACTAACAATTTAATCATGTCTCAGAAGATACCCTTCTTGAGCTCAGAGTTGGGTATAGGATTTCTCATATTTATGACGACAATTTATGGTAAAAAGTCACATTCACGATTTTGGAAGTTGTTCAATTCAATCCTCTCTAACTGTTTGCCATATTTACAAAATTGTATAGTGAAATTTTCTCCATTTGGTCAATGTTTACATATATTGTACCTCAGAATGTTTGGTATGATAACAAATAAAAAAAAAAAAAGATTATGGTTGGTAAAGGGCAATGCACCTTTTTAGAGGGTATATTAGCTACAAGCCAAATGAGTATTATGCTTTAATGAGCAAATGTCTATATATATTTACGAGTATGTACATGGGTTGTACAAGAAAATGTTTTTACTGCTGTATTGTATATACATCACCATTTAAACAAGAACATGTAGTTTCAAAAAATAAATGTAATTTTTATGAAATGTAAAAAGAGAAAAGACTTTATAATAATATCACAGTGTCTATATAGTTTGCTCAAATAAAGTACATATACAGTATTTGAATTTTTATGTTTATCCTTTTATGAGAAAAAAGAATTCATGACAAAATGCCCATTGTTGTGAATATAAGTTTGCAAATAGTACAAGAGGAAAAGTGACACAAAAATGCAACCCATGAATAAAAAAACCTTTTGATCCCATTGTTTTAACAAAAAGTTTTAGAAGACATGAAAATAATCCAAATATATCTTGTGTGTTTGGCAAAAACGAAAAGAAATATAAATCAAGCTTCTCAACAACTCGATTCTAGAGCGTACCTCCAGAGAATGTCTTTTCTTTAAATCTCAGTCTTAGAAGCAATATATTTTGTGTCACCCTGTTCATACCAACATGAATATCATTATTATATCATTGTAGAATCCCATGGAATAGATATAAAAACAGAAGTGTCCTTGTCTAATTCAGCTATAACCTGGTGTTCGTATCACTCCTACATTCTTTATCCAAAAGTTTCTTCTTTTCTCCTGTTTTTGATTGTGAGTCACTCATCCCTTGTGATATTGTAATGGCTCTGCCTCCACAACATTTATCTGTAGGAATGAGTACCAGGATGAAGCCTACTATGATCATAATAGTGGCTATTATTTTTGTTACTCCAAATATTCTCCCTCTAAACATAGCATCTACACCTGTAAGAAGGACAGTGCATCTTTCACAAGTGATATTTCACGAAGCTGGATGACTAGTGGAATATCAATTTGTGCAACAAGTATTGCCCAAAAATAGAATTAAATATTTGTTTTATTATTCAGTTATATTCCTCACTCACATTAATGGAATAACACACTATGGATGTCTAATTATAACAATGCACTCCCAGGAATACTAGTATATATATAATTAAAATTACACTGAACTAAGTCGTAACTGGTGATATCATTTGAAAAATGTCCAGGCATTGAATATGAATGAAAGCAAGGTCATGCAACAAACCTGCATTGAGAGGTATGCCAAGAACTGTACCAACAGAGATGAAGAGGGGAAATGTGAATGCAATGCCAAAATTCACCAGGAAGTTGAAAGCTGTAAAAATAAGGCATTGTTATTTTATTTATGTTAATTATATGTCTCTACAGATGTTTCTTTTAGTGTGTTTTCAATCTATATCAAAAGATCTATGTTTTGCCATTTTATTTACTGTAGATACACTTATTTTGACGCTACTTAATTCAACGGATTTGCTCAATTTCAAATATTGGCGGCTATTTAATTTGGCGGATTCAGGACTGAAGTTTAACTTTGTCTATGTTTATGTCATTAGGACAGGTATTTACTAAGGTATTCTCTGTAATTCTTTTGGAATAATGTAGACATGTTGACAGGAAAAGGGGCCCTAGGAGTTTATTTCTGAAGTGCATTGGATAAAACTGAAATTTGACAGATTTTTAATTTGGTGGATTTCTGAATCCAAATTAAGTGTACCTACAGTATTCAAGTTGAGTTTTTACATTGACTTTCAAGCCCCTCTACTTAATTACGACAAATGTCGTATTGTTTGCTCGATCCCCTCCCCAAGAATAAGTGATTTGGGATCACCTCAGTCATTATACCGAAGCGCGCATTGTACCGAAAACCAATATACCGACGCGCATTACTCCGAAAACCAATTGATACCGATGCGCGTTGTACCGAAATCCGTGCGCGTTGTACCGAAAACCATTACTGTATACCGACAGTCCGACACCATCACCATGATTTTGTGATGTAAAAAGGCTTGTCATGGAAGATTTATGATAAGAGTAAGAGTATGATAAGTATTATTGAAAATCATGCACATTTAATCAGGAAGACCAGGCAAGAAATAGCAACAGAATACTATCTAGTAAGCTTCATCAAGGAAGGGAAACTCAAAACTGCAAACACCCTAAAATCACAGCCCAAGTCAAACCATCATGTAAAGTTGTAAGTCTGCAAAATGATATCACTTATTTATTATTTAAAGAGAGAATCAGATATAGCAAGCAGGCTAAACAAAAAATTGTCTCAATTTTAGAATATTTTTGGCTCATGTAATTCCCTGTCATGTCTATTTTCTAAAAATCACAAAAGTGCATACTTTATTCAAGGAAAACTAAAGATTTTTACAATAATGTATTATTTTTCTATAAGAATGGTTACCATTCTTATTATTTGGGAGACTTTAAACATTTTCACTAATTTTTGCACTTTGAATCATTAATAACTTCACCAATTTATAACATATTGTGAATCTTTTCGAAGATATTGTATTTTATATTGTAAGGAATAGATTGGTAGGTCAATTATACAACTTGCTTGTAATTTTGTCACCCCATATAGATCTGATTCTGCCTTTAAGTTGAACGTACGCTAAACAAGCTTTCCAATGGTTTGATGTACATGTGGCTCGCTATTTCAAATCATATGTTATATTCTCAGTCAGCAAATGTTTTGTCATCTATTAATAAAGTTCAATGCGTAACAGTTGATTCACTTCTGTTAGAAAGGAGTCTAAAGAAGACAAGATAAACTTTCCAATGGTGCGTTGAGCGTTGTATATGTGGCTAGGTATTTCAAATCATAAAAATGTCGTTAATGTTGTCAGTTCGTGAAAATATTTCATCATCTATTACACAATGCGTTACATTTAATTTCAATTCAATTTACTGTATTTTCTTTTACATTTTTATCTCGTTTTTCTGCCCTCGAGAAGGGATCCTTGAATTAAAGGCTAAACAACACGGTATAAATGTTAGAATTGTGGCGGCAACTTTTTTTTAACTGGCTTCCATTTTCGAAGATTGTTCTAAATCAGACGGCCTATGGCCATTAGGGGTATTCCTATCCAAATAGATAGACGGACAAACAGACAAACGAATGGGCGGCTTTTCTATCTCTGATGACAGGTTGTTCTAGTCCCAAAATAATGTATCAAAACTTAAAAACTGACTAATATTTTACTCAAAGTAAACTTTAAATATGTGTTCGATCGCTAATTTGTCTATCAACTAAGTTGCGCTTGCATTGTCTCCTTAAAAGTTACATCGCAGATACATACACCACGTGTGTACACGCAGGAAAACTTTACAATGTGCGTCGGTATTATTGCATTCGGTACAACGCCTGTCAATACAATGCGCGTCGGTATAATGGGTTTCGGTATAACGCGCGTCGGCATAATGGGTTTCGGTATAATGGGCGGACCCCAGTGATTTCTTGGTTACCTAGGCCTAATACAGCTGATCCACAAAGAAAACCCCATGGAAGATTGTACCAGTCGAACTGCTCCAAGCCTGTGAAATATAGTGTAAGCATGATAGGCCACATCACTAGTAGGTCCAGAAGCCCCAATATACTTAGGAATAAGGATACTTGGGATAGTGAAGCATCCCCTATAATCCACTTGAATGAAACCTGGGTAAAATAATAAATATTAATGTACAATTCCCTCAAAAAGTTTGGCAACTTTAGTCCCCTTCATACCATGTGTTAAGGCACATTTATGTTATGTGATTTCAAGGATTGGCAAAAACATATTTTTCATTGCATGTTCATTCAATGAGGACTAGCTACTGGTTTTCAAACTTATTGGAGAAGGGTGTATCTATGTATGTACTAAGTGGTATCATGGTACATTATGTATATGTAAACTTACATGAAATTGGTGTTCAGGTATCTTAAAGTTTTGATAAGGTAGTCATATTTTGCTAAATATTGATATTCCTAAGCAAAGAAATATCAATATTGAAAAGTTAATTCAAAACTTATTAAATAAAAATGGCAATTGGAAAATAAAGAGATAGTTATGAATTTGGAGAAGTCACATTAGACAAATAGAAGAGGAAAATTAACCAGCAAGTAACAATACAGGTTATGACAAACAGCAAAATGAGATAAAAGTTTACAACTTATTGAATGAATGAAAATATTTCTTCATTAATTTTTTGGAAGACAGTTGCCTTATCTTGCCTCACCTGCTACATATCTTGCTACACCCCTGAAAACATACTTGTGAAATACTTGTTAGTACCTTGTATAGTGCAGCCCCTATTGCTGACACAATAGATAAGATGACACCAAGAACTGATGGACCAAGAAATCCATCCTCTGAAGCCAGCAGCACAACGCCACCTAATGTTAGGGCTACAGCTATTAACTATAAACCAAATAGTGAATTTGAAAAATAATTATTTTATGAAAATATTATATCAGTGTTTTATCGGGGCTGGAGCCAGAATCTAAAAATAGGTGTTGAGGCAGATTTAAAAAGTTGGGGCAAAAGTTAAAGCGATATAATACCAGCATCATTCGACTTCATGTATGGATTTCTAGTCTATTCAGAAAGGTGAAATGTTGGTAATAAATATATAGTTATATATATAATACTTGTATATAGAAATAATGAATATAAATGATTCAAGTATGTAAGCTTGTAACTGAATTCCTCTCTATAATGGACAACAAACATGAGATTTTATTAATTAAATTAATTTACTAAGTTTGTAATTCACCAAAACTTACACACAAATTTAACTGTATTTTTTATTTCATTGTAAAAACAATTCTATATTATTAAAATGCTAATTAATATTTTTAAGCTTTTAATAACAATACTATAACATACCCTTAGTGAATATAACTCTTCTTTCAGTATTATAATTGAGAATAAATAAACAAAGACTGTACATGATGAGAAAAGGGCTGTTACATCTGATGCTGCAATGGTACCAAGGGCTCGTACATACATGTAGTTTGTTACAGCCCATAAAATGAGAAATGGTACACCCCTGGTAAAAACAGATACCATGCAGACCCCATGTTTTCCAAATATTTCTTGACTATGTCTGCAAGTAAAATATAAATTATTAGCCATGCTCACCAATGATACAAAATATAAAGAATAAGGTAAAATAAAACCAATGAAATCAAAATGTATATCTGTGAAACCCTTTTATATAAAAAAGTTGTTTTGATTTTTTGGTTTGAAAAATTAATAAACTATTTGTCTGAAAATTGTTAATTATTTTATATTAATAAGCAATTGCAATAACTTCTGTTTAAAAAGTCAATCTTTGATTTTGTTGAAAATCAATATGACTATAGACTAATAACATTTGGATTACAAAACAATAACACTTTTGTATGGAGCCACTAAATGCATTATTTTCAAGAAATTGAAAGATTGAAAAAACTTACTTAAAAATATTGTAGAAAGATTTCCCTTTGGCGAATCTCAATATTAATGCAAATATTGGATAACATAGTATCATCCATACTGTGGAAAACCAAATGTTGAAGAAGGGTGCGTTAAATGCATTTGAGTATGTGCTCTGTGAGAACTGGGTTGATCCAACCCAGCTGACAGCCATTGCAATGTTGATAACTGTTCCATAGATTAACTTTGTGCAGTGTTCATAAGTGATTGACAACATTTTGACACTTTGAAATAGACCAGCACTGACAGAGTATGAATATTCCATTCACTTTACTAGTATAGGTTACCTCTTCCTCTGTTCACATATATTGTAGCTCCATTTTCATCTCTTGAACTTTTAGACTGTATGGCCTTGTTCACATTTACATTCTGTAATTCATAATGCATATACAGTACAGACCTGCCAACCTAAAATGAAAAATTTGCGGGAGATATTAAAAAATTGTGGTACTTTTACAGGAGGTTTTTCCATGGGCTTTCAATTAGAAGGGTATGCAACTCTGTATGCCCAGTTTAATAAACATGAGACTTTCAAAATGAGCAATGCCATCTTCCCTTTTTATGGTAATATTTCTAAAAGTATTAGATAAATGTGTATATATTTTAGTATTATTTTGAATTAAAATCAATTTTCAATATGATAAAGCATAAAATATGTTTAATCTCATGTAAAAGTAAACAAAAAAGACCAATAAAAATAAGAGGTATCAAGATGTTCTCTTCGAGTATTGCATTGTGGGTAATTATTCAAGAACACATTCCAATAAAAACATTATTTGTGGGAGAATGTTCACTTTCTTTATTGCCATAATTATGATGAATTCCATTTTTTAATAAATTTGCAACATGTAGATAATCATGTTTTTATTTTCAAGTTATTTCTTAAATCATCCCTTAAATGTACGAAATATGATTTTTTGGGAGTGTGTACATTCTCCAATTTTGAAAACCCAAAGGCAAGGTTATGTATGGAATACTGTAAAACGGGTATTGTTAGCGAGGGGTAATTGTTACCGATTGTTAGCGATCGCTATAGTTTCGCTAAAAATTCAATTCGCTAAAATAAACCAGGGTTTAAATAAACCGGACGCTAAAATTTGCAAATTCCCGGGAAACTACATGAATACTAGTATTTAAGGAGCTTTTCGTTCAGTACTCGACTTCCAGTTTGTAATTTGAAAAAGGTTAATATTTTTAAATCGTATGTTTCTTTCAATATCTGAAGGATAAATAGCCATCCATCATGAGATTACAGTAGTTTGGACCAATACCATGTGCGTTAGAAGTCTTACATTTTGATAATTCCTCTGTCATGTCCGTTATTCATTTTTCTGCCATAAATGATAAAATTTCTAATGCATTTCGCTAATTTGATTTTTTAAAGATTAATCTTCATTTCGCTAAAATTTCCCGCGCTAAAACCCCCTAATATTGAAAAATCGCTAAAATTTCCCGGTGTCAAAAATACCCGTTTCACAGTATGGGAAGTTGCCTACTCTTCTAGTTGAAAGCCCATGGTTTTTCCAAAATCTGGTAGTTTTTATAAAAGGCGGGAATTTTAACAGCAGATTTTTGAAAAAACTGTAGGTAGATTTTGAAAAAATTGAGTTTTTATGGTAGATTCCTGAAAAAATGGGAATTTTTACAGTAGATTTTTGAAAAAACTAGTTTTAATGTAGAATTTTTGAAAAAATGGGAGTTTTTCGGGTATTTTCAAAAAAACAGGGGTTTAAGAAAAATGATAGTTTATACAGTAAATAGATTTATACATTTTCCTGGCCGTAAAACTGAGAGTAAAAGAAAGAAGTGTGACTCCAATTATCAAGGTCATAAATTTGTCAAATTCATTTTGAATATAAGGTAGATTTCGACAGAAAAACCGTGATATTACGGGTGTTTTACCAAGAATACAGGAGAATATAGGAGATTTTACTGCCATTATCACAGGAAAATCGATTTTATTAGAAATAAAAGATGGGAGATTTTAGCAGTACGGGAGTTTTTACGGGAGAAAACGGTAGCCCTACAGGAGTTATTTTCTACGGAAAAAAAAATTCCTGTAAATAATCGGGAGGTTGGCAGGTCTGATATATGTGGACATTGGACCAGGATGAGAGTTCAAGACTCCCCACAACCACACAGTAGAAACCCACACTATAATGTGTATCTTTCATGTACTTTCATGTTTTGACCCCTGAAAACGTATTTTTATAATCTGGACACACAGATGGCAGAATTTTTCTTAGGAAGCAGAATTTTTCTTAGGGAAGAAAAATTCTGCCATCTGTGTATTCTATGCAATTGCATATTTTTATTTCATTTACTGTTTACAATAATCTAACAATAATTGTTGCAAAATCCTCAGAAATCATTTTGATTATAGGTCCAAAGCCTTCTCTATATATTGTAAGCTAGAGACTCAAGTATATGTTGGTGCTACACTATACCTGTAAACAGAAAGTGAAATAATCACCTTTGTATTGCCAAAGGGTATTTCCAAGAGGGGGATTAACCCCAGAGTTCAAAGATGACATATGCTTATAATGTAAACCTGTATTGAGATGACCCACGTCTCTGATTGGTCAAAATCGGCAAACAAAAATGGCAGATTCAAAATTTTCTAATAACGCTTAGAGGAGGATTAACCCAGAGTTTAAAGATGACATGCGCTTATAATGTAAATCTGTATTGAGGTGACATCGACTCTGATTGGTCCAAATCGATAAACAAACACGGTGGATTCAAAATTTTCTAATAAGGCTTTAAATAATATAATGTTAATTATTATCGTGCTAACCAATAATATAGCTTGTTATTTCACATCAAGATAAAGAAAAATGTAACAAATATGCTTAAATCGAATAAAACCAACACAACAACGCGTTATATTTGAAAACTAACTGGTGAGAATTTGCGCAAACGAATGTGGTACGCAAGAGACGTAATATGTCTGTCATTGCTAATGCTCTTGGGCTTTCCCCCCTCTTATAATGCTTCGAATAATATTATGTAAATTTCTGGCGTGTTAACCAATATCATAGCTTGTTATTTCACATCAAGATAAAGAATGGTGTAAGGAATATGCTTAAATCTATTAAAACATCACAACGACGCGTTATATTCGAAAACTAACTGGTGAGAATTTGCGCAAACGAAGGTGGTACGCAAGAGACGTAATATGTCAGATATGGATAAAGCTCTGGGGCTTTCCCTCCTCTTGGTATTTCCCATCTAATCTTGACGTCATTTCCGCAGAATGTTCCAGAAATTTACCGCTCTACGCAAAAGAAAATAGGTCCTAACTCATATTCTCTAGCAGGTATATTTATTTCATATAATGAATAAACAAACTTAGTAAATATGTTGTTTTTATCAGAAAAATAATAGCAAGTAACTACTGCTGCATATTCTTTATTGATGAATGAAGAACTATTTCAATGCAGGAAGTGCGCACTAATCCTGTCCTTTCTCGCGTGGTCCAGAATATTCCCCATTTAATCTTTTAAGTGCTGGAACAAAGCCGCGAGGTTTCTAGCTTCACGCAAAAACATCAAAGAAACATCAGTCACTCGGTTACACATTACCCAAGGAAATCATAAAACATAAAATGTAAGTATATTTTTCATCGCTGCTTGAAAAAACGGCATCTACATTTTCAGCCGGGTCAAAAACGAAATTAAATCTCGGCCTAAAGGCTAAACGAAAATAGCCTAGACTCTAAGCTTAGATTTCACTTAGCTAAACACGTGCTTTTAACTTACTATACATATACCCGTCTCCACCATTTCATTCAAGGCATTCATACTTCGAAGATTTAGATGAATATGATTCTAGACCATGAACTATAACTTTTCCACACAATCGTGACACTGGTTTATATTTAATAATGTTCAAAATTCAGAGCTACAAAATGGGTTTGTGCTATATATGATCAGTGTTATGAGACCTTTATAATTTATTTAGATGCCTGAGCCAGGAGCGCAACCGCAAGAAGATAGCGAGGCTGAGACCTTCGCCTTTCAGGCTGAGATTGCTCAGTTGATGAGCTTGATTATCAACACATTTTACTCAAACAAAGAGATCTTTCTCAGAGAAATAATCTCAAATGCCTCTGATGCCCTTGATAAAATCCGTTATGAGAGTCTCACAAACCCCTCACAATTGGATACTGGCAAAGACCTGGAGATCAAGCTTATCCCTGATGCTAATGGCAAAACATTGACCATTTGTGATACTGGAATTGGCATGACTAAAGCTGATTTGGTGAACAATCTAGGAACAATTGCAAAATCTGGAACCAAAGCCTTCATGGAGGCACTTCAGGTAATTTTCTTATATTTCCAGAATATTCTGTGGAGTTAAGCTGCCATGATACTTAACAGGAAATGACAAAACAGGAAGTGACAAAAATATTTGCATTTTTTGAACAAAGATAACAGAGTTCTGTTTCTGAACTCTGTTATCTTTGTTCAAAAATGTCTAAAAATGCCACATTTTTGTCACTTCCTGTTTTGTCATGTCCTGTTAAGTACCACTGCACCTTAAATTGTGGGAAACCTTTTGAGGGCCATGAAGTGCTAACCGATGAATCAGTTATATTAAAATGATATATTAGAATATTTTTCAATTTGTAAGATATTTTGACTAGAGTCCATTTCAGTGCTTCAGTTCGTCAGTAGAACGGCAAAAATAAGAAATTGGGAGACCATTGTGCAATAATATATGGAAAAGTATATTCATAATGTACATGAATGACATTTGTATATCTTGGATTGCTTCTAGTTTGGCTTATAAAGTGTATGGCCTCTTATATTTGGATGTTTCTCTGCCATGTTATTTTCAATAAGATTAACATGGCTGAAATTCTTCAAATTACAAGACGACACAGACTTATTGCACAAAAGACTAAAAAATCTGAAATATACAAATGTCATTCAAGTACATTATGAATATACTTTTCCATATATTATTGCACAATGGTCTCCCAATTTCTTATTTTTGCCGTTCTACTGACGAACTGAAGCAGTGAAATGGACTCTAGGGCACGCCTAACCATCGACAACGTACAGTGACAAGATATACCATTGTACACTTTAGGGTGTCATTATTAACTGATTAGAACCGAAAACTATGTTGTAGGTTTGATTGTGGTTTTGAAAAATTAATTTGAGGAGTACATAAAGGATTTCATGTTTGATTTTGTGTGTATTCGATTCGGAAGACATTTACCTTTCTTATTATGTTAAAAGATTTTCGAGCAGTGCTCGATTTTTTCGTTGTTAATCTACCCATGTAATTCGTCGATTGGAAAATGTGTTTTTTACACATTTCCTTTGATCATTATCTCCCTTGTCGTCTAAGGGGCGGGGTCAAAATATCGATGTTCATATGGAGACGAAAGTACTTTCGCGAGGGGGGAGGGGGTTTTTGGGCACTTTCGTTGACCAAAAAACATCGATAATTCGGATCTGATATACAAAAAATAATTGGACTTACCCACTTTTTCTGGCGCTATGTTCTGATAAAAAGGCTTGTTTTCAATAGTTCGTGAGCTTTTTTGTGTGATAGGTCCAAAATATCGGTAGATAAAGACGATAATTTGATCATTTTTCAAATAAATTCCGTACTTTTCCCTCCTCCTTTTGAAGAGTTCAATGCAGTTAAATTGCGAACGTGTGTTAATTCACCGTAATAATAACCCGGCAAATAGGATACGATTATGCCTCTCAAAATCAATGTTTTTTTGAAGTGACCTAAGCTTTCCTCTAGAGGGGGGGGGGGTGGGGGGGTTGTTGTCCAAACGAAATTACTTTCGTCTCCATATGAACATTGATATTTTGACCCCGCCCCTAAGAGTGCTGAATATTTTTATGAGAATATTTTTCTCTAAACTACACAATCTAAGACTGTTGAAGGTTTTATAAATATTCATGTATTTGGTATAATTTAAAAAATCAAAAATGAACGTTGTCATTTCCAATGTACGTTGTCCCTGTAATTGAAATGTAAACGATGCAATGCAGTGATTGCGCTAGGCCTAATAAATTTTGAGTACTTCATACCCAGGTCACTTCAAAAAATGGGGTACAAATAATTATTTTGGGGTACTTTTTGAAAATCGCTGCAGCGAGCTTTTGTGGTAAAAACATTTTTTATGTCCCCTCATGTACTCATGCATTGCAAGTCATTCCTGTTTACCTTCTTCTGAGGCCTCCACTAAGTCCCTGTAACTTACCTTCCATGGCTAAGGTACCATCCATGGAATCTCCCTCTCCCAAACACCCCACCCCATGATTCATCTTGCAACTTTAGATTACCTCTCGAGACTAAACTGTAGCTCAAATTCTAATATCATGAAAAAACATAAAAGTCAAGGAGTCATGAACATCTGTTGCCTTCTTGATGTGCCACGCCCACCCTGAAGTGTAGTGATGTGGAACGGCACTTAAGTATAATTATCAATTTTTGACGCGAGTTTTACATAAATAACCTACCTCAATAAGTTCCTGAGTATTTTACGAACGAAGAAATTATCGTTTTTTTTATCGAAAATTTGTCGCGGCTTATGACATCCGGGTATGGTGCTTGCACCAGATTGCTGCAGTCGGTAGGCTCAAATAGCCGTGGTTATTTGAATGCAGTCCCGCCGATTCAAGTGGCCATCCAAAGTATTTAAGAAGAATCTAACATGGTGATCATCTATATAAGGGTTAATTATCTCCATTTACCGTGAACAAGTTGATTCCTCACGGCTGTACAGTGCAGATTATAAAATAATAATCATTTCACGCCAACGGTCCTGCGGAAAACATTCTGCAGCTGCATACGTTTGCTACAAGAATTTTGATTAGCTTAATAACCGGAAGACAAATATTATGCACGAATCAGATTGATCGTTATGTTATGCTGTTAGAGAGCGTGCTTAAGTTTTTTATTTTTGTTTTTTGGTTGTTTTTTGTATTATTTCATCGGTCCATTTGGGCAAAAAACAGCGTTAACGCGAACATAGCAATGATTTAATTTCAAAACGCATTAAGGGTTTTATGAGTAACAAATGATGTTCAACGAACATGTTCATGTATCCCTGGTACAGATAAACAGGTGAAAGTGATTTTTACCTCTTGTTGAATCCTATTTTATTTTATGAAAGTTTTGATATGGTGATTAATATTTGACCATGGGGTGTTATCTTCCACCCTCTTTGACAATTCGGCGGCGGTACGTTACGTTATGATGATTTCTTACGAGATCCCGTTTATGCTATATCTGGAAAGTGCAGAGGTTCAATCTAGTTCAGTCAAGTTGAATTAGTAATACTGGATTGTTCCGTTTCAATTTTAAATGAATCTGATCCCCCTGCCCCTTAGTGTTATGAAAAATACGTTGTCTACATAAGGGTTAATTGTGAATTCAGATATGTAAGTTCAATGGGACAACGTACATCGAGATGACAACATACACTTACGATTTCTTTATTTTTATTATTTTAGCAAAAACGTGAATATTTATTAAATCTTCAACCGACCTTAATTATGTAACTTTGGGAAACACATTCTCATAAAAATAATCGACACTCTTAGGCGACAGGGGAAAAAATGACCAAAGGAAATATGAAGAAAACAAAAACATTTTCCAACCGATCATTGTTGGTGGGTAGATTTACTAGGAAAAAACTCGAGCACTGCCCGAAAAACTTTTCACAGAATTAGAAAGGTAAATGTCTTCCAAATCGAATACACACGAAATTAAACATAAAATCCCTTAAGTATTCCTCAGATTAATTTTTAAAACCTACACCACACCCACATCATTGTTTTTGCTTCATATCAGTTAGAATAGTGACACCATACATCTAAAGTGTACGACGGTATATTTTGTCACTGTACGTTGTCAATGGTTAGGTGTGTAGGGTCGAAATCTAGATCCAGACTGAATATCCTGAGAATTCAGTCTATTGATCATCATGTCCCTCCTGTGGGAAAAAACAGGACATTTTGTGCAAAAATTATCAATTTTAGGAAGCTTCACTTACCAAAAATAAACATTATAACAATTCAATTAAGTAGTTAGGTATATAATTAAATGCTATAAAAAGTAACACAGCATGTTGTCCAATAGAAATAAAGCTAGGTGAAGTAACAAATATGCAAATTAATTTACTCCACTGGCCATTTTGAATGGCACTTCCTATGTTAGCAACAAATATTTTTCAATCCCATATTTTAACATATAGTTCGAATATTTTCATTCCAAATTTCAAAAAATTTCAGACTACAGTAAAATTTTAAATGTTTGGAACTACTTTGAATCTAAAAAATAAGCAATTAAAGGACCATAATGAAACAGAATATGTAAAAATAGAAACATTTATACATGTCCTAACTTTCGTATATTTTAATTTTAATTAAGCTATCATATCTGTGGGCTCCTATATTTTGATGCTTCTCTGCCATGTTATTTTCGAAAAAATTAACATGACTGAAACTCCCTAAATTACAAAAGGCCCAGGTTTGCTGCACATTATACAGAATTATCTGAAATATACAAAAGTTAGGACTTGGACTTATGGTTTCCATTTTTTCATATACTGTTGCAATATAGTCATTTGATTGCTTATTTTTGAAATTCAAAGTAGTTCCAAACATTTAAAATTTTACTGTAGAGGATACAGTCTAGGTCGAAATCTATGACAATATTATTAAACAATTAGTTAAGGTCTGGGGTAGTTATCAGAAAGGAGTGGTATCGATGGTGAACTTTTTGGACACGCATTTCTCTTAAACCAGTAATCAAAACATTCTGAAAATTTTACACATCGTCAATTTAATGATCATCTTTTGGATGGTAACATTATAATTTGAAATATATATAAATACTTTTTTTCTATATCGTTTTAGAAAACACATCAGACACTCCTTTTGTTATTGGTATCATATGTTCGGAATGAAATGAAACATCTATCTGAACCTCATTGGAACAAAATGACATAAACACAACGTGTTTAGTCTCAATATTGTAATTGTACAAAGGAAAGTTTGGTTGATTTTAAAAAAGTATCTTGTTAATGAAATAAAAGGTTTATCTTAATTTTTAACTATTTTGGAGGGTTTTGTTTTAAGTTTTTGCATACTTTTTCTTAAATCAACCAAAATTTCCTTTGTATAACTATAATATTGAGAGGTCTAAGAAAATGTTGTAATATGCTTTTTTGTTCCAACAAGGTTCGGAAAGTCATTTGATTTCATTCTCAATAATTGGTAGAAAGGAACAAAAAACAATTGCACTAAAAAACAAAAAAATGTTAACAAAAACAGTTATATAAAATATATATGAATAATTTTTGCATTAAATTGTTGCCAATCAGTCAACGATACATAAAGGATCGTGTTTTTTTACAGAATGTTTTCAATAATTGGTTTAAGTGGAAAACATATATATTTCAGTTATATAATAAATATAATATATATATAATTCAGTTCGCCAGAATGTTTTCAATGATTGGTTTAAGAGAAAAACATTGTTGAATTCAGTTCACCATATCGATACCTATCCTTTATACCAAACAGGAAGTGAAAAAACCATGTGGATTTTAGATTTTTTTGAACTAAGATAACAGACATCTGCTTTATCCTTCAATCAGTTTTACTACTACCATACATTATTTAAATGACCAGGATAACAGTGGTCATGGTCAAAATGACCCTTAGTCCCTTACCATGCTGAAATAGCTTTTTAAGCCCTCTGAAAATGTGAAAAAGTTAGCATTTTGGAAAGGTCACAGAACAGAAAATGTGCCCAATATATTGCTTTAAATGAAAGGAGCTTATTTTTTATTTAAATTCCTGTCTGATGTAATCTCTGATGACTAACCTGATACCTTAAATGTACAATATCTTCTGTTGTAGGCCGGCGCTGATATTTCCATGATTGGTCAATTTGGTGTTGGTTTCTACTCTGCATACCTTGTTGCTGATAAAGTGGTTGTCACATCAAAGAATAACGACGATGAACAGTATATTTGGGAATCCTCTGCTGGTGGCTCTTTCACCATCAAGCGCGATGATGGACCTGATATAGGCAGAGGCACCAGAATCACTCTTTACATCAAGGTATTTGCATATTTTTTTTCATTTCAAGGTAACAGACAGCGAAATTTGACCACATGGTCAAAAAGTTATAAAACTCATTTTATTTCTCTTCACAGCTGTTTCCTGCTGTTGGGGTATGGCATTTTAACTCAATTCAAATTAAGATAACCTCATTGGAAACTATAGTATTAGAGGTGTCTTGGAACATAAAATTGAAATGATTCGGTTGGAACATTTTGTTTTTGAAGGGAACAATTTTGGTGTTTTGATCTGGCAAAATTAAGGCCTGGCATAATTTAGAAGCAGTCTGGTCCTGCTGGACCTTACTCCGATCACAGTATTATTACTTTTTGGGGTTTATAATATAGGTAAAATGTCTGTATGTGGCTTACTTTTTCTCCCCTTTTTAGCATTTTCTCTAGTTTTGCCTTATGTCCATTTGATTTAGTTGCCATGATCTCGGTATGTCCAGGTGAGACTACTCTTAAAACAATAACCCCCAATGCATTAAGCAAAATTGATTGACTATGTGTATCTGGTTCAAACTCTTCAAATAAGGGAGTAAAAATAGAAACAACTTTCCTGCTGACTGGCCCACCTAACATGTTAGACTTTACCAAATTTATGTTTTGATTATTTTAGGAAGACCAACAAGAATACATTGAGGAAAAGAGGATCAAGGAGATTGTGAAGAAACATTCCCAGTTCATAGGCTACCCAATCATGTTGCATTGTGAGAAGGAACGTGACAAGGAAATCAGTGATGATGAAGATGATGAAGAGGAGAAGAAGGAAGAAACTACAGAGGGTGAAGAAAAGAAGGTATAGGTTAACTATTTATTTTGTTCACTAGGCAGGGGTTTCACTGGGAAATTATTATGATGTTATGCTAATCGTACATACAACAGCTTGTTAGTGTAGTGGAGACAAGCAAGTATTTTCAACTTGATTTCAGGAAGGACTGTCACACCACCTCATTAAATGTTGTTATATTTAGACTTGTAATCTCCTTCACATGACTGCATGAAATGAAGCAGATGTGCTCCATATTCGCATATTATATGTTGTTTCTGCATTATTTCCAATGATTGCAGGTTTGTACTGTAATGTTTGTAAGCAATACAAGACCATTCACATGTTTTGACTTTCGATATATATTTCAATAGGAGGATGATGAAAAGCCAAAGATAGAGGATCTTGATGAGGCTGATGAAGAAGATTCCAAGAAGAAGAAAAAGAAAACTATCAAGGAAAAATACACCGAAGATGAAGAACTGAACAAAACAAAGCCAATCTGGACACGTAACTCTGATGATATCTCCCAAGAAGAGTATGGAGAATTCTACAAATCTCTCACCAATGATTGGGAAGATCATTTAGCAGTGAAACACTTCTCAGTTGAGGGACAGCTCGAATTCAGGGCTCTGTTGTTCATCCCCAAGCGTGCTCCATTTGACATGTTTGAGAACAAAAAGAAAAAGAACAACATCAAGCTCTATGTCAGGAGAGTGTTCATCATGGACAACTGTGATGAAATTATTCCAGAGTACCTCAGTAAGTGTATTAAAAGATGACATGTTAAACCAAGAATAGTATTGTTGGATTATACTGTTGCAAAATTGTGGAAACTTATCCCTGTTATACAATGCTCATTAATTCATTATTATTAATTAATCATTGTATTAGTCATAAATATTTTGGTATGAATATTTATATCTGGCAAAAGCATGTAAAATGATGACAGTTTTTTCCCCATCTTATCGATAGATGCAGATACCAATGCTAACATAAGCCAAACTTTGTCTGATACATGCAGGTTTAGTCATAGGGTATTATTAAATCATTTTTTAAATAAAGTGTGTTTATAAATCATTTGCCTGTGTTAGCTGACATTTCTTCTGTTGTTTCCAGACTTCATGCGCGGTGTTGTTGACAGTGAAGATCTTCCATTGAACATATCTCGTGAGATGCTCCAGCAGAGCAAGATCCTCAAGGTCATCAGGAAGAATCTTGTCAAGAAGGCTATGGAACTGTTTGAGGAAATTGAAGAAGACAAAGACTCATACAAAAAGTTCTACGAACAATTCTCCAAGAACCTGAAGGTTTGTATGTTGTACTGAAGCCCGTCTATATTTGCTACATTCAAGGACTACTAGTTGTAATGCTCGTCCTTTATAACCATAAAGTATTATTTTAAATAATTTAAATCATATTGATATGTTATTTTCTACACCGTTGATTGACTTTGACATAAAACTTTTTTGTGGAAGTAATTTTTCAACTACGAGATGGCACTTGTCAAACTGCATCGTAAGTAGGTGAGAATTAAGTTTGAAGCTATATTTCCAGAAAAAAGGTTTGTTTCTGTAGTCAACTACTGAAGACTTGTTTGATATGGAGTTAAGTCAGACATGAACATAACTGATGATGTGCAAGAATATTGAAACTGGAAATGTTTTTACCATATTAATTATCTTTCATTAGTTTTGTGCTGTTTTCTCATGAATCAATATTGTAATTTCAATTTCTAGCTTGGAATCCATGAGGACTCAACCAATCGTAAGAAGATTGCTGGCTTGCTCCGCTACCACAGCTCCCAAACTGGAGATGATATGACCTCTCTGAAGGACTATATCTCAAGAATGAAGGAAGGACAGAAACACATCTATTACATCACAGGTGTGTATATGTAAATTTCTTCTCAATGTTTCAATGAGAACATAATCTGAAAATAATAGGCCTATTATGTTTGTTTCCGGTTCAGAATTTTCCAATAATCTGTAGGAATACACCAGAATAGCCTGACAGCGGTAAAGTCAGATACCGTTGTCACAAATGGCGGACATAACCATCACTTCAATTAGATTTTCATGAACTGTATGTTTAATAGAGCAACTAGATTAAATTCCTTTGGTTCTGCAATCACTCAGTGTTTTTCTACTGATCATATAGTTAATATGTTATTTTACCGATCGGAATATGACACAGGACAATGGATACTGTATAAATGACAACAGTAGGTGTGGGTCAAGTGCGATGTAAAATCGTGGTGACAATGGTAATATTTGACAACGGTATATGTAAAGACAACGGTAACCAATAACCATAGTCCGTTGTCACATCTTACCATATGCTGTTGTCTTTGTAAATTATTTCAAATTCAGATTCCGTTGTCATTGATGATATCGAAGACGCTATATTGTGGCAATTCACGACCCCATTTGATAGAAATTTCATATAATACATCATCACACGAGCTTAACACATGCGCAGAATCGGCGACGATAAAGTCCCATGAAAAGAGGACCAAGTGATTAAGAGTTGGAGTGACGATTATGTCCATCATTTGTGACAACAGTATATGACTTTACCGCTGTCAGGCTATTCCGGTGTGAAAAATAAACACATTTAAAATCATGGAAATTCGGTCTTGAATGATATGTAGAACATACAAGTTACATACAAAATACAAGATTTTGAATTTTGTAAATTGAAAACTATGAGGAGTAATGTAAACAGTTTTTATACATTTAAGATATGTTTGGTTGTAGGTGAAACTAGAGATCAGGTTGAACACTCTGCATTCGTAGAGCGAGTAATCCGCCGTGGCATGGAAGTGCTATACATGGTGGACCCAATTGATGAATATGCTGTGCAGCAGCTTAAGGAGTTTGATGGCAAGACACTCACCTCTGTTACCAAAGAAGGTCTTGAGCTCCCTGAAGATGAAGAGGAGAAGAAGAGATTTGAAGAAGCCAAGGCATCATTTGAGAATCTTTGCAAGGTCATGAAGGATATCCTTGACAAGAAAGTGGAAAAGGTATGTCCCATGTTCAACTTTCAGGTGGTATAAACCTTGGATTCTATATGCTTATTTTTTCTGTAACTTTACATATTAATGGTGTCAATTGGGATAATTTTTCCTAAACTAAATGATAATTTTTGCCCCTTAACACTATTTAAGGCCCTGTGTAAAGTTTGAAAATGATCATTTACAATTTTTCATGTCTTCAAAGTTGATTGATTTTATTCATATTTGGTATGTGAATACTATAAGCATGGCACACCTTCTAATGACATTTTTTGTAGAAGGTGGCCATTTTAACATATTTTACTATAACTTGAAAAGTAGTGAATTGATTTTGTTCATATTTGGTATGTGAATACTAGAAGCATGGCACACTGTCTAATGACACTTTTGGTAGAAGGTTGGCATTTTGAAAAATGGCTGCCATTTTTGCTATATACTTTGTTTGTAAATATGCCAGCCATGGCTGTTCGATGGGATTTGGTACGCTTTGGCTTGCTGTTGTCTAGTTGTGCATATAAACGGCTTATTTCTAAATTTAATGCTTATATTTTTTTAATTGCAGGTTGTTGTATCCAACCGTCTTGTAACATCACCCTGTTGTATTGTCACAAGTCAGTATGGTTGGTCAGCCAACATGGAGCGTATCATGAAGGCCCAGGCCCTCCGAGACACTGCCACCATGGGATATATGGCAGCCAAGAAACACCTGGAGATCAACCCAGATCACTCTATTCTTAAGACTCTGAAAGAGAAAGCAGATGCTGACAAAAATGATAAATCTGTGAAAGATCTCGTCATGCTGTTGTTCGAGACCTCTCTGCTAGCTTCAGGATTCTCACTAGAGGACCCAGCTGTACATGCATCTCGAATCCATCGTATGATCAAACTTGGCCTAGGAATTGATGAGGAGGATATCCCTGCTGAATCAGCTGAAGCTCCAGCTGATGAGATGCCTCCCCTAGAAGGTGATGATGAGGAAGAGTCAAGAATGGAAGAAGTTGATTAAAGGGCCATCTAACCAGCACTTGGCATACACAAACTGTTTAAGTATATGTCGACTTTACCTTTAGAAAAGTATTTCTTCATACTGCAGTTGACACTTTAACTCATTTTTATAGCCGGTTGTATGTTTGTCTTTTTGTACCTGTTGTATTGTTTTGTATATTGCCACAGTGTGAAATATAATTTGTATCATGATACTGTGAGATGTGTGTTAGTAGGTGAAGAGATTAAAATGGACTGTGCAAATCCAATGTGAAAACCTTGTGACCGATGAAGCAAAAACACCTTGCTATCATGATAAAAAAAATACTAGTTACTCCACATGAAGACTTCATGGAGTGTCAATTGCATTTCACCCTTTGCAAGAAATTATATATTTCAAGCCTCTTGGAAGTCTTATAAGTGGGCTATTAGAAACAAAATAAAAAATGAAAAATCGTGTCTGAAAAAGCCATATAAATCGGGCATGAAAAAAAATTGTAAAATCTGACAAACAGCCAGACAAAAGTGAAAAATCCTTTGATGTTTATTGAACTTTAGTACAACCATTGTATTTTATTGTATGATGTATAATGGTAAATACAACCATGTTCAAATAAAGTAATTAAATTAATTAAGTATTCTGTTGTAACAGCTATCTCCTTTGGTCATAATTATATATCCAGAAAACAATTCAAGCGTCCCTGTGTCAACATTTATATGAACCGTACTGAATATAGTCCCTCAGACTAGTCCTGGGAAATATTGTCCGGACTATGTTATCTAGAATAACAAGGCCGATGGACTTTATTTCCTTAGATATTCTAGTCCGTTTGCTAGAACTGGGTGTCCGGGGCGGACTTTAAATACCAAATTATGGTCTCTAACTAGTCACACCGGACCATATCTTCTGGTTATAAATATCCATGGACATTTATATAAATGAAGTCTCTGTACAATTAACAGTTCATGTAATACTGCAAGGGGATTTATTCTTTCACAAACAAAAAACCAGGCGTGTTGATTCCCGTAGTGCTATTTCTATAGTAATGATTCAAGTCGGTAAATCGAGTAACTCAACTAAAACCGTTGTATGTTCGGAATGAAATGAAACATCTATCCGGTCCTCATTGGAAGAAAACGACAAAAAACAACGATTTTAGGTCTCTCAATATTGTAATTGTACAAAGAAAAGTTTGGTTGATTTTAAAAAAGTATCTTGTTAATGAAATAAAAGGTTTATCTTAATTTTTATCTATTTTGGGGGTTTTGTTTTAAGTTTTTGCATACTTTTTGTTAAATCAACCAAAATTTCCTTTGTATAACTATAATATTGAGAGGTCTAAGAAAATGTTGTATATGCTATTTTGTTCCAACAAGGTTCGGAAAGACCTTGAAATGATTTCATTCTCAAGAATTGATAGAAAGGAACAAAAAACAATTGCACTAAAAAACAAAAAATGTTAACAAAAACAGTTATATAAAATATATATAAATGAATAGGCCCAGTACATGCCAAAATATATTAGGACCGTCTTCTAGTATTTTTTATTAACTGATACGCTTCTAAGATATGAGATCTATTAAAAAGGCGTATCGTCACCAACGTCCAAAAGTCGATGCTTTTACTATAAATCAGGCAACAATAACAACCTGTTCCTTATTATCCCAACCAACGAAGTTCTGTAGGGATATAGTGAAGCCCTCCGTCCGTCAGTCAGTCCGTCCGTCTGTCCGGAAGATAACTCGAATACTAGTAGACAGTTTTTCTTCATATTTGGTGGAAAGATGTATATTGGTGAACAGTTTTTCGCAAAAATCTTGTTTTTCATTTAAACCAAAATAATAAATATTATTATTTGAAATTTCGGTAGTATATTAACAACATCTATCTATTCACATATATCCCGGGTTTTTCACCCTGACTCCCAGGGGCCGTAAATGGGGAATTGGGAAAACAGGAATTTGCGTTAATTTTGAAATGTTTTTGAAGTATAGCTTTATTATACTCAAATGAAAGGCAATTTAGAGTAGATTGCAAATATTGTAACGTTTTTCTGACTCGGGCCTCTAAATTTAAAAATGGCCACCTAATGCGGGATTTCGCAATTATTTTCTGATCTCTTAAAAGTATGGCTATATTTTACTCAAATTGAAGGAATTTCAGAGTAGATCACAATTAGGGCATTGTTTTTCTGATTTGCTCTTCTGAAAATTCAAAATGGCTGACTAGAGCAGAAATTCGCCATTACTTAGAGTTATCTTGAAAGTATGGTTACATGATACTACAATGATTTAAAATATTTATTGAAGGTAAGAGTAGATGGTAAATATTACATTGTGACTGTACAGATTGATGATTTAAATAGTGTTCGTTGGGATTTGCTACTCCGTGGAGTTGCCATTTTCTAGTTAATGGTTTATCAGATGACTGTTAGATGTTAATAAGGTACTTTCAAAAATATACTAAACCGTCAGGGATCACCTCATTATACCGACGCACATTCTACCGATGTGCGCTATCATGTATGATGTATGAAGGGTATAGAAAAGTATGATAAATATTATTGAAACACATGCACATTTAATCAGGAAGACCAGGCAAGAAATAGCAGCAGAATAGTAATCTAGTATAAGCTTCATCAAGAAAGGGAAACTCAAAACTGCAAACACCCTAAAATCACAGCCCAAGTCAAACCTTCATGTACAAGTTTTAAGTCTGCAATTTATTTATTATTTAAGTTTAGTTTGGATCAAAATAGATTTAATAATACAGTGTATTTCATATCATAAACAAAGGGTGTACGTAATCATAATAGCTTGCGAAGATATTTCGTGATGTTCAATGCGTAACAGTTGATTCACTTCTGTTAGAAAGGAGACTAAAGAAGACAAGATAAGCTTTCCAATGGTGTTTTACAGTTTTTTATGTTTCTAGGTATTTCAAATCATAAAAATGTACGTAATGTTGTCAGTCCGTGAAAGTATTTCATCATCGATTACACAATGCGTACTTTTAATATCAATTGAATTCACTGTATTGTCTTATGGCCACTGCATTAGGCGTATTCCTATAAACTATTGAGTTGTTGTTTTCCGAATAAATAGACGGACAAACAGACAAACGAACGGGCGGCTTTTCTATCTCTGATGACAGGTTGTTCTAGTCTCAAAATACATGTTCTCTCGTTTACAAGTAAGGAGGATTTTCGTCAATTCTAATTATGAATATCACGTATCACTGTCTAATATTTTACTCCAAATAAACTTTAAATACTTATGTGTTCGATCGCTCATCTATCAATTAAGCTTGCATTGTCTCTTAAAGGGTAAACATAGATAGTTACACCCCCCCCCCCCTATCACACCAAACCCGTTCTTGCCAGTCCTATGAAAACGTCGTAAAACGGGCTCAATCTGGCTGTGGTCGGGAAATATGTCTAAAATAATTAGCTACTTCGTTCATAAACAGTCTTTAATACGTCCATCTCATTCGCAGTTCGTTCGGGTCGCACCATGTCGGTGTGCAACGTTGTATAACGCGTCCCTTAGTTATCCCAACGAACGAAGTTCGGTAGGGATAAAGTGAAGCCCTCCATCCGTCCGTCAGTCAGTCAGTCAGTCCGTCCGTCCGTCCGGAAGATAACTCAAATATTAGTTGACGGATTTTCTTCATATTTGGTGGAAATGTGTATATTGATGAATTTTTTTTCTTTTTTCAAGATGGCCGCCGCTTAAAACATGACGGGACTTTTTCGCAAAAATCATAAATTTTTCATTCTAAACCAAAGTAATTAATATTATTGTTTGAAATTTTGGTAGTATATTCGCAACATCTATCTATTTCACATATATTCCGTGTTTTTCATCCTGACCCAGGAAAACAGAAATTTCACTAATTTTTGGATCTTTCTGAAGTACACTGTATAGCTTTATTATACTCAAATGAAAGGCAATTAAGAGTAGATTGCAAATATTGTATCTTTTTTCTGATTCGAGCCTCGTAAAATTCAAAATGGCCGTCTAATGTACGATTTCGCAATAATTTTTCGATCCCTTCAAAGCATGGCTATATAATACTCAAATTGAAGGAATTTTGGAGTAGATCACAATTATGGTATTATTTTTCAGATTTGAACCTCAGAAAATTCAAAATGGCTGCTTTGCAGGAATTCGCAATTCTAAAATCTAAATTTTTCAATTTTAACCAAAGTAATGAGTGTAATTGATTGGAATTCGGTAATTGATATTTTGTTCGTTGGGATTTGCTACTCCGCGGAGTTGCCGTTATCTTTTAGAAGGTCATCATGACCTGATTACAGAACGGTATGGTCGCCATAGAATTTTGAATCATTTCAAAATTCTAAATATATCACCTTCCCGTCTGAGAACGTTCATGAAGTTCGTAAATAGTCCTTAGAAAGTTGCAGCTACGTTCATTCCGTTCGCACACAGTTTAAAACCAGTTTTGAAGAACGCAGTGGCAACTTGTTTGGTGTGATAGCTATATTTTTGCTAACTCGTTCATAAGCAGTCTTTAATACTTTCTTAATCAGTTTAAACCCGTTTGCAATTAGTTCTACCTCGTTCTCAATACGTCCTCAGACAGTTCAACTCGTTGTAAAAACGTCCCTAGTAGGATTAAAGTACGACGGTTCCGTTCGTAGTACGTCCAGCTCGTCGTTAGTACGTTGTCACTCGTTCTAATTGTAGAACGTGACGACCACGAGAGCGTTTTGAGCATGTTCTAAGTTCTAGAGGACCTACCCGTTCAAGTACGTTCGATGAAGTTTGTAAATAGACCCCAAACGGTTCTAAGTACGTCCAGTCCGTTCGTACACAGTTGAAGCCCATTTTCGAGAACGTAGTGAGAACTAGTTTGGTGTGATAGTAGGGCGGGCTTAAACTGTGCACGGACGGATTTGACGTACTAAGAACCCACTAAGAACCGTTTGGGATCTGTTTACAAACTTCATAAAACTACTAGAACGAGTAGGTCCTCCAGAACTTAGAACATGCTCAAAATATTCTGGTGATTTAGAATTTTGAATCGATTCAAAATTCGATGGCGACCATACCGTTCTGTAATCAGGTCATGGTGACCTTCTAGACTAAGGGACGGTTTATACTACGTTGCACACCGACGTGGTGCGACCTGAACGAACTGCGAATGAGATGGACGTATTGAAGACTGTTTATGAACGAAGTAGCTAATTATTTTAGACATATATCCCGACCGCAGCCAGATTGAGCCCGTTTTACGACATTTTCGTAGGACTGGCAAGAACGGGTAAGAACTAGTTTGGTGTGATAGGGGGGTAACACGCAGGAAAACTGAATGTGCGTCGGCATTATGGCATTCTCGGTATAAGGCCTTTCGGTGCAACTTGATACGCGTCGGTATTAGGGGTTCGGTATAATGCGCGGACCCAAATGAATAGACACAGGCCCAATGCCCCCCCCCCTGGATCAGTTATTTATATTTTGCAAGTGGATCCAAAAGATCAAGTGGGCGAGTCCATTATTTTGCAGGGGTGGCAAGATACACACGTTCCAATTTCCATTAATCGATTGTCTGCCTCTAAATATGTATTTTGACATTTGGTCCAAAGAATAGATATTTGTCCAGTCCAAAGTTTATGAAATATGGCAAATGGATCACTAATTGCTAATATTGCTATATGTTAGATTGGACGGTTATACAGTATATATTTTGCAAGTCGTGGAGCCAAGAGACCAAGTGGGCGAGTCAATTATTTTGCATGGGTGGCATGATACACACATTTCAATTTTGTATATAGTGAATGAAGATTGATTTCAGTACAGTAAAACTGTCATAATGAACACCTCTTTAGTGAAGATCTGTGCCCAGTGAACACATTAGTCTACTATTGAACACCTGTGTGTAAGCGAACATCAATTCCCAGCCATTGTACCTACAGTAAAACCTGTCTAATCCAAGGGACCAGCTAACAGCGTTCGGATTAGGAGGTGTTCACATTTTGAGGTTTTGCATTTGCAAGATTTGGGATTTTGAAGAAATATGAACAAAAGTTCTCAATAAATATTTATAGTTCTTTTGACTACATACGCATTACAGTGACATGAAAATCCGATTCAAATGAATTTAGTCATCCAAGAAAGCCCCACCATGAGTGAGATCATTCAACGTTTTTTCGTTCAGATTAGATAGGTTATGAATTATTTCAGGCAAGATGCGTGACATATAATACAGTATCCGCGTGAAAAGTCCGAACGAAATGCGTTCGTTTTTTTCGTCGTTCTGTTTTGTGGTGTATTGCCGATCATTTTTGAAAATTTTTCTAGGCTACAGGAATATTTTTGCTGGACAATAATCAGGTAAAATGCGTATTTGCGTGACATACTCTCTTACGCAAAAAGAACTGGCGTGACTTCAAATTTTCCAGCAAATGCGTGACAAATACGCAAATTGCGGGACAGTTGGACGGGTACATCGGGTCATAAGGCAGGGTGCATGTTGGGAAATTTTCTGCATTTCCTCAATTGAGTCACGTTATTTTTCAAACAAGAATAACTCCTTCCCCACATTGTCTACATCTTCCAGGTTTTCACAGAGTGCACTTATGTCACGGACGTCAAGTAAGTTTCTGGCGAAAGCCGGAGCATAGATTATTTAGAGGACTGGAAACCAGAATGACCTACCTTTTTATTTCCCGAATCTCGCCTGAAATCTTGGTGACTGTAACCTGTATATCTGTATTAATAGAGTCTTTTTGTATCGCATCTACCTCAATTTTAAAGTTTAATTGGTATCTTTAAGGCGACGCTATATTAAATAAAAAGTACAAAAAATGACTGCCATATTTTTTTGATAAAGACACATGTTTTTAAGGTTCAACTGGAAAGTAACATTTTGGTAAAAAATTGCTATACCTGCACATGTTATTTTCTGGTACATAATTAAGTATGAAGGCATGTGTGTATTTCCTTGCTTTTTTCAGGAAAGTATCATTACACTGTCTACTTTTAGTAAACCTGGAAACAGGTCAATGGTAGCTCCTGTGTTGTCTGGAAACTTTGAAAGAAAATTTGGAAAAACAGGAAGTGTGAAATATCAGAATTCCCTGGAGTTCCCTTTGAACGCCTACCAGATATTCTAAAAGAAGACAATGTAATGATACTTTCCTGAAAAAAGCAAGGAAATTGATACATGCCTTCATACTTTATTTTGTACCAGAAAATAACATGTGCAGGTATAGCAATTTTTTACCAAAATGTTACTTTCCAGCTGTACCTTAAAATCTGTTTACCTTGTATATGAATTGTGTATCTTGACTAATGAAACATGTCAAAGTTAACATCACACATAAACGCATTTTTCCAAACTATGAATTGGAGGTGCATGGATCCCCAAAGCTAGCATGAAGAGTGCGAAGTGAGGCTAATTTTTGAAAGTTTCAAGGAGTAGCCTTGCAACAGTCACACATTTGCAAGAGTCTAAAATTTCCACAAATCATCTTACCTTTCCCAGGAACAACGAAGGAGCATGAAAATGTGCACTTCTTGCATTGTTAGAGTATAATAAAGCTCAAACCATTGTAAATTCCAAATATTTCATGTCCACATTTTGTTTGCCGGAACTACTTCTAGACTTCCTGATTAATCCTCATGCAAGTTTTGTGACTACACCAAGTGGCATGGATTATCACTTGTATGTTTTATCTATTACAGTGTAATTATCATGATAGATACATGATAGAGGCTTTATGAATGATAAACAATGGAAACATGAATGAAGATAACTCTGGACTAAAAAATAGTTCCAGGAAACAAAATGGTGGACATGAAATATTTAGAATTCACAATGGTTTGAGCTTTATTATACTCTAACAATGCAAGAAGTACACATTTTCGTGCTCCTTCGTTGTTCCTTGGTAAGGTAAGACTATATCTGGAAATTTTGAATTCTTGCAAATGTGTGTCTGTTGCAAGGCTACTCCTTGAAACTTTCAAAAAATAGCCTCACTTCGCACTCTTCATGCTAGCTTTTGGGAGCCATACACCTCCAATTCATAGTTATGAAAAATGCGTTTAAATGTGAGGTTTTCTTTTATGTGTCTCTTTAGTCAGGAAATGCATTCACATACAAGGAAAACAGTGTACAAAATCTTCTGACTTTATCAAAAAAATATGGCTCCCATGTTTTTGTACTTTTGATTTACTTAAATGTCACCTTAATATGATTTCACTGTTTTTGTGGACTGGTACGATTAAGCCAAGCAAATGGCAGCTGATTTGTTCAAAGTACTTTTAGTACTAATTATCGCAAATGACAATAATTTAGGAAACAAAATTACACTAAATAGATTACTAAGCATCTAAGGTAAGTAAAACTAGATGAACAACTGAGTCAATAGTGAGAAATAGGCCAAAATGAACTGCCAGAATTGAAATAGACTGCCATCTTGTTTCCAGTCCTCTAAATAATCTATGCTCCAGCTTTCGCCAGAAACGTACTTGACGTCCGTGACATATGTGCCTAGAAAAGCCTTGTGAGAAGATTTGTTCTGTAAAATGTAGATTATAAAAAACGAGAAAATTCAGTAAAACAATTTCTGAATTTTTTCACTGAATTTTCTTGTTTTTTATACACTTTATCAAAACATTCTTCTCAAAAGTCTTTTCTAGGAACATAAGTGCACTCTTTGTGCAAAACTGGAAGATATAGACAATGTGGGGAAGGAGTTCTTGTTTGAAAAATAACATGTGACTGCGGCAATATCCTAGATGCGAGTATAGAGGCTGACGGTAATTCCGGTTATACGGTTTCGGTATGGAATTGAGCATTTACCGGTATTGAAATTATATACCGGTTAACCGACGACAATCCCCAGGGAAATAAAAGACACGTCGTTTTTTAATTATTTCGTTTATTTTCCACTTTCACGATGCGTACATTTACATAGACATTTAGATGTCCATGTTTGGCAGTTCAGGTGTGATTTCAGTGTTTGCTGGCAGTTCAGGTGTGATGTCCATGTTTGCAGTTCCGAAGTAAAAGCCTCATGCTCAGGCTCAGATTTGGTTGTAGTTATGTTTGGCAGTTCCGGTGTAGTTGTAGTGTCAACGTCAGATCCAGAAACTGAATTATGTTTGTAATAGTCATTTACGAACAACAAGGCATTGACAACCTCAGGTTGAAGTCGTGCCCGTTTTTAAGTGATGGTGTTGCCAGCTGCACTGAACTGGCGTTCACTTGACACGGATGACGCAGGAATAGCTTTAGGACATTTGTTTCTCAAAATAACCCCAAAACTTTAAGGCTTTGATTCTTTGGGGATTTACTAAAAAAATCAAATTCTCTTGGGTTGTAAAGACAAGCACTTTTGTCTTGTTTGTGGCAATGTCCATGTTCCAGTGAGTGCACCACCTGGCCAGTTGCTCTAAGTCTTCATTCAGTGTTTTCTCTATGAATATAATATATGATTATAATATATTAATATGGCGCAAATAGCCATATAGCGTTAAAAACGATGAGCATGAAAAAGCTCACCAGATTCATTCTACAAACAACTCGTGGTCCTTTCATCTGGACAATATTGTGCAGTTAATTTTTTTTCAACAGGCCTTAATTAGATGGTTAGGTAAATGTAAACTTATCGCTCACCTCCTTTGACTTCCAAACCTCACATAATTTTGAACATCTTGTAAAACGTTCATAACAGATTGTGGCCGTTAAGCAATTGTATGTCATGAATTCACATAGTCAATTGAGCAAAATATGAAATTTTCATGGAATTCTGATTGTTATTTCAAAGTTTATCCCAATTTTGACGAACTGCGCCAGTGTAGAGTGTTACGTCTCACTACATATTTGACGATATTGGGGTATATTTAACTTAAAGAAATGGAAGATCACATAAAGCTTTTTGATAAGGTGGGAATAAATGCTTAAATATGACATTCCCGCAAATATTGGGGAATATCCCACGAAATCCAGGGAATTTAGGTGAAGTTTTTGGTGAATGTCCTGCGAAATTCCGTGAATTGAGGTGAATGTCTCCTGAATTTTGATTAAGGTGAATGTCCCACGAAATCCCGCAAAGGAGTGGTATCGATATGGAGAACTGAATTCAACAATGTTTTTCTCTTAAACCAATCATTGAAAACATTCTGTAAAAAAACACGGTATTTTATGTAATGTTGACTGATTGACAACAATTTAATGTGAAAATTATTTAGAAATATTTTATATAACTGTTTTTGTTAACATTTTTTGTTTTTTTAGTGCAATTGTTTTTGCTCCTTTCTACCAATTCTTGAGAATGAAATAAAATGTCTTTCCGAACCTTGTTGGAACAAAATAGCATATACAACATGTTTTTAGACCTCTCAATATTATAGTCATACAAAGGAATTTTTGGTTAATTTTAAAAAAGTATTCAAAAAATTAAAACAAATTCCCCCCAAAATAGATAAAAATCAAGATAAACCTTTTATTTCATTAACAAGATACTTTTTTAAAATCAACCAAAATTTCCTTTGTACAATTACAATATTGAGAGACCTAAACATGTTTTGTTTATGTCGTTTTGTTCCAATGAGGTTCGGAAAGATGTTTTATTTCACTCTGGAACCATGATACCAAGAACAAAACAAGCGTTTGATGTGTTTTCTAAAACAATATAGCCTAGATGAAAGTATATAGTACTATATGTTTTTCAAAAGATGACCATTAAATTGACGATGTGTTAGATTTTTAGATTTTTTTATGACTGGTTTAAGAGAAACGTGTGTTCAAAAAATTCCCCATATTGATACCACTCCTTTGTTATAAAAATATGTCCTGTGAGAAAATTTTAGGGGTTGACAGTACTGCTCACAAGTAGCAAAATTCCCTGTATTATTCATGGTTTTTTGTTTGTATAGTAAATGAAAGAAGAAGGAAAATTACATGTTAGCAGGTACTAGTAACTATTTCCAAAAGGGATCGATAATATAAAAATTATTTGGAGCCATTTTGTTACTAAAAGGTTCAAATTCCTTAATTGTGGTCTACACTTTTTAGAGGGGGAACAAAGGAGGCCAAGAGGGGAACTTTCTCTTTGATGACCACCACCTAATAGTCAAGTAACAGGCAGCATAAAATATCTCCATAAACTTTATGTGATTAATACCTAAAACCCACAAATGATTATAACATGAGATTATTTCTGTAATTGCAGATGACGGGGAGAGACGCTGGTTTTTGAGTATGATGTCTTGTTCGCACAGCCAAGTTAGCAACCAGGCAGACTGCCTGTGTAGTATCATAACAAAGGATGCTCACACTGATGATCACTCTGTGAATAGTGACTCAATTAATATTGATGAGATATATCAAGTTCTTGGCAGAGAAGACATGTTGAAGTCCAGTTTGTTGGATGATATTGACTTATATCTTGAATGTGAGGATGACAACCTTTATGTTGTGCCTGACATAGTTGCTACAGTTGAAATTGGTTCAAATGTAGGATCAAGTATAAACACTTCAAACATTCCATTGAATCTAAATCCAGAAAATGTTTCTGTGGGTGGGATGTTTTCCAGTGATATTTGCTCTGATGTCCCTCAAAGTTTACCTGCTGGATTCAATGAACTTTTGACTGAGCCAGTTATGCAAATGGATAAAATATTGACAGATATGACAACAGTGACTGAAATAGGCCAAGCTACTAAATCAACAAATGACTCCTCAGATGTATTAAATCACCCTAGTGCTGAAGACAGGAATCATTTATCCAACTCAAGTATGCCATCTACCATTCCTCCCATGATAAACAAAGTTCAAGTTTCATCTCTTCATAGAAGTATTCATCACAAATCCCATTTAAGAATCAGTTTCCCTGGTCACCTTCATAGTAGTGTGACATCACAATTATTCACATGTGCACTTTGTCCAAAAGAATTTACCAAAAAATACAAAATGTATGATCATAAAGCAAAAATGCACAATGAAAAACATCTATTCAAGTGTAGACTGTGTCCATATAAAGGAACTTTATCTATTCATATGAAGAAACATATACTAAGGAAACATATGGACATTTTGAAACAAAATGAGAGAGTATGTCAAAGTAAAGGGACCTCTTGTAAGAGTAGTTCAAATCTAAGAAAAATTGATGTAGAATCTTTTACATGGAACCAAGAAAATGATGGGTCAAGAAAACAGTGTGCTGTCTCTAATGGACCAAAGAAAAATTTTGTTTGTCAGAAATGCCAGAAAAGATTCAGTTTAAAAAAGCATCTGGAAGGTCATGATAAAACAGTTCATCAAGAAAAGATTTTTAAATGTGAACATGAAAATTGTGAGAAAAAGTATAGTAGATTAAAAGATCTGAAGTTTCATGCAAAGGTTCACACAAATGAATTTCAGTGCACGTTTAAAAAGTGCACAAAAACATTTAGAGATAAATACAATTTACAGCAACATATGCAAGTACATACTGGGAAGAAATCCTTGTCTTGTCACCAATGTAGTTTCATGTGCATACAAAAATCTTCATTGAACTGGCATATGAAAACTAAACACATAGATTCAGTTAGGTCTGTTGAAGAAGGAATAAAATAATAAAATTATATTGTCTGAAATTCTATCTTTATGTAAAACTGATATGGTTTATTGAGCAGTTTAAACCACAGTCGTAAATCGGACAAAAATGAGTGGAGTGTGGAGAATATGATTTCTGCTAGATATAGAATAAATCTTAATTTTTTCATGAGAAAGAGTACCAATAAATCTCTAAATAGGTGCATGGTATGGTAAAATCTGTTAGGTCTTCTATGATATGTTTGAAGTGAATTGTTGAATCACTTCAGGTATGAGATCTATTTATAAAGGCGCAATGTCACCAGTGTGCAAACGTCTTTTTGCTATCATGAGGGAATCACTATGGGAGTCTACATGACCTGTAATAAAAACGTATAGGCGACGGACATTATTATCACAAAATGTATATCGTTTTTTTTTTTTAAATGAGGTACAAAACGTTATAAAACAAAATAATTAAAACGTGGGAGAGTAATTGGAGTGGGGATTAATAAGCTTATTATTATTATTAGAATAAAGTTGAATGAGTTATTCTTGAGCAAGTATTTATTATGATAATGTCACATTTAAGATATATATATTTCTGATTCATTAAGTGGCGCAAATTGTCTAAGTTATTCTGGAACCAACTCTCTTCTGATCTTGTACCTTAGAAATGTATCACTTCAAAAAATTAAAGAACTCAGATTTTACCATACCATGCCCCTATTCATTCAGCGATTAATAGTAAATTTTCTCATGAAAAAATAAATTTTGCAGATTTATTGAATTTTTTAGCAAAAATTGTATACTGCCTGGATACTCCCCTCATGTGTCATTTACACCATGTAAACAAACATTTATGATCCCACCAAAAAATGCTCGAGGGTTATATACTATATAGACTAATACAGCATTTATTTGAAAGTTTTACTTTACAAAACGTCTGATAAAGAATATTTGACTTTTTTACGTCAAAATTGGCAATTTCTCGGAAACCAGGCAAACTCCCCGGATTAAAAAATTCCATGAAACAAAATCATTTTCTTTTTTCAATTTCAATTTATTTATAATTCCTAGGTATTGATATAATTACAAAAGTATGCCTTTGTTAACTTAATAACATTAGCGGCATAGTAACCGCTAAACAAAATCATCATCATTGAAGTGAATTACATGCAATTTTTTCATTAATTTTTGCAGAATAAAGACATCTAAAAATGCTCAGAATGGTGAAAATCTGCATGATTTTGAGAAGATTTCTGGCCAGGGGGGAGAAGTGACCACCACTCCCCTGGGTGTCCCAAAACAAGCGAATTTGACTTAGTGCTTCCTCAGCAGTTGATAGCCTTAACAAGTTGTACAAATCGGCTACATATTATGTGAGAATTGACAAATTCAGAAATACGCCTTTAATAATTGACTTTCAAGCCATATCGAACCTCATAATGCCCCACAAAAACCATTAATTTGAATTTTACCAGATGTTTGAAAAATGAAAATCAAGGATTCTGAATCTCATCCTGCAATGTTTTTTTTCAAGCTTGTTGCATTGAAACAAAACAAACCAGAACAACGGCAACGCCAAAGCGTAGCGAATCCCATCGAACAGAAATGGCTGGCATTTTTACAAACGAAATATATAGCAAATATCATAAAATAACACACATAAGGAAGGCCACCATTTTCAAAATGGTTGCTCACTAGCCAAGTTGTCATCAGAAGTAATATGCTTTTTTTCTAGCATTCACAATAGGGGTCCCGCAATTGCTCGGATTTGCTCGAGCGCTCGAGCAATACGCCACGATACGAGCGTATCGATACTCACCTTGAATATCGGTTAAAAAATTGTATCGTTTTTAACTCCCCAAAACAGCAAAATCATGCTCCAAAGCAGCTTAAATACGATTGTATCTACCCATTGTCCCGTTTCCATTTTGTTATCCGCCTAGCGTAATCCGGCGTAGAATGTATTTCCGGTTTCCGGTAAAAAATGGAGAAAAAGAAAGAAATTTTTCACGTTCAAAGTTTAGCGGTTGACATTTGTCTTGTTAACGTATTTGTTTTTATTAAATAAATTTATTTGTTACGCACTTACATTGCTCGTATCGTTTGTATCGTATCGTGAGGTAAATATCGTTGCTCGTATCGAAATTGAAGATACTGTATCGTGGGACCCCTAATTCACAACCAACTATGAACAAAATCGCTCCACTACTTTTCGAGTTATAGCAAAAATTGTAAAATAACAAGTAAAGGCCGAGTAAAATACGTTTAAATGGCAGCCATTTTTCAAAATGGTCATCTTCTACCAAAAGTGTCATTAGACAGTGTACCATGCTTATAATATTCACATACCAAATATGAACAAAATCGCTCCACCACTTTTCAAGTTATAGTAAAATATGTTAAAATGGCGGCCATTTTTCAAAATGGCCACCTTCTACCAAAAGTGTCATTAGACAGTGTGCCATGCTTATATTATTCACATACCAAATATGAACAAAATCGGAGTCGGGGCAATCTGCGCGAGATTCGGTTTTTACTTGGTTCGGTTTTTCATTAAAGAAAGTACTTCATTCCCATGATTCAAAGTGCTTTTCTGCCATCGGTTCGGTTTAAGTTTGTACAACACACGTTTTCAAATCCGGGGCAGGTTGATGTTATGTCATAACATTTGTTTTGGGTGTATACTTTTTGTTTTGACACTTAACAAACTATTCCCGCACTACACGGTGCATCATGGGTAGGGACTGCTGTGAAATAATGAACGTAAGTGACATCTATCTCAAATTAAATGTTCTTATAAGTTATTGATTGCGCATGCGTTGTAATAATATGAACCAATTAAATTGCTGGATTCAATGCGCATGCGCTAAAAACCGAACCAAAAAATGGAATCTCGCGCAGATTGCCTCTAGTGCAAAATCGCTCCACTACTTTTCCAGTTAAAGTAAAATATGTTAAAATGGCGGCCATTTTTCAAAATGGCCACCTTCTACCAAAAGTGTCATTAGACAGTGAGCCATGCTTATAGTATTCACATACCAAATATGAACAAAATCGCTCCACTACTTCTTGAGTTATAGCAAAAATCGTAAAATAACAAGTAAAGGCCGCCATTTTTCAAGATGGCTGCCATTTGCTTCTTTAATATCTACATTTCTAGCTTTATCAATGTCCTATATAATTTTTTTACATTTAAACATATTGCTATTACAGTTTTACATATTGCACCTAAATTACAGTAAAATCGGCACTTAAATGGCCGCCATTTTTAAATGAGTGGCCATTTTGAAAATCGGCTTTCGAGCAGAACTTCTACCCCCATAGGGTATATGTGTACAAAATATAAACAAAATCGGGCCAACGGTATTTGAGTTATTGCCCGGACGGACGGACGGACAGACAGACGGATGGACGGACGTACGTACGTACAGACGTACGGACGGACGGACGGAGGCGTTCCCTATATCCCTCCGAACTTCGTTCGATGGGATAATAACCAGAACAACGGCAACGCCAAAGCGTAGAGAATCCCATCGAATAGAAGTGGCTGGCATTTTTACAAACGAAATATATTGCAAATATTATAAAACAACACACCAGAAAGGCCACCATTTCCAAAATGGTTGCTCACTAGCCAAGTTGTCATCAGAAGAAATAATATCCTTTTTAGTAGCCACCTATAAAATTTTTGAAAAATCACACACAAGTACTTGTAAAATAAAAAAAAATTGTCAATTTGAAGCAAGATGAAAAAATACCTTTTTGACCTTTTTTGACATTGAGAAGGTCATTGAAGGTCAAATGTCAAATCTAAAGTCAGATTTGAATTTCTGAGAACATGTAGATGATTTTGAAAAAAAAATTAGTCAATTTGAAGCAAGTTGAAAAAAGACCTTTTTGACCTTTTTTGACTTTGAGAAGGTCATTGAAGGTCAAATGTCAAATCTTAAGTCAAATCTAAAGTCAGATTTGAATTTCTGAGAACACGTAGATGATTTTGAAATTTTTTTTTAGTCAATTTGAAGCAAGTTGAAAACAGACCTTTTTGACTTTTTTTGACCTTGAGAAGGTCATTGAAGGTCAAATGTCAAATCTTAAGTCAAATCTTAAGTCAGATTTGAATTTCTGAGAACACGCAGATGATTTTGAAAAAAAAATTCAGTCAATTTGAAGCAAGTTGAAAACAAACCTTTTTGACCTTTTTTGACCTTGAGAAGGTCATTGCAGGTCAAATGTCAAATCTAAAGTCAGATTTGAAGGTCAAATGTGAAATCTTAAGTCAGATTTGAATTTCTGAGAACATGTAGATGATTTTGAAAAAAAATTTAGTCAATGTGAAGCAAGTTGAAAAAAGACCTTTTTGACCTTGAGAAGGTCATTGAAGGTCAAATGTCAAATCTAAAGTTAGATTTGAACTTCTGAGAACATGTAGATGATTTAGAAAAAAATTGAAGTCAGTCTAAACAGTATTTGTTAAGTTATAGGAAGTTGTAAGAAATTGTTACAGACGCCAACCTCCAACCGCCGGACGCCAACCTCCAACCGCCGTCGCAAAAAAACGGAGACCATAACAATATGTCACCACTTTTGGTGGTGACATAAAAATACCTTAAAATGGCGGCCATTTTTCAAAATGGCCACCTTCTACCAAAAGTGTCATTGGACAGTGTGCCATGCTTGTAGTATTCACATACCAAATATGAACAAAATCGCTTCACTACTTTTCGAGTTATAGTAAAATACGTTAAAATGGCGGCCATTTATCAAAAAAAAATTCAAAATGGCCGCCTTCTACCAAAAGTGTCATGGGACAGTGTGCCATGCTTATAGTATTCACATACCAAATATGAACAAAATTGCTCCACTACTTTTCGAGTTATAGTAAAATACGTTAAAATGGCGGCCATTTTTAAAATGGCCGCCTTCTACCAAAAATGTCTTTAGACAGTGTCCAATGCTTATAGTATTCACACACCAAATATGAACAAAATTGCTCCACTACTTTTCGAGTTACAGCAAAAATCGTAAAATAACGAGTAAAGGCCGCCATTTTTCAAGATGGCTGCCATGTGCTTCTTTAATATCTACATTTGTAGCTTTATTAATGTCCTTTATAATTTTTTTACATTTAAAACATATTGCTATTACAGTTTTACATATTGCACCTAAATTACTGTAAAATCGGCACTAAAATGGCCGCCATTTTGAAATAAGCGGCCATTTTGAAAATCGGCTTTCGAGCATAACTTATAGCACCATAGGGTATATGTGTACAAAATATGAACAAAATTGGGTCAACGGTATTTGAGTTATTGCCCGGACGGACGGACAGACAGACGGACGGACGGACGGAGGCGTTCCCTATATCCCTCCGAACTTCGTTCAATGGGATAATTATACAAATGGTACAAAAAGAACAAATTAACAATCATTGAAAAAACATTTTGCACATTTTACACATAGCTGGTACCTAATTGATCAAAGTTATGGTATAAAGAAACTGAATAACAAAGAGATGATAAAATGGTTCAAATACATTTTCTGCTTTTCAAAAAATGTATCATCTGGTCATTTCTAAGGTATTGATTTCCTATAGAGGACAGGCTGACAGGGAGGCAATGTCAAATGACTGCAAACACCGAGTGTCCGTAAATTTCCCTCATGGACGACATTGCGTCCCTGTACTCTAATAGAGCATATTGCATATTAATTACTTGTAGTATATAACGTGAGCACAATTATTCAATTTGACTTTAATATTTATTATCCCATCGAACGAAGTTCGGAGGGATATAGGGAACGCCTCCGTCCGTCCGTACGTATGTACGTCCGTCCGTACGTACGTACGTCCGTCCGGGCAATAACTCGAATACCGTTGGTCCGATTTTGTTCATATTTTGTACACATATACCCTATGGGAGTAGAAGTTCTGCTCGAAAGCCGATTTTCAAAATGGCCGCTCATTTCAAAATGGCGGCCATTTTAGTGCCGAATTTACAGTAATTTAGGTGCAATATGTAAAACTGTAATAGCAATATGTTTTAGATGTAAAAAAATTATATAGGACATTGATAAAGCTAGAAATGTAGATATTAAAGAAGCACATGGCAGCCATCTTGAAAAATGGCGGTCTTTACTCGATATTTTACGATTTTTGCTGCAACTCGAAAAGTAGTGGAGCTATTTTGTTCATATTTGGTATGTGAATACTATAAACATTGCACACTGTCTAAAGACACTTTTAGTAGAAGGCGACCATTTTGAAAAATGGCCGCCATTTGAAAAATGGCCGCCGTTTTAACGTATTTTATTATAACTCGAAAAGTAGTGGAGCGATTTTGTTCATATTTGGTATGTGAATACTATAAGCATGACACACTGTCCTATGACACTTTTGGTAGAAGGCGGCCATTTTGAAAAAAAATTTGAAAAATGGCCGCCATTTTAACGTATTTTACTATAACTCAAAAAGTAGTGAAGCGATTTTGTTCATCTTTGGTATGTGAATACTGTAAGCATGGCACACTGTCTAATGACACTTTTGGTAGAAGGTGGTCATTTTTCAAAATGGCCGCCATTTTAACGTATTTTACTATAACTCGAAAAGTAGTGGACCGATTTTGTTTATATTTGGTATGTGAATACTATAAGTACGGCACACTGCCTAATTGGTAGAAGGTGGCCATTTTGAAAAATGGCCGCCATTTTAACGTATTTTTCTATAACTTGAAAAGTAGTGGAGCGATTTTGTTCATATTTGGTATGTGAATACTATAAGCATGGCACATGGTCTAATGACACTTTTGGTAGAAGGCGGCCATTTTGAAAAATGGCTGCCATTTTTGCTATATCCTTTGTTTGTAAAAATGCCATCCATGGCTGTTCGATGGGATTCGCTACGCTTTGGCGTTGCCATTGTTCTGGTTTTATTTTAAAAATAAGACATTTAATTAAGCATATTGTGTCATTTAAACATTCTTGCACAATTCATTTAAAATTAGATTCTAACCAAAGAATTCAATTACTACTGTCTAGTACAGACTGCTTAGTCTTGTTTGCAATCCACTAAAGTTCCCAACATGTAAAGTTTATATTTTTCCCTTTATATTGTCTTTTAGGCTGATATCTTGCTTGTAGACAAACTCCTGTTTATAAACAGGCCCCTTGCTGCAGCTTCTAGAGCAAGTGTACACAACAAGGGTACCCCAGTCTAAAGAGTCCTGTAGACTGTCCACGTCCAGGTGTGTCAACATCTGAGGCAAAATCTGAAATAATTGATAAAAACCATAATTCACCAAATGTGTTAGCATGAGTATGTGTTTAACCAATAATAATCGAATTAATATATAACAAAACAAGAATATACAAGAACACAAATGTGTTCAATATGTCCCCACCAATGGGTGATCCCGTCAAATGGTTATCCTGAAAATGAATAGACAAGACTTTACCGACACAATTTTGGGATGGAAAATTCAAAATGGCCACCTTAAAATTTACCAAGAATGCCAAAAAATTAGTCAGCTCTAGATTTTCATACTAACGGAACATTTGAAATTGATCCATCAAACAGTAAACCAGAAAACGTGTAAACAAGACTTTACAGACAAGATTTTAGGACAGAAAAATCCAAAATGGCTGCCTTGACATTTGCCCAGAATGCCAAAAAACTAATCACTTCTAGATCTTCATACTAAGAATCATCCCTGACAATTTGAAATTGATCTACCAAACGATTTACCTGAAAATGCGTATACAAAACTTTTCAGACAAGATTTTAAGATGGAAAATCCAAAATGGGCGCCTTGACATTTACCCAGAATGCCAAGAAACTAGTCAGATCTAGACTTTCATACTAAGAATCATCCCTGAAAATTTGAGATTGATCTACCAAACGCTTCACCTGAAAACCGAAGACAAGACTTTACAGGCAAGATTTTAAGACGGAAAATCCAAAATGGCTGCCTTGACATGTACCCAGAATGGCAAAAAACTAATCAGATCTAGATTTTCAAACTAAGAATCGTCCCTGAAAATTCGAAATTGATCTACCGAACGGTTCACCGGAAATCGCATAGACAAGACTTAACAGACAAGATTTTAGGACGGAAAATCCAAAATGGCTGTCTTAACATTTACCCGGTATGTCAAAAAACTAATCAGATCTAGATTTTCATACTAAGAATCATCCCTGAAAATTTGAAATTGATCTACCAAACGGTTCACATAGGCTTTTACAACAAAGTACACCTGAAATTATTTATAAAGCTACTAAATAGTTAAAGTATGAAAACTCAAAAACACCATTCAATATGATACAAAGTATTATCGGGCGCTAACTTTTCTTAAGACATTCAAAATGGCTGCCATGACTGAGCTAACAGGTCCAAAACCTAATCAGATGTAGAATGAGCTGAACAAGATGTTAATGTTTTAAAAGCAACCATGAAGCCATTTTTCTGAAAGTTTGCAGAGGCCATCATCTCCAATTATCACCTAACTTACTATTGATAATTAGTTGAAAGTTAGGTGTAAAAATTCACATGCAAATGAGCTAATAATTAATGCTTAATTTGCAACTTAATTAACGATTAACTACCATCAATATGCAAATGAGCTTTATAGTGGTCGATTGTCACTGATTTACGTAAATTAGTTGAAAGTTAGTCGTAAGTTTGATGTAAGTTAATCTCTAATTATCACCTAACTTACAATTGATAATTAGTTGAAAGTTAGGTTTAAGGATGTTCCCTGGACGAAGTTGAAAACGATGAACACCAACCCCTAATTTTTCTTTTCAAAATGTGAAGTACATAGCATAACTAAGTGTTTCTGTGAGTTTAAGAAAAAGTTAAATATTCAAAAGTGTGTTTTGGGGTGAAAACCTGATTTTTAACATGGGTTTCAATGAGAAAGTGCCACGCCCACTTTTGTCAAATATTGACACTTTAGAGGCCTCTTGCTCAGAAAAAAGCACACTAACATATGGTTTTTAAAGTTTTAATATTCTTTGTTGCCCGTGAGAATCCCAGAAAACCATTTTTGAGAAAAAGTTAAATACTATTGAATATTTTCCTATCTGACCAGGGAACATCCTTAAGTCAGATTTGTGACTTCTCAAAAATGACTCGCTTCTTTTTTGCTTCCCTTCACCCGGAGATTTTTGCTTCATCTTGAACTATTTTGTGACGGAATATTTATCTTAATTAGCATCTTTCAGAACAGACACCATTGAACTTGAACTATTGAAATTTCACAGCAAGAGGAGGGAAAACCCCATGATTCAATTGATGACATACGATTTCCTCCTTCGCTCACCTCCTTTTGGCGAAAACGTACCCTCCATCGATCAACTCGCTAAACCAATCAGCGCCTATGTCATCTCAATACAGATTTACATTATATGCGTATGTCATCTTTGAACCCTGGGGTTTCTCCCCCTCTTTTTCAAAGCTATTCTTTTTTGCAAATTTTTAAGATTCATGAAAAGCGTGTGAAAACACCATTATTGCCATCAACAACTAAAATCAGAACACAAACATTAGACTATAATGTTACATAATAAGGCCGTAACAGATATAATCAAAAATATGTTTTGAAATGTCTTTGATCTGACAATCATTATTTAGAAGAGCACATTTGGATTACTTGTGACATATAGGTAACCCGGATCCCGTTAATTGACAATGTGTAACATTTTCAGACTTTTTCGATGACTGGTTTGAAAAAAGACCTTTTTGATATTTTTACTTTTGACTTTAATTTTACTGTACCACTTACTGTAGATTGGGTTAATTTGGCGCCTGCTTTAATTTGGCGAAATTGTAAAATTCGCCAATATAAATCTTCGCCAAAATTTACAATGAATCCCCGGGAATTATCTAGGGTATTTCGGCCAGTGTATTTAGGTCACTACCGGTTTAGTTTTTTCCAAAAATATGACAAAATGTCTCTCATAAATTGGCTCAGAACTGGTCAGTCACTCATTAATACTCAGGGAAAAACTAGAAAGGAAAAGCGCAGTATAGTAGCAGCATCGATCAAGGTGCAAAGTGTAAAGGATGATCTCACAAAAAATGTACAAACGTGGTTAATATCGCCAGTGGTCCTCAAAAGTAAAAATGAACATAGCCAAACATGCCCATTTACATGGTAATTCGCAAACAGCGCGTAAGTTTAACATTTTTTTTGCATATCCGCCAAATTAAATAGCCGCCAATATGCCAAAAATGGCCAAATCGCCAAATTAAGTAGCGCCAAATTAACCCAATCTACAGTATTTGAAAGTTCTACTTTAACAAAGTGTCTGGTATTTAAAGAAAATTTGACTTTTTGATGTCAAATCGGCAATTTCTCGGCAACTGGGCGAACTTGGAAAATGGCAATGACAGGTCAAAAGGGCATTATAGATATGCATAAAATAAATGTGGATTTGACTCAATACGAATAGCAGTTTTAATTTGTGTACCCCATGTTGACGGACAGACACGGACAGACACCTAATCCATCCCATAGGCTCACTGTGTGCAGCCAAAAAGCAACTGTAATCCTAAAATAAAACCACCCCATTTATTTAATATTAGAACCTTATGTATGATAAATGAATATAAGTAGCCTATAATCACCTGAAATTCAAACTGCCTAGGTCCATTACAGTACTGACACTGTGGTACACTTTTCTTTCCAAGTTTATCTTGGGAGGATATCCAGAGTGGGGTGCCTCCTTTATTGTACCTCAGCACCTTTAAATATATGTTTTTTCCTCATTCATTTCAGAAAATGATATCAAAGACACTTGTGTTGGCCTATATATTAAGGATAATTAAAGCAACTCTAAATTTCAGCCAAATATGGCAAAATAGGCTAGATACAGGGCTAAATACGTAACTCAAACAAATGTTAATAACTCCGTCATCCAGCATGAATTCAAAATCATATTTGGCACAACTGAACCCTGTTCAATATTTAATATAAATTTATAGCTTACTGACTTTAATTTTAAATTATTTCATAAAGTTCTTCCATCTTCCATAGATATTTTTAAGTGGAAAAAAGCAGAGTCAAAAATTTGCAATGCTTGTATGGCTGAAAATAATTGTACATAATTTGAGATGATCAGGCAGCCAAACTTTATTTAACTTAACTAAATTATTCTAAAACCAGGCCAAACTTCTTGAGAAAAAAACTTTTGGAAAGTTTTACCTGTTCTGGCTCCTGTGCTATTCTTTTTCTGAACTCTTCAAATTGTTCATCAACTTCATCATCAGTAAGTGCCATCTTTTCCAAGTCTTTGACAGCACCTGGTTCATTCCCAACATCACTGACTAAACCTGAGCCCACCACACGGCTATAATACAATAAGGCATCCAGAGATAATTAAAGAAAAAAATGAAACAAAATCTTAAATTAAATATTTGTCAACCAATGATCCATTTTTCAAAGATATATTACCCTTGTGCAGAGAGTACCTTTTAATTAAATTAGCAACAGCAAAGGTTCATACCTGAAGTCACTCATTTTCTCTGCTTCAGACTTTTCCTCTTGTTCTTCATATTCCTCTTCATCTTCTATGAGTAGTTCATACTCCGGGAACATAACCCCATGGTTTTTAACAGGGTTACCATCTACAATATAAAAATGCCATATTTCTAGTATGTACATGAATACATGATTAATATATATCTGAAAGTATATGTTCATTCATAAACATGTTAATTTACACTTTATAATATTCTCCTCAAGATTAATGCTTTATTCAAGCATGTCCATGGGGATTAATATATATCTGAAAGTATATGTTTATTCATATACATGTTAATTTACACTTTATAGTATTCTCCTCAAGATTAATGATTCATTCAAGCATGTCCATGGGGATTAATATATATCTGAAAGTATATGTTTATTCATATACATGTTAATTTACACTTTATAGTATTCTCCTCAAGATTAATGCTTCATTCAAGCATGTCCATGGGGATTAATATATATCTGAAAGTATATGTTTATTCATATACATGTTAATTTACACTTTATAGTATTCTCCTCAAGATTAATGCTTCATTCAAGCATGTCCATGGGGATTAATATATATCTGAAAGTATATGTTTATTCATATACATGTTAATTTACACTTTATAGTATTCTCCTCAAGATTAATGCTTTATTCAAGCATGTCCATGGGGATTAATATATATCTGAAAGTATATGTTTATTCATAAACATGTTAATTTACACTTTATAATATTCTCCTCAAGATTAATGCTTCATTCAAGCATGTCCATGGGGATTAATATATATCTGAAAGTATATGTTTATTCATAAACATGTTAATTTACACTTTATAATATTCTCCTCAAGATTAATGCTTCATTCAAGCATGTCCATGGGGATTAATATATATCTGAAAGTATATGTTCATTCATAAACATGTTAATTTACACTTTATAATATTCTCCTCAAGATTAATGCTTCATTCAAGCATGTCCATGGGGATTAATATATATCTGAAAGTATATGTTTATTCATATACATGTTAATTTACACTTTATAGTATTCTCCTCAAGATTAATGCTTTATTCAAGCATGTCCATGGGGATTAATATATATCTGAAAGTATATGTTTATTCATAAACATGTTAATTTACACTTTATAATATTCTCCTCAAGATTAATGCTTCATTCAAGCATGTCCATGGGGATTAATATATATCTGAAAGTATATGTTTATTCATAAACATGTTAATTTACACTTTATAATATTCTCCTCAAGATTAATGCTTCATTCAAGCATGTCCATGGGGATTAATATATATCTGAAAGTATATGTTCATTCATAAACATGTTAATTTACACTTTATAATATTCTCCTCAAGATTAATGCTTCATTCAAGCATGTCCATGGGGATTCATGGGTGTAGTTGGGTATGAGGCAAAGTGATGTAATATACATTTAGATGTTTTTAAAAAAAATATAATGTACCAGACCTTACTTTTGTATATTTCAAATAGTTTTGTATAATCGTGCAGCAAAGCTATGGCCTTTTGTAATATAGGGAGTTTCAGTCATGTTAATTTTTTCGAAAATAATATTGGAGAGAAGCATTAAATAAGAGGCCAAACATACGATCGCCAAACTACAAAACAAACCAAAATATACAAAAATTAGGTCTTGTACATGTTTCTATTTTTTCATATTCTGTTGCGATATGGTCATTTGATTGCTTACTTTTCAGATTCTAAGTACTTGATAGTATTATAAATCTTACTTTACAGTGCTCACCATAAATAAATGGCACCTGGATTTGCTGAAGTGAGGATTTCCCATGTTAAAAGAGAATTTTCAAGAGGAATGCATCAGAGGATGAGAGTATACAAAATGTAAAATATAAAAAACTAAGGGATGTGTATCTAGACATTATTGGAAATTATGAAGTCTCAAATCACCATGGTCTGGAAATGGTGATAGAAAATCAAGGTGTCATTTATTTATGTTGAGCACTTGAGTTTCAACATCTCAAAAAATGTTCTGTACCTTCTTTACCACACAACTTTTTATGACCTTTCTTCCAGTCGACACTTTGGTGCTCCTTGCTACAATAGCAAACCTGGCCACACTGTGCACATTTCTTGTTTCCTAAACACCCACATACCACGCATAAGTCTTGAAAGTCCTTAGCTGTTTTATATTCAGCCTTTTCTGCTTTTGATTCTATAGGTGGATCATAGCTAAAATAGTTATTTCTACGTGGCAATTGAGACCTCACTGCAACTAGATTACTATTGTCATTTCGTACTGAACATTTTGGATCACTGCATACGAAAAGAAACACTGTCCTGTGGAAACAATCAACTTGTTCAGGAACTGGATTTTCAATTGGAGCATAAATCTGACACAAAAATACGCAAGGTTTCCCACAATTTTGGCATTTTACATCATCGGCTGATGGTATCGATTCTAATGATAGCCATGCAGGTTTTCCACCTACTTTACTTGGGAACAATCCACTGGATAGTTTCCATTCGTCCGTTTTCTCTACAAATCCTAAATCCACGTCTATTTGTATGGGCGCCGCCATCTTAATATAGTCTCGTAATAAGATGCATCACAATATCTGTAATAACAAAATATGATACAATATACCGTCGGTAAAGATTGAATTATATTTATTTGATACAAATCAGCATCTTTTTGTAAAAGAAATGTTTTTATTATATGTGATATAGTAAAACTATGTTGGTTCGAGATAAATTTCATTTTTCATGAACCACCAAAAATGGCTTCTAAGAAAAAATCAAGAACATCTGCTGATGAATTAAAACAAGAAGAAGTCCTCCAGGCGGTTGTAGTAGCTGATAGTTTTGATGACAAACTAGCTCCGTTGACCCATTCGAAACCTAGAGTGAGTTATATCAACTTAGTTTCAGCTAAATTTTTGAAACTCAATTTTTGCAAAAATGATGCAACTTCAGGAACTTACCCCCATGTTCAGCATGGTACAGGATCAGGAACTCAACACATGAGATGTAAATAATAATAATTATACAGGCCGTCCAACTGGCCCGCAATTTGCGTTTTTGTCACGCTGGAAAATTTGAAGTCACGCCAGTCTTTTTTTGCGTAACACGCAAATACGTATTTTACCTGATTGTTGTCCAGCGAAAATATTCCTGTGGAAAAATTTTCAAAAATGATCGGCAATATACCACAAAACCGAACGACGAAAAAACGAACGCATTTCGTTTGGACTAATCACGCGGATACAGTATATGTCAAGCATTTGCCTGAAATATTTCATACCTAAAAATTTTAGGTGTCCAAACTTTGATTATATGCAATAAAATTTAAACCAAGGTGCTCAAAATGTGGCCAAGGTGTTCAGATTTGGACCAAGGTGTCCAAAATTTGAACAAAGGTGTTCAACATTTGCAAGTCACTCATGTTAGGTGTTCCCAAGTTGACAGTCCTGCATTATATTTGCCTACCTTTCGTCAGTTCACACTGAGACCATCATCATTATAATATATACTTGGAACCCTGACATCACTCACTCACTCACTACCTGTAGCTGTTATACCTCTAACTGAGTCCATAATACATTATTTTGTAGGCCCTACCGGAGTAGATGATATATTTGTAGGCCCTACTACCTTATCCTGTGCCATGACTATAGTCCTGAGAACGTCTTATTCTTTTGCCTGTATGATTACAACATGGGAGAATTTTCTATGCTTCTTACACTTAAGATACCTATTTCAACAGATTTCTTGGTATTTTAGCATTCTTTTCGTGTAGTTGAATCCACAATTGTCTGGGTTTATCAGCAGAACAAAGAAATTTTCGTTTTTGATTGCAATATTTGCGAGTAATATTTAACTTATTTCAACCGTCAAATTTCTCCATTTTTGGTACTTCCGGGCCACTTCGAGGTCAGTCAAACGGGGAATCCCTGCCATCTTGGAAAGTGATGGAATATCTCTCGATGAAAAAGAAATATGTTCCCGTTCTGCCGATATACCCAGACAATTGTGGATTCAACTTCACGAAAAGAATGCTAAAATACCCAGCAATCTATTGAAGTAGGTATCTTAAGTGTAAGGGGCGTAGATAATTCTCCCAAGTTGAAATCGTACAGGCAAAAGATTGCGCTTGATGCAGGACTATAGTCCTGGCACCGGATAACTACTACCTATAACTGATTTACCTCTAAACGAGTACATCATGATATATTTGCAGGCCCTTCTACCTATAGCTAACACACCACTGATTGACTACACACTAGATTTCCTTGTGGAAGCTGGAGTCCAGCAAATATTTGTATTCTGTAAGTGTAATGCTGAGGAAATCAAAGAACACATAAAGTAAGTACATCTCTTATTTCTAGTCTTATTAATCAATGCATAATTTATAATATGTAGTTGTTGCTTTTTTGGATGATATTGTTTACTGTACATGTTTCTTCAGAATTGTCTTTCTTTATCAAGACTATCAAATACTGCAGAAAAACAGTGAATTTTATTGAAGTTTAGCTTCTCTATTTGGGTCATTACAACAGCAGTCAATACAGAGGTTGATCATGGTGCTTTTACTGTCATATAGAGGCTTGTGGTGAATGGCGATGCCTTGCTTTGGATCGCCTACCGCCATCATGGCTGAAATAAACATGTCCCATGATGTGGCCAAAATGTCTAGGTTAAAAAAATCCTTATTTCATGCACTGATATACTACCTTATAATTACAGCACTTGGTGATGCATATATAAACCAAGCTCAAATTATGCCAAAACGATGTGAACCTTTTTCTCTGACATTCTATTAAAAGACATCATATTGAAAACATCATTTGAATGAGCTGTATTCTCATTCCCTTTTAATTACGCCGGTATGGGTAATTTCATCATTTAAAAATTCTCTTTTGGGTTAACATTTGCATTCATGAATTAATTGTAGCACATGTATGCTTTACGCGAATAATTACAAAGTGCTGCATGTGTATCTTTCAACATTCAATAGCCTACTGATTGACAAGGAATTCTGATGTTAAAAAAGAGTAGATTTGTGGGAAGGGCCCGGGGTCGAGAATATTTGACTTGAATTAGACAGGCCAGATTTTTTTGTCAAATTCCCCATCCATGCCTGCGTGGAGGGATATCAAGCAAATTTTGAGAATGGTACATAGACATTACTGTTTAGACTGACTTCAATTTTTTCCAAAATCATCTTCAAGTTCTCAGAAGTTCAAATCTGACTTTTATGCTTCAAATTGACAATTTTTTTTAAAAATCATCTGCAAGTTCTCAGAATTTCAAATCTGACTTGAGATTTGACCTTCAGTGACCTTTTCATGGTAAAAAGGTTGTTTTCATCTTTCAACTTTCAATTGTTTTTTCAAAATCATCTGCAAGTTCTCAGAAATTCAAATCTGCTTTTTGGACTTAAGACTTGACCTTCAATGACCTTCTCAAGGTAAAAAAGGTTAGAAAGGTATTTTTTCATCTTGCCTCAAATTGACCATTTTTCAAAATCATCTTCAAGTTCTCAGAAGTTCAAATCTGACTTTAGATTGAACTCATTATAGTGTGAGCAATGAGGTGGTGACATTTTTTCACGTTAATGCCTTGTCTTACTTTTGATCTTTTCCTTTCATGTTCCCTGGAGAAGTGTTTTTATCAGTAATATTTTAGTTGATACAATTCAAATGTTCTTAAAAGATTCTGAGTTGAAGAAAATGGTGTGAGAAGTAATAATTTTGAAAATGTAACAAATGAATGATTGATATTACATTTCAGAAAATCTAAATGGAGCCATGATTCACTAGCATGTTCCGTTGAAGTAAAAATAGTTGGTAGTGATGTGCTCTCAATGGGGGATGTTTTAAGAGAGGTGGATGCCATGTCGCTAATCAAGAATGACTTTATTCTCCTTACTGCCGACATTATAGCAAATGTTGACCTAACAGCAATTCTAAAGGCCCACAAGTGAGTACATTCACACAATATACTAGATGCGAGTAGAAATAATCTTGATTTACTTTCGATTATTAAATATTCAAAAATTAGTTAAAGGGATATAATATTTCAACGACGAACTCTGAATGGCTTAGTGAGGTCAGAGATTTATTGTAAATTGAAAGAGTGAAGACAAAGCTCTCTTTTACGAAGCAAAGTCAAACAAATGCAAATGGTATTATTTTGACATCTATCAGTGATTTTTCCTGTAATCTTGCTACCTCCTTTCAGTATTTGTTGAAAATAGTCAGTCCCGATATGCAATCCAAAACGAGGCTTTGAGTTCTCAATTTGTTTTTCTAAACTGAAAGTGAAACTCTGGCAGTTTTTCTCAGTCGGACTCATATGGGCGCTAATAAGGACATCATTTTGAACTGTTTTAGACTAACTTTTAAGTGCCCAGGGGCCAATCACAGCTAATATGGTATTTGATAGTAACATTTGTAACGAATATGCCCACATCAAAATTTCTGCTCAACATTATTATTTTTGCATACCTGGCATAAATATTCTATGTCAACATGCTAGGCAAAAAGAATGTCCAAATGTTAAGACTGTAAATATCACTAAGCACACCACTTAGGAGATGAAGAGCTTTCAAATGGTACTACAAATGTATATGTGAATTTTTTGAAGATTTTGTTGTTATGTCACCACCAAAAGTGGTGACATATTGTTATGGTCTCCGTTTTTTTTTATGTCACCACCAAAAGTGGTGACATATTGTTATGGTCTCCGTTTTTTTGCAACGGCGTCCGGCGGTTGGTGGTTGGCGTCCGGCGGTTGGCGTCCGGCGGTTGGCGTCCGGCGTCTGTAACAATTTCTTACAACTTCCTATAACTTAACAAATACTGTTTAGACTGACTTCAATTTTTTTCTAAATCATCTACATGTTCTCAGAAGTTCAAATCTGACTTTAGATTTGACATTTGACCTTCAATGACCTTCTCAAGGTCAAAAAGGTCTTTTCTCAACTTGCTTCACATTGACTAAATTTTTTTTCAAAATCATCTACATGTTCTCAGAAATTCAAATCTGACTTTAGATTTGACATTTGACCTTCAAATCTGACTTAAGATTTGACATTTGACCTTCAATGACCTTCTCAAGGTCAAAAAAGGTCAAAAAGGTCTGTTTTCAACTTGCTTCAAATTGACTAAATTTTTTTTTCAAAATCATCTACGTGTTCTCAGAAATTCAAATCTGACTTAAGATTTGACATTTGACCTTCAATGACCTTCTCAAGGTCAAAAAAGGTCAAAAAGGTCTGTTTTCAACTTGCTTCAAATTGACTAAATTTTTTTTTCAAAATCATCTCCGTGTTCTCAGAAATTCAAATCTGACTTTAGATTTGACATTTGACCTTCAATGACCTTCTCAAGGTCAAAAAAGGTCAAAAAGGTCTGTTTTCAACTTGCTTCAAATTGACTAAAATTTTTTTTCAAAATCATCTACGTGTTCCCAGAAATTCAAATCTGACTTAAGATTTGACTTAAGATTTGACATTTGACCTTCAATGACCTTCTCAAGGTCAAAAAAGGTCAAAAAGGTCTGTTTTCAACTTGCTTCAAATTGACTAAAAAAAATTTTCAAAATCATCTACGTGTTCTCAGAAATTCAAATCTGACTTTAGATTTGACTTAAGATTTGACATTTGACCTTCAATGACCTTCTCAAAGTCAAAAAAGGTCAAAAAGGTCTTTTTTCAACTTGCTTCAAATTGACTAAATTTTTTTTTCAAAATCATCTACATGTTCTCAGAAATTCAAATCTGACTTTAGATTTGACATTTGACCTTCAATGACCTTCTCAATGTCAAAAAAGGTCAAAAAGGTATTTTTTCATCTTGCTTCAAATTGACTAAATTTTTTTTCAAAATCATCTACATGTTCTCAGAAATTCAAATATGACTTTAGATTTGACATTTGACCTTCAATGACCTTCTCAAGGTCAAAAAAAGGTCAAAAAGGTCTTTTTTCAACTTGCTTCAAATTGACTAATTTTTTTTTTCAAAATCATCTACATGTTCTCAGAAATTCAAATCTGACTTTAGATTTGACATTTGACCTTTAATGACCATCTCAAGGTCAAAAAAGGTCAAAAAGGTCTTTTTTCAACTTGCTTCAAATTGACCAAATTTTTTTTTCAAAATCATCTTCATCTTTTCAGAAGTTCAAATTTGACTTTACAAGTTATCAGAAATTCAAATCTGACTTAAGTTTGAACTCATAATATTGTGAGCAACTAGGTGGTGACATTTTGTCATGTTAATGCCTTGTTAAGGCTTAGAATCAATTGGAGTTTTGGGTATTGTCCAATTTGAGGTTTTCATGCTGTCAACTGCAATAGACTAGATGCAAGTAGAAATTTAGGGACTCCTGCAGTAAATGCAGTGACAACATGCTATTAACCTATTGTGGTGATGTAATAGGAACACTCAGTATCATATATCAGTGACAATTCAAAAGAGTAATATGAATTGTTAAAGAATTTAACTTATAATGGATACTCTTAGAAATACCAGGACCAGGGCTTGCTACTTGCTGTTTTCTAGTTCAGTTTTCAATCCGACATATAGATTTCGATGCTGTCCCTAAATAGATGAAGTCGCTCCTTTTAATACCTCCTTCATTTTCCAGGGAAAGGAAGAAAACAGACAAATCATCCATCATGACCCTTGTTTTCAAAAAGTCATCCCCAGGCCAGAGGTCAAAGGGTAAAGGTGAAGATGTTGTCATAGCAATGAGAGCAAATGATGGGATGCTTCTGAGTTACTGCAGACCTGGATCCGAAAATGTCATAGATCTGCCATTGGTAAGAAAAAACATATGTTTGTCTTCAAGCCTAAAAATGACTTCATTTAAAAATTGGCATTTTCGATAAAATGAATTATTAAGAAAAGATTTACAATAGAATGGCAAATCATGACTGGAATATGTGTCTATAAGGTGCAAGTATGGAAAGTCTTGTTATTATGAACTGTATTTAACAATATTGTTGACATTTAAATATCCAGGAGGTCCTACAAAAGGAGGCTGAATTGGATCTACGTAATGACCTTCTGGACCCTCAGATCAGCATTTGCTCCACATATGTTCCTCAACTATTCACAGATAACTTTGATTATCTCACTAGGGATGATTTCATCAAAGGCATTCTTGAAAATGAGGAGGTATGATATCCTTCTATCACAAGTTTATACTTATGATTCTCAAAGATATGGTTTCTGTAATTAATATTTTATTAACTTTATTCTGTTATTTTAACTTGATAATTTTACATACAAGAAACCTTTATCCAATTTATATTGAATCAAGTCTTGAAATATGTTTGTTTCTTTATTTCTAGATCCTAGGTCACACAATGCACTGCTATATGGTGGAGAAAGATTATGCTGCAAGGGTGTCCAGTCTACATATGTATGATGCTGTCAGGTATAAATACATCAGGGGCGTCGGATCATATTTGAAAAGGGGTGTGCGTTTTCCAGAAAGTAAAGGTCGCGCAGGGAGTACGTGCGTGGCCAAAGGCCGCACATCTTGGGGGTCTGGAAATTTTTCAGAAGATGTTATTTGGTGCAATCTGAGCATTTTAAGGACTATAAATACCGTAATCGCCGTATTAAGGGCCCACCCCTAATAAGTGCCCACCCCCCTTCACAGAGTTCAAGAAATATAGAGGAATGACCAAGTATAAACGAAAATATCAGTAAAAATCAAATTTCCAAAGAAATATAGTGGGCGATAATAGAGTACTTACACTAAAATGCAGAAAACATGATGCATTTTGTAAATCGATGCATCCTCCCGATGAATATCTATCAGTGGGTGCTTCCCAGATCATACTAAGCTAATATTATCTCAAAATAGTCCATAATGAATGAAGGAAATGATCACGTTTCAGATCAAGGTCATGTCAAGGTCGTGAATTTTCTTGTTTATTTTTAAGATTTCTCGACTTTTACATGACTTTTACACAAAAAATGATCTGTCATCAAATTAAAAAAACAAGGTATAATTTGAGATGGATTTCTAACAGTCTTTAGTGGAAATATTGAAGATAATCGCAGAAAACAATTCCTTCACCTGCTGGGGAGTTCTTCAGTCACTGTCAGTATAGTTAGATTCTTGTTTTAACGATCTTTACCGTATTCTCTCCAATAACGATACATATCATTATTGTAAAAATATGCTGTCACTTTCGTTGCAAATAAGGCATACTGCTAACACGTTCTTTTGTAAAAATACATTACAATTTAAAAAGTAGGCATATACAGTACGTTGATTTCTAGGAACATATTTCTTTCAAATGATTTCTGGAAAAATTGGATGAAAGGCTTCACGTGATAAGCATATTGCCAGTTAAAGAAATACTACCAAATTAAATAACACCTCCCTATTTTCGAACAAAAATACTCGCTAACAAGAATTGCAAAAAAGAATATTAACGTGAACTGATTATTTTATCGTTTATTGTAAAATGATGTAAAATGATGTGCAGCCAGTTTTAAACTTCAATGGAGTGGAATATTTACATCTTGAACTTGAGGAATTATCTCACATTCGTAAGGTATATTCACGAAATAATTAAAACATTATCGCTCTATGGATGTAAAAATGAATGACGGACATTGAAAATTAAACACTTCAAGTGCTATAAAAACTTCAATCCTTTCAAAAAATAATGAAAAACTAATCTTAATGTATCTATCTAGTACAATTTATTTAAATATATCCACTCCCTGTGATTGGGAAAAATGAATGGAGTGGGGAGAAAATTCAACAAAACTGCAGTATTGATTTTTAGAGAAAGTTTACAAATAAATCTCTAAATGTGGTGCACGGTTTGGTGAAACCTGGTATTTTTCTTAACGGATACACGACTAAGTGTGAGATCTATTATAAAGGCACAACACCACCAACATCCAAAAGTCTATGTTTTTGCATGATATCTAAAACCGTGATATCTGAAACCCAAAACTTACATAGAGACTAGGCCTACAAAGAACAGAACTGCATCATATTTGAGATTATATTATGTCCGGCGACATACTCCCCGTGAACATTTTTGTCAGTGAAGACGTTATTTGGTGCAATCTGGGCGTTTTTAAGCATCATAAATAGTTGTTTTCTGATAAAGAATAGTATCTTTGAAGTTTCACCGAGGAATCTTATCAGTTTCAGAGGGGGGGGGGGGGGGGGGCTATGTACATGCTATACATGGGTAGCATATAGATGTAACCCTAGAATGTATCATATCTTTTATACATAATGGAAGATCAATGTGATGTGCCACAATCAGTATATAGGTGTCTATACGTTTTGATTGACTTACATGTATGTGATTGACATATATTGACATACATGTATGTGTGTATGTTTAATGCAAATATGTTGAATTTAATTAAAACTTTTCAAGAGTGTTTTTAGACCAATTAGCTATTTTGGTGGTTTTCAGTTCTGCAATCTACATCAAATGAATATTTACCTTGCAACTAAACATTTATTGTTGAAGGGTGTTATATCTTAAAATGATAAAATCAAACTTTATACTTTTGCAGTAAAGATGTAATGAATAGATGGAGCCACCCATATGTGCCAGACAATGCCGTGACTGGGGAGAATTGTTATGCTCACACAAGGCATGGTATCTACCTCCACAAAAATGTTTCCCTAGCCTGGTAAGTCCTACCATGTCTTATGAGAGTTAAATCTGACCACTAAGGAAAGCACATAGAGTAAAAATGGAGCACAAAACAAATTAGATGAATAAATTATCTTAACTAAAGCACCAGTTTTCAATATGAAGCATTCAACAAACCATATGATAATATTATAACAAACATGTGAATGTTAATCATCTACAAGCATAACAGAAATGTTTGTGTTCACACTATTCTATTCTACACTATATCTACTCAGACAGTATTGTTTTGTCATTATATGATATTTATGAAACTTGTGTGTTTCCAGGGGGTGTAAGCTGAAGGAGAATGTTGTGATAGGTGCCCATAGTTCTGTAGGCAGTAACTCAAGTTTAAATCAATGTGTAGTAGGGTCTAACTGCCACATAGGTAAGTTTCTAGATACCCCCTGTCTTAATCAATGTGGATTTGAGGGCGATATAACACCCACCTTCGTTAGTTCCTAAATATCCTCAGTGTCACTCATTGAGTAGCTGTCACTTTTGTATTCAGAGTTTGTTTTGAGCTAGCCATTGAGTTATGTTTTGATATTTTATAGGAGAAAATGTTCACCTTGACAACTGTTACATCTGGGACAATGTTACCATTGAGGCAGATAGTTGTGTACAAAGTTCAATGCTTTGTGACAATGTGCAACTGAAAAGTAATGTTAAGATACAAGCTGGATGTGTCCTGGCCCAAAATGTAAGTAACCTACATTTACCAAATTAAGAGATACAGGTTATTCTTGAGAACAATGATTAATTCTTAAGTTATGATATCATTATGCCACCACCAAGAAGTAAATAGTACATGTACATATATATGTTGCTGATAATTGTTAGAGTTAACTCATATTGTTTAAGATGTTTCACATCCACCCAGTTTATACCTTTTTGTCAGATCTGAAATGAACTCAAATCGTTTAACTCTGTTTCTTAGATTCTCTGACAAGTCTGTCAAAAATGTCAAGCTATGACTGCTTGAATGATGTGGGAGATGGGTTGCCCAACAGTATGGCAGAACTTTGAAGTTATACCCTGCCGCAATAAGCTCCATTATAAAACTGATTTTATTCATTCCATACCCATCAAAACGTTCGTCATACTTCAGTTCTTTCTTGGTAGAAGTCTTAAGAACCAAATATGGTTCATAGGCCATTTGGTAATCTCTTATGGGATAGAGAGTGCTGCTTGTGTACCATCTTTGGTAATCTGTTGACTTGTGACTTTTTTCAGATTCATGTCTTCTAAATGGTTGTATACTTGCTCGTGGTTGGTGCAACAATGTCACAAGTTCCTTTTTTGATTTTGCCAAAGGTTCCATATTTTGTCCATGACTGTATTCAAATGCCGGAATGACATATGCATTTATGGGACTACTTTCATTAATGATGCTCAGTTGGAAGCTCTCAATAAAGTTAGGGGAAATATAAAAGTCGGCATCAACCAATAACATGTATTCCGTTCTAACCTGCTCCATTGCAAGATTTCTAAGATGATTAATTGGGTATTTCTCATGTTGATAAGCTCCATAAACCACTGTCACAGCACAACAATATTTAAAATTCTTTAATGTTTCAGCTATATTTGCTGGCTTTATGTCTTGGTTCTTTTCCTCATTTGGTACATAGAGAGCAACTGAAACCGGACCCTTCCATTCAGGTAGAATCCTTGTTGTCCAACTTTTCCACCTGTCAAGTGACAATTGTGTTACCATAGTAACTGATTCCATTGTTTCAAAACCATTGTCATTGAGTACAAAATGATTCTTGATGAATGTGGAAGCATTCCTTAGCGGTGATAGAACATCTGGACATGTTGTTATGAAATGAAACTGCGTCAGATCATGATTATGTTCTTGTTGTAGCTGTATTATTGGTTTGATTTCAATATCCCTGAATCTGACCTTCCCGACTAACCCTTTGACACCTAGCATTACAGTTACACTTGAAACTGTAGCACCACCTATTGGAAATATATATGACACATTTGATTGAACTAACTGACTGGTTATCAGCTGAAAATTCAGATGAAGCACTTGGCTCGATGCATCTGTAAATCTTATCATTGCTGATGCTTCATGATGATTTACAGCATGTTCATCCCATGTCTTGGCATCACTTGATGTTTTAACGGAGAAATAAATTCCTTTAATTGGTGCAGTTTGATGGAAAGCAATGAACTGAAATACTGTATATAAGACTCCTGGTGTGGCATTCAAGTCTATGGACTTGTGACAAGTTGTGTCACTGTTACAGTCGATTTGCAGAGACCATGATTCTGGTTGAAGTATCCACCAACCCAGTTGCAATCCAACCTGGCCATTGTCCATAACATCCATAGATATGAGATTAATGGGTAAAGTTATGAAACCACCACTATGTGGCATCTTAATATTCGTATCACGCTCCTTTTTTATATATTCAGTTTCTTTTAAAAATGTATTCAAAATGTTTAACTTATTTTGCTTCTGTCCTGTTTGTAAGGTGGTGTAACCCAGATTGTTCACTTTCTCTGAAGTCAACTCATAACTGTTAGAAGAAATTGGACCTTGTTGTCCTTTTGAATACTGAACTTTGATGAAAAAATGGATAAATAGTATAAATGTGAGAATAAAAATCAACTTTGATAACTTCCTTGGATGCATGATGCATATTGTTAAAATATATCTTGTATTGCATAACATGTGAAAAAAGTTTAACCGAAGCATTTTATAGGATTACTGATTTCTTTTTATGTTTAAGGTTATGTTAAACTCCAATCAGCAATCCTGCCTCTGGTCTAATAGCTCTAATAAATCTAAAATTTTACGATGTTCTGTAATCTTCAGTAATTGAATGTCGGTGATTCTTTTTGGTGCTTTATTTGACATTCCTCTTGCTGTAACATATTAATAAATTCTATGTAATAATAAAGCATGTATCCATTAATGCAAAGTGTATGCATGTAAATGTAAAGACACATCCTGTTTTACTTTATTTGTGAGGGTTATGTAGTTTGTTTAGCTCTTTGTGAGCTGCTTTCATAATGGCTATTAAAAGGCTATGATTTATTATTTATTATCAATCAGACATTCAAATGATCAGAATAACCTTTAGGCCTTGAAACTAATATGTTATGTGATGCCAGAATGCTAACTTGCCAATTTTCAGAAAGGTATTTGCTTCCATTGATCAGTTTTAAAATCTACATACTGTTATGGTTTTGGGAAAAAAGACGTTGGGCATTGGGATACCATACTTTCGAGGTTAAAACATATATCATTGAAAGCCCATGATTAAATCCATGGAATAGAGGTGAAACATATTTTGCTGATATTAATGTGAAATTACATACATTGAACCCAGTTTTCCATTGGCACTTCAAAATCTTGTGAATCTATGTAATATGTAGTCCATGGTCCACATTATGTAATACATATACAAATGAGGTAACTTGCAAAAGTTTTATAGAATCCAATCAAATGTTCAGTTAGGTTGGTAGCTTTCACAACTGAATCATTGTTTGCCAAAATCTGCAACGTATTCAAAATGTCTTTCCTGTCATTTTTGGGCTTTAATACCTTTCCTGCATTAGATGTGTTTATTCCAAGGAAGCACAATTCATTACTGGTAGAAATGGTATTCATTATTTGAAATCTGGTAGCAAATAAGTACATGTACTTTGGTAATGCAATTTTTGAGCCCTGAACTAGGAAAATAGTTAAAGTTGAGCAATGTGCATTGTATTAAATGATATTGACATTGTGTTTTGTGTTAAATGTCTCCTAGGTGATAGTAGGCCCAGATGTTACTATTAAAGAGGAGACAATATTGGTAGCAGCTCCAATAAGAGATGATGAGGACTTCAGTGATGGAGAACATAATGCAGCATTAGCGGGTAAGAACATGATAGAAATAGTGCCAATGATTATAATGAAAGAGAAAAGTAATATATTAACTACAGGGTGACACAAAAAGATGATACCCACCTTACGTTGCATAACTTGTTTGTCTATTAACATACAGATTTTTCCTTTGACACATTCAAAGTAGACATAATGTGGAAGCCCCTCAGATGTGTAGCTCAAGTGGGTCAAGTTTTATGAGCGTTATAACATTTGCTCTAAATGTCATCCATTCCATTCGTTTGCAGACACTCATGGATTCTACACAAAAATGCCACCCAGCTTTTGTAACATTACTTTGTAAATACTAATGATTTTGGCTTGTACTTTTAGGGAAATGAAGTCCATTGAATTAAACACAAAATACTGTAGTTGTCATTGATAAAATCGTTATAACTTATTTCCAAGATTAGGTTACAAAAGATGGGTGTCATTTTTTGTGTAAGATCCACTTGTGCCAGCAAAGGAATAGATGACACATTTTGTAACGCTCATGAATGTGGATCTAGGTGGTCATCTGAAACTTCTTGTGGAGTTGCGAAATGGATTGTAGTTTTATTGTGCAAAAAACAAGTCAGGATTTATCCAAACAAAAAAGGTATGAAACATTATGTGGGTGGGTGTCATTTTTTGTTTCACGCGGTACACAGTATGATGTCATATTGTATTAGAACAATAGGCTTTTGTTTGTTACAACATAACATCATTACAGTGTGTGATACATCACTGGTTGGGATTGGAGGTCAAGCGTATGTCTATGAGAAAGATGAGGGGAGTGATATAGGAGACTGGGAGACTGACAGCTATTGTAGTTCTGAAGAAAGTGACAGCGAACCAGAGGAAATGACTCCGCCCCCTGATGATGCAAAATGTAAGCTTTATTTAAAAATTGAATTGTCGTTTTTAGATAAATTGTCAACTTATAAATTTATATTGTATGTCAATTTCCTCTTTTCTTTCTCTCTTATTATTTATTTAGATATGTCGTACAATATTTCAGTGTTCTATAATGAAGTCATAGATACATTGGAGAGAGGACATCAAGAAAATATTACAGTGGAAAACATGATAGTAGAAATCAATTCCCTTAAGTAAGTAAATACATAACCACTGGCACTGCACTCTTCAAACTAATTACCAAAACGGATCTGCTTCGATAACATGTCTGAACCTCGAAGTTACAAATTTTCCTTTCTTTCGTTCTTCATGAGTTGGAGGCAGAATTCCCACAACATTTTTATCAAAAACCTCTGTCAGTAACATAAGGCTATCATAATGCAAAGAAAATGGTTCAGAAGACAACAGAATCATCGATTTTATACATTACAATTTTACGTAAACAAAATGAGTTAAAAGTGCAGATCTTAATGAGGAAAAAATGAGGAATTATATGGGTGCTTCTGTCATCCCATGAACAAATATCACTCATATTTACTGAGGTCTTGAGTACATTCTATTTCTATTCTAAAATATGAAAATTGCTTGCAAAATGCAAGTGAAAAATGATTCCACTTTTCATGTATGACTTTAAGAAATAACCCAAGAATAAAAACATGATTATCTGCATACATGTTGATAATTTAATAGAAAATGGAATTCATCATGGTTATGGCAATAATGAAAGTGAACATTCCCCCACAAATTATATTTTTATTGGAATGTGTTCTTGAATAATTACCCACAATGCAAAACTCAAAGAGAACATTTTGATACCTCTTTTCCTTATTGGTCTTCTTTGTTTACTTTTAAATGAGATTAATCATGTTTCGTGTTTTAATCAAATTCAAAATTGATTTTTCTTCGAGATAATGCTCTAAACATATACTTTAATCAAAATATTTTTGAAATAAAAATTACCAAAAAAGGGAAGCATGGCACTGCTCATTTTGAAGTTCTCATGTAATAACACAGAGTTGCATACCCTTCTATTGAATGCCCATGGTTCATCTGAGCATAGATTGTAAAATAATGAAGCAAACAGGGTAATCTTGTTCGTGAAGTTAATGTGAATGGTGAAAGAGCTTATTGAAAAAATGGGTGATTCAATAAAATTGCGTTTTGACTCTGATAATAGATTTATCTACACCAAAAGGTTAACAAAATACATAATGCATAATGTATTTGCCTTCCAGGATGAGACTGGTATTATCCAGTGATTTTCCTGTGGGGCCTTCTTTTACTCATAGTCAAAAAACAGCTTTGAAAAATAATTTTTTATACTGAGGCAACACAAGTTCCGCCATCTAAGAGATGAATAAACCTATAATAGTTCCACATATGATCACAATTTTTATAGCAAAAAGTTCTTTAAAATCACATTTCAAATTTTAATAACATTGGGTAAGACTTAGCTAAAATATAAAAGGTTTAAACATTTTGGGGCCTTTAACAATTAGCAATAAGAATTGTGAAATTGATGTACATGCAATTACATGATCTTTCTGATACTTTTAGGCATGCTTACAACATACAGATCCGTGATGTTAACAATATGGTGGTGAAGTCTATAGTAGACCTACCTCAACGCAATGATGATGAAATAGAACCAACTATTCTTTTACCAAAAATAAAAAATGTAAATATAATTTAAAACTGTTAACTCTTAATATTAACTATTAATGTGGTCATTTAAATTCATGAAGCCTTCAGGATTTTTTCTGAACTTATAAAATAATTCAAGCTGACTTATATATCAGAATGTAAATACACATTTAGGTTTTTGTAAAGACAAACAAACAATCATTATCCTAACATTATCCTAAGTTCGATAAGGATATAGTGAAGCCAGTACGTCCATCAGTCAGTCCGTTAGTCTGTCCGTCCATCCAGATGATAACTCGAACACTAGTGGACAGATTTTCTTCATATTAAGTTGAAAGATGAATATTGGTGAAGTTTTATTTAAAAAAAGTTTCAACATGACCACCAAAAAAATCTTAAGTTTTTCATTTTAAACCAAAGTAATGGGTAGAGTGGATGGTAAATATTACATTGTTCATTTACAGATTCACGAATATTTTGTTCGTTGGATTTGCTACTCTGCGGAGTTGCCGATTTAGTTATTGTACCAATATAGGTCATAAACGGTGTATATTGTAAAATACATTTGTATTTTTGGAAATATTCATACTTACTCTATAGCAGTGTAAAAGTAGATTTACTTTTCAATGATTATATGCATTTTTATTTTCTTCCAGAATGTCTCAAAATTCCTTCCAATATTCCAAAAGTATATTCGGAGTCAAGAATCCAAGAGGGACTGCTTGCAAGCTTTAGAGGTATGGTAATACATTTTAATACTTTAGATACACTTAAGATGCTACTTAATTTTGCAGATTTACTTAATTTCAAATAATGGTGGCTATTTAATTTGGCGGAGTCAGGACTTAGCGAAAGTTTTATCATTATCTGGAAAGAAGCATTTTAGTTTTATGTTTTCTACTTACAGTAAGTCTTTGTATAACACTGACATCCAAATAGGAATACTTACACACGTGAAATAATTGCAAATTACAAATTACCTGAAAATTGGCAAATTTTTTCGATCCACCAATCCGTCAAATTAAAACGGTAGTCAAATTAAGTGTATCTACAGTACATATAATCCAAACAAAACAGAATAAACACATTTGTCATCATATTTGATTGATATTTATTCCATATCTGAAGTATTGATATTTATATGGCATAGCATCTAATTCCTCACAACTTGCAATTTTAGAATTCAACTAGGCCTATATTCACTATACAGTTTTAATCAAAACTATAAAAGGTGACATTAAAGAAAACAAATACACTAAACTACATAAGCTGAGATTTATAAAGATATTAAACCAACAATGATGGAACATGCATTTTGTTTCAGGAATATTATACAGAGCACACTGCCACTAGTAAAGTTCTGCCAAGTGTTCTTTCAATACTATATAATGAAGATATTCTAGATGAAGATGTTATCTTATCTTGGCATGAGGCTCTCACAATAAAATCTCTCAAGTCCCAGGTCAGTAAATGTCTTAGCTATTGAAGGTCAGATCTTGCCAACAACCTAAAACTTTTCACTTATTTAGGACTACTATTGTTGTCCCATATGTTTTTTTAAATTTCCAAGTTCATGCTTTCGTTCAGGATCTAGGAAAACTAAAGGTTTTTACTAAAATGTGGATATCAGCATTATTATTTATCATATTTGGGAGGATTTACACATTTTGCAATTTTGCTCCAAATTAATAACTTTACCATTTGACCATTAGATCAATAGAGATATGATATGTACCAGTGGTAAAGAATACATTAGTAGATCAGTTTTACATGTATGTTGGTTGCAATTATATTTTATGAATCTGCCTTTATTATGTCACCACCAAAAAGTGGTGACATATTGTTATGGTTTCCATTTTTGTGACGGCGGTTGGCAATCGGTGGTTGGCATCTGTAACAAATGGTGGTGACATTTACATTTTAATGCCTTGTTTAGAATATGTGAACTGTTCATATTGTCTGCTCCCTTCTCTATTGTTCAATCAATATCTCAAATCAATCCATGATTCTTCTAAATACTGTACTCCTGGTTAATTTCTCAAGTTTTAATTTCACAAATTTTGAGAAAACACCCTGTCGCTGCTATTAAATTTCACAAGTTAAAATCTCATTATCCTCGGAATCCTCATGCTCTGTAAAAAAGTAACATCATGTACAATAAGTACACCTACCTAATGTCATCTTTGTCAATGCCACACTCTATCTTAACCTCTATTACGTGTCATTTTTTTGATTTATTTGAACTAATAAGCCTGTAAGCCACTGTAACAGACACTGTTACTTAGTATCCCATTTATCGCCTGATAACACTGGCCAAACATTCCACAAAACACGAAATGCAATGCAGGCCTAGGTAATGAAAAATTCGCAAATCGTCAGAGATTTAGTTGACAATTTGAATTTTCACGATTTTACCACAATCACGAAAAGCACGAAGCTAAATCGTACATGAAAAATACTGGGAGTACAGTAATAAAAGAAAATATCTTAGGTTTCTGAAAAATAGCATGGGTTGCCTCGAGAATTTTTGAAGAAAATCTAAATATCCCTTTGTTAATAAGAATACTTTTATTTTTGCATATATTATTTACATGTCTATATTCAAGTAGTGTATTTTTTATATATACATGCAACATTTTCATTTATTGCATGTTTCAGATTGGGCCATTCATCCAATGGCTGCAGGAGGCTGAAGAGGAAAGTGATGAGGAGAGTGACTGAGTTTAATTACCATGGTTACAGAAAACATTCATCTCAATATTTATGGACAATAATGTATCAATGACCGGTTTTCATCAAACTATTGCCATATCATGATATGAAACTTAAATTTGAATCCATAAAGGACAGTTGTATAGACATGATACAAAGGATGAATATTTATTATTGTTTGTCATTATTTTTCATATCAAATATGAAAATAAAAAATACTGAAATAATCTTGGTATGCAAAACTATCTCATGTACAATGTATTTGTTTTTTAAGGTTCTGAGTTGATCATGGTTTAGTCCTGTTCATCATTCCATTCTTATCACAAGCAAAATGATGAGTCTGGATATATGCCCTTTTGGTCCCTCAGTTAAGTACATGTGAAATATGATTTTTATAACTGTCCTATTTATATTTGTTAAGTATATTTACTTTTTCATGAGTTTTGATGCATAATTAACCCCCTGCTGAGAGTCAAAATAAGTATCCCAACAGAAAACAAGTAATCATTATCATAGAAAAAAACAAGTAATCATTATCATAGAAAAAAACACCAATTGCAACATGTATGACATGTGAAATAGAAATAACTTAAAAGACCCATGAAGAATTTTAAGAAAATCATATTTTGTATTTAAATATATTTTAGGATTCAATTTTTTGAATTTCCCGCCAGTTTAATTTAAGTGGGAAAAGCAAGATGGCTGCCATTTGGTGTAAGATATATCAGAAAAAAGTTGCTTCATTTTTAGTTTTCACAATGAGCACAGTTTTCCAGTTTGGGTTTTTTGACTGATTCTGACTCTTCATCACCAGGGTCATGTATAGAGATTATAAAATTGAAACCAAAATGTTGTGCTCAGCATGAATTTGACTGAAATATGTATAATTTCACCAACACAATTGAAGTGTCAAAACTGGATGCTCGGTAACTTTGAGTGATTATAATCCCTTGATTACCCAGATAAACACCAATTCACTTATCCAGAAATACCATTCAATGTCTATACCAAGAAATTTAGTAATGTTTTGGAGGATATGTTTCTACCACTTTTCTGAAGACAGACTTGCACACTTTGTGTCACTTTGTGTGATGTTCTTGAAAACACACATGTTTTTATTGGAACTTATGTTTCTTATCCTGAAAGATAGTGTGCATGTCAACAATCCTAGAACCATTGCAGAGCTAAAACTATAGATAATACGAAAGATAAGGACATTAACCAGTCTGTTTGAAGAGAGGTGGTAGCCATTTGGAGCACATTCTTTATATGGTCAGCAAATGGGTCATACATACGCTACATTGATGAAACTTGCTCAACTTAAAGGACATTGAACTACCTTTACTTCTGCCAAAAGAGATTGTTCAACCTTCATTGGTTGAAAAGATATGCATTGTAAAGTATGTGAGTTGCACATTTTTTGAAACACCCTGTATATGACCTCAAATTTTATTCTGGCCAGTGCCAAAGACCTCAATCGCTACGCAATTTCAGTCTTTTAACAATGAATAGAAGAAAATTTTTGGTCATATATCACACCATAAATCATAAAATCTTGGTCTTTATTCCATAAATATACACACATGTAGTGAACAAAACTTAACTCTGCATATTTCTTGTTATATTCAATGATTTTTGGAATATTTTGACAGAATACATATTTTAAAATTCAATAAATTCATGATGAAAAGAAGGGACTTTTTTCACCAAATTTTGGTTATTCTGAGAGGCTACACGGGAGTTTGTATAACAATATGGTGGTGACATAAAAATCATTTCAAGTTAAATAATAATTTGGTGATATCCCATGATATTTCATTTTCATTGTTAAATCTTGACACTGCCTGTACATTATGTTAACATGTTTAACTGTATATTGTTATATTACTCTATGAATGACATTACATGTACATGTTCTTTTATGCATACAAGTGGAATCACTCCAAACATGTGAATCATAAATATGTAACTGTAAACGATCAGCTACCTATTTAAGTATGAAAATGAGGTCAGATGATACCACATGTATCAGTCCAAAATTGGAATCAGATAAAAATGTTTATTCTACCAATCCTAAACAGTCTTGTGAAAATACTACAAAGAAATGTTGGATTTGCAAATAATTGTAAAGTATAGACTCCTATATGTAATAATAAGAAGACAATATGTCGTTATGAGTTCATCTGATACTGTTACTTATTTGGCCGTTTTATGTATATCTATCTACAACTTACTCCACAAGAGGTTATTCAATTCAATTTTGCATCTGTCATTGTCTTCTTTCACATCCCAAAGGTCAAAGTTGGTCTTAAGCATCATATATATAATATGGCTTCATAACAGTTTTACATGAAGCAATTAGTGGTGGGATAATTATGTTGACTCTCACATACATCAAGTTGATTAGACAAAGAGCCAGTAATGAATTCTATGTACAGCTACTTTGTAACCCAAATCCCTTTGCACCATTTTAAGTAGTCATGTCAAAACTAAATAAAGGTTTTATTTGAAAGGTGCTAGTTTTTGGTAGTTCATTCATGGTTACTGGTGAATGTTATCAGTAGAAGCTACAGTGTCTCTGGGTCTATACATAAGTGTATCTAAAGACAATACAGACAGACCAAACTTGATGACATTCTAAGACAGTAGCATTTAGTCAAGTTTTATATCTTGTTCATCTGCTGTATGAGATTGCTGGTCTCCACTCCTAGTTTCCCTGCCTGTGTCTGATAAAAGGGGAGCATCTGAAACAAAGTTTAATAGTTTAATATAAGATTAAATATTGTCTACTGATTTATCAATTATTAGAGCAATTAGGTGATGCATTCTTTAATTATCTGAAAATTACATGCTACCCCGCTTAAAACCTGCTACAATAGCTAAAACAATTGATTGTAATACTGATCTATGATGAGGTACGAGGTACGTATATTATGACCACTAAATTTCAGAAATGCAAAAAGTTGTTTTCTGGTTTGTTTATTATATTAAAATAATACGAAGACCTTGATTCTATGATTCATGGCAAATAAAAATAGATAGATAAAAATTATGGGTCATATTTTGCTCCATAAATCATAGAATCTCCATCTTTATTCCTTAAGCATAGAAGCAACTATGTGAGGATTTGAGAATTATGTTACACTGTACATGCATCTTGTATAAAATACATTTGACCCAGATGGGACTTTATAGTGTTCAAAATGGATATTTTGACTCCTTATAATCATTTCTTTGTTGGAATAGGTTAAAAACTGCCTGTGAAGACACTTTAAGATATCAATCCTACCTTCATTAGCTAAGCTATCATTGGACGACATACTGCCAGCTGTTGCCCGCCTGGAGGTGGCTATAGATGGGTTAGATAAATTAGAGTCCATGGTGTCCACAGTAACAGATGTAGATGCATCACTGACTGTGTTCATAGTGTGCACAGTTCCAGTGTCACTAACATTCATAGTGTCTATTGAACCAAAGTTGATATTTTCAGACAGAGCATCCCTATTGGTGCTTGTCGTTGTAATTGTGGATGTTCTACGACTATCACGCTCGTGTAAACTCCTTGTGTCTCTACCCCGCATGTTTGGAGGTAAACTAGGTAATGGGCGGTAGTCTAAATGCCTTAGGTTTCCTCCCCTTGGGCTTCGGGCACCTGAATTGGTACGTCGTACAGCTTCTTCATAGGAGGGCAAAACTACATGCATGTGTACCCCACCATCAGTGCACGCTATAAGTGCTACTTGATCATGCTCTTCAATGGAGTCTCTGTGGATGTTTTGAACTTCTTGATTGTTAGAGGTGGGAGAGTATGGTGGTGGACCACCAGGTGGCCGTGTGGTTTGATTGTAACATCGAAAGGGGATCTTCTTGCGCTGGAATGCGACTAGAATCGTGATGAGTAGGAGAATTCCGAGGATACTACATGATATTGCTATCACTATTGTCATTGTGCTAGGGGAGTGGTCAACAGTCACAACAGGGACAGGACTAGTACTGGCAACTGAAAGCAAGTTATAGAGAATTTCAATATCACATGTAATAAATGTACACAGATTCCACTTTTCAAACTTAAAATAGGTCTGTCCCCAATGTTTTATTCATTTTTGTAATAATCTGCAGTCAAGATCAACACAGACTTTGATAAAAAGCTTCATTTCTGAAAAACAGCTTGAAAAAGTGAATTACATATATTAATTTCATCTAAATACTGTACCTTGTCTACACTGTGGATATATACCATCCCATTTTCCAGTCTTCCCACATGTTATAATGGCTTTGCCTCCTACAGGCTCAAAATTCTCATTGCAGTAGAAGGCCAACTGGGCACCCACATAGTACATGTTGCTGCGGACAGATGGACTGCATTCATCAGATTTACATAAATGGTAACCATTGTCTGGCACACCAGGGTTGTAACACAAGATACCTGCAAATAAACAATGACTAAATAATACACAGTTACTATTTTCCCTGTTAAGATTGGCATCTACTGCACTGGTATATGGCCCTGAATGTGTATGACTAATAAGGCGGGTATGTAAGCAGGTTCATAAGTACAATACTAATGAGCCACCCCCTCAGCAATATGATCCTTTCTTGTTCACCATCCTTTCATGTGATGAGTATACATGTTGTGTTTTCCTTAGCCAATTAACAACAGACATGATTTCCAAAAACTGATTCATCCGAAAACACACTCCATTCACAGAATAAATTCCTAGTGTTTGAAAGAAAGGTTTGAAAGTAGCAAATTGCAATTTGACCCAAAATTAAGAATTCTACAGGGATCATTATTATTCTGTAATTGCATGGAAACTACATATATCCAATTCTTGATGCACAACTGATTAAATAGTAATTTTAAAATTTTAACTTAATGATTATTTAAATGTTTCGTGACATATTTTGGTCCCCACATGACTTTTTACTGGCCCGTTTTGGTCCAATGAATCATGATGTCATGATTCCAATATGTTTTGTTATTTGTTTTTACAAAACAATTCTGTGGTTTATACGACCACACAATTACCAAGATATCAATAAACCAGAACTATAAATAAGTATGATGTCGCTGATCATGTGGGGCCAATCTGACTGACCAGTTAATTTTATAATGTTCATTATAAGACTGTGAATAGTTATTTGTCATTTCTCTTATTATGGTTATGTTGAGAATCCAATGTTGGGCTTACAATGCAAAAAGGCATTTTTGTAGCTGCAAGTTGAGAAAACCTATTTCAGTTGTCCTTTGAGTTAATATCAAATTATTATTTCCTTCTGAAAAATGAACTCACGGTCATCAGGTATACATCTAGGAGGAATATCTGACCATGAGCCTGAGTTGAGACACTCCACTATCCTGGAGCCCACCATGGTAAAGCCCTGCATACATTCAAACTCAATCTGAAAAATTAGAAATAGGGTACAGATAATCATTCAGAATACATGATTTAATTGCAATATTAGCTTGTGTCATTAACAATAATGGATGTTACGATGTTTCATGTATACAAAGTTATATGTATGGTTAAAATCTACTTATTCCACTGGATGAACTTCGGGGGATCAAGAGAATGGCACCATCTTTCCGTTAATTAGTATTATTATTGAGTTATCAAAGAGTACATTTTTTATGAAAAATGGTGGCCATCTTAAATTGAGCAGACATATTGAAAATTCCTTCTCAAGCAGAAGTCCTACACCCATAAGCCTATAAAATTTGAATCAAATCCGTGAACTGGTATTTGAGTTATGGCCCGGACAGATGGATGGATGGATGGACAAACAAACGGACAGATGGCTTCTCTAAATCCCTCTCAAGCTTCGTTCAGTGGGATAATAAAAATGTACCTTTGAACCTGGTTTGTAATAACCATCATCTGCCATGTACCAGTTACCATGTGGTGGCACCTTATCACCAGGTGGGACACACATCACAGGCACTGAAAAGATGGAAAGGTGAATACAAAAGCAAGAAATTAACAATTGTATTAAAGGCCCCGTGCAAAGTTTAAAAATATATAGTAGTTTAATCATTCAAATATTACTTTTCATAACTTGTAAAACTATTGAGACACTTGAAAAATGAGTTGTTCATCTTTCAAATATTTGCACTTCCAACATTTTAAATACAAAAGTTCATTGGGTAAGCCTATATAATAATTGGGTAGGCCTATAATATAAGCAAAAGTGGTTTAAACTTTATATGGGGCCTAAAAGCTAGTATAACCTGTCAAAGTTACTGAGTTACATAACTACATGTAGTTTCGATAACATGGAAAATTGTTAAATAATGACATAAATATTAGAAAGGATAGTAAGATGACTATAAGCATACTGAATTTCATTTAATGAAAAAATCGTAATTACCACAGTTTGGTGGGCCACCCACCCATTCTCCATTCTGGCATTCCATCAGAGTATATTTTTCATCATTAACTCTTCCCTTTCTATGGTAGCCTGCTTTACATGTGTAGAGAACTTTCTGCTTTTCTCTTTCTGGTGCATTAATGAATTCAAACTCACTGTTTGGGTAGTTGACTGGGTGGGGACAGCTTTCTACTATAGTATAAGATAAAATAATAATATATGGGTATTAGTTATATCCTGTATCAAAATTAACTCATAGACTAGATGGCTGAAGAAATATTGTAGATTCTTCTGATTAAATATTCAACATTTTTTGCTTCAAATCGTCCCGAATAGTAAAAATTCACATGTGTAACTGAAACTTTATAAACCGGCTATTTCTTTTCAATTTTCAGCCCTAGCACATTTTATTCCCCTGATATTTTGAGCTTCTTGCGTAAGGTCATCACACAAATATTTCATGAAGATCATTTTGGGAAGTGTGACCAAATATAAATCTAAAGTGTCACAATAAATTTCAAATAATAGGTTATCCTTAATTTTACAACAGCACACCGGAACACCCTGACAACATTAAAGTCAGACACCATTGTCACAAATAGTGGCCAAAGGTTCATATTCAATTCGATTTTCATTACCTGCATGTTAAATAGAGCACCTATTCAATTTATCATCTATACATATCAGACAAAAATACATAACTGATGAAGGGAGCGAGACACTGACAAGTGTAGCAATTGAAGATGACAAATATATGGAAAGAAAATTCCTGAGAACTATGAAGTTAAAATGGTTTTGCTCTTGTAATTTAAGCTATCATGAAGCTGTTTTGGCCCCATCTCACAGTCCCCATTCCCTGATAGAGTTTGTGTGCATGCGAAGAATAAGAGAGATAAGAATTGGTGAGGATCAAAAGTGGCAGAAAATGCCCAATGGAATGGTGTGGTGGAATATTCTTGGAATTAAATATTAAATTCCTTTGGTACAACAATCAATCAAAGTGACTTTCTGTTCATTGTAGTTAAAAAATATGTTCTATTATTGAAATAAAGGCTTTAATTTTACCAGTCAAAATATGGCACAGGACAATGGATGCCATATAAATGACAATGGTAAATGTGGGTCAAATGTGCTGTAAAATTGGGATGACAATGGTAGTATTTGACAATGCTATTTATAAAATAAAAAAAACAATGGTAAAGTGTCTAGTTTTTCTATGTTCCAATGCAATACATCCTATATATTTTGTTGTCACATCTTACCATGTGCTGTGTCCCTGTTAATTATTTCAAATTCAGATTCCGTTGTCATTAACAATATGGAAGATGGTGTATTGTGGCAATCCACATTTGACTGACATTGGAATTTAATATACATTGTAATACAAAATCACAAGAGCTTAATGCATGCACAGAATTCGCGACAACAAGTTCCTATGAAATGAGAACCAACTGATTAAAAATTTGAAGCGATGGTTACGTCCGCCATTCCGGACAACAGTATCTGACTTTATTGTTGTCCGGGTGTTCTGGTGTGAACAGAGTGTGTGCCTATTTTTGATTCAGTGAATTTGATTTTATGAGACTTGATAGTTGATAATCATTACCATAAGTACAGGTAGGCTTTTCAGGAGGGTCCCAGAATCCAAGATGATTGCATACCATTTTGCTTGAGCCTAATAGAGCCATGTCCTTATAACAGGAATAATGAATTTGTGTTCCAGGTAAAAATGGTGTTTTGATAGAGACTGTCACTCGTCTCCATCCACCTTTAATCTCCCCTGGGTCTGAACATGTTACACCTGAAAAGAAAGTATTTACAAGGTAAATGAAAAATGCATGTACATGTAATATGAAAGTTTCCATCATCAACGACACAGGGGGATATTGGGCATTTGTATGCTTGCTTTGATCACATTATTTCTGTCATAATATCATCTTATAAGAGTTTTATTATTTCCGCTTGTCAGGACAGGCGGAACTATTAACTATACAAGCTTATGATAAAATGACGATGGAGGTTAGACCTAGTCAGGGCCATAAGACATGTCAGATAAGAAACGAGGCCCCAGACTTACCATATTCTATGGCCACTGAGTTGAAATATAGCGGAAATAAGACATGCTTTCAAAATGGAGAACGGGACAATGTCTATTTTAAATGAAAACGTTCAATATCTCATCAACAAGACAAGCCGTTACCATTTCAATTCTTGAAATATTAACAGAATTTTATTGAACGGCGGCTAAAGATTTTACAATAGTTAACAATAGTTAACGTTGTTCCAGATGGAATTACTTCTAGCCAAGAATTGGCTAGAGATTCGAGTAACCCCAGACTTGGTCTAACCTAATTGGACTACATGTATGTAACAGACTGTACATTTCAGGATCATTAAATTTTACCTGTATCTGGTACTCCAACAGTAGTTCCTTGTTCTGTTCTTACCGGATCTATTTGTGCATTCAGTATGCTGTATATGAAGATGACAGTCAGCCACATATTTGTAATTATCCCAATACTCACACTGACAGTCGAGTATTATTAATTGTCATTGAGATCGGTTCTAAAACATATCTGTTTTCACCTCAAGTGTTCCAGAATGCCTCAAGCGAGCAGATAAATACCGATCTGAATATTTAAAATTTTGTTATTTAGATCTATATGAATTTGTTTTGACTGAGGTTCAATTGTTTGAACTTGTTTTCCTGATATTATTTATTTTCACCGTACCATTTCCTGAAAATCACACAAAATTCCTCTCTTAAATCCATAGAACTTATAGTCATTATGAACCTGGAAATAATTTCTATTATTTGGAAATATTCCATAGGCGTGAATAGCTAATATAACGTGTAAAATAAATGAAAATAGTTTCAAAGTTTGTTTTAGAAAATATTGGCAGCCATTTTCTGACGTAACAGGAAGCTGAATACACATGCGCGCTGAACTCTGACATTAGCTCGAACAGCACAGAAAATAAAGGAAAGATCAGGCCTGAATATAGGATAATAGTAATAGCCGCTCTTTTATCTACTTTTCATAGGGTAAGTTCTGTTTTTCAATAATATTGATTGTGATCTTAAATTGTCGAGGACACACCATTGCTCCGAATTCCAAAGGTCCGAAATTCCTCCAAATCCCTATCGTCCACAGGATAGATCTAAGCTTTTCTCCATCTAAAATGTCACTCGACTTTTTTGTGATTATGAGTCAAAGAAAGCATTCTTGAGTTTCAAATTGACTTCTGTGGTAAGTTGAAACCATCTTCTAATTTATTCCACTTACCTTTTATTGTTTCTCCAAATATATTCTTTGAAAATCGGATTTTAAGGGTGTTAATCAGGGTAATTCTGTGCCATTTTATCAAAAATCTTGTTGCTATCTAGAAACAAGCAATTGTGATCTTGTTGTTACCTAGGAACGAGCAACTGTGATGTCACGTCACACTCATGTTAATTCTGGAATCACATGGCAGCCATTTTGGAAATTTCAAAAATGTTCCCAATTAAAAAGGCTAAATGCTGTTTACAAATTGGAAACTATGGCAGAATCAACAAAGGGTTTGTGAAATAATTAGGATATGGTTTCAAAATTATGCACATGACAATATATGACTGCTAAATGCAGGCAGGGACTTTTAATTGCCAAAAAGTCGAGTGACATTTTAGATGGAGAAATCCTTAGGCCTAGTCTATAGGAACTTGAACTCCTACTCAATCATCAATCAAATCACTTACTCTGGTGACCAGTTTGTATGGTTAAAATCACAGATCCGGAGCCAGATCCAGCCCCTGTTGGTAGTAGGCTCAAAGGATAAATGAGTATATTTATTGAGCCTAGACACAGAGGAGCTTATCTGGCAGAGGTCCGTGGTTAAATAACGAAATGATATGATGTTACTATGTGTCTACTTACCAGTTGGTTCTATGTCATCCATCGGACTAGGTTACATTGTGGAACGCAGCCAAACACGACAATGAAGGCAACAACATATTGACATTGATCTTAGCAGAATGGGATTCGTACCATTGGGATTCGGACCATTAGGATTTGTATCATTGGGATTCGTATCATTGAGATTCGTACCATTGGGGTTTGTACCATTGGGATTCGTAGTTTGTACCATCGGGATTCGGATCATGGGGATTCGGATCATTGGGATTTGGATCATTGGGATTTGGACCATTGGGATTTGGATCATTGGGATTCGGATAATTGGGATTCGATCCATTGGGATTCGTACCATTGGGATTTGGATCATTGGGATTCTGATCATTGGGATTTGGACCATTGGGATTTGGATCATTGGGATTCGGATCATTGGGATTCGGACCATTGGGATTCGTATCATTAGGATTCCGACCATTGGGATTCGGATCATTGGGATTCAGACCATTTGGATTTGTACCATTTGGGATTCGGACCATTGGGATTTGGATCATTGGGATTCGGATCATTTGGATTCGGACCATTGGGATTCAGACCTTTGATGTGTCCTCAAATAACCAAGGATCAAAATGTCGTGATTTATGAAATTTCAGAAAGAATATTGATAATTTTGAATTGTCATAATAGGCCTACATCTTTATCATGAAGTCATACAAGCCCGAGATAACAACTTAAATGATAAAGGAAAAAATAATTCATACCTCAATCTTGCTATTATGGCCATAATTAATGTAAAATTGAAGTTTGTCAAATCGGAGTCTCTGAGTCCTGGTAGAAAAGATTTTTCTCAGGGGACTCAAACTCAATTCTGATGTCACCACCAAAAAGTGGTGACATATTGTTAATAATGGTCTCCGTTTATTGTGACGGCGGTCGGTGATCGGCGATTGGTATCTGTAACAAATTCTTAAAACTTTCAATAACTTACAAATACTGTTTACACTGACTTAAGTTTTTTTTCAAAATCATCTACAAGTTTTCAGAAGTTCAAATGTGACTTTATCTTTATTTTTAAGATTTGAGTTTATTGACCTTTTCAAAAGGTCAAAAAGGTCTTTCTTCAACTTGCTTCAAATTGACCAATTTTTTTCAAAATCAGACAAGTTCTCAAAACTTCAAATCTGATTATAGATTTGACCTTCAATGACATTCTGAAGGTCAAAAAAACATTTGACCTTCAATGACCTTCTCAAGGTCTTTTTTCAACTTGCTTTAAATTGACCATTTTTTTTCAAAATCATCCACAAGTTCTCAGAAGTTCAAATCTGACTTTAGGTTGAACTAATAGTATTATAATAGGTGGTGTTAATGCCCTGATTATACATGATCCTGGGCCTATGTGTAAAACGGACAAATCCCAACTTGTCAAGTTCATGGCTTTAGGCATTAACCATGGAAATTGGCAGATCTGAGAGGAAAGATTGTCAAAGAGCTAGAGCTAAAATGGGACTATATCATCCTGACACCTGGGACAAATCACCAGAAAAGTGGATTTTTAGTCAATTTAACAATATTTTGGGAAATATAGTCTCAGCAAACTCCAGAGGAATTCGACACTGACATCTATGAAGTTGAGAGGAATAAAATGGACTTTTGCAAGTCTGAGAGGAATTATAAACATGGAAACTTTCAATCTTGTCAGGGTCCAAATTTGAGCCAAAATGTTTTGGCTAAGACAATCTTCAATCTTTGAACCATGGGAAAATGTTTATTGAATATGTTTATGAATTCGCGAAATATGATGCAATCATTTGTGATGTCACACATGTACAGGGTGACCCCAAAAAATGCAACCCTCCATTTCTTCAATATTTTTCTTAAATGTAGGTAAATTGCTCTGAGATTTGGCACACAGGAACTTCATTCAATGTGGAATCCTTTGGCAAAGTTTCAATAATCTTAGTCTTATATTGATAGAGTTATGGTTGTTTCAAAATATGCTCCAGATGTCGTCAATTTCGCTGAAAACAAACTTGCAATGTTCAAGGAAGACTGTTCATAACACGGATGCACTCTTCCTCATGGGTATGGCTCAAATTTTTGCAGCCATTGCTTGTTGGAGTTCTGCAATTGCGGTGGGGTTATTTTCATACACAATTATCCTTTAAATAAACCCATATATAGAAGTCAGGGGCATTGAGATCAAGACTGGGATGACCATGGGTTCTCCGTCCTAGGAGAGATAGTCTTCTCATAGAAATGACTAGTGAGCCAGGCTATGCTTTCATTAGAAGTGTTAGGAGTGCCTCCATTCTTCTAGAATCACTGTTCTTGTCCATTGAAGCCTCTATGTCACTCTAGAACTGCCTGGGAACGCTAATATTGCGCTGTGTGTTAACAGTAACAGTGTTGCTATTATCAACCTCAAATCAAAAGGGGCTGATGATTTCATGTTTGGAAATTGGCAGCCCAAGCTGTGCATTTAACAGAATGTAGGGGCCTTTGAAGCACTTCATCTGGAATTTGTGATCTCAGAACACATTATTTCTTGAGTTATCATGTTCAGAAAGAAGGGAATGTGATTCATCAGAAAACCTAACATTGGAAATGGACGACATTTAGAGCATATTTTGGAACGATCATAGCTCTATCAATATAAGACTGTGATTATTGAAACTTTGCCAGAGGATCTCACATTGCATGAAGTCTTTGTGTGCCAAATTTCAGAGCAATTAACCTCCATTTAAGAAAAATATTGAATAAATGGAGGGTTGCATTTTTTTGGGTCACCCTGTATCATGGTTTTGGTCCATGTTCAGGATATACTATTTCTCCTGTATATGACCCTAAAACTTCCCAAATGCACGATAAATATGATCTAGACTTGAATTTTCTTTCGTTTTTATAACTTCTCTGCCGGATTACGTCCATACCTAAATACTGGGAAAAAATATCATACTCTGCTCTGCCTCGATTGATATTTTATTCCTGGAGGTGATCTTTGGATATATCACACTCTCCATCATGTAATAATGCTATTTTATCTCCCACCCGTTGGGTGGATATTGTCTGAAGTTAATTCCCACAAAAAATTTGTAATGTGATTGAAAGTATAACACTGTTGAATTCTGTTATTATTACCTAAATTTCATTGATAAGTGTGGTGCCAAATTAACATAATCAGTGTTTCAAAAATACTTTCTGCTTGTGTATCTGTGGTTATTTGAGATGGATGACCTCAACAGAATAATTCAAGTGATTGAGCATGGCAGCTGTTGATCTGTTTTATATTACACTCATAATGATTCAGTGCTCAGATTACATGTTTTTGTTCACAAAAATTAGTTTTTTCATTTAAAGGTGGGAATTTAAGGTAAATCAAAAAGAAGGAGTAACTAGCTGATCGATTCATCGCGCTAGGTCACCTTAAATCATCATCATGTACATGTATCTTATTCATATTAATGATTTAAATATGATGATTTCTTATTGATTTCAGGTTGCAGATATCAACAATATTATCCTGAAATACCTTCACTCTTACAATCCATAGATGCAGTTGAGCCTATAGATGATTAAGCCTGTGCAATATCATAGGATTAAGATATTTAAGGACAAAGGACTGTAATAATGGCCAATAATGATGAGACTTGATTCAATGAATGCTTCAGTGGCAGACCATACTGAGCAGCATAAATGCAGATATATCAGCCATCAATACAAATTACATGAATTACAATTATGCAGGAAACACAGAAAGATAAAGGAACAGAAGATCTACACTTGCTGGGAAAACTTGCAGATTATTGAAATAGCTGAATAACCTACTAGATATGAAAATCCTGTGTTTCAGAATGACTTGGTTACGTCTTATTGTTATACTAGTAATTGCACTAGCTTGCTTACAACTTTTACACATGTCAATGCTTAGTCAGTTAGAAATACGGAACAATCAATTTGAAATCAAAAAGTCACGATTCATTTTTAAGAAGGTGGCCTTGAAGCAGTTTCAGGAGATACAAAATGCACTGCATGGTAGCAGTATACTGGATTCTAGCGGCCAGTACAGAATTATACATTTTTTATTGAAGAGTAAAACACAACAGGAGGAATCGCAGAATAATGTTAATGGTTTGACATTGTTAACTCAGTGTTCAGCCAATAGATTACATTACCTTATAGATCTTGCAAACCAATGGAGTGCACCAATATCAATTGCCGTATTTACAATTTCAAAAGATATTAAAAATGTAGTAAGAACATTGCTATATCTGCAGTTCTGTGTGCCTGCAATTCGAGAGTATGTTTCAATACATTTAGTGTTTCCCTTTGCCTCAAATATTGAGGCCATTACAGAAACGGACATTGATATGCCCCATGATGTATGCCATAATTTAAAGGATGAGCTCCAGAAGCGGTATAATACTACTCTCAATTATGACTTGCAGGGTGTTCCCTACCCCAATAACCTACTACGTAATATAGCACTACGTAATGCTCATACTGACCATATCTTTCTCATTGACATAGATTTTATACCTTCCAAAAATCTCCATAGTAACTTTCTCAATTTTGCTCAAACCAATGGGATATTTGACATCAACAGATCTGTATATGAAAAAACAGTTTACGTTGTTCCAGCATTTGAAACACGTAACAAAATCTCAATTCCAAGCAACAAAGATGAGCTATTATTGCAGTGGAAAAAATCAGAAATCCGACCTTTTTATTATGAACTTTGTTGGAAGTGTCAAAAACAATTAGACTATGAAGCATGGGGATTGGCAAACTCAACGAAAAGTGTGACAGTAGCTTATGAAATTGAATGGAAGGATCCCTGGGAACCATTTTATATCACAAGAAAAACCATCCCAGTTTATGATGAGAGATTTAAGCAGTATGGCTTCAACAGAATAAGTCAGGTAGGTACATGTTGTAATTCCTTCAGTATTATTGAAACATTATTCCTCGTGGTCTTGAGCTTTTTGTTGATTGGTATGCTGATTCCTGAATGTTGGGGGACAAGGATATACAATAGGGGAGATGTTACTCAAATGTATCTTTGCATATTAGATTAATAGAAGCATGTTACACTTTCTAATGACAATTTGGCTAGTGAGTGGCCATGTGTTATTTTATGTTGTTGCTTAGCTGGAAAAGTAGCAGAGTATAGTTTTCTTGAAATTTTATTTTTGAAAACTTTGAAGCCTTTGAAGATTTGTTCATCTTGCTTAACAGATTTGTTAATCCTGCTAAACGGATTTGTTCATCCTGCTAAACGGATTTGTTCATCTTGCTAAACAGATTTGTTCATCTTGCTTAACAGATTTGTTCATCCTGCTTAACAGATTTGTTCATCCTGCTAAACAGATTTGTTCATCCTGCTAAACAGATATGTTCACCCCGCTAAACAGATGTTCATCCTGCTAAACAGATTTGTTCATCCTGCTTAACAGATTTGTTCATCTTGCTAAAAAGATTTGTTCATCTTGATCAATAGATTTGTTCATCTTGCTAAACAGATTTGTTCATCCTGCTAAACAGATATGTTCACCTGCTTAACAGATTTGTTCATCCTGTTAAAGAGGCTCTATGACATAGGATAGCATAATCAAGACCCCTCTGGACTTTTTTGCATATTGAGTTTCACAACATATATACCCATCTACTTACCAAAGAAGAAGTCCCAAATCCCCCTCTTTCAGCGTTTATTTTGCGATTGTGCTGGCCGATCTTATTATTTTCGAAGAAATTAATTCAATCTGAAGTTTGAATATTCCGGGAAAGTCCTCCTGTTATCTGATTGGCCGTTGAATTTGTTTATCATAAACCTGATTGGCTCCCTGGTTCAAGGCGCTTGTGGGTGCTTGTGTGACTCAATGGGGATTCCCCTCGATAGCCAAGGAATCGATTGTGTTTAATTCTGGAGTTTGGTTGTTCTGTTGATTATTTCTGATATTTCGGCAATAATATACCCAAAAGTAATTCTCAAGATATATCCATGGTATGTGAGATATTATATGAGCAATGTCAATAGGACATCATTGATTGTCTGGGGGAGAAACCTATGGCATAATGCATCTTTAAACAGATTTGTTCATCTTGCTAAACAGATTTGTTCATCTTGCTAAACAGATTTGTTCATCTTGCTAAACAGATTTGTTCATCCTGCTAAACAGATTTATTGATCCTGCTTAACAGATTTGTTCATCTTGCTTAACAGATTTGTTCATCCTGCTAAACAGATTTGTTCATCCTGCTTAACAGATTTGTTCACCCTGCTAAACAGATTTGTTCATCCTGCTTAACAGATTAGTTCATTCTGCTAAACAAATTTGTTCATCTTGCTAAGAAACAGATTTGTTCATCTTGCTAAGAAACAGATTTGTTCATCCTGCTAAACAGATTTGTTCATCTTGCTTAATAGATTTGTTCATCTTGCTAAGAAACAGATTTGTTCATCCTGCTAAACAGATTTGTTCATCTTGCTTAACAGATTTGTTCATCTTGCTTAAAAGATTTGTTCATCTTACTAAACAGATTTGTTCACCTTGCTAAACAGATTTGTTCATCCTGCTAAACAGATTTGTTCATCTTGCTTAACAGATTTTTTCATCTTGCTAAACAGGTTTGTTCATCTTGCTAAACAGATTTGTTCATCTTGCTAAACAGATTTGTTCACCTTGGTAAACAGATTTGTTCATCCTGCTAAACAGATTTGTTCATCTTGCTAAACAGATTTGTTCATCTTGCTAAAAAGATTTGTTCATCTTTCTAAACAGATTTGTTCATCTTGCTAAACAGATTTTTCATCCTGCTAAACAGATTTGTTCATCTTGCTAAACAGATTTGTTCATCTTGCTGAACAGATTTGTTCATCTTTCTAAACAGATTTGTTCATCTTGCTAAACAGATTTTTCATCCTGCTAAACAGATTTGTTCATCCTGCTAAAAAGATTTGTTCATCTTGATCAATAGATTTGTTCATCTTGCTAAACAGATTTGTTCATCTTGATCAATAGATTTGTTCATCTTGCTAAACAGATTTGTTCATCTTGCTTAAACAGATTTGTTGATCCTGCTAAAAAGATTTGTTCATCTTGATCAATAGATTTGTTCATCTTGCTGAACAGATTTGTTCATCCTGCTAAACAGATTTGTTCATCCTGCTAAACAGATTTGTTCATCCTGCTAAACAGATTAACATTGCTTAACTTTTTTTGTAGTGCAATTGTTTTTTCCCCTTTCTACCAATTCTTGAGAATGAAATAAAATGTCTTTCCGAACCTTGTTGGAACAAAATAGCATATACAACATGTTTTTAGACCTCTCAATATAATAGTTATACAAAGGAATTTTTGATTGATTTTAAAAAAGTATTCAAAAAGTTAAAACAAAATCCCCCCAAAATAGATAAAAATCAAGTTAAACCTTTTATTTCATCAACATTAGATACTTTTTTTTAAAATCATCCAAAATTTTCTTTGTACAATCACAATATTGAGAGACTTAAACATGTTGTGTTTATGTCGTTTTGTTCCAATGAGGTTTGGAAAGATGTTTCATTTCACTCTGGAAACATGACACCAAGAACAAAACAAGCGTTTGATGTGTTTTCTAAAACAATATAGATGAAAGTATATATACTGTATATATATTTCAAATTATATTATTACCATTCAAAAGATGACCATTAAATTGTAGATGTGTTCAATTTTTCGATTTCTTTCATGACTGGTTTAAGAGAAACACGTGTTCAAAAAGTTCTCCATATCGATACCACTCCTTTGCTAAATAGATATGTTCATCTTGAATCATTCAATTTGTGAGTTCCAATTGTGTTCATTTTGCCCAACAGGCATATATTCATCTAGCTAAATAGATGTGTGCAAGTTCTCTATATAGGTAATATCTTTCCTAGTTTCTTTTTATGTTAGTTGGCAATACCCAGTTATCTTTGGCACACTGACCAAGGAATTTAGTAAATCCTTTGACATATTTGAAGATGTAATTGATTCTTATTGACAAGAACACTAATGGCCTAATGGAAATATATCTCCCGAGGCAGACAGTATAGATTAACCAATAATTTGATCAATATTCATCACATCTATCCCTTGCAGATTTATATGTGGCATGCTTGTCTCATTACAAAATCTATGTCAAGTATGATTTGATTATCTCAGGTACTTTTCTTGTAGATGTCATTTAATGAACAGGAACATTTAATGATGAACATGTAGTTGAAAGGAGTTGCCTTGCAGGTCATTTCAAATTTATAATATATTTTGTGATAACACACAGATCTAGAGATGGGCAAAGAATGTGTTTAATCTTTATATAAGGAATATTGGAAAACGTATTCAATCATAAATCATAGATGAAATAGCTTTGTTAACTGAAGCGTTGTCATGTGTAGTATGAATATACTCTGATTATCTTTTGTTGAAAGGCCCAGCGGGAAATCATACTTTTACATCAATGCTCTTTGTTAATAAAAGGACTCATTAAGGTTACATCTTTGACATGTTTTGCCTATTGATAGTCTTGCTCTTTTACTTGAATTGTTTGTGATTGGCTACAGGAATTTAAATGCTATGATTCACAATAATCTGTTTTGGAGAAGGATTTTTTCATCCTAAAATTATTCCTAAAAAATTATGTAAAACAAAACACACTTATCATCAGGGGCAGCTTTGGAAATCCAGAGAGGTTACCATACCATAAAATGAAGCCAATTTTGAAAAAAAATGCTTGAAACGGTCCAATTACTCAGATGCGAGTAGGTAGTTACCAGTTTTGCCACCAGGTGGCTGATTCGGGGGAATTAACATGGCAGGGTATTACAAAATTCCCTTAAACTTGAATATGCATCAGTTTTAGTGGTTCACTTTTCATATTACCCTTATGTATCTGATAGTTATACAGATTAAAATATGCCCAGTAAAAGAAAATATTATCTGCCCAACACAAGAAAAGATATTTCACTTTTTGTGGTTTTACAACATGGGGTCTATGGTGAATCTCCCCGACCTAGAAGTCACATTTTCAAATAAAATTAAATTTTCAAAGTTGATAAACTCTTTTCAAAACCACATTTCTAAAAGTAATTTTACATGTAGATTCCAAATATGACATTAGTTTGACTGAATTATTTGACTGAATTTTTAATGACGTAAATCAAGATTATTTCTACTCGCATCTGGGATATTGCTAGAGGCACTTGACCAAAGGAAATATAATTGCCCCTCCACCAACCAGAGGCTCAGTTTGAATCTGCAACAAATGTTGAAAACCTTTGTAATAGATAGATGGTAAACACTTTATTCGTCGTTTATCATAGCCCACACAAAATCAATTCAGGTCATGGAGTTTAGAATAATAGAATAACCATGTTCTCACTGATGAGGTCCTTGTTTGAAACATGAGCTCAGATGCCATGGGTACTCTTTAATATTCACTATTGATTCACTTATTTAAGCATGACATATGTATTCATGTTTCCATGGAAGCATACATGTACATATGTAGCCACATTACTTTTTGAATTTTGCATCAAATCTCTGGGGACCCTCCCACTACCTGCTCTAACCTTTTATAGAAAGTATTATTGGAAGATACACTCAAGAGCTTATAACATTAGGTGCTCAGTATTTCAGTAATGATTCAGAAATTCTTTTTCGATCTGGAAATTACAATTACGATTATTGCTGAATTCTAGGTTAAATGTCACTTTTGGGAAATTATTACTTAAAATAGATCCAACCCTGTGAAATGAAAAGTCAATTTATGGTACTAAGTGTCGTCCTGTGTTCAAAAACCTCATATGACATGGATAGGGATTATGGGCCATGTCATCCTGTATGCCTAAATGCCTGTCTCTGGAAATTAAATTGATCCAGTCCTTCTGATTTTATCAAGCAAGCAATTTCCAAGTTGGAATACTTATCCAATAGGGATAATACAATACACTGATAGTTAGGGAGACTGGAATCCCAAGGAGTCCCTCAGTCAGTTTGCGTAGTGTGTGTCTGTCCATGTGGTATAGGTATCTGTAGTGTAAGGCTAGTTGAAATTGATAATATACATGGACATGATTTATGTTAGAACATTATAACGTTTTTTGTAATATGCATATATAATTTGTACAATAATGACAATGAAATATGAAAGTTGTTAAATAGGAGTCTAAACTTCAAACTGTTTGGACCCCTTCTCTCCCCAATATCCATCGAGTCGGGTGAGATGCAGACACTTTTGATGAAGAGTATGTTGTTTGTACTTGCAGGTTTGTGAGGTCCACTTTGCTGGTTATACCTTTGCTGTGCTCAACAATGCATTCCTACTACACAAAGGTTACAAACTGCCTTCCAACTTCCATAAGACTAAAGAACAAGAACAACAGCGCAATAGGATCCTCTTCAGACAGTTCAAAGAGCAACTGAAAACTAAATATCCTAATTCTACCAGGAGGTGTTACTGAATTTCCTCCCTTCCCTAACCCTACCCCAATTCTCTTTAATTCCCCATACCATGTTTTGAGGAGAAATTAAGTGGATGGAATACTAGATATTAATATAACTGAGTACTGCCATGTTTTCAAATGCAATAATGATGTTGAGAAAAGCAAACATTCATTTCATCTTTGTAGCAAGTTAACCTATTTCTCTCTTGTCATCTCTCTTCTCAATATTCTCTAACATTGGTTTTAATCATGCAGTCCTAACTTCGACCGTTAATTTGAATTTTTGACCTACCAGGTGCTTGAAAATCAAGGATTGCGAGTCTCATACTGCACTGTTTTTTCTTCAAACTTATACCATTAAAAGCAGAACAAAATTGCCTTTCTGTCGGTGCATTACTTTATTTAAAAAGTCCCTCGTTCTAGCAGCGTTTTGGTTCCAGCTGTTAGAAGGCCTTCTTACAGCTGGGGACCAAAATGCCGCTGGAAGTAGGGACTCTGTTGAAGAGAATAATGTATCATCAGGAAGGGATTTGTGTTATGCTTTGAATGGAACAAGTTTGAAGAAAAACGGTGCAGTATGAGACTCGTAATCCTTGATTTTCAAACATCCGGTAGGTCAAAAATTCAAATTAATGGTCGAAGTTAGGACCGCGTGTCAATGGAAGGTTGAGACCAAGGTTATTCCCATACTGCTCACTGGCGGATCTGGTGCCCCCCTTGGGTGGGCCCAGAAAAAAAATTGGGCCCAAAGAAATTTTGGACCAAAAATTAAGGTCCCAATAAGTGGGCCTTTTTGGGCATTATTTGGCCTTTGTTTTTTATTAATTTTTGGCAAAATTTTGAAGTTAATGGGCCTAAATTATCAAAATTTGGGGCCACTTTTTGGTTTTAGGGGCCCATAATTTTTTTTATCAGACTTGAAATTTGGGCCCTCCCTCGTTGGTTCCCAGATCGGTCCCTGCTGCTATACCATTGTATTTTTTCAATCATATGAAATAACTTGATGGATAGATTGAGGATGCTATGTCAACTGAAGGTGTTATGTTCAGTGAACACTAGAACTTGGGATGCAATCTAAGAAGCAATCAGTGATGTGGCCGATTAATTTTACAAAAGACGAATCTGTACTGCAAATGGTATAGATATGTAATAATGTCAAACACTTCATTCATTAACAGTGTCCACCAGTCTCATGCTTTGAATGTTGAAGTAGGAGAATCTCTGGATAATAAATTTTTTTAGTTGCCTCTACAGTACCCTATTTTTTATGTAAGGGTTGACATTTGAATATAAAATCTAATTTTGCTTTTTCAATGTCCATCTGATTCATTTGTGTATATACATTTTAGGATTTTGCAACTTTGAACCAAACTTTGCTACTGGGATTACATGCACCATTTTGATGAGTTGTTGTTTAATAAAAGGGGTAAATTATACTTTTATAGCAAATGCAATAGTCTGAGTGCAAACTAAGTTTCAGTGTAATGATTTTATTCTTTGATTTACTTAACATATACATGTTCTTGTGCAAAAAATAAAAGTGCAAAAGTAGGGACTTTTGGTTGAGTGTATTCTAATGGGATATTGCAGTGAGTGATTTAAAACTAGAAAGTAAGGTACAATATATTATAGACTTCTACAAGTGCAAGTGTTCATTTACAATTATCATGTTCATGAAAACTGTTTTTTTACAGTATTGTACTGCCTGTACATATAATATATTTATCTAGCATTTTATAGCATCAACTATGACAACACTCTCCCAATTATAGCGTGCCATAAGTAACATTTTAATGTAATTGCAATAATTTTGAATTATATAATTTGAGCTTCATCAGATTTGTTCATTGCTTATGTCCTCTACAGGATAAGCACTTGAAGATACTCATTCTTTGACAAATTCTCGAATTATGTAACAGTATAAATAAATAAGTAAAAAAATTCCTCTGCACAGAAGATTGATTAATTTTCCCCTGGAATTATGGGATTATCTATCTATAGGATCACCTATACTTGGTGGGGACATGTACACAGATATGATCTTGTTATTCTAAGTACTGTTTAGTATCATAACAATTCTGAGAAATGTCTACAAATACAGATATCATATATTGCATGAATTTATACTTTTGTAAACAATTTAATTTGAAATATATAAAACATTCAATCTTTATTCCTAAATTGGAAGTAATTTTGTCTTATTCAAATTGAAGTTAGAAATATGGCAGTATGATTCGATTATGGGCACCCTTTCCACCAAAGGGATTCATGTTAACAGAGGGGATGTCAGTATTTTCTAAAAGTGTTCAAAATTTAGTCAAAGTGACATAACATTTGATTACACTTCAGATCACTGCTCCAAGGATTCCATATACACGTGGGGTGGGAAGAATTGGCTTTCAGATGCAGAATTTCAGAATCTAGAATTTTGATGAGTTCCCACGTAATTGAGATATTTTCTGAAAGCATGAATGATCAGTCTTACCCATCCGTAAAATGTGAACATTTGAGAGTTCATACAAAGATGTAAATAATGCTCTAGTTTTACAAAAATCAAATCTCCATAACAACATACTTGCTCCAATACTTCTCACCTCATAACTCGCCACCGAAAGTATCTGGTCTCGCCTGGTATCAGATTTTTTGTCTGAACCAGCAGTGGATCTGTAGATCTTCGAATTACTTTTGTTTTAGTCCAAATGCAATTATGCATTGATTCCCCCTACATCCTACTTTTTATTATATACATACATGTATATACTATACATGTAGTTTGATATTCTCCATTTCAATTCAAATGCTTAATCGGTTTTATGTCTGATGGGGTTAGACATCTTTTAAGACTTAGATGCCATCTTTTAATATTTAAACAAATTACTTTCTTGTATTCCAATATGTTCATTATTAGATGGACTAAAATGATAAACTCAACACATTTATGTGAATTCATTAACATAATATTTATTTATCATATTTCTTAATTCTTAAACATGGTATTTATTGTTAAATCATATTTTTTAATTCTGATAGTTTTATCTACATACAAATGTTTTTGAGGAACATGTGAAATTATCAACAAAGTCAACTTAAAATGCATCATAGCCATATTTGAAAAAATGTTATGCAAATGAAAAAAAATAATTTAATTCCAAGACGAAGCATGGAATAGCATGATAACCATGGTAAATCTTTTTGATAATAAGTTTGTCAGTTTCTATCCTTTACAATACAGTGTATCTTCAGGATGGCAGATGCTGTATTAACTGCCATCAAAAGTGCACCCAAATGTGCAGGCAAATTGTCTAGCAACATTCTTCTACCATCCTCAATGTCAATGGCCTTTTCTGGTGCTGTATCTGAATTGATATCCATGATTCCAAGATTTCCCAACATTTTAAAAACCAAGGCATTGTCCCTAGTAATTGCGCCACACATACATGATGCATAATCATCGTTTCCATTCTCTGCTATCCAATGGTGTCCATACTTCATGTCCAGTTTATGGTTCAGTTTCGTGTCACTTGTTGCCATTGCAATATCATGTAAAGAGTGTGTAAATGCCTCAGCTGCCTGCCTAAGCTGGTGCCTTGAACAGCCTAGCTGCTCTGTCAGTTCAGACATTTTACTAGATATCTGGAATTATAAATCACATGTCTGTCATATGTAGTGGAAGGGTATGGGGACCCCAAATAGTATTTTGATAGGACACATATTTTGGACTGATGTCAGACTTAAATGAGAATGCTAGATATAGTAGTTTATATCATAAACAGGATGCTAACACAACAAAATGTCATCACCTGACAAGTTATTATTAAGTTACCCACCAAACAAATGTGATCTGAGCTAGATTTTGTGATTATTTTTAAAATTCTCGCTAAAATATGAGTCGGTGGCATCTATTCTTAACTAGTTAGGGTTCTACTCTAAAAATGTTGTATCTTATGAATTAAGTGAATGAAAAAGAAAAAATAGGAGATAAAATTTCTATCACAGGGTAGGTGCGACCTGACTAGACAACAGCAATTCCAAGGCATAGCAAATCCCATCAAACAGACATGGCTGCCATTATGGCCAAAATATAAAAGTGTAGATTCAGCCAAAAGGAGACAATACTCCTGCCTGATTTTATTATATAATCTTCAGACTGTTGAGACTGGTGGGATTTGCTACTCTAGAGATCTGCAAATGATGGCCATAACAATATCACCATCTTCATGGTGACATACATGATTGATTATAAGACTTAAAACACTCAACTAAAGACAAATTTTAGACTTAATGTATTTTACACCTACCAAATAGTTGATATGAGCAGACAGAATAGTTTCCCAGCAACCACCTCCATATAGCATCTTGGGTTGCCATAGCAACTGGCGAAGTGACCTCAAAGCAGTGTCACAAACAACCTAGAAATACACAAAGTAATTCCTTTACATAGAAATAAATGATCTCTATTTCTAAGTTTGAATCTGCTTCTTTAAAGCAGCTTCATCTGGCTTTAATTGGAGCTATCAAGCAAAAAGTTGCAAAATGACGGAATCAAGAGTTGATCTTTGAAATATTTAATACAGTGTAGGTGTACATAGTTTGTACTTTGTTCTTACCTGAAATGGTGGGTTATACATTTATTATCTCATAAGTGAAGATGTTAAAACTATTCATTTCCATGGACCTGATGAGGCAGAGTGGAAGGTACGGTGCATTATGGGCAATTTTGAATAGATAGTACATGGAATATCTGAGCATACAATGAGTAGAGCGTAAAAGAGACACATAGGGATAAATATCATATAAGAAGAGCTAAATGGCCACCTTGTAAATTACCAAGCATACCCACCAGGCCCGTAGCCAGGATTTGCCAAGGGGGGGTTCACTTTTTGAAAAATTCCAGGGGGGGTTCACTTGTGACAATTTTGAATATTGGTCCAAAAATGGCCAAAATCACTTAAAAAGTGCTCAGAATGGTGAAAAACTTCATGATTTTGAAAGATTTTTTGGCCAGGGGGGGGGGGTGGTTCGCTCGAACCCATCAAACCCCCCTCCTGGCTACGGGCCTGCCCACAATCCAATCAGAAGTTGGCACAAGTCTGCTGTATAGCGGCTATAATTAGATGTTATAACTATAACATCTAATTTACACCTGGTACATCTGAATACTTAAAAGTACAAGGAATTCAGAAAACAGTGGAATACCATTTAAGGTTAGATTTATTAACCATACTCTATACCAAGGGATGGACCAATTTATCCAAACAGAGTTCAAACAAAGCAATGACAAATGACAAGCTTTATAGAATAAAAAAATTATCTCATACAACTGGCCAATTAAGGTTGGCCTAAATAGTAATTGTAAAAATTCATAATAAAATACCATACTTCCGGTTTATTTCGCGAGTTTTTAGAAATCACAATTTTGCGGCTAATAAATTTTGTGGATCTCACAAGTTTAAAATTTCATTATTCTCTGAATCCTAAACTCTGTAAGCTAAGTTACCATATGCACAGTTATTGCACCTACCCAATGTCATATTTTTCACAAAAATAGCTCGAGTATTGTATACATTTTAATCAAGTTTATGGAAATTTAAGCACATTTTACAAAATTATACCCCACCCAATCTGCTAGTGTCTCAAAAAACATTATGTTGCTCCCTTCTGTCCTTTATGATCTGTCCCTGGATTGCTAGCAATTGGATTGGTAGTAACACAAATGATCACATAAAATATTCACATAAATTCTTTGGTAATTAGACCTAATATTTCAAAAAGGAATGGTTAATTATTTTCATCACAACATTCTTGTGTTGATTGAAGTAACAGTATTGCACAGAGGACACTAATCAAATATTTATTAAAAATTGATAACTTACTATTCAAAATCTGGACAGAAAACAAAATTAATAGAACAAAATTAATAGAAAAATTCTGCGTAGGCTGGATAATATACGCTGAATGGACGTAGCCGCAGTGCAGTTGTAGTTTTAGTTTCAATATCAAATAGTGACGACAAGAAATTACAGTTGAATGAAATAAGAAAAAACTACAAAAACTGATTCAAAACTGTATTCAAATACTGGAGCTGAACTATGTATTATTTCACTGCTTCAATGAGCTTAAGTCTGTTTGTGATACTGACTCACACATACAACATGGAAAGAATGTACAATGTGCACCAAAATAGAAGAATCATTCCAGGCCAAGGAATTACATTAAGGACAATACAGCATATTCAACTATCCTCACAGTGTGCCGTGTTCTGCCTCAATGATGGAAGGTGTGATGCAGCAAATTACAACCAAGAAGATGAGATCTGTCAGTTGATAAATGGTGACCTTAATGGCAGAATAAAAAAAGACAGTTTCCGTTGGGTTTACTTGCAACCAGTTTCAGGTTGGACCAATGAAGACATCAAACAAGGTCAAGATGACATGCGTGAAGATGTCACAGAAAGTCAAGATGACATGCATGAAGATGTCACAAAAGGTCAAGATAACATGCAGGAAGATGTCACAGAAGGTCAAGATGACATGCAGGAAGATGTCACAGAAGGTCAGGATGACATACAGGAAGATGTCACAGAAGGTCAAGATGACACGCAAAAAGATGTCACAGAAGGCCAAGATGACATGCAGGAAGATGTCACAGAAGATCAAAAAGATGATTTACAGAGTCAAGAATCACAAGCGAAGAAAGTAAAAAGAAGTCAAAAATAAGATTCATGTTGACTTAAACACCAGGAAAAAGTGTTATGAAAAAAATTGCACATACAACAGTGTCTTTATGTATATCGATATATGTAAAGGTATTCAAACCGGATAAAAGGAATATTGACTGATAAAAACACAACTAAATGGAACAATGTATTAATATGACAAAATGTCACCACCAAGCCGGTTACAAAAGTGTAACAATAGTTACAGAACAAAGGGTTGGGCACCTCAAACAGTCATAAAAATAATCTGCTTCCATGGTAACATATATTCATTGCCATGGTAACCGAAACTGCCAAAATATATTAAAGTCATAACATGTTTGTATGTGTTGACAATAAAATTTCAGATTCATGTGAACACTTCTTAAATTATTGCAAACAAAAGTCCACCACCTTGTAAGTTAATACAAATGGTTAAAAATGGTTACAAAATGTTACAAGGCCACTTTTTTTAGACAAATAATCTATTTCCATGGTAACATATATGCATTAGATGGTAACTGAAACTGTCAAAAATAAGTAATAAAAAGTCTAACATGTAATGTAAAAGTAAAATTTTCCATGTGAACACAACTTCTTATTATTGCAAATTGTTACAAATTAATGGATTAGCAAACAAATGGACAGCTTATCTCTATATCCCTACCAACTTCTTTCCTTGGGATAATTAGACCCAAATCAGTCAACTGGTATTGAAGTTATGAAAGAGTCCATTTTTTATGAAAAATGGTGCTCCTTCTTCTCAAGCCTAAATCAATAGAAAATGAATTTAGAATTAAGGTAGAACTTCAGTGTCCATTGCGTAGTCAATTCTCGCATCTCTAATTAAATGCCAAAAATGAAAACTGAATAAGGCATAACTATTTGTTGATTTGAAAAATAACCTTTAATTGACCAAGAGAGTGGGATTGAAACCCGGCAGAAGCTGAATTGTGCAATTTTTTAAATATAAAAAAAGAATTTTGCCATTGAAAGCAATATCAAACTGAGACATTTTTATAGAAATGACCAGTCAATCTTTTGAATTTTCACATAGTTGATCATACATCAGTATATCTTTCACCTAGATTTTTTTTAAGAAAACCTGAAAAAAGTCGGTCAACACTGAAGTTCTACCTTAAAGCAGATATGAAATGGTATTTTTAACCTAAAGGAATCAATACAATTTTTTGATAGATGTATTTGGACATGTTTTCTCATCAGTAGTGTGAAAACTATTTCACTCTAAGGATCGTTATAGCTGCTTATTAAGCAATATTAGAACTGGTTGTGACGTTATTGGCTCCCACGTGATCTCTCAATGGTCCCCACGTGGCCCGTTTTGGTCCATTAGATCATAACGTCATAATGCCAAAATGTTTTGTTATTTGTTTACACAACAATCTTATGGTTGCCGTGACGTTGTGATTACTATGGAACCAAAAAACCAAAGCTATATTTTGTATATGACGTTACTAATCACGTGGGGGCCAATTTGATTTATCAGTTAGTTTTATTTTTTCGTTATCTATGACCGTTAGCAGTTATCTAACATTTATTTTATAATGGCTATCGCAAGAACTCTACGGTGGGCTTACAATGGAGAAAACCGCATTTTTGTAGCTGCAAGTTGAGAAAAGCTATTTCAGTTGTCCTTTAAGTTTATAGAAAGTACAACATTTAGAGAAGTTTTAGTGATACTGTCTCTAAAATCATTAACATGTTAACAATTTACCTTCAATTCGTTAAGTGCTTCTTCCCTCCGCCCTGCCAGGAGGACAGTGGTGACACCAGACTGAGTTCTAGTTAGGTGCACGTAGGACTTCCCAGCCATCACAAGGTGATTCGCACTATCAATGCTCCCATATAATCCCTCATCTATGTATGAACTGAAGCTACTGATTTTTCTAGCTCCTGAAAATATTGCAAATGCTGTTGAATGTTTCAAATAAACAATTCAATTATCAATCCAAACATCTAAGCAATTGGGTGACCAGAAGAGTTTCAGAAGACAAATCATAAAGACAATACAATATTTGAGATCTTATGTAGTATAATGTAACCATACTTTGAAGAGATCTCTAAATTACATACTCTAAAAATGCATTCAATTTGAGTATAAATAGGCTAACATTGTACATCTTTGTTTGGATGGATGGATTGACTGACAGATAGACTGATGGCTTCACTATATCCCTGGCTAATGAACTTCGTCCATTGGAATAATAAATGTTGAATGTCCAAGAGAAAAAAATGGTGCATTTCGATACAGCCATCTTGACTTTGATGTCATAAATAGCATACAGTGTGATCATTAGGTAAGATCAAAATTGCTCTACTTTTGTAAACATAAGTGAATCTGGCTCATATTCTCACAGAATGTTGATCTAATAAGTATACATCCACAAAATAAATTTCAACATGTTACATTTAAAATTCCACGTTCTATGGTATAACCATGGCAACCCATGTTGAGGTTACCCAGAGTAGTCAAAAAAAAAGAAAGGAAATATTATGATGTTTTCGTTCTTAATTTTATACTTTGGAAATACCACCATATTTTGTTTTTTCAAAGCATTCTTATTTTCTCAGATGTTTGTTTTAGGTGTTTTATTTAATTACTCTTATATTCATATATTTTGGTGGTGTTAATCCAATGAACACATGTCTGAATGCCATTCGCAAGAAAAGACCATAGTTGGTAAATCACATCATCCTGCATTAGGATAATGCACCTTGCCATATAGCATTGCAAATTTAATAACACAGAAGCAATAGGACAGCATGGGGATCAGACAGCTATAAACCAAATTGGGAATGGGCAAAAAAACACCAGACATGGCTCCATAAGACTTTTATTTCTATAGGGACTTAAAATCTGAATTCTGGGGAGAATTTCTCAAGACAGAAGAAGATCTGAAAAAGGTCGGGTACTCGACAGAGTGTGCATGATGAGGGAAGGTGGCTTCAAACATGTGTTCACGGTAGAGGTGTCAAGTATTAACCGGTTAACCGGTTAACCGCCGACAATGCCTTGACCGGTCTGTGTTTTTATGGGTGGTTAGTTGACCGTGTATAATTCTGTTATTTCCCGCGCTAATATTGCATGCTCATCTGTTTGGTTTTAAAGTGTCAGTTTCACGTAAGCTACTCATACATGTCATAAGTCCGATAACTCCTTACAAACATCCAATCAGCACCTTTAATCCCTGCCACATTGCTTTCCCGCGCTTACTTTGCATGTTAATCTGTTTGTTTTTCAAGTGTCAGCCATGTGTAATCAACATATATTGCAAAACTATTTCATAAATAAATTATATGCATTTTTTAATTCTTCAGTTTTGTTATTATTGTTGTCTATCAACGTCGCCAAAATGTCAAAGGTCAAAGCCTCGCTTTGGTAGTGAGAAAATTAAAATCAAAATAAACACTAATCAGCTGCAATTCTCGTTGTTAATGGTGCGTTCGTGGAGATTCCAAGGGTAAACCAGTGTGGTAATTTAGAGGTACCGGTAGTCAGGTAGTGTATGAATAGAACAGAGTAAAGCTTGACGAACGTAAAAAATAAACGCTGATATATCATTTTTCCAATTTTTTCAACTTTCAAGATCGAAGATGAAGATTTCATTTAAAATTATCAGTTCAAATTTCCCGCCGGTTAACCGACTTTAACCGGTAAAAACATCTGGTTAACCGGTTAATACTCAAGCAGTTAATTGACACCACTAGTTCACGGACTGGATTAAATGTCACTTACATATGTTGAATATAATGGCAAATATAAGGCATTAACATGACAAGATGTCACCACCAAGGCTCACAATATTATTAGTTCAATCTTAAGATGATTTCGAAAAGAATTGGTCAATTTGAAGCAAGTTGAAAAAATACACTTTTTGACCCTGAGAAGCCATTGAAGGTGAAATCTCAGATCTTAAGTCAGATTTAAACTTCTGAGAACTTGTAGATGATTTTGAAAAAAATGGTCAATTTGAAGCAAGTTGAAAAAAGACCTGTTTGACCTTGAGAAGGTCATTGACTGTCAAATCTTTTTTGACCTTGAGAATGTCATTGAAGGTCAAATCTAGATCAACATTCCCTGAGAAAATGAGCGAGATTAATAAATGTTTACATAAATTAGACCACTTTTGTAATCACCCTGTATATCTAAAAGATAACATAATAATATTTGTGAATTACTTTGAAATGCCTGGCAGTAAGAGGGCTCTGCTGTATTTTGAATTGTGTGGTCATTTCTATGTTTCCTCTTTACGAGAAGTCTAACATGAACACATCTACTCAGAAGTCAAGGTATCAGCTTAAAGTTATTCATATTTTCAACTAAACATGAACTAGAGGGATAACAAATAGTACAATTTTAGGGACATTAAGATTTACACACCTGTAAGTTGACACAGACTTTCCATATGAGAAATGCCTAGACGGTCTAGTAGCATCACACCTTGCTCTGTACAGTAGGCTTTAACTCTAGGGTGGGCCACCTTCTGACAAATCAAGACCCTGACTGAACTCTGGACCATGTTAGCGAGTCCTTTCAAAATGGTGTCTAATACTAAAGCATGTCCATCAGTTTGCTCCCCTGATTCATATTTAATATCCAAGAAATCCTCAGAGTCTCCACCCATCGACGTGGTTACTATGGCAACAGGGATCTCAGAAACAGGCAGGTTAAGGTAACTAAGTGGGTTTTTCAAGTATGTTGGTATAGATGGTGCTTCAAGTAAGACTCCATCATAAAGTTTCATATTGTTTGCTCCTAAACCTTCCATGCTTACGAAATTCACTGAGAAGAACTTCAAACTGTTATCACAGCTGCTTGGTATTGATTTCAGAAATGCCTCCAGGATTATGCTACATATGTTATCCTGTTCATACTCCAGTAATCCACATGCTGGTTTAGAGTTCACTACACAACGAATCACATCTCTCATTGTGTTCATATCACTTATGTCAATGTCTAACACAGCAGGGCATTCTGGAGACTTCAAGAAGTCCATTGAATACTGTAGTAGCATTTCATAGATATCTACAAGGAGATGAGGATGTGTATTCTCAATTGGAGACTTCTCTATGAGGTTAATTGCCATTATTGTACCCCACAATCCCGCATCTCCATGTGTGGCAACGTGACCTTGCAATGAAGTTGTAATTAACTTCACAATTACATCAGACACAGATATTGCTTGAAAAAGTCGATTCGATGATGATGTCACAGTTACATGTCCTCCGATTGTATTCTGAACCATATTTAATTTTCCAAATGGTCCATAAGATTCTCTGGCTATATCCCTTAGGATCCTAACTGCCTCCAGAGTTCCTTTATTGTGTAATGGTAGAAAATCTATGGATGAAGTTTGTTTTTTATCTTTCTTCACTCGAGAAGACATTTTGGAGTGCAATTATGATAAATATTTTGTTGATGAATTCACTGTCCTGGCATTACAATAGTTCAATTTTTACAGTTTTTCAGTTCTATGTGCACTCGTAAAAATACAATATTCTATTTTAAGTTTCTAATATCAGTCTTTTTCTGATGAGTGTTTATTTTGATTAGCTTTTGCATTGTGTAAAGAGTTGCATGGATGCTACCTATGCCTATAAGGACTGCCGCAAGCTTGTGCGACCGCACCCATTTCTTAACATCAGTATACTTCATTTCGTTAACTCTTCAGATGTCTGGAAGTGTCAAAATATACTAAATATTATAAAATCACAATGCACGAATCATGATATTGTTTTGAAAGCATATTTTTTGAAAATGGGCCAAACAATTTATTCTAGGCTTGACTAAGAAGTTTCAGTAAATTCCATGTTGGATTTTATCCTCTGAGATTGGAAAAACTTGGTGATCATATTTTGAAGGGTGGTTTACTGAAATCAAAACATGATCCTCAATTGAGGACTTGCTACACAGAGGAATAAGTTGATGGCATTTATAGTTTTGGTTAGGCATGAATACTAACGGAACTATAATACTATAACTAACTAGATACTGAAAAAATATTTTATTTGTACCAGATTTTCTCGCATATAAGCCCTGGGCGTATAACTGAAAGAAGGGGTAATTTCGTCTGTTATTTTACCTCTTATTTTTCGCCCACGGGCGTATAAGTGTACTACTTTCGATTTTTGGCCCAGTGGGCGTAAAGGTGAGAAGATGGTGGGCATCAGCCATCTTCCTCAAAGACTACCGTACCTACTTTTGTAGTCCAACCGCATGTTTTGTAAGAATTATAAAGGAAATGTCACCTACAACCTTGGACTTAATGTTGAAACAAAGTAACAACAGAACGATCCACCACTGCCACTTACGGCACAGCGTTGAACTTAATGTTGAAACAAAGTAACGACAGAACGATCTGCCAGTGACAAAATACTCTTGAATTTATTGAAAAATCAATAAATAGTCCTTTTTTATAGGCCCATGGGCGTATAAGCGTACTACATTCGATTTTTAGCCCATGGGCCTAAATTTAGGGGGGCGTATATGCGAGAAAATCCGGTACATGCATCAAATATTTACTATGACTCTGTCATATAGAACAAAACTTAAGTCCTTAAAGGTAATACCATATCCTCTGTAATTAGCACCTGGGGCACTTAAAAAAATCAAAATACCTCCTTCAGCCAATTTTAATGAGCACTTGTATATGAAAGAAGTCAAAAATCCCTGGGAATTTCATGTATGACAATTTTTTTGATTAGCAACATTAGAACATAGTAACAGCATATTTCATATCTCATTAAAATTGGAATTCAACATTTCAAAGTTTTAAATATACATGGTGATCCAGAAAGTAATGTCAAAGATGTTGCCATTTTAATACTACTGGACTACACTTCTTGAAACTTGGTAGAGATGTTCCCCAAACATTGAAGAGTTAATTTCTTGTCTTGAGAAAATCACTTCTACTATCTGACTGGTTCACTTTATGGTAACTATGGTAACCTGAGATGTAACCTCACCCTGGCAAACATGATTTTGCAAGAGAATTAATACTCTTCCTAAATGAATATCAATAATTGTTCTATTCTTTTCTTAAGTTTCATGTAACCATGGATAATATATCAATGTAGTATAATTTATGATTTCACACACACAATTCTAGTCAATTACAAGACCATCTTGACAACCAGTACAATGGATGGACTGGAACAACTACTTGAGCATGCCCCATAATCTCCCAATTTGACCCCAAGTGAACATTACTTATATGGTGAATTCAAAAGGAAGCTAAGTTGAATCAGTTTTCAAACTTCAAATGACTAAAAAATGCTTTGAAAAAATTTATCAGATCTAACTAAACATAGTCATTGAACGGTTAATGTCTCATACCTTTTGATTAATGTCCATTTCTTCCTTGATTCTCTCAGAGATGCTTGGTACCTTTGCTTCTGTCAACTGAATTGTGCTAATGTAACAAGCCCCAACAATGACAACCAATGAAATAAACTTGTGACGTACTGTAAACATAGAAGCCTGCATCCACATATTCTTAAATACCCCCATGTTTGATCTGCAAAAGAACAGATTAAACATCAAGTTACAGTACATCATAGAGTATATGTCAATCAATACACAATCATGTCGCTTATTCTCATGATGTTAAGTTTAGACAATAGACAGAAATGGACAATAGTGCTCAGGGGTCAGATATTGAATTTATTTTAGTACAAAATTTGCTGATAAGTCAGTCATTATCCAGCTGCACAGTAACAAAACTTATCCAAGATCATAGAATCATAATTTCATATAGGACATTAACAATTAAAAATTCATTGTAGTGAGCATCTACCTACAGTGAACACATTTTTGTGGCTGAATAGGGGTTCACTGTTCAAAGATTTTACTGTATATATATAATATACAGTATATGTACACATTTTATATCAGAGAGTGATTTTAATTTGAAGATGCATATCTGATTCAATAAAATATGACACAAACCTTGAATTAAATTTTATACTGGCAAATAGCAATGTATTATTTATTAATCTTCTTTCTTTTCTATCTCTCCAAAGCGTTCCTTATCCAAGTGAAGTCCAAATAAGGTAATCCTCCTTGCGTCCTCAGAAACAAATGTAGAATCGTACTGTAAATTGTACCTGGAATAATATGTTATAAAGTTTTACAAGAAGAATCTCAAATACATCTGGCAAAGGTTTGTTCTTCTTTAAGAAAATTACATTCCTGATATTTTCCAACATAAAGTCATACTGGCATCATATTTTCCCCAAACATTAAACTACATCAGTGATCTCCCCAGTATCTAACTGAATGGTGCCCTGCCCTGTTGGCTCATTTCTAGTGCCATGTACTCGTCTTGTGAATCCATCTGCCCTCCACGCTGCCACAAAGCAAATTAATTGCCTTTTTAAATTGAAAAGTTGCAGGAAGATTTTTCAATTTGGGATTTCTCACACTGCTTGCTAGGCAAGGGATTTTTCAAGCTTTGATATTTTCAGAAGAAATGGTTTATGTCCAAGTATGTTGATTGTGTAAGTTATATATCATTCTGAATTTAAAATATCCAAGGATGAGAATTACAGCTAGCTATTAGCCATATACTCCTTAAGGTAGTACTTCACAGTGTATCAGCTTTTTTTCTACAATTCAGATTTTCTTAGAAAAATTATGGTAAAAGATATACTGATGTATAACAAAATATGTCATTGAAGGACTACCTCAAGACAATGAGCTTAGGTCAATCATGATTTCATGAAAGATAGCTTGCATAAGCAAATGTGACAGTAGTGAAAAAATAATCAATTTTAATGAAGAATCAAAAAAATCTCCTGAAAAAACTGCCAGAGTATATATATATACAGAGTATATGATATTGGGTGTCCCAAAATGTGGGACACTTTTTGACAAGTATTTTCTCAGCAATTGACAAACCAAATTCACTGAAAATTTGTAAAAATAGCCCAGGGGTATCATTAGCAAGTTACAAAAATATAAAAGATATCAAGTAAACATTTTGTGAGAACTAAGGAATTTAAAAGATCCCATACTGTAGCAACATCATGAGAACTTCATAGCGTTTGTACCAAAAAATGGGAAGCAAGTTGACAAGTAATTTCTCAGCATCAGATAAGTCATTAGGATCCTCATCAAGTGCTATGAATATGTAAGAAATTGGTTACATATTATGTGAGTCATGTTGAATTAAAGACAGTATGTCAAAATAACAAATATCAATATAAAAGTCACTTATTAATCCACATCCTCCGATCACAGGGCTTCAAAATTCAGAATGTCTTCTTTCTTTTTACCCCCTGCTATAACCAAGTTGGAAGCGCCCGATTAAACCGAATCATGTGATCCAATTATGCGCCAATGACGTATACATGATTGCTGTCGCAGTCTTGTGACAGCGAATCAAATTGCGAGTTCTTAATCGGGGAAATGCTAACTGCTTATAGCAGGGGGGAAGAAGGAAGTACGGATTCTGGACACCTGCTTAGGAGGATGATTAATCCATTTCCAAGAAAAATACATTTGCGTATATATCCTAACAATATCACTGCAGTTCATATGTCAATTCTATAATTTATCTATGCACAATCACTGCTCACTGTCAAGAAACACTGACCTATGAATACATATTCGCTAATGTCAAGCGTCAATGTACAGAAACCTGAAAATTACAGATTGGATTTTTTATTGAAATAATGAGATCTTGAATTTTGAAAAAGAATGGATTTTGGATATTTGGGAACAATGAAACAAATTAATTAGGCATGACACACAGACAAGCTATTCTGACTGATTGACAAATCCTTTCACCTGATAGCTGGGACAAACACTATGAAGGTGTCATTGCAGAGCTCCAGTATGGGATTTTTTGACATGCTATTTTGAATTGCTCAGTACTAGCAAGTCTTGCATTCCATATATTTGATCTTTTTTATATCTTTGCAATGTGTTAATGATACTCTTAGGCTACTTAATGAAGTTTATGTACATATTTCCAGTAAAGGGCCATGTGCAGTATTGTAAGTGGTTTTAGGCTGTCATACCTTTCACCATGAGTACTATCTGGCCCTAAATACAGTTGTTTTCATGAAAACAATATGTTTTCTTTTAAGTGAAGTCCCCATGAATGAAAAGTATCAATCCAACTCTCTGAAAAATTATGGATTAGGACCCCACCTTCGCACTTTTACAAAAAATGTTAGGCTTATTTTCTAAAAAAGAGGATCTTGTTTTTCTCAATTTAAACACATCAAACGATTCTTCTACACTACATTAACAATTTCTGAAAAGGGAATGGCGTTTGAAATGCGCTAAAGTTAAAAACCACATACTGTATCCAATAAGAAAGAATCATGCTATCAATTGTTTTCAGCATAATTTTGGTCATTAAAAATTGATATCTTCAAAATTAGACTTTAAAACCATTCTACGTTTGAAGAAGTTTTAGGTCCCCTGTTGAATTAATCTTTTCATGCAATAAAAATCACAAAAAGAAGATCTTCTTTTGAGGAAATAGGTCTAATACTTGAATTGTTCAACTGATGTTTAAGCATCGTGGGACTTCACTTGAGAGAAAACATTGATTTAATGAAAACCATTGTGTTTACAGCCAGAAAATACTCATGATGAAAGACATGAGTCTAAAATCATTTACAATACTGCACATTAGGGCCGTGCCATTCGACCGGAATCGGTCCGAACCGCGGACTTTTGTTAAAATACCGGAATTCGGAATTTTAATATCATGTTCCGAAGGGTTTCGGAACAATATCGGACCCTTACCTTAGTACTTGCTTTGAATCGTTAATATCCGTGACCATTGTTCCTCCAGTGATGTTTTCCTTCAAACTACATCCAATTTGCATGTGTATTACTCGCATAAACAAAAATCAAGACATCAAGAACATCGAGAGAGCATCGATGTTGCATTCTGGGACCCAATCCTCCTTGGGTTTCACAGTTTTTCAATTTCGTTGATTTCGTTTCAAAACTTTTTCAATTACGCATGCGCATTATGGTCAGAGCAGCCGGAAGTGAAAACAAGTAGAAAAAAGATCGAATTTTCTCTCTTTTTACAGATTTTAGAGTCTATTTCTTTCGTAAAAACATTCAAACTTGCTTGACAGGAAAGGTAAGTGTTAACCTGACAAACTTGGACGACGATATCGTCATGATCGCCGTCGAACTCACTCATACATAATTATTTTCATTTGTGAACCAAAAGGGGTTCCGAAAGTTCCGATTCCGTGAGACCAAGTTCCGGTTCCGATTCCGAACCGTCCGAACCGGTTCCGGCACAGCCCTACTGCACATGGCCCTTTGGTTGACCAATTACTGTGAAAATACTTGTCAAGTGTCTCACTTTTTTTGGGACTCCCGATATATAAAAGGTTACATTATAATTATTCAATGAGAGTTTCCATACCAGACGTAATGAATGGCAATCACCATGGGAGCTGTAACTGCTAATATTTTGTTTCGCTTCAGAAATGTAAGTAGCCCCATGTTAGCATCACATAAGTTCTCAATTGGTTGTATCTATGTGCCACTGATATACTGTAACTGTATACCTGGAAACAAATATAACTACATCATCTGATTTTCAAATGATTTCCAAGTACAGTGTGAGCCTTACTGGAAATCCTTTGAAAATCAGATAAATTTAATGGTGGACATTTTGGAATACTAGCCGATTTAAAAAGTGGAGTGTACCTCTGCAATTTGAGACAGCCGTAACTTTTTTGGTTTTGAGAGAACATTGAGACTGGTGTTTAGAATCAATTGAGATAGGAAAACGAAATATGTGCTTAGCTAGTCCGTAGTCCCAATAATTTATTTTTGAAATAAAACACATGGTTCTATTGTATGCACCCAAGACCAGAACCTGAGATGGTATTGGGACAACCTTTCAAAAGATCAATGTCGGAAAATTAACTGTATTTGAACAGTAAGGGGGGGAGGTCATTAGCCTTAAAAGTTAGCTTTCCAACAAAGTTCCCAGGAGTTTCATTAGTGCAAATCTTTTTGGATTCTACAGTGGGATACAATACAAGAGATAATTTTATGCTGATACTGTTTTACATATTATGTTAGATATAGTGTGACTTATCTTCTTGAACACAGTTATGAGGGGAGGGGGTCACAGATTAACTGTTCAAATACAGTCAGTAATCCTACATTGAACTTTTGAGATGCTCCCTTACTACCTAATTGAATTCATTTCCATGTGTCTTTGGTGAGCAATAAAATGGAGAACATGCTAAATATTAACATTTTTTATTATTTATTTATTTATTTAAGTGCTTAGCACCTTAATCAGCACCAAGCCTTATCATTAATGAAGAAGTAAGTCTATTTTACATTTCATTTTTATCTCTTGGTTATTGTGCTTATGCTCAATGGTTGATGCAAGAAAAGCTATGTGCTGTTAGGTCGATCAAAGTAGTCAGAAAAATCAGGTGGAACCCCAGTGGAAGACTGTAGATTCTTGTCTGATTTACACTCTATATTTAGTAAGGCAGGGCTGCCCTGCACATAATGACTTTGACTATTTTTAAACATAGTTTTAAGGTTCAGCTGGAAAGTAACATTTTGGTAAAAAATTGCTATACCTGCACATGTTATTTTCAGGTACAAAATTAAGTATGAAGGCATGTGTATATTTCCTTGCTTTTTTCAGGAAAGTTTCAGGAAATTGTGAAATATCAGAATTTCCTGGAGTTCCCATTGACCTCTTACCAGATATACTAAAAGAAGACAATGTAATGATACTTTCTTGAAAAAGGAAAGGAAATTAACACATGCCTTCATACTTTATAGTGTACCAGAAAATAACATGTGCAGGCTTTAACATTACCACGGTTATGACAGGCCTTGCAATATAATATAGCACTGTCACAGTTTACTCTACCGTCAGCTCTGGGAAGCTGGATTGAAAATGCTTGAAGAGAAAAAATCGAGCCCATTTTGACTAAACTCTGTGCTGAGTAGCGTTTATAATACACTATATATTTAAATCAATATATGATTTGTTTGTTGTTACCTTATTTTGTTCTTTCAACAGTCTGTTGTTGTAGTAAATCAATGTTCTATTAGACAACAAACTTTTGAATTTAGACTGCAGCCATTTTAGGTCTCGCGAGATCTCGTGACTTTCGAAAGTAATTCAAATAACTCGCGCCAGCTAAATATGAATAGTTACATGATCTTTCAGCGGCAATGCCCATGCGCATGTAAAGTACAATGCACATGTGCACACATGCGCAAAAAGTTAAAAAATGGTGCGCATCAGGTCTGGAATTTCTCCACTTTAGGACTTTGGAAGTTGGAGAAAACCACTTCACATGACGGTATACTGTATTTGTACGGTCCGTCAGCTGGCTTTTGAGCCAGCTGTGTTCATTAAGTCACGATTATATCAGGCTTTCACGATTACCACTGTCATGGCAGGATCCTTGCGCTTATCCCGTTCCCGGACTATAACCATAGTCCGGGAACGGGATAACCTTGCGCAACTTTGAAACACTTAATAACATGGTGACGGTTGTACCAGGCATAAGTCTTGCAACAGATAGGGAAAGTGGTTTCGATAGATCCAGAACTTACGACTAAGGAAAGTATAGTAACGAGGTTAAACTCAATAATGGCCAAGATAATTTCTAATAGTAAAGAAAGCTGTTATTTAGTTTAACGACGTTGAACTAGGGCAGTTATAGGCCTAGAAAAAAATTATTGAAAATGTTTTCTGAAGAAAAGAATTGTCTAATCTACCCTCATGTTATATTTAGTATGTTCTCCATTTATTGCTGATCAAAAAGACACGTGCAAAAACATATTTGAATATCGAATATAAATATATAATCATACCTACGCTAAGAAAACACGTTACAACACTTAGACTAGTGAAATGTTATATTTCTCTCAGAAGATTGCGAAACTTTGACCTTGGAACACCTTCTCATAATTTACTTAGTGTTCTCAGGGTGTTTTCTGATTATCCACCGCATCAAAGCAGCAAATATTATGCAAAATAGAAAAAATAAAAATTGTACCGGTAAATAATATCAATATGTTCTTTGACACCAATGAAATCTTGATTTTCTAAAAACAGTCAGAAAAGAATGTGTATTTCGCTGTAGCGAGTTGAATTGGTCTAGCAAAAAGTTAGCCGTTCCAAAAAGAAAACAACAGCGAACATGGCTGGAATCCCTCCAAAATCTTGGCAACCGGCTTACGTGACGCTGAATACAACGTAAGTTATACATTTCTTACCATCCATTACTTTGAAATATGCATTAGTGATTGGAATCATGGGCTTTCAACTGAGAAGGGTATTAAATATCTATGAACACATTTTTAAACTGCAAGGAAAAGTAAATATTGCTCATGATTTTAAGAAAATTATAAATGCCTTTGCTGCTTACTAAGATTGAATGGATTTTCTGGACTTTTACTATTGTATAATGATCAAAATGTTGATAAAGTATATAATGCTGTGTAAATCCTATTTTACTAAGATTTTCGACATCTAAAAAGTCACTCGACTTTTTTGCAAAAAAACTTCCAAAAAGTAACAGTCGCATGAATTCACATTGTCGTACTTACAAAATGATCCACCGCCTAACTTATGCACCTTTGAACTCGGTAATACTGTACATGTAACTATTAATTACGGTATATTCCCATAGGGCTTGCTTTTCAACACTTCAAGCGAAAATTCTCTACGGAGCTTTTGTTTTTCTGACGTAATTTCTTCTAAGAAATCGGTGACGTGATAGGTTCAGTTCATCTTATTTCGAAAGGGTTGTCATCTATTTAGAATATTTATTTTCATCTTGTCCAGTCTTATATACAACCTGCCCTTATCTTTTTCGCTCCTAAAACCGCGTAGCAATGTTGAAATTATGGAATAGATTCTCTGAGAGTTTTGACATGTCTTCATCTTTACCATCTTGCGTTTGACACCCCTCGTTTTGGGCGAATCCAAGTATACCGTACATCCGGGTGATTAGAAAATAGACATTTTTCAAGAAAATTCGAGCGGTGAGACAGATTACTCTGGTCAAACTGAGTTTTTGACGAAACTTATGAAAGAATCAATAAAAGGTAAGTGATATACATTAGGCGGATGAAGAGGAGGGAAAGCCCCAGAGTTTCAAGATGACAGACATAATTACCTCTCTTGCTAACCACCTTCGTTCGTTCGAATTTTCATCGGCTAGTTATCAAATACTACACTTCGATGGGATGTTATAATTGATATAGGCATATTCCGTACACCTTTCTTTATCTTGATGTGAAATGAGAAGCTATGATATTGGTTAACACGCCAGAAATGAACATAATATTATTCGAAGCGTATTTCGAAAATTTTGAAACCGCCATTGATGACGTCATTTGTTTGTCGACTTTTGACCAATCAGCGACCGTGTCATCTCAATACAGATTTACATTATAAGCGTATGTCATCTTTGAACCCTGGTGTTTCTCCCCCTCTGAGGCGGATGCCAAAAATTAAACATGGCGCCAATTTGAAACTTCAGAATGCTTTCTGTAATTCAAAATCACAAAAAAGTCGAAAATCTTAGTCTATTGTATATAAATAGAATCCAGGATATAATGTATATTTCCGTTTTGCATAGTTTTATTGATTCAAGTATTGTTTGTATTTATGTACTTTGCGTTTATGTTTTTGAATAAATAATTTTATAAAAAAAAATAAAAAAAACAAACTGAGAAGGGTAGGCAACTTCCCATATTTTATACGTAAGCATTGTCTTGGGTTTTCAAAATTGGAGAAGAATGCTTCCAAGAAAAATCTTGTTTTGTACTTTTCATGTATGATTTTAAGAAATAACCCAAAAATAAAAACATGATTATCTGCATACATGTTGATAATTTGATAGAAAATGGAATTCATCATAATTATGGCACTAATGAAACTAAACATCCCCCCATATTATTATTGGAATGTGTTCTTGAATAATAACCCACAATGCAACACTCGAAGAGAACATTTTGATACCTCTTTTCCTTATTTGTATATCTTTTCTTTTTTGTTTACTTTTAAATGAGATTACAGTCGTGAACATAAATAATTACTAACACTGTGTAGCTCAGCGGTAGCGCAGGTACCTCTTACGCAATAGGTCCCGGATTCGATCCCCCGTTCAGGCAAGACTAAATTTGCTTGTTTGCGTGAAGTACTTCAGGGTGTTTGACTGAGTGGTCCGCAACTCGTACAAAAGGCTGTGGTGTGTACTTGTATGTCTATGTATAAGTTCACATAAAAGAACACAGGGCTCCTTCAAGGAGGGGTTTCTCGGTCTATCTTTTAGTTAATTACGTAAATTACGACCGTATATATACGGGACATACCAAAGAGGTATTGCTCACCTTCATTGGTGGTAAACAAAATACAATACAATATGAAAAAGACATTCTGTCACATATGTCATAACTTACCTCAGTGAATTGAGTGCTCTATTTTCTCCGTCCCGGAATGTACAAATATAGTGGAATTTGTGTCCATAATAACAAATAGGAACTTAAAAAATTGAACTGATCATGATATTCACATGTTAATGCCGACTCTTCAAATGTTGAGGTGATTTTGGAGCCCGATTATGCCGCAAGGAGGATTGGCTCCCAGAATGCAACATGACATGTGCCAGCTTTCAAAATGCTGTTCCGCCATTTTGAAACCTGTCACGAGTAAATAAGGCTAACTGATGTTGCAATCTGGGAGTCAATCCACCTTGGATCACAAACATGGCGTTCCATAAAAACATTTGTTCGATTAGGTAGGAATTTATCAATCATTTGCAGGTATGAAGCTTTGGATTCATTTATTGTGCTACTTAAAGTGAACTGAAATTATTTTTCTACAGCTTGGGAGAGTTTGAGACATGAAACTTAGAATTTAGCTCATTGTAGTGTTGTCGCGATGTGCCATAATTGTACATCGATGTATCGGCAATTTTCAGTCATAAACATCGATACACATCGCGATGTACATCGAGAAAAAGTCAGAGAAAAGTGCACTGAAATACCGAACGCCAATGCACTAAAATACCGAACAGAACAAATTAATAAGAGTACGCTGGTACATCTGGGAACTTCTAGTAACAGTGAAATGAAAGTAAAGAAAAAATTTTTAAGATTAATGGTTCATTTCGACTAGATAAAACAGTTTTAAAGCGAAAGAATATCAGAAAACATTGGAAAATGAAATAAGACATGAGAAAGGTAAGCGATTTGCGACAAAATAAGATAAGAAAGTGTGCTTTTTAGCAAATTAAATTGATTTTTAAAAACATCGATGTTTTATTTCAGACATCGATGCATCGCCAGAATCAGCTTTGGCGATGTTTATCGCGATGTATCGATTAATCGCGACAACACTAGCTCATTGTAACAACTTTTGATGGTTGAGGTTTATTAATGTCTCCCACTGTAATCATGTTTCATGTTTTAATCATATTCAAAATTGATTTTTCTTCAAGATAATTGCTAAAGACATTTACTTTTAATCTAAATCTTTTTGAAATACATGTATTACCAAAAAAGGGAAGCATGGCACCGCTCATTTTGAAGTTCTCATGTAATAACACAGAGTTGCATACCTTTCTATTGAATGCCCATGTTAGAATCTTAGAAAAATCTTAGAAAAGAAATTGGAATAGTTATAATAATCGGGCTAATAATTCATGATCATGATAGATTTAGATCTACTGAAATTTTTGAAAGCAATTGAATCATACAATGGTCCATCTAGGCCTATGGCAAGGAGGATTGGCTCCCAGAATTGAAGTAGATATTTTCCAACAATGAACCACGACATCCCCATATATGGGACAGAATATCGATGTTGCACTCTGGGAGCCAATCCTCCTTGGGATTATGGTGAACTGCAACACTCCTACAGTATGGAACATAAATAAATGACAGGTGGATTTGCTAAAGTGAGGATTTTCCATGTTAAAAAAATTTTTTTTCAAGAGGCCATACATCTGTACATCAGTGGATGAGATTTAATTATACAAAATGTAAAATATACAAATTTTTGGTGATATGTGTCTAGACAATAGAGGTGTCATGGATACCCGATTTTGTTCCATTCTGCGGAACTAGGCTCTCGGGTTGGAACACGGAACAATTACTCAACATTTCAGTTAGGTTCCAGAACAAGAAATCGAACCTTTACACAGCTTTTAGCCCTCAAAACGCCGCAAAACGGCATTTTTCATTTCATTGAAAGAAGTCCATTTTTTTACTCCTCATTGAAGAGTTTTCAAGAGGTTTTTGCTACCAGATAGACCAAGTCAATCAACTTATTTTGTACTAAATATGCTGAGGGTTTATCTTTCTCAAGTAGTATGATCTGCGATGTAAAAAGCCATGTCACTGTAAAGAGTAGTTGTATAAAATAATTTTGTTACAAAAAATCGGCAAAAAATTATAGCCGTTTTTTTTATTTTCAGCCATTTTAGTTAACATTGATTTGTCCATCTGTCTCGCGAAATCCACTTTTGGACCATTTGGCTTAAAACCTCTGTTGATAGCATTCCCATTTTAAGTTATTTTTGTTCAACATCAATACAGGAAACTCCCATATGACTCCTGGTTCAAAAGCTCGCCTATTTTCAAAATGGTCGCCATTTTTGTCTCGGGAAATTCACTTTTGGCCCATTTCCTAGCTTTACAAATAATTTCAGGTTTCTTTTATTGTAAAAAGCCATGTCACTGTAAAGTGTAGTTGTATGAAATTGGTTACAAAAAATCGGCAAAAAATTATATCCATTTTTTTTACTTTCAGCCATTTTAGTTAACATTGATTTGTCCATCTGTCTCACGAAATTTACTTTTGGATTATTTGCCTTAAAAGCTCTGTCGATAGGATTCCCATTTTAAGTTATTTCTGTTCAACGTCAATACAGAAAACTCCCCTATGACTCCTGGTTCAAAAGCTCACCTATTTTCAAAATGGTCACCATTTTTGTCTTGTGAAATTCACTTTTGGCCCATTTCCTAGCTTTACAAATAATTTCAGGTGTCCTGCATTGTAAATAGCCATGTCACAGTAAAGAGTAGTTGTATGAAATAATTTTGTTACAAAAAATTGGCAAAAATTATATCCGTTTTTTTATTTACTGCCATTTTAGCCATCATTCACTTTTGAGCAACACCATGTGAGCTCAATACCCAAGGTACTATTTATTTTAAAATGAAATTTCCAGGGTCTTTTTTCCGGTGCCCTTTGCATGTGTTACCTTGCACGATAAACTTTGGTGAAAATCTTGAAATTTTCAACTATTTCTGAAGATCTGCAGAGTCCCGCTGGTTTAGATAAAACAATACCAGGAGAGATAAAATTTCATTATTGGTGGCGAGCTGTGAAGTGAGTAATATGATTGATGATGGTCAATCCACATTAAATAGCAGCCAAAGTTTCTTTTGCCCAATCCACCAAATTAAATAGCACCGAATTAAAGCAATTTACAGTAATATATTTTTTTGCACTTGTACTTTCAGAATGGGTGAGATTGTAGTTGAACTCTATTGGAAACATGCTCCAAAAACATGCACAAACTTTGCAGAGTTGGCTAGACGTGGTTATTACAATGGAGTGAAGTTTCATAGAATTATTCCAGACTTCATGATACAGGGTGGGGACCCAACAGGGACAGGTGTGTTGTTTTAAGATATTTTGTTGCATTTGTATCACCTACAGACCTATAAATACATGTAATGGACTGATGAGTCCTTTTTTTAAAAACGGTCTCTCATATAAGTATTAAATTATATAGATAGCATCTTTGTATTGCAATGGTTTCTCATTTATTTTTATTTTGCATGATTGCTAATCCATCTTTGCATGATTTTAGGAAGAGGGGGTGCATCTATATATGGCAAGGAATTTGATGATGAAATCTCAGAGGAATTGAAACACTCAGGTAAACCCTTGCTACAACCAGTGAGGTTTTTATCAGCTCTTGCTCTTTATGAGCTATTGCAATCACTCACTTGTCCATCTGTCTGTCCGTCTGCCTATCCGTCTGTCTGTCTGTCTGTCAACGATTGGCCCGTTTTAAAAATGCTGTCAATAGGATTCCCGTTTTAAGTTATTTTTGTTCAACATCAATATAGAAAACCCCATTATGACTCCTTGTTCAAAAGCTCGTCTCTTTTCAAAATGGCTACCAATTTTATCTCGAAAAATATACTTTTGGACCATTTGCTTCAAAAGCTGTGTCGATAGGATTCCTGTTTTAAGTTATTTTTGTTCAACATCAATACAGAAAACCCCCCTATGACTCCTGGTTCAAAAGCTCGCCTATTTTTAAAATGGCTGCCATTTTTTTCTCATGAAATTCACTTTTGCACCATTTGTTAGCTCTATAAATAATTTCAGGTGTCCTGCATTGTAAAAAGACATGTCACTGTAAAGAGTAGTTGTGTTTAATAATTTTGTTACAAAAAAAATCGGCAAAAAATTGTATCATTTTTTTTTATTTTCAGCCATTTAAATTAACATTGATTTGTCCAGCTATCTCATGAAATCCACTTTTGGACCATTTGCTTCAAAAGCTGTGTCGATAGGATTCCTGTTTTTAGTTATTTTTGTTCAACATCAATACAGAAAACCCCCCTATGACTCTTGGTTCAAAAGCTTGCCTATTTTCAAAATGCCCACCATTTTTGTCTCGCGAAATTCACTTTTGGACCATTTGGTAGCTTTATAAATAATTTCAGGTGTCCTGCATTGTAAAAAGTAATTTGCATGTGTATTAGAGAGAATACAGTACCTGTTATTTTTGCCATCAGAAGCCGATTGTTAGAAGTATAAAAAGTAAAATATTGTTAAAAATGACCAAAATTGTTTTGTTTTGTGTTAATATCAAAGCTGCCTTTGATTATTCCCATCATTCTAGAGTTCTATTTCCAGGAGCAGGAATTCTGTCCATGGCTAACAGTGGCCCAAACTCCAATGGGAGCCAGTTCTTTATCAGTCTAGCTCCCACTCAGTGGTTGGATGGAAAGCATGCAATATTTGGACGTGTCTTTAGTGGAATGCAGGTAGGTGGTAGCACCTGATGTATTAACAATGTAGACAGTGGTCTTTCCAGCACTGAAGCAAGTAGGTGCTTTAATTAGCCACTTGAGATTTTTCAAATAAGGTTGTACCCACATGAAAAAGAATTGCGACAATGAAAATTAATTTCTTTTTTCATTAATATGGTGTCCTCATTCATGTCATTAAGAATATTGGTGTAAACTTTGTCATCACTTGTCCCATGGTGTCCATTAGTATAGCCCCATCTATAGCACTCCTTTAAGGGGTGAATTTTTTCATTCTTCGAAACCCTTGATATTGTGACTTTTGTATATATGAACCAAGGAGGATACTACTCTACACTTTCCTGGCTATTTCTGTGATGATTGATTTCAAGCATACCCTGCCAAAAATTTGTGATTTTGGGTCAAAGTTGTCAAAGTTGTAACCTCCCCCCTGGAGTTCCTTGAAAAGTGAACCCTCTTTGGCAAAAGCTACAGGCCTGCTGTCAACAGGCAAAGCATGTGTCAAAACTATTGGCCACTCTTGTGACGAACAATATCAATTATATGGTGTTCTAACAATATGTTTATAATCTCTTTATTGTGCCATTGTTATAGAAATGACAGTGTTGAGAAGTGCTAATTTTTTGGGAAAATCCCATTCTAACTCTTTGAGACTAAAGTTTTAAAAATGTATCCATTTAACACTGAAAAGTCTTATTTTCCTTATGAAAAACAATTTTACTTGATAATGAGGATAACATCAAAAAGAGCCTAAATTATACAAACACAGCCATTTAAACAATAATTAATGAAATAAAAAAATATAATTGGTGTCCAGTTTATTTATTCATAGACTTTGTATTTCTAGGTGGTGAAGCGTATGGGAATGGTCGATACAGACAATAATGATAAGCCATATGAAGATGTCAAAATACAGAAGGCATTTATAACAAGATCTTAGCAGTTATTTTGTGAAAACACCATTACAAAGTACATTTTTATGGATCTTGAGTGCATTTGTGCGGATCTCGAGTGCATTTTTATGGATCTTGAGTGCATTTGTGCGGATATTGAGTACATTTTTATGGATCTTGAGTGCATTTGTGTGGATCATGTATCATTATTATCCTAGATGACCTGAACTTGGCTGACATTTTATACACGTATATGATGCTGCAATTGAAATTGACAATGATGAACCATATAAGGATTTTGATGAGTCTCAACCATAAGATTGCATTGTACATTGTGCTGGTTCTTAAATTCCAAGATGACTAATGAACTTTAAATTCACATTCCATATGTGATTCCTCATAGATTTGAGCACATGTAGTGTCTCGAGTGCGAGATTTGTTTATTTGGATCTGTCAAGAATCCTATGCCAATACTACAGTTGCCCACATTTTGTCTTCATGAAATCCATCTAATACAAAGGAGAATATACTGTATTGTAAAATATGTGTATGCATGTTGATGTAATATTGAAATAAATTTGTGGAACTACATGCACAATAGGACAGTAATACTTTTTACTTTTTATTATTTTTAGATTATTAAATATCAAATCTCATAAATTATTCAAAATTAAGGCAAAGTGATATATAAGTAATATATTTGTATTGGACAAATAATATTTTCTTTTACTGGTCATACTTTCAATTGCATAATTATCAAATTGAAAAAAGTAATTTGAAAATTGTTTCAATAAATCTTATTGAAGTTTAGAGGAACTTTCTCCTATATCTGCAATGTTGTTTGACCTGAATTTAGCCACCTGCTGGTGAAACTGGTAACTAACTACTGGCACCTTACTATTTAGAAAGTAGAAAATCTGCAACAAAAAATGTTTGTGTCTGTTATAGCAGATAGGAACATAATGATGTCTATGTATTATCATTCTCTGAAGCATCCTTACTAAAGGCAACATATTACATGCATGCCCTTGATTTAAGTGGCCAGAAAGGCAAAGAATATGTGATGAATATGAGGATGCATTTGTATGAAGTATTGTAGAATCTGCGAAGTGTTAACACTGGAAGTTTCTTACAACATTGTGAATGTCTAATAATAGCAAAAAGTGGATCACAGCAGATACGTGAGATGCAATGAAGTAAGATCACAAAAAGGTAGCAAGGCAGTTTAAGAACAGTATTCCTTTGCATTGAATTCATGAATAGTCGTGTAAAGTTTTAAATAAATCATGGCCTAAAAGTGAAAAAGCAGAAATGTGTCTTGTGCAATTAAAATTTCTTTATTAAGAAATAATGGTTACTTTATTAAGAAATAAAGGTTCTTATATGAGTACCTGTGCAAAATCGTCCATTCTTGATGAGCTTTGATAATTCTTCTTTATCGAGACACAGAAGAGATAAAGTAACAATATCGAGTCAAGAATGGACGATAGTGCAAAATCGTCCATTCTTGATGAGCTTTGATAATTCTTCTTTATCGAGACACAGAAGAGATAAAGTAACAATATCGAGTCAAGAATGGACGATATTGCACAGGTACAAGTATAAGAAAGTTTTTCTCATATGACTGTATTATGCCATATTTTCACCTTTTTATGATAAAACTGAGTGAAAATAGCTTGAAATTAATGGAACTTCATTATTATATAGAAAAGCTGTTTGTCCGTCCATCCGTTCGTCTGTCCGTTCGTCTGTCCGTTCCTGTGTCCAGGCAACTACTCAAATACCGGTTGACAGATTTCATTCAAATTTTATAGGCTTATGCCTTATGGTTGTAGGACTTCCGCTCGAGTAGGAATTTTCAATATAGCCGCTAAATTCAAAATGGTGGCCATTTTTCGGAAAAAAATATAATCTTTGAGAACTCAATTACTAGTGGATGGATTTGGTTCAAATTTTATATGCTGTTGCCTGGGTACAAAGGAGCCTTGCTCAAGAAGACATTTTCAAGATGGCCGTCATATTTCAAAATCCCGGCCATTTTTCGTAAAAAAACATTATCTTTGATAACTCAAATACCATTGAATGGATTTGATTCAAATTTTACATGCTGATGCCTATGGACATATGAGCTCTGCTTGAGAAGGGATTTTCAAGATGGGAGCTAAATTTCAAAATGGCCACCATTTTTCATAAAAGAATGTAACCTTTGATAACTCAAATACCAGTTGATGGATTTGGTTCAAATTCTATATGCTGATGCCGAGAGACAAAGAAGTTCTGTGCAAGAAGACATTTTCAAGATGGCCACCGAATTTCAAAATGGCTGCCATTTTTCTTAAAAAAGGTAATCTTTGATAACTCAAATACCATTGGATGGATTTACTTCAAATTTTATATACTGATGCCTAGAGATAAAGGAGCTCTGCTTGAGAAGAAATTTTCAAGGTGGCTGCTATGTATCAAAATCTCCGCCATTTTTCATTAAACATATAATCCTTGATAACTCAAGTACAAGTTGACAGATTTGGATTAAATTGTGTATGCTGATACCTTGGGACATAGGAGCTCTGCTATATAACAAATCTAAAGATAACAGCTGAATTTCAAAATGGCAACCATTTTTCATAAAAACATAATCTTTGATAGTTCAAATACCAGTGGATGGATATGGCTCAAATTTTATTATATGGCCGCTTTAACATGTTTTGTTGGTGGGATTTGCTACTCCGTGGAGTTGCTATTTTTCTAGTTTTTCAATTGTTACAACGTCATAACAATATTGTAGAAAATACATTGATAAGTGTGGCATTACAAAGCTACATTGTTATATCACAGCTTAGTTGTGTATAATGAGCATGGATACGCTATGTTGTTGATGTTTATAAACCAGTGATGTCACAAGTCAATCTCATCTTGCACGTGTGACATTTTAGGATGAAAGATGGCAATATCTTGCATGGGGTAAAGATGGCTATATGTCTTTGTTAGTCATATGAGAAAAAACAATTTTGGGGGTAACAGATAATCTGATATTTCTATCCCTTATCTCAACTTGTACAACACAAATGATATTGTTAGATGACCTGCACATAAAGCTAAATTATAGTTGGTTTCCCTCGACTCTGAGTGATACAATGTTGATAAATAATTTTGATGCAGTAATATTAAAAAATTGAAGGACATCATATTGTATTGTTACCAATTTTTATTTTTTATACTGTACAGGCAAAATCAAATACATGTTATTTTAAAAAAGTAAAAAATAATATACTGTACTTCTGGTAATTTTCGCGCTCTACTATATTTCGCGCTTTTCGGGAGTTTTGGAAAATTCGCGAAATATAATAGCTGCGAAATTCCTCCAGTTTTAATTCGCGAAATTTGATAGTTGCAAGATTCCAAGGAAATTCTCGGGGATTTTAATGTTGACAATATTTTTGTCCAGTGCTGGGCGATAATAGGTAAAAAATGTGACAGTCCTGAAAAAGAAAAATTAGAAGAGAGATCGTTATTACTGTATTAAAATGAATATTCAAACGAAAAGGCTTAATAAGAAGCCAAAATCATTGGGTGAAGGTGATATCAAAGTCGAAAGAGTGATCCTGTATGAAAAATCCACGATTAATAGCCACGAAATTTCAAAAAACTGAAAATTAGCGAAATATAATAGCCACAAAATTTCAAAATGCCAAAAACGTGAAATATAATAGCGTCAAATATTAGTGTGAGTACAGTATATACCATATTCTCTCTATTAAACACACAGTGCGGCTCCCAAATTCTCCTGAAGGAGAGGTCTCAAATTACAAAGTCCCGTGATTTTTGAAAAGTAAGGATATTTCATGATTTTCCTCTTTAATTAAATCTGGACACACTCCAACTAGATAACAGAATGTCATACCTGAATGTTTTCCTCATGCATTTACGATCAGCTGAATAAGTTTTTATATCCATATAATACTAATACACCTTTACAAAGGAATGAATGTTTGTTTGCGTGGGAAAGGTGGAAAAATATTTCTGTATCAGGAACACCCGTGATCTACCGTGTGTGTTATGGCAACTGGGATATTGTTGCGCTCGTAATTAATGTTCATTATCACAATAAGGTTATCACAATAAGGTTATCACTATAAGGTCATCATGTTATCATTGCCCAATAATTTTTTCTTGATTTTTATTACTCAAATTGCCAAAGTCTCATGGAAAAGAAGGGTGTGCATTTATTGGAGTATGTGTGTCTATTATTACAGTACACTACAAATTGATGTTTTATACAAACTCATAAATGTCACATGTTTGCATGGATTTATTGAAAATCTATCACATGTTTTTGCACCTCTTCATACTGTACTTTACAATAGTGTAATAATAATAATTATCACATTTTGACCATTTCTATACAGACCTACAGAGTGGTCAAAAAATAAACTCTTGCAACAAGCTATATCTCAGTCATTACCAACACTAATGGGCTAATATTCTCACATGTTTTAGTGAAAGGTCTAAAGCTTTTGTGGGTACCATAAATGTCACTTAGTCTCAAATCTAGCAGAAGTAACATGGCATCAACAGACATGCCTGATTTATGGATGATGTGCTCAATCCATGCTCCATGGTTCTGAATGACTGCTGCAACGCAAATTTTGAAGTTGTTTACTGCTCTATCTAATTTTTTTGAGAAGTACCTTCAACATTCATTCCACGGTTCTGCTGCAACCCGAATGCTGAAGTTGTTCACTCCATCCGGCATATCTAGGGGTGTTTAATATTTTCAGGAACAGATAGTTGTGTATCTCATACTTGAGTGGGTTTGGGGTAGATATCACCCGGGAATATATATCGTATCTGAGGAGCGGGCAGGATATATTCTATATGTCCCGCTCCAGGCCAAATGCGGGCAGATATAATATATCCATCCCGCTCCCGGGAATTTTTCAAACGTTTAAAAAAGTTTAAATATCAAAAGTTTTAATTTTTTAATTTTAAAATTTAATTTTTTTAAGTTTAAATGTTACAATTTCATTGTATTGAACAAAAAGAATATTACGAAAATGTTAAATGTAAATATCTTGTCATTTGAAAAAGGTGGAAAAGGTTATATCTACCTTAAACCCACTCAAGTATGAGATACACCAGTTATGCACGGTCGGTTTGGATACATGGTATATCCCTCGGGATATTCCCTGTATCCAAAACCTCCCAGTGCATAACCCCTATATATACATTTTGTTGAGCAGTGAATAACCTCAACATTTGCTCCACCGTTCTGAATAACTGCTACAATGCAAATGTTAAAGTTGTTTACTGTCAAAACATTTAAGAAACAACCTTTTCTTATGCAGAAAATGCATTAGAAATTAAAAAAAAATGTCCCAAGATATGCTGGATGGAGTAGTAAACAACTTCAACATTCGCATTGCAGCTGTCGTCCAGAATCATGGAGCATGGATTAAGCACATCATCCATAAATCAGGCATGGCAGTTGATGCCATGTAACTTCTGCTAGATTTAAGACTAAGTGACATTAATGGTACCCACAAAAGCTTTAGACCTTTCACTAAAACATGTGAGAATATTAGCCCATTAGTGTTGGTAATAACCGAGATATAGCTTGTTGCAAGGGTTCACTTTTTTGGATGACCCTATATATGTCTGCAGTATGTACCTCTACAGTCAACAAGGAAAAGATGAAATATCTCCACATGGCTGCAATTACAAAATTGTGTAACCATTTGTTACAGATTCTGTGCCCATTGACATCATACACTAAACACTGAGCGCTACAACACATAGAACACAAAGAACAGTTCAAGAGCCAAATTTACGTTCACTGAATTATGGGCCTATTCAAACAAAAATATAATTGCAATCCATATGATCTATTTTTTCAAACAGCATTATTGCACTAAAAAGAATTTGTCATAACTTTTTTTTAAACATTAAACTCCTCTCTGTACTTGTTAAGTACATTGCAATGATGGTTCCATCTTTGAAGGCAACTCATATATAAGTGCACCCAAAAAGAATACATATTTGTAAGATCAAGTTTGTACAGGATTCCACTGATAATGTTGCACAAAATCCTGTCCAGTCTCTTGATAATGTTGCATATTCTGTATCTCACATATCATAACATAGGATTATACATGTGTATAAAGTGTATATCCATAACATATCAGCTGTAGATTATTTTTCTTTATATTTGGAATATTCATGATCATCCATCTCAAATCTTCTATGACCTTCCCTGGAAATAGAGAACTTTTGTTGAAGACTTGTGACAAAGTTTGATTTTTCGTTCATAGATTTTTGAAACTTAGGTCATGATAATCTCGAATACTCTACATGTTGCTTACAAATACAGAAATCTTAGGATAAATACTTCCGTTGTGCTGATATCATCATAACAGCAGAATGTTTTGGGAACTGGTAACTTTGTTTACTGTAGACATTGAAGATGCATCATTTCTTGGCATGTGGATATAAACAACTTTCGAATAAGACATCATAATGTAAAACAAGAAGAAATTGTTCACTTCCATTTAATTTTTGTAAAATTAACTGAGGCTTCTAAGATGGAAAATGTTATTAATTTAGTAATTTATCAATATTACCTTGAACTCAATGACACAATCTCAAACTTCTATGGATGTTGCAGAGTGCCAAAGTTAAACTTAGATAAAGATATCTTGCATTCAATTGAACATGTTTTATAGTAAGGACTGGTGGTAGATTTGACAGGTAAATCACATAGCCAATGGCAAGAAGTGGTTCCAAGAAAGGGGGGGGAGTCTAGTCTATTGAGTGACAGTATAACTTTGAATGGAGCCAAGAAGCTATCATATTCAATTAATGATGTTTTGTCTAGCTTCCATAGATTCATAAACATATTGGTATATGATGTCATTTTTGTAAAACAATAGGATATGATAAATTGATGGGTGATGATGTACAAATTGACCAAAAAACAGTATTTTGTAGGTGAAATATACATTTTGATATATGAAAAACATTGTAATGTAATTGTATAAGGAATTTGCTAACTTTTATTGTTTAAAATATTATAAAACATGTATTTTGAAGATATAATGACTTAATGGTTTAAATGAGTAAGGCAAAAAGTTCATGAGAATTGTCTGAACCGAGGTTCTGGGATTCAGTTATTAATCATACCTGTCTCAAAAGTTTCAACAAAAACTGAAATAAATGGGAACTTTTCAACTTTTTAGAAAATAATGTGGGCAGAAATCTGGCATGTTGATAATTAATCTTCATATAATTTTTCACACTTCTTTCCGGCCAATTTTTGTTAATGGGTTTTTAGGGGATTTCATTGGATAAGACCCCTTATTTTGGCGGGGCCCACATAAAAAAAATTGGGTATAAAAGGGGCAATTTTGTCTGAAATCCTCGGAACCTTGTTGCGTGAACTCGGGACAAACTAAAAACTGTAAGTAGCCGATTGAAATGATATTTTTGGACTTTAACTTTTCTTGAATAAATTAATGTTTTAAACTATATTTGTTTTCATGTTTTGTAAAAGATAGAGAGACTCAACTTCGCCACAGACTTACATATGCAGAGGTTGCTATATCCCCCCCATATCTGGTTATGCACATCCATTGTCATTTCTTTCAAAATGGTTGCAATCCATTTGAGACTATATAAGATATGTGATTTATGAGGGCCATATTGAAATAACTTTGAAATGCATTGTTGGATCCACAGCCTGTACCATTCCTTTCAAGTTGCCATTGATAGTGATAAAAAGGACCCACGGTCCTGTGCTCAAACAGTTTGGAACCTTCAGAGGAATGGATATCCTGACTTTCAAACAAAAATATTGATTTGGATTTGTAGTCTTGAACTTTGAGAAACTTAGAAAGCACAGTTGTGATACCTAGTTTGATGACCTTTGACCTTGAAAATTTTACTTATTCAGAGCTCAGTAAGGTCTTTTGTGATTAAGCTGACCAAACTTAATATCCAAAAATCAATTTGAAAAATCAACTTTTTTGACCTTTCGAAGGTCGCTGAAGGTCAATTAAAGGTCAAATGCTAAAACTAATGTCAGATTTGAACTCCTGGCAACTTGTAGATGATTTTCAAAAAATTTTGGGTCAAATTGCTTAAAATAACTTATTTTTACTGTTTTTTTATGTCAAATATCTCAAAAACGGTAAAAATTTGATGCTGACATATATTGAGCAATATGTAGGGAATCCTTAAATCTATTAATGATGTAATTCATTGCAAGAAATGATCAATTTCAAGTATAAAGCAAACTTTGAGAAACTTGTCAATCACAAAACCTGCCATTGACTTTATACATGAGAAAGTTTCCTGAGAATGAGTCCTACTTTTTGTCAAATTTTATTGAGTAAACACCAAAAACTGTAATTCCAAGAGCTTTGAAATCTTCAGAGGACATAAGTTGCATATACAGCAACTACTGCAAGTTATTTGAAAGTTCTACTTCAACAAAGTGTCTAGTATTTACAGAAAATTTGACATTTTGACGTCAAAATCAGCAATTTCTTGGAAACCGGGCGAACTTGGGAAATGGCGATGATAGGTCAAATAGGCATTATAGATATGCATAAAATGAATATGGATATCTCAATTGGAAAAGCAGTTGTAATTTGTGCTGCCAATGTTGACGGACGGATGGACCAACGGACGCCTGGTCGATCCCATAGGCTCACTGTGTGAGCCAAAAATCAATACCATTAATTTGGTTAATTCATTCCTCTCAAGTTGCCATAGTGATCCAATCAATACCATTAATTTGGTTAATTCATTCCTCTCAAGTTGCCATAGTGATCCAATCAATACCATTAATTTGGTTAATTCATTCCTCTCAAGTTGCCATATTGATACAATCGATAGTATTATTAATTTAGTTGATTCATGCTATTCTTTCAAACTTACTTGAAGCACCTGTTGCAGTACAAGTCATCATCACAGTCATGGCAACGTATTGTGGCATCTTCGTTACATATACAGCACCATGGTAACTCATCTACTGACTGCTGATAAACAATAACAGGCCTGCCCTACGAATGTAGAATTTTAGCGCAGTTTTAACAGTTTGTTACATCTTATAGCGTTGCAAATCTTAGTGAACATCTAATCAGACAACACAACTAGAAATTTTGTCTCAAAAGGGCAACCATAGATGTACCGCCACAAGATAATGTGTAATTCTTGCAAGTATTTTACATATGTACATATAAAAATCAACAGACATGTAGAATGATGCATTGAAAATGGCCACCATTTTCCAAATAACCACCTCTTAACCAAGTTGTAAAAATGTGCCAAAGAATTGATTATCTTTATATTTACAATAACTAATTCAATGTCAAGTTATACTTTGGAGAATATTTAAGAGTTTGAACCCAGATAGGCTGGGGTAGGGCTCATTCAGTGCATTGACCCCATTATGCTACAAAATACATCAGAATTTTTGTTTTCGGTAGAAATGAGATTTGATATTTCAAAATAGTGTGTACATTTGGGTATTTAGGGATGTAGAGTACAAATTACGAATTTTCTCCTGAGAATACTAAGATTGCAGCAAGTGTGTATTGACTTAACATGAGAATATGCATCATTTAACATTGTGTATCTTTTAGACATTATGACAGTCCATGTAGGCATTCTGAAACCAAACATTTTCACATACAACCATCCCCAACCCTCAGAGAAATTGAGGAGAGAAACAAAGTCGCACAATTGATCATAGAGAGTAACACAAATATATTCTGTATGCAATTGAAGTACACTCTTTTGTTTTTTATATAAAAATTGATGAAAAAACATGATGTAAAAAACTTGGCATTGTATTCATGGATATTTGTTTGTTAATTTCAAAGAGAAAATGTAAACATAACCACGAAGTCATCTTCGCACGCTCCGGTCTTCACTGCGCTAGATGCACGAAGTTGAAACATCATGATTATATACTGTTGTGTTGCTTAAACCATTAACTTTGTTGTTATGGACATCTAGATTGCAAATAGAAACCGATTATCAAAATATTTTTTTCTTAATTTTACCCCTTGGTGATGAAAGGTTTAAAATCTAATTTTGCATTCAGTAAAAATTTGAATGGAGGTTAGATTCTCAAAGCTGACACTCTTTCCAATGATGTATTGGAACCTTAATGCAGAAGGGGTAATTTAAAAATCACTAAGGAGCACACTTAGAGGCTCTAATTTGCACAAGTACTAGTGATTTCTACTATCAAGAAATGTCATATACCGTATTCGCCGTAAAAAGCGCCCATGGCATTTTTGAAATTGAAATTCCCATTGTAACCCATTACGAAGAGCGCCCATATATGAGAGAAGTCAAAAGTCCCCGGGAATTTCATGTATGGGAATTTTTCCTGCCAAAACGCTTTATTTGCAACGAAAGTGACAGCTTATTTAACTTTATTGACAGTGAGTGATTGAAGAACTCACCAGCAGAGCCCCTCGAGGTGAAGGAATTGTTTTCCGCAATTATCTTCAATATTTCCGCTAATAGACTGTTAGATATCAATCTAAAGTTATACCTTATTTTTTTAATTTGATGACAGATCATCATTTTTCTTGTAAAAGTCATGTAAAAGTCGAGAAATCTTAAAAAAAACAAGAAAAATTACGACCTTGACCTGACCTTGACAATCGCTAGTTAGTAAAATATCGAAACAAAACTCTGAAACGTGACAGGCCCGTAGCCAGGGGGGGTTCACAGGGTTCGGGCGAACCCCCCCCTGGCCAAAAATTCTTTCAAAATCATGCAGTTTTTCACCATTTTGAGCACTTCTCTTGTGATTTTAGCCATATTTGCGCCAAAATTGTCAAATGTGAACCCCCCCTGGAAATTTTTGAAAACTGAACCCCCCTTGGCAAATCCTGGCTACGGGCCTGCGTGATCATTTCCTTCATTCATTATGGACTATTTTGAGATAATATTAGCTAAGTATGATGTGGTAGGCACCCACTGATAGATATTTAATGGGAGGATGCATCGAATTACAAAAATCTTCATGTTTTCTGCATTTTAGTGTAAGTACTCTATTATCGCCCACTATATTTCTTCGGAAATTTGATTTTTTTTTCTGATATATTCGTTAATACTTGGTCATTCCTCAATATTTCTTGATCTCTGTGAAGCGGGGTGGGTGCTTATTAGGGTAGGGCGCTTATCATGGTGATTACGGTAAGAAAAATTTAAAGAAAAACTAACTTGTTGATTCTACAAAGCCCAATCACATGTCACGTCATGTGACCTACCATGTCTACCATGTGACCCAAATGGCAACTTTGAACTTGATGAAATCTCCTCCTCTGCTGAAACCATTTTGAAATGGGTAGCCATTTTCAAAATTGCCTTTCAAGCAGATCTTGCACTCACATAGGGTATATGCATATGAATATTAATGGTAGTGCGGGTCAATAAGCATTCTCTATATCCCATGAACTTTGATAGCAAGCACTAACCTTTGAGTTGGTTGGCTCACTAAGATCTGTAGGAGGTTCTGGCAATGAGAGGTCATCATCAAGATCCCCACCTATAGCACCTCCACTAGCCTCATATTCTGCATCTAGTCTGCTCTCTTCAATAGCCTACAATTACACAAACAGTTTATCAAGATCTCCCCCTATAGCACCCCTACTAGCCTCATATGCTGTATCTAGTCTGCTCTCTTCAATAGCCTACAATTACACAAACAGTTTATCAGTTTACAATTACACACATAAACAAACATGAGAGAGGGTTTGGCATGCTCTATTTTTAAAATACATTAACATGTCTTACTTAGGCCAAACTAATAGCAATTTCAATAATCTACCATAGAAAGGGGTCTTCAAGTTTTTTAGAATTACACAGAAAATTATTAATAGTCTATCTCAAGATGGATGTTATAATATCACAGTGTCTTTTACTTACTCTTTTTATAATAGCTTTAGCTGCTTCCTCCTCATTCTCACTATCACTGTTCTCATCATTAGCACCACTACTTGCTACAACAGCAGCATCATCCACATTACTATCTTCACCTGCAAGGAAATGTTATTCTTGAGAAATATCAATTAATAGGAAAGATAAGATCGCATGTAGCATATGCCACATTGTAAGGGACCAATGCAAAAGACTAATGTCGAAGAACTAAATATATTTCAATAGTTAACTCTCAGATATCCCCTCATTTCTCATTTTCTTTTAGACTATCATATATTCCTTTATAATGAATGATTGGTGAACAACTTTAGGGCTTGTTGATAAAATCTCAATCCTGCTGTGCAATCTGCCCACTGTCTGATGACAGCACTGGTGGGATTATTTGGCATGAAAAACTTTGCTATCGGTACCATACCACCTGATGATGCAGGTTGTGGGTTTTCAGTTTCAATGGATTTCCAGATATTGGTTGCTTGCAGAATAATGTGACATTTCTTTCTTGCTACTAGCTATTATTAGCCTAATGAATGAAATTCACTAGGGTTATAGTGAAGCTCTCCGTCCATCTGTCTGTCTGTCTGTCTGTCTGTCTGTCTGTTATTTATTCAAAAATATGACATGAAGTTGACAAATTCACTATTGTATATTTGAAATATCAACTACAATGTTAAAATTGCTCATCTCTTTAGTTTTGATAAAAAAAATATGTGGATCACTCTTATACATGTAATTTGTGAGCAGCAATTTTGTTTCCATGCTCTAAATTGAACATATATACATACTTGTCTTTTTATTCCAATCTTTTTTCAGCTCTGATAGTTTGGCTTGGAGATCTTTATCCCTTTGGAGATTAATCAAAGCTCTTTGAGCATCAACCTCTAGCTCATTGGCAGATTGTTCAATGAGCCGTTTCATCTCGTCGAGACTCACACCAGATTCAGTTGTTGACCCTTTGTCAGTTGATATATTTTTGTCCAACATTTTTTGATGAATTGTAGGTTTATCTAGATTGTTCTCCATATTTTGGTCAGCTAAAAGAGATGGGAGCAATGCATTTGATCAATAAATATACAATGCCAGAAAGTCAGATAATACATTGGGAGACTAAAGAAGGTAAAAATAAATATCGTTAATGGATCAATGCACTGAGCTAGGTTGAATTTCAATAATAAATTAATATTATAAATATTATTGAATATATTAATATTCAATAATAAATTAGTGGAGGGAACTGATTCATAAATGCTGAATTTTACAAATGGTAACAGAAGTATAAACCTTTGATGTTTTTACTTTTTAAAACATTTTTAAAAAATTCTTCAAAACAATTGATTTTTCAGTTTCTCACAAGATTCATGATGACTGTTAATATGCTAAGCTTAATAGAGACAGCAAATACATGTAGTACATGTCAGAAATTCAAGTCAAAATAATTATAACATAAGGGTTTTGCAAGATTCTTTCCTGGCATATACCATTGGACATCATTGGTATAACTGTATTCAGAATTTACATGCACCAATGCACGACAACTTCAGTTTGTATGTATGACTTTAGTCAAATGAACTGAATATTGACTTTTGAAAGAGTTTTTGAAAGGTTCATTCATGTATTTACCATGTTCTACAACAATTAGGCTATTACTACTACATCACAACCATAGTAAGGAACTGAACTCCACGGAGTAGCAAATCCCAACGAATGATATATAAAACCAGAACAACGGCAACGCCAAAGCGTAGCGAATCCCATCGAACATTTTTCAAAAGGGGCACCTTCTACCAAAAGTGTCATTAGACAGTGTGCCATGCTTATAATATTCACATACCAAATATGAACAAAATCGCTCTACTACTTTTCGAGTTATAGTAAAATACGTTAAAATGTCCGCCATTTTTCAAAATGGCCGCCTTCTACCAAAAGTGTCATTAGACAGTGTGCCATGCTTACAGTATTCACATACCGAATATGAACAAAATCGCTCCACTACTTTTCGAGTTATAGTAAAATACGTTAAAATGGCGGCCATTTTGAAAAATGACCGCCCTCTACCAAAAGTGTCATTAGACAGTGTGCCATGCTTATACGTATTCACATACCAAATATGAACAAAATCGCTCCACTACTTTTCGAGTTTTAGTAAAATAAGTTAAAATGGCGGCCATTTTTCAAAATGTCCGCCATTTTTCAAAATGGCCGCCTTCTACCAAAAGTGTCATTAGACAGTGTGCCATGCTTATAGTATTCACATACCAAATATGAACAAAATCACTCCACTACTTTTCGAGTTACAGCAAAAATCGTAAAATAACGAGTAAAGGCGGCCATTTTTCAAGATGGCTGCCATGTGCTTTTTTAATATCTACATTTCTAGCTTTATTAATGTCCTATATAATTTTTTTTACATTTAAAACATATTGCTATTACAGTTTTACATATTGCACCTAAATTACTGTAAAATCGGCACTAAAATGGCCGCTCATTTAAAAATTGGCTTTCGAGCAGAACTTCTACCCCATAGGGTATATGTGTACAAAATATGAATAAAATCGGGCCAACGGTATTTGAGTTATTGCCCGGACGGACGGACGGACGTACGTACGGAAGGATGTACGTACGGACGGACGGACGGACGTACGTACGGACGGACGGACGGACGGACGGACGGACGGACGGAGGCGTTCCCTATATCCCTCCGAACTTCGTTCGATGGGATAATTATGATTGACTCTGAAATTCCTTCAATTTGAGTATAATATAGCCATACTTTTAAGAGATCAGAAAATAATTGCGTAATCCTGCATTAGGCGACCATTTTGAATTTTACAAGGTCCAGATCAGAAAAACAATACAATATTTGCAATCTACTTAAAATAGCCTTTCATTTGAGTATAATAAAGCTATACTTCAAAAACATCTCAAAATTAACACAAACTCCTGTTTTCCCAACCCCCCATTCACGGCCCCTGGCCCCTGGGGCTCAGGGTGAAAATCACGGGTTATATGAGAAATGGATAGATGTTGTGAATATGCTATCAAAATTTCAAATAATAATATTTATTATTTTTATTTAAAATGAAAACATACGATTTTTGCAAAAATTACCCCCATTTTTAAACTGGTGGCCATCTTGAAAAAATTTTTGCGTAAAACTATTCACCAATATTCATCCTTCCTTAAATATAAAGAAAATCTGTCAACTAGTATACAACTTATCTTCCTTACAGACGACTGACTGACTGACTGACTGACTGACTGACTGACTGACTGACTGACTGACTGACTGACTGACAGACTGACTGACTGACTGACGGACGGACAGACGGACTGAGGGCTTCACTATATCCCTACTGAACTTTGTTCGTTTGGATAATTAGTGCATAATTTTGATGTGAGTTAAGACAATGAGACTAAGAACTTCAGGAATGCCTCTCAGGGCATGAATGAAGACCTACATTTGTTTGAAGGTTCACCTCTAAGGGCAGCCAATCTGTTAGCAACATCTTCTTCTGGTTTGGGGTACTTTGAGTCCAGTTCTACCTCGTCATATATCTCATCTAAAAGATCATCCATCTCTTCTGTTTCAGTCTTTCTATTAGGAGGTACATAGAACTGGAAGCACAATATAATAAAAATTAGGTCAACAGTTCAATGTTTACCCTAAATGTTGTTATTTTCATTGCAGATTGACACCCTCTCATTTCAAAAATATAGACTAATATAGTAACTGACCTACTCATTTTATGATATTTTGATGACAAAAATAGGCGAAAATAGGTCCCAATGAACTAATAGTGTAAAGGATCTAGTGCACTCTCCATTATAATTTCCCCATGAACAAAATGAATCATTTTTAGGTGTAACATGAAGAATGCATTAATAATACTTTGGAAAATATTTAAGCATTTACATGGGCTGCGTTTGAGGTCATTTAGTTCATCAAGGGTGTATTGACTTGACATTGGATGTGCTCCATTGACTTAACATGTGGATACCGTCAGATTCCAATGGAGGCCATCGGGTTCTATTGATTTTCACAAAAATACCTAAAATACACTATGACCTGAACATGTAATAATAAAAGCAGTATATTCATTTTAAAAATCAGATGAATTAATTTTTGTTCATGGGGAAATCATAATGGAGAGTGCACTAGATCCTTAGTAATATGAATCCATATAAAATAGAGTATATCATTAACATTAATCAGAGGAATAGCAGATTTGTCTGAAAATTGAAACAGATTGATGGATGGACAGACAAACAGATTTGAGCACTTTTCAAGTGATGTTGAACCAAAATTGTCAAATATAAATCCCCTTGGTTTTTTACCCCCCCCCCCTCCTTGGCAAAAGCTGGCTATGGACCTAATCCATCAAACAGTTTGGCCTGAAACATATAGACACTTTACCGACAAGCACACAAGATTTTAGGACGGAAAATCAAAAATAGCCACCTTACAATTTACCCAGAATACCCCAAAACTTATCATTTCTAGAAACATTTGAAGAACCATCCGTCCATGCATAGACAAACCAAAAAACATTGCTTCAGACCCCATCTTTTAAAATGTCTTCCACATCAAAGCTTTCTTTTGAACTATGTCAGTAATTTATCCCAATTTATTTTCCCTTTTCAGCACTAGCAAATCTGATGGGAAATAAGGCAAATTACAGCACACAGTACAAGATGCAAGTACATAATATTATAAAATATAAATACTGGCTTATGTTTTGCTGATTCTGTTTGAAAACTAGTTGGATCTTCCCCCTTTAAGGCTGCGAGTCTTACTGCCATCTCCTGTTCACTGGGAATATGTGCTGAAAAAAGCAATGTTAGACTTATGTTTTATGAAATGAGTATAAATTATGGTATATATATTTGTATATAATTTCTTGCCCATAACCTGTTGATGATCAGTTGAGTAGTTGGTCTTTATGTGCATGCATATGTAGTTTAGGGACTGAATAAGGTTCAACATGCCCATAATCTCAATGTAATAAAACACATAAAGATATGATTTTCATATTATCATTGAAGGGGTTGTGTCAAAATTAATTAAATGAATCCCATTCCCCTTTAAAACTGAAAATAAATTTTTTTAAAAATGAAGAAACAAATGAAGAATCAATGTAAAAATAAGTGGTGTAACAAAATGTTTTAACACAAAAGTAATGTATTCCAAGTTCTAACCTTAACTGTTAACATTTACCTGGTTTTCCAGTTTCCTTCAAAGCCTCTAGCCTGTCTACCAACTCCCTGTCCTCTGGTCTCAATCCAAAGTACTTAGATGACATGTCTTTGGACCCAGTCTTTGTTCCTCCACTAGGTGGCCTGTTGGAACCATGTGACCCATCTTGTGGTAGTCCCTGATCTCTTTGCTCTAGAGCTTCCATTCTCCTAAAGAAAAATATTGTTCACTGTATCATTTGGAAATATTACTTAGTAGAGGCTTTGTGTAAAAAACCTCATAATGTACCTCATACCCATGTATCCACGTATATTGGTCGTGATACAGTCTTTGAAGGGTTTTCAAAGTTTATTCAATCTTAGTTTATGCTAACTGAGACGTATTAATGCACTCATAGTGCTGTATTTCAATTGCAAAATTTTGATGAAGGATAAATTTGCAAAGATAAACAATTTTGCAATTGTTCTTATTTATGACTGTGCTAGGTTTATAAGACATACATGTACACATAACTATCAGATACATAAGTGTAATATGAAAAGTGAACCACTAAAACTGATGAATATTCGAGTTTAATGGAACTTTGTAATACCCTGCTAAGTTATTTTGCCTGAATTAACCACCTGGTGGTGAATCTGGTAACTACCCACTCACATCTGAGTTATTACTCTCCAAATAAATTTTGATTATCAAAAAAGTTTGATGAAATTTTGATGAAGAATTGATTTGTAGTCTCTAACTTTGAGAAACTTAGGATAACATCGTTTGTGACCTAGTTTAATAAGATTGACCTTCGACCTTGAATTTCACCTTTTCAGACCTCATTAGGCTTTTTGTAATTGAAAATTTTCTATATAAATGGAAAAACAGATGGCAGCATAGGTGTTGGTAGGGCCAGAATACATGGAAACATATGGCAAGAGTCAATTAATTTGTTGATTTAACAAGTAATTCCATTTGGATCAATGTTAAACACCATTGAAATGTAACTATATGAACTTATTGAGAGGGGGATATGATTTAACATTAAAATCGTGATCCTTATAAGAATAAATGATCTTTTAAAAGTTTTTTAACATTGTGTCAATGGGGATTTAGCCCAAATTTTTTTCCGAAAACATGAAAAATAACTACAAACCAAAATTGTTTTGATAGAAAATTTCACATAGAATTCAAATATGCAATCAAATAGAAAAAATGTTGGTAATGGTAATGTACTTCTTGTATTGTTAGAGTATAATAACTCTCAAACCATTGTGAATTCTAAATGTTTCATGTCTACCATTTTGTTTGCTGGGACTATTATTAAGTCCAGAGTAATCTTTTATTCATGTATCTATCGTTTATCATTTATAAAGCCTCAATTATGTATCTATCATGATAATTATACTGTAATAGATAAAATATACTAGTGATAATCAATGCCACTTGGTGAAGTCACAAAACTTGTATGAGGATTAATCAGGAAGCCTAGAAGTAGTTACGGCAAACAAAATAGACATGAATAAGAAACTATGGTTACAGGTTTCTTATTCTCTAACAATGCAAGAAATGCACTTGAAGGAAATGCATTTTTCAGAAAATGTGCCCAATAAATTGCTCTAAATGAAACAATCTTTAAAATGTTAGAAAATTGTCTGAAACAAAAATGGCGGTCATAAAAAGGAAAATAGATCACTTTTCAATTCATTTTTTTTCATTTTTTTCTTTTTCTATGAAAGATATCAATTTTTAAAAGATTGTATCATTTAGAGCAATATATTGGGCACATTTTCTGAAAAATTCAAAACTTTCTGTTCTTTCCAAATGCCTACTTTTAGCTATTTTTCAGTCACATTTTCAGAGGGCTGAAAAAGTTATTTCATCATGTTTAGGGTCATTTTGACCATGTATATTGTGATTCTGGTCATGTAAATGACATGCGGAACTAATTAAACTGACTGAAGGTCAAAATAGAACTTTGTTATCATGGTTCAAAAAATGTTGGAAATCCAGCATGGTTTTGTCACTTCCTGTTTTGTCATTTCCCGTTAAGTACCACGGCACCTTAACTTTACTATTACCTTAATTGTTAAAAACGCATATTTTACAAAAAATGTAAAATTATCAAAATCTACGATTCTTCAATTCCTCGTCTGACGCTCTGCGAAAAAGGAAATCTCAGATGAGTGAATATAGTACTTCAATACTTTAAAGCAGATATGAAATGGTATTTTTAACCTATAGGAATCAATATATTTTTTTGATAAATGTATTTGGACATGTTTTCTCATCAGGAGTGTGAAGATTATTTCACTCTAACGATCGTTATGGCTGCTTAATAAGCAATCTCCGAATTTTTTGTGATGTTACTGGCCCCCACGTGTTCTCTCACTGGTCCCCACGTGGCCTGTTTTAGGTCCATTAGATCATGACGTCATAATGCCAAAATGTTTTGTTATTTGTTTACACAACAATCCTGTGGTTGCCGTGACGTTGTGATTACTAAGGAACCAATAAACCAAAGCTATATTTTGAATATGACGTTACTAATCAAGTGGGGGCCAATTTGATTGATCATTTAGTTTCATTTCGTTATCTATGACTGTTAGCAGTTATCTAACATTTATTATATAATGGCTATCGCAAGAACTCTACGTTGGGCTTACAATGTACCTGTACAATGGAGAAAACTGCATTTTTGTAGCTGCAAGCTGAGAAAAGCTGTTTAAGTTGTCCTTTAATAATTTGATATTTTATAAACTCACCCTGTCAGGATATCAAAGCACTTGTTACATACATGATGGACCTCACCCTGTAGTTTTGGTACAGCAGTCTTTCTGGTCAGACATTTTACACAGAATGAATAGCCGCAATTCTTACATCCTTTCTGAAATATATGATAAAGAACCAACTTATGAAAGCTAAGAGCTTCGGGCTATTTTTAAGAAAAAAACTATCCATACATGTATTTGGTTAAAAGTAGAATTCTTATTCTAAAATATATCATTATTTATAAATAGAATTCTGCAATACAAACAGAAATAAAGTTAAGAAACATGCAAACCATCAATATATATCAAACTCAATTTTTTTTCATTCTACCAAGGAGAAGCTGATCATGAGTTATTTTTGACCTTTCTTCTTTAACTTGACAGATTGTTGTGATTTGGTTTAGCTACATGGTTGAGACTGACACACTTTACCTAAAAACTAATTCTTTGGATTGAACCTTGTCTAGTTGGCTTTGACAAACTTGGAAGTTAGTTTTCAAAGTAGTACAGTATGATCGGGCCCGTAGAAAAGATTTGCCAAGGGGTTAACCCCAGAATATTTTTTCGAGGGATAGATTTTCATTTCAAGTTATTTTTTCATGAGAATAGAATACAATGCAATTTGCAGTGCATACAATGTAATGCTACACTGTTCTATACAATGCAATACAATACAATAGTAAAGTGTAATGTCTAACGATTTGGACTTGTCAAGTTAAAAATCAATTCCAGAGCAAACTTTCAAAGAATGGGAGGGGGAGGGTGAAAGTAAACCTTAGAAAAGGGTAGGAGGTGGCCGACCATCCAAGGGCAAGGCACCCCGATCTCATGGGACCGATATATAAACTAGTTTCCCATAGTGTATGTTCAACAAGTATTGTATTGTAGGATCACAATGTCCATGGCCAGAATGACCCTAAACATGATGAAATAACTTTTTCAGTCCGCTGAAAATGCCAAGCAGTGAGTGCTTTGACCTGAATCCAAGTTGGAAGTTTACTAGAATTTCATAGAGGTCAAAGTAGGCCATATCATGATGGAATATAATATTTTCCATTATTTTACATGCAACTGACGTCAGAGATGCTGGCCTGTAATTCATAGAATCATCTCTCCATCGATCGATAGACTGTTCAAAAATTATTTGAAGGAATGGTGATATGTTGTCACTGCATTCCTTCAGGACCCTAGTTGGAATAAGATCGGGTCCAGTGGCTTTTGATGGATTTAGGCCAGTTAGCAATTTTTGAATTCTTTTTGTTGAAATTTTGATATTTGGCATTTCAGGAATTTGACTAGGCACCATTGTTGGTAGAGTAGCATCCTCATCTGTGAATACAGAATTGTATTGGTCTTTGAGGATGTTTACTTTCTGGGCGGGGTCTGTCATTTCGTCATCATCTTTGTCACAAAGCACACTGATACCTGATGCATCTTTGCGTTTAGACTTTATGTAGCTCAAGAAGCGTTTGGTAATGCCTTTGTGCTGAACATTCTCATTTATGATTTCACTTTCATCAATGTCGAGCAGATCGTTGATGTAGCGTTGATGTTCTTTACGAATTTCATTGTGGATTAATTTCCATAGTGATTTGTACTTATGCCAATGATGAAGTTCATTTGAACGTTTGGCAGCATTACTGTATATCGTCTTCGTCTCTATCGGATCATTCTCAGTATCCTGGTGGTAATCCAGGATACTTTGAATTTTCCACTAAGAGTTTTACTTGGAATTTGCTCATTTATTGACAATATCAATGTAGATTTGAATTCGCTGAACTTTGATCGTACAGTCTCTTAAAGTCCAGTCCATTCTGCCCGCTTGTATATGTGGACCTTATGAGGCTTCTTTTTCTGAATTTTCATTTTAAGGTTTATATCACATACATGTAGGACTGCCTCATGATCACTCATGCCCAGAACCAACAAATTCTTTCTGCGAGGTTTGGGCATGGATGTTTTTTTGTCTAGTTGGTTCCTTGACTAGTTGGGTTAGGCCATGACCATCAGTTATTGTAATCATCTTCTCATTAAGATCATTAGGATATTGAGAATTAGGCCTTATAATTCCATTCTTCCAATCGATGTCTGGTAAGTTGAAGTCTCCACATAGGAAAATGTTCTTCGTATATGTATTACCATAAGCATATAGTTTATCAAGAGATGTTTGGAGTGACTCCAAAGCACCAGTATCGTTGTTTGGTTGACAATAGAAGGATCCAAACAGTATGTCCCCATTTAATAGAGATGTTTTGGACCATATGATTTCGCAATCAGCTGTCGGTATTCGACTGACATGAAGTCACTTTTGACTGCGATAAGGACTCCGCCAGCACATTGATGAAGATGACAGACATGAGGCAAACCTGGTTTGCCCCTTTCATGCACTCGGCCTCGGTGGTTCTGATTCAGTAGAATTACATGATGATGATGATGAATTGTCAAGATCTGAGAGAGCGCTGACGGAGATTGTTACAGAGGAATGAGAAAGAGTGGAAAGCTGTTGGAAAAATTAGGTAGGGCACATCCAGGACAGATCTAGCTGAAACTGCCCGCATTGAGAAAAACATTGTACTCTGTTTGACTTGTGTCTGACGTCACGGGGGATGGCATCATATTCAAGTCACGTCATTTTATGACGTTGCATAATTTTAGCTGATTGTGGCTTCATTTCACTTTATTTGAAAGATTTATAAAAATATAATAATGAGTCAGTACTTTTTAGAAAAAATATTAATGTTTGAATTTGAGGTCAAAGTCCGAAAATTTGATTAACTGATTTAAATTACAGTTTAAAGAGGTGAGAAAGTGAATAATTACAGGAGCAAACGTGATCAATGGTTCGAGGTCTGCCTTCGGTAGAGGAGACCTCGAACCTTTTGAAGTAGGATCAGTAGCTCAATAAATATTCCTGTATTATTCTTTGAGCCTATGAGATCCTACTACAAAACGATCTGGCCAATACAGTGTGTCTGTGAGTGAGAGGGTAGTATTTTTGGGTGGTCATTTTTTATGTAGCATTTTTGGCTTCTGTCTTATCTTCCCATTTATCCTCTGAGCCTACAGCCAATAGGGGCTGGATCTGGCTCCAGATCTGTGCTATTATTAGCCTTTTGCAGATGATTGACAAATGACAGATGATGAGATATGACAGTATTTAGAAACTTACCTCTTTTTTGAAAAAGCTGTGTTTTTCGGCGCATGCATAACATGACATCGTGTTTTATTGCAGTATCGATAATTAGACTACCAAATGATAAAGGGTTACGACCATTTCATTTGTTTATATAGCATTAAATCGAGAGAAAGGATAAAATAAAATAATCAGGATCCCGGAAATGAACTTCGAGAACTTACGAGTTTTCGAACGAGAGCCAAAATGTCACTCAGAATCGCCTGTCGAAAACTGCTTGATAATGTAGTCAGGAAAAATCAATTGTCACAAGTAAGTTGAAGATATATATCTTGTCATATATTCCTTGCATTGGAATCTTGTTTTTATGTTTTGGAGAAGGGAAAATCGTGTAATACATGTCTAAACTTTATTTTCACATATTATCGCCCATCAAATTTTAATTCTGTGAAGGTAGGTAGAAAAAAGAGAAGGGAAAGCCCCCAGAGTTTAAAGATGGCAGACATAATTACGTCTCTTGCTTACGACCCTCGTTCGTTCGAATTTTCATTGGCTTGTCATCAAATACTACACTTCGATTGGAATTTAATTGATACTCCTTGTTACAGTTTACTATATTTGTACATAGCCATCTTTAGATAGATGGCTATGCAAAACTCAATATTCCCAGCCCATGTTAAAGGTCTTTTACAGAAATGTTAGAAATCGTGGGAACACTAAAACTACTTCAATCAATGTATAACATCATAAAGTATCGTTGTAATAATTGTAAAATGCTAACTGGAGTCGGGAGACAGTGTAATTGACGAAAAATGTTGCAGAGATGATAATTTTCAAGATGGCTTCTCAGGAAGTTGGGTAATGCGCTTGCGCTTCCATGCCATGAGATTTCCACTTTCGGTTACACGCATACGCATTGGCAAGACTTCCTGGTCAGATGACATGGAAAATAACAAGTTCCAAATACATTTTTCGTCAATTACACTGTCTCCCGACTCCAGTTAGCGTTCTACGATTATTACAATGATACTTTATGATGTTATACATCGATTGAAGGAGTGTAAGTGTTCCCACGATTTCTAACATTTCTGTAAAAGACCTTTAACATGGGCTGGGAATATCGAGTTTAGCAAAGCTATAAATAAAACGCAGCAATTTAAAAAAGTCCTACGTCCTGTTGTCTTCCAAAACGGCCCGCAGCTGGATTTTGCGGCTAATAATTTCATATCGAAACAAAAAACTGTACGCAATATTCAAAATTGACCAAAACGCCCGTTGTCTTCCAAAACGGCCCGCAGCTGGATTTTGCGGCTAATAATTTCATATCGAAACAAAAAACTGTACGCAATATTGTTAGTATGTGAAAATATTTATTCTTTAACATGCAAATATACTTAATTTCTCAATTTTTGAACTTTGATTCAATTATGCTGTGAGGGAGATTGAAGAAGACAAGAACCTGAATGTATATCACCTTTGTACTTTCTTAAAGTGCATGTCATACTTACCATTCAAGTGTCTCAAAGTATTCCAATAAATGAAAACAGATGTCAAAATCAACTAAAGTGCTAACATGTAATGTGTTTTGAACTTTATTGGAATCACAATATAGATCTAAAATTGCCCATTCCTGCCACAATTGCTCCAAAAGCATTGCATGAAACTTGCATAAGATAAAAATATGCCAGCGCATTGTATAAAGTTTGATTTCTCTTTTTGTGAGGACATAGGAGTTTTGTTTCCGAGTAAAGGGTTTTGTAGTAACTCCCCAACCATTGTATATTGTTGAAATCGCCATGATAAAAAGATGTGTCAGTTGAAGTTGTGCACCTGCGATCGTCTAATCAACTTATATACTGTGGAAGTTGAAGTGAAATTCTATGCACAAAATTATCAATTTGTGGAAGCATTACTTCAAAAGAATAAACATTATAACACTTCAGTTAGGTAGTAAGCAACAAATACACAAATTAATTAACTACATTGGCCATTTTGAATAACTGTTCCAAAGCCATATATTTCTAACCAATAGCAATAATTTTCTGCTCTCTTCAAAGTATGGCTATACTATTCTCAAATTGAAGGGAATTTAGGGCAGATCACTATTTTGGTATTGTTTTCCTGATTTTTGCCTCAGAAAATTCAAATTTGTTTTATTATTTATGCCATTAAATGGTCACCCAAATGCTTTTAAAATTGGTAGAAATTCTGATATATCTCTAATGTTTCCGATGTTTATATTTTTAAATACAGATTCATATATGTTATCAGGGGCGGATCTGGTAACCAACAAGGGGGGGGGCCCAAATTTCAGGTGAGAGAAAAAAAATTTTGGGCCCCTAAAACGCAAAAGAGGGCCCAAATTTTAAAATTTTGAGGCCCATTTTCTTCAAAATATGGCCTGAATTTAAAAAATAAGGCCTTAAAAGGCCCAGTAATGACCAAAAAGGCCGACTTTTTGGGGGCTTAAGGCCTTTTTTGGCCCAATTTTTTTTTCTGGGCCCACCCAAGGGGGGGGGGGCCCGGGCCCCCAGGCCCCCCCCCCTAATCCGCCAGTGGTTATAGTGCTTGTTATAATTTGCTACTCCGTGGAGTTGCTGTTTTCTAGTTTTGTCTGATTTACAGCCGTGTAATTGGATTTACCAGCTCAACATATATCAGTATGCTAAAAGTCTTGAAACTACCTTTCATGTAAAGGATCTGCATAATTATATTGGATAATCACCTAGGATAACTCTTTATTTTAAGGTAAGGTGTATACAGTACTATGACCCAGATAACAAGAAGCCAGTTGAAAGTGTCAATCCAGAGGAGACTACCGATTATGAGGTGTCAAAAGAGGAGTGGAAGTATGTTGATAGACTCTTACCTTTGAAGACCCTTCCAGAACCTCCTAAATATAGCAGCTACCCAACCCCATCAGGATGGATTCCTCAAAAGGGTAAAAAGAAATTATTGTTCATCTCTTGAAAAAATTGATATGTGGCTTTGCTGAAATTCATTCCTGTTAATACTCCCCCTCCCCCTTACATATGATTTCAATGAGATGCTCAATGATGAATGATTTCTACATTGATAAATCTCAATTCCTTCATTTAGTTGAGCTGTTACTGTCTACTTGCTGCCTATTATTATAATAAAATCATAATCATGTAACTTGTGAACAGTCAATCTTACATTCATAAAAGAAATGCCTGGAATTTTTTTACTCAAAACTCAGCTTTATTTCGGGTTGATACAATTGTTTCTGAAATCAGAGACTTGCCTCATTCAAAACAATTTTATTTTAAATAATCTAAGCTGAAAATCTAGTGTCCCAGAATATTTGAATATGCTGTCATTCCTATTTTGATTTTTTGAAATAGATTTTAGTTGATCATCTACTTTCTTGACAGCAAATCTGCTACATATGGTTTGGTAAAGAATTTCTACACTTGCTTGACATGCACAAACTTTATTTGATGATTATCTTGAGAATGCATAGAGGCTGATGAATATTGCTTAAAAACGTGTAGTTTTATTATTCCCAATAATTTTGTCTGCCATTTTAAATTGTTTTACCTTTTGTCAGAAATGATAATTACCTCTGTATGTAAAGCTGATATCTAATTTGTAATATGAAGTACATGTATTTATTGTTCTTCAGATGAGAACATAGGCTTACCTTAATTTGTAAGATGAAGTACATGCATTTATTGTTCTTCAGATGATAACATAGGCTTACCTTAATTTGTAAGATGAAGTACATGTATTTATTATTCCTCAGTTGAGAACATAGGCTTACCTTAATTTGTAAGATGAAGTACATGTATTTATTATTCCTCAGTTGAGAACATAGGCTTACCTTAATTTGTAAGATGAAGTACATGTATTTATTGTTCTTCAGATGAGAACATAGGCTGTATTTATTATTCCTCAGTTAAGAACATAGGCTTACCTTAATTTGTAAGATGAAGTACATATATTTATTGTTCTTCAGATGAGAACATACGAGGGTTGATCATAAAGTTCTCATAATATCTCTCTAATTTCTTTATTCTTCAATATTTTCCTATGAAATTTTCACAGAATGTGCAGCATGGAATGTTTTATTAATCCAGCAAACAATATTTAGAATAACAGAAATATTAAATAATAAATGGTTGCCATAGTAACTTGAAATCAAGGCACCCGGGGCAAATAAAAAACTAGCTAGAATAGCCCCCATTTACCATGTTTAAATACATAATAAGTTGTCAAATAAGCTATCAAACACATTAAATTGTCAAATAATATGGGCTATTGACTGTTGTGAACTATTATAATGGTCATGTGAATTGTGTGATCTCATAATGGATGATTGTTATGCTTCATTAGAAGTGACTGTTACACCCCATGACTGTTTTTTCAAATATCCCCAGGAAAATTGATTGCCCCTTTAGTTCATTTTTAACAAGTACAGACCACACACAGGGTGTAATTTTGTTAATATCTTAGCAATATATTTGTTTTAGATCATGTTTAGTCTGACCAAAGAATCTTACAAACTTAACATAACATTTTATCAGTATGAATTTTATTTTTCTAAAGATCTCTGCATCTATTGCATTCTCTTACGCAGTCATTTCTGATCATTAGCTTTGAGTGTCAGACTCTGGTATCACATCTAATGAAGCATGAAAGCATCCCCTATGACATCACACAATTTACACGATCGATTTATTTAATTTTTAAAGCACTTTACAACATATTCAAGATAACATTTTAACGTGTTTGGTAATTCATGAGAGTTTATTATGTATGTAAACATGGTTAATTAAGCTCATTCTGTCAATTATTTTTATTTGCCCCAGGTGCCTTGATTTCCCGTTACTATGGCAACCATTTCTTATTTAATAATTCTGTAAAACTAAATATTTTTTGCTGAATTAATAAGATATTTTATGCTGCACATTCTGTAAAAATTTCATTAGAATATATTGAAAAATAAAGAAATTAGAGAGATATTATGAGAACTTTATGATCAACCCTCGTAGGCTCACCTTAATTTGTAAGATGAAGTACATGTATTTATTGTTCTTCAGATGAGAACATAGGCTTACCTTAATTTGTAAGATGAAGTACATATATTTATTGTTCTTCAGATGAGAACATAGGCTTACCTTAATTTGTAAGATGAAGTACATGTATTTATTGTTCTTCAGATGAGAACATAGGCTTACCTTAATTTGTAAGATGAAGTACATGTATTTATTGTTCTTCAGATGAGAACATAGGCTTACCTTAATTTGTAAGATGAAGTACATGTATTTATTGTTCTTCAGATGAGAACATAGGCTTACCTTAATTTGTAAGATGAAGTACATGTATTTATTGTTCTTCAGATGAGAATGTAGGCTTACCTTAATTTGTAAGATGAAGTACATGTATTTATTGTTGTTCAGATGAGAACGTAGGCTTACCTTAATTTGTAAGATGAAGTACATGTATTAATTGTTCTTCAGATGAGAACATAGGCTTACCTTAATTTGTAAGATAAAGTACATGTATTGATTGTTCTTCAGATGAGAACATAGGCTTACCTTAATTTGTAAGATAGAGTACATGTATTTATTGTTCTTCAGATGAGAACATAGGCTAACCTTAATTTGTAAGATGAAGTACATGTATTTATTGTTCTTCAGATGAGAACATAGGCATGCCTTAATTTGTGCGATGAAGTACATTTATTTATTGTTCTTCAGATGAGAACATAGGCTTACCTTAATTTGTAAGATGAAGTACATGTATTTATTGTTCTTCAGATGAGAACATAGGCTTACCTTAATTTGTAAGATGAAGTAGATATATTTATTGTTCTTCAGATGAGAACATAGGCTTACCTTAATTTGTAAGATGAAGTACATGTATTTATTGTTCTTCAGATGAGAACATAGGCTTACCTTAATTTGTAAGATGAAGTACATATATTTATTGTTCTTCAGATGAGAACATAGGCTTACCTTAAATTGTAAGATGAAGTACATGTATTTATTGTTCTTCAGATGAGAACATAGGCTTACCTTAATTTGTAAGATGAAGTACATGTATTTATTATTCCTCAGTTGAGAACATAGGCTTACCTTAATTTGTAAGATGAAGTACATGTATTTATTGTTCTTCAGATGAGAACGTAGGCTTACCTTAATTTGTAAGATGAAGTACATGTATTTATTGTTCTTCAGATGAGAATGTAGGCTTACCTTAATTTGTAAGATGAAGTACATGTATTTATTGTTCTTCAGATGAGAACTAGGCTTACCTTAATTTGTAAGATGAAGTACATGTATTTATTGTTCTTCAGATGAGAACATAGGCTAACCTTAATTTGTAAGATGAAGTACATGTATTTATTGTTCTTCGAATGAGAACGTAGGCTTACCTTAATTTGTAAGATGAAGTACATGTATTTATTGTTCTTCAGATGAGAACATAGGCTTACCTTAATCTGTAAGATGAAGTACATATACCGTATTTATTGTTCTTCAGATGAGAACATAGGCTTACCTTAATTTGTAAGATGAAGTTCATGTATTTATTGTTCTTCAGATGAGAACATAGGCTTACCTTACAGTGTGAGACGTAGCAGGTTTCACATGCTACCAGTCTATCTAGAGGAGAAATCTGGAGGCACTAGGAAAATAACAATAGTTAAAAAAGTTGAAGGAGATATATGGGTGAGTAGATTCCATTGTTAGTGCAATTAGTAATTGATAGTTCTATTAATTACATTAACAGACTCTACAACTTTGCCTTTTTCAAATGTAATCATGCTAATAACAGTGATCTCGAACAAATGGCGTGTTATTCTTTATATTATCTGTTTTGGTCAAGAAGATATCTCATTAATATTTCAACATTTTTGCAGAGTGCAGTTTTTCAATCCGACAGTGACACATAACTATTACACACATTATATTTTCAACACCTAATGTCCAGGTGGATGAAATATCACATATGATCAAACTGTGACTTTTATTGTGAAGTTTGGGGATATAGAGAATTAATGGCTCTGCTCGTCTATCCATACATCCATTTGTCCATATGTCTGTCTGTCCATACATCCGTTTGTCCATGTGTCTGTCTGTCCATACATCCATTTGTCCATATGTCTGTCTGTCCATACATCCATTTGTCCATGTGTCTGTCTGTCCATACATCCATTTGTCCATATGTCTGTCTGTCCATACATCCGTTTGTCCATATGTCTGTCTTTCCATACATCTGTTTGTCCATATGTCTGTCCATACATCCGTTTGTCCATATGTCTGCCTGTCCATACATCCATTTGTCCATATGTCTGTCTGTCCATACATTTGTCTGTCCAGGCAAATTGTGTTGGGCAGTTGGCCCAATATTGTATATTTGCACAAGGTGACCATTTCCAAAAATCAGTCATTTTTATGGCTGTTAAATGGGATTTGCTACACCTTGGCATTGCTGTATCTATAGACTACTAGTTTTCCTTTGTATACAACAAGTGAGCATTATGGTTTTTCCTTCACATATCTTAAAAGCATCATATTTAAGTTTTATTACATTATACATCTTCTGATTTCAGGCATTTGAAGCTGATATTCGAAAGCATCTTGAAGAACTAACAAGTAGAAAAGTAACAACACAAGTCCATGAAATAACTAGATTTCTGAGAATAAAAGGGATTTACCTTAAAGAAGTTAGCGACTTTTTAATAAGTAAAGGATTTTGATAAAATTCATAATGAGACAGAGGAAATACAATATCTAAGAGATATATTTTAGACATGCTGGACTGAATTACATGTCTAGAAGTACAAGTACATGTAGTGTACTAAGTGTAGGTGTCTAAAAGTAGTGTAGGTGTCCGAAAGACTTTCTCCAAATACATCCAGTCAGTAAGGCCATTCAAATTCTAATATCTGTTTAACTGCCTCCATCCTAAGATTGAGAAAATTTTCAGAAAGCAAACAACTTTTTTAGAACCCATATATGTACTTATATATGTATATGTAATAAATCTAAATGATATTTGAAACTTAAAAATCCTAATATTAGATTATAAATTGTAATCTAAGATTATATTACAGTAAAAATTATTGAAAACTACTGTTCATATATTTTGCTTCAGTCTTGTTATGTCACCATCAAACGTGGTGACATATTGTTATGGTCTCAAAAAAAGATCAAAAGGTTGACCAATATTTTTCAAAATCATCTACAAGTTGTCAGAAATTAAAATCTGAATTTAGATTTGACCTCCAATGACCTTCTCAATGTAGAAAAAGGTCAAAAAAGGTATTTTTAACTTGCTTCAAATTGACCATTTTTTGAAATCATCTACAAGTTCTCAAATCTGACTTTAGATATGAAATTTGACCATCAATGACCTTCTCAAGGTCACAAACGGTCAAAAAGGTATTTTTCAACTTGCTTCAAATGGACTAATTTTTAGGTGGTCACATTTTGTCATGTTAATCCCTTGTTAAAAGTTGTTTGTATTTTCGAACTCCAACCCTCCCAAGATCTGGCCCCTCAAGAGAATGTTCAGCATTCAATGGCCTTATATTATTAATCTCTGAGCATGATGCATCAAATTACACTCTTGAATTGACAAGTATTGATTCCATGTGTTGTGAAAAGAAATGAAAAAGTACAACTAATATCTTACCTGTTGAGTATCAGGAAAATATACATCATTTTTTTTTGTTTTTTCCACCAATTCTTGAGAATGAAATAAAATATCTATCCAAACCTTGTTGGATCAAAATGGCATATACAACATTTTTTAAGATCTCTCAGTATCATAGTTATAGAATGGAAAGTTTGGTTCATCTTAAAGAATGTATCCAAAAATAAAAAAAAGTAGATAAGAATTAAAGTATACCTTTTATTTCATTAACAACATACATGAACCAAACTTTCCTTTGTACTGGTACTATTACAATATTGAGAGACCGTAAAAGGTATTGTACATATCATTTTGTTCCAACGAGGTTTAGATAGATGTTTCATTTCATTCCGAATATAAAAATATATATGGTACCAAGAACAAAAGAAATGTCCGATGTGTTTTCTTAAACCATATATAGAAAAGTAGATATACTATTTTCAAATTAAATTCTTACCTCTGGCAACCAGCTTTTAATGACTACTATCAGTTCCATTATCACTACAGTCATAGAGGAGATGACAGATTGACTCTGGTTCTACTTTACAAAGGTACACAGATCCGATTCTGCTAATCCACACATTTTCAAATATGTGTTGGTGGCCAAAAATCTATGAAGAATTTTAAAATTGAATGAAGCTAATTTTGGTTCAAAATTGCTGACCTTATTGAATGAGTTGTACCAAACACATGGTGTAATGACATAGAATGGATATGGTGCTAAGGATTAATAAATTAGAGTTTGGTGAATAATAAGTATGTGTATTTTAAACTGTTCTTCCTACTCTCACCAGTGTGGATCCTTATTATCCCAACAAACTTTGTCATGTTTGTTCGGTAGGGATATAGTAAAGCCCTTCGTCAAATGACCGCTGCCAGGCCCGTAGCCAGGGGGGGTTCGGGCGAACCCCCCCCCCTGGCCAAAATTTCTTTCAAAATCATGCAGTTTTTCACCATTCTGACTAATTTTTGAGTGATTTTTGGCCATATTTGCCAAAGTGAACCCGCCCTAGAATTTTTTAGAAAAACGAACCCCCCCCCCCCTTGGATTATTCTGGCTACGGGCCTGGCTGCTTTAAAAAAGGTGGCAATGTGTGCGTTTGTTTTGTTTACCACCAATGAAGGTGAGCAATACCTCTTGAGTGTATCCTGTATATGTATGGTCGTAATTTATTACGTAATAATCCTGGAAGACAGACCCATACAGCCTTCCCTGTGTTCTTTAAGTTGCACTCAATCATAGACGTACAAGTACACACCACAGCCTTTTGTACGAGGTGTGGACCACTCAGTAGAACACCCTGAAGAACGAAACAAGTATTGCCTGAACCAGGGATCAAATCTGGGACCTATTGCATAATTGGTACACACACTGCTGTTGAGTTACACGGGTGGACTAATGAAACACGTACCTAAGTGATCACCCAAATGCTTAAATTGGTGGAAATTTGGATAAATCTCCGATGTCTGTTATTATCGGGAAATGATGAATAGGGAAGATGGTAAATATAACATTATGACTTACAGATTCATGAATATTTTGTTCGTTTGGATTTACTACTCCGTGGAGTTGCCGATTTCTAGTTTATCAAAACTAACATCAATAATGTTTATTCTCATCTGTCCCTATTCTTACCAGTGTTATTCTTATTTATGCAAACTCACATAAGATGTTCGTTCATTTATAACTACTCTCACCTATGTGTATCCTTATTATCCCACCAAACGAAGTTCGAGGGGGATATAGGAAAGCCCTCCGTCTGTCCGTCCGTTCGTCGTGTGTCCAGGTAATAACTCAAATACCGGTTGACGGATTTTGTTCAAAGGACAAGGTGCAATTATTGGCAGATATCCCTATGGTCAAAATGAATCATTCGTAGGTGTAACATGAAGAATAAAATGTCATATAATACTTTGGAAAATATTAAAGTGCTCGGACACACATAAGCTGACTTAACATGAGGATATCAGCAGATCCCAATAGAGGCCATTGGTTTCCATTGATTATCACAGAAATACCAAAAATACACTATGACCTGAATCGATTGCAAACTTAATGATTTCACAATACGACACAAATGGTTTATCTCATCAAATGTGCAAATATGAAGTTTGCAATCGATTCAGGTCATACTTAAAATTAAAAGATTGTACATTTTTTCATCATTTTTTCCCTACAAAATGGCTACAGAAAATGCTCCAAAAACAACTTTTACACTTATCAAATATCATACAAGTTTGTAAAACCAAAGATTATACTATTATATTTCATTATGTAGTAACATATTTGAATAAGATGCAGGGATGCGTAGGATGTAAATGGATTTTGACAGATACAAAAATACTTCCTGGTTTGGAATCTATGCCTCTACACTTCATGATTGAATTATGACCCTAATAAGTGGCCTATACATCAATACAGTGCTGAATATAGGTCAACAAGATACTAGTGTGCATATAAATGTAACAATTGAAGCAGAATACTCATTTTGAAAAATCCGATGAATTATTTTTCCCATGGGGAGATCCCAATGGAGGGTGTATAAGGTCCTTTTATGGACTTATGGGATGGGTGTAAGAAATTTGCTCGAGAATATGGCCGCTCAATTCAAAATGGCCGCCATTTTTCGTAAAAACGGATTTGGTTCAGATTTTATATGGTGGTGCCTAAAGACAAAGCGGGTTTGCTGAAGAAGAGATTTTCAAGATGGCCGCTGCTTTACAAAATGGCGGCCATTTATCGTAAAACATGCAATGTTTGATAACTCAAGTACCAGTTCACGGATTTAGTTCAAATTTTATATGCTGATACCTAGGGATACAGGAGTTCTGATTGAGAAGGAATAAGGATCGAAACCAGTCATAGTTTTCTCCTGGTGACCATTGTAAATTATTCAGTTTTATGGATTATGGCGACAGCTTTGCGAATAGATGTTGACCCTATGGACTTCGAGACTTTCGTCTATCCCACATCGTATCGTGACAGGTTTACACTTTAAACTTAGAGTTTGCATTTCTTGCCAGTTTTTTACAGTTTTTGGTCATGCATCATGAATTGAACAAATTAGTAAACTTACAATAAAAATCACAATATATAGCGCAGTCAGATGTCCCTTTGGTAGTTCGACTTTTTCAGGAAAGCAACAAACTTGGCACAGTTGTAGAAACATATGATCTGAATGAAAAATGATTTCGGGGCAATTGATTCGGGGTGGTCTTCATGGATTTTAAGCCTCTGACCCCCACCCCTATCAGGAGGGGAGGGGGTACATTATAATAAAATAAATAAAAATAGTTGTAAAGTATATTTCTTTAAATGACTTCATTTGGTCATTGCTTTGAGCCTTGAAATTGAGAAAAACCTATTTTAGAAGTGGTGTTTAGGAAGGAAAATACATTTTAACCCAATTATCTAGCGTGAATTCATCTTTCAAAGGGTCAAATATAGGACATCAAGTACTGTATTTCAAGAATGTGATGTCTGATCATCCTGAAAAAATTCATACTAATAGAGATATTGGTGTTTATTTCTCATATGATATATGGCTTGTGTAGCTCATGTATTTTTTGAGAAATAAATTATCGAAATTTGGATATTTAAGCCCTTGCGGCCTAGGGGTGACCTTATGTTACCTTAATAATTTTTAAGATACGCAATGTTTGGGCCTCATATGAATTCTAAATGTTGCATTAAGTATTGTTTTGTCATATTATTCCTAATTAGATGTAAAAAAATTATTGAAATAAAAAAAAAATCAAATTTTCATTTTCGGTTCTAAAGGGCCAGGGGTAACCATATTTTACCCTAATAATTTCCAAGATATGTAATATATGCATCTCAAATTAGCTCAAGATGTTGCATATAGTTCTGTTTTATCATACTTCTTCCAATAAGATGTAGAAAATGATCGGATATATCTAAAAAATCAAAATTTTCACTTAAATTCTTGATGGCCCTGGGGTAACCTTATTTTACCTTAATAATTTTCTAAATATGAGACATAGTCACCTCAAATGAGCTTAAGATGGTATATTTAGTCCTGTTTTATCATATCATTCCCAAGGAGTGAAAAAATGATTGGAAATTATAAGAAAATTACATTTTCATATTACACCCCCAATCCGCAACATCTTCTTGCAGCGCTGTAAACAGTACTGAACAGTGCAGTCAGAGTACTGCACTATATAGCAAGGTACAATGCTATTCTAACACCATCTGTTTTGGACAGCGAAGTACAGTACTGTTTTTACAGCTCAGTACTGTTTTAGAAAACAGCTGTGTACAGTACTGTTTTTACAGCACTGTTTATGAAACCATGCTGTTTGATGCAGTTTGAGATTGGTAGTGTAGTTTATGATAGGTCAGGAATGACCTAATTTTACCTTAAAAATTTAAACAAAGATATATCATATTGTCTACTCAAATGAGCTCAAAATAGTGAATGTAACTAGTTTTGTCATATTATTCCTACTGAGATATACAATAATGATTAACAGTTATAAAAAATGAACCTCAACAGCCATTTATTCCTTTCTAGTACCAATGGCAAAACTATCTAGTTTTATAGAACATTTTCTAAGATGTGAAAATGTTTGATAAGTCCAGTTCATACTAGCACGAGTAGTAGCATTGTTAAGATTCTGTTTATTATCATTTGAGTATAAATCCAAATCTATAAAACCTAATCAAAGGAGTCACAATTTATGGATTCTGACAGTCTCTCCTACAGCTACATAGCTCAGAGCAAATCAGATCTGCTTTCAAACATTTGCATCTGTTCTCTTGACACAGGTATCTACCCCATGACCTACATTTTATGTTGTGGCCTCAGTATCAGCAGTGGGAGTAGGCCAGCCACATTCATGTGGTGATAGAAACTGTGGCTAAGAATGCATCAGAATGAATAAGGACTCTAGTCTTCTAATTTTAGGGTATCAAAAAAGATTTTAAGCTTTAGAATACTTGCGTAACCTCTGGGTACACCTTCTATTCCTGCAAAACAGTTGTCTAAGAGTAGTAGCAGAATGCATCTAGAGATTGTATGAAAAATGGTAAGGGCTAAACTTCGTTCATGGCCAAGTGACCTTGAAATATCTAAGACAGGTCGTACATTCTGGAGGAATTTCCCCTTACCATAGGCCATATGCAATCCAAATTGACATTTTCAGATGCCAAAATAATAGACAGGGCATGAATAGTTAAACATGCTAACAGTGATATATAAAGAAAATTTGGTGATTATGCAAATATGATATTACCCACGTAAAAGTCTGCAAATAGTTCATTGCCTTGATGTCAGCTGGAATGTTTACCAGGACACTAGCTTAAAGGGGCAACAAGGTCTGTAGAAGATTCAATTTTTTTACTTTTTCTGAGCTATCAGGGTAATATTTGGCTAAACATCTTCTTTGACATACCTATTTTCTTAAAATGTATGGATAAACTATCAATTTTAGCATTAAGAAGTGTAAATTCAGTTCAAAGCTTCTTTAAAGGGAGGCCCACTTATAGATTTTTAAGATCCAAAACATTTCAAGAGGAATCAGCTGAAATAATGTTCATCCAGGGGGTTTCTTTGGAAAAAAATAAAATATATTTTGACACTGGTCCATGATCGTTGAATGGCCCCTTTGCACTAATTGTTGCACCTTTAAAACAGCACTAGAGAGACTTGTGGAACTGGAACAAGGATAGTCTAAGGAGGAAACTGAAACCCTTGAAATGGATGGAAAGAAGATAGTGACCACATAAATTAAGGAGGCAATGCAATGTTTTAGCCCAACAGTGAGGTTCTGCCCTTGCTCTTAAGAAGAAGCAGATTCAAGGATATTTCTCAATATTTTCAGTAAGACTGCTTCAATCATGGCCTTCAAGAGAAAGAATAATACTCCTTACATTTAATTCTGATGTGGTTATCCTGGCATAAATGTGATGTTAAAAACGTCAATTTGGATAGCATATGGTAAGGGAGAAATCCTATCAATATCTACCTGCCCATGGCCAAAGTTTAACCCTCCCCATTTTTCATACAATCATTGGATGTGATGTTACATCTGTATTCTACTGCTATTGGTAGTGCTAAAATGGAATAAATGGATTGAGATTTAAATGTGTCACTGAGTTTTCTAATTGTTGTTAATCATTATCTCAGTAGGAATAAAGTGAAAAACAGACTATTTTCCCCATTTTGAGATCATTTTATCTTGAAAATTAATAACATTAAATTAATAACATTAATAACATTTCTTGTACCCAATCATTGACTGTCATTATTCACTGACAGAATCCTTGACAGAAGCAGCTCACCTTAACCCCCCCCCCCCCATCAGGCTAAGGTGACTGGACTCACTACCCTTTGCATTCATTCGACTTTCCTTCTCAAAAGAGAGCTTCGTCTTCACTCTATCAGTTTTCAATAAATCTCTGAACTCACTGCGCTAATCAGAGTTTGTTGTCGAAATAAGGACGGCTTTCTATATGGTCATTTTCTCTGACGAAATCGCATCATTAATGTACCCACATTTAGCACTTGTTCCTTCAAGCTCGGTGATTGGTTGAGAATAGGTCAGCATGGTTTATTGCAGCTTGGGTCATAAATGCTTTAAGACCCAAGCTGCCAATGGCATTGGTCATGGGGACGGGGCTGCTAAACTCACTCCATCCTTTGCTTCTATATTATGGTAATATATGATAAAATCACCTCTGACCTGTCAAAAGCTAAAGATGTCATTTTTCAAATTTCCATTATTTTTTACATCTCCTAAGGAATAATATGACAAAACAAGAGTATATGACACAATTTTAAGCTCATTTGAGATGCATACGTCTCATAATTAAGAAAAGTTCAAGATTAAATAAGCCCCCCCCCCCGACCATCATAAGCTAAAATGAAAATTTTAAATTTTAAGAAATGTCCAATCATTTTCTACATCTTATTGGAGGTATTATGATTAAACAGAACTATATGCACCATCTTGAGCTAATTTGAGATACAGTACATATATTACAAACCTTGAAAGTTATCAAGGTAAAATATGGTTACCCCTGGCCCTTTAGAAGCGATAATGAATTTTTTTTTTTTTTTTGAAAAGTTCCAATCATTTTTCAATCCAATTAGGAATATTATGACAAAACAAGACTCAATGCACCATTTTGAGCTCATATGAGACCCATACATTGCATATCTTAAAAATTATTAAGGTAGAATAAGGTCGCAAGGGCTTAAAAATTCAATTTTCGATAATTTTTATCTCAAAAAATACATGAGCTACCCAAGCCATATTCTATATTTGTGATGAACACCTATACCCCTATTAGTATGATTTTTTCCAAGATGATCAGACATCACATTCTTGGAATACAGTACTTGATGTCCCATATTTGACCCTTTAAAATATGAATTCACGCTAGATAATTGGGTCAAAATGTATTTTCCTCACTAAACACCACTTCTACAATCGGTTTGTCTCAATTTCAAGGCTCAGAGCAATCACCAAATGAAGTCATTTAAAAAAATTTACTTCAAAACCATTTTTATTTATTTTTTATAATGTACCCCCTCCCCGCCTGATAGGGGTTGGGGTCAGAGACTAAAAAATCCATGAAGACCACTCCGGATCACTTGCCCCGAAATCATTTTCCACTCAGATCAAGTGTTTCTACAACTGTGCCAAGTTTGTTGCTTTCCTGAAAAAGTCGAACTATAAAGGGCTTATTTCTGGACATCTGACTGCGCTAATAACTGTATAACCTAACTTGCCATTAGGTTTTGATACAATATTTAATTATTTAGATAAAATCCCATGCTTAAATGACATCAGAGCTCATCAAAGTAGTTACACCGAGGACTTTGCCCTGATATCTTTTAAAATATACTCTACATATATCATGATATATGAAGTATGAACACGACGCCTCCTATCTCTCTATGTAGTTTTAAACAGACTGCTGCCAAATTCATAACACTGTGGCAAAAAAGATAAGTGGGTCACGGGTGTAACTCCAATATAAAAGTGAGTAAACTGTACATGTTACATTTTTAATTGTGTAGAATACTATTTAATATCAATTCATCTGTATGTTATCTGCTTGCATACATGTATGTATAAAATATTAACTGTTGTCATATGTAGTCAATACGACCGCAGATCAATTAAATCAGTGAATTTCTGCGGCGAGCGTAGAAAAATCCAGGCCATGGCATATCTTTTTTTCTTTATTTCTGTGCCACAATATTTTCTCTATCTCATTTTTTATAGCATAGCGTCATATTTATTACTTTTTGGGGGTTTAAAATATAGGTAAAATGTCTTAAGTAAAATAGTAACATCTTTTCTAACTTAACTTACCTCTCAGTTTTAGTCCCGGCAAATATTTGACCACTTTTAACAAATTAGTTTTTAAAACATTTCATTTTGTTCCAACAGAAAATGGGCACCGAATCAAGTAAAGATGGTAATGAGATCCCAAACAAAGAAGCATTCACATGCCCGCTGTGTCACAAAATACCGAGTCAACCCAAGATGACGCCTTGTATGCACATCTTCTGTCTTGAGTGCTTAGAGAAGGAAATTGAGCAAAAAGACAAGCCCGATGTCTTGAGGTGCCCAGTATGTAAGGTCCAGTTCATGATACCCAAAGAAGGTGTTAAATCCCTCAAGACAAATACGACTTTGGAGGATATATTATATTTATTTAAATCCCAGAAGCCTTCCGTCCAGAACTGTGGAATCTGTCTAAATAATGATGAGAAAACGGTTGCCGTCTCCAGATGTATTAATTGTAACGACTTTATCTGCGGTAAATGTACAAAAACACACCAGTTCATAAAGACGTTGAACGATCACACACTAATTCCACTGACTGGAGATGCCAAAGCTGATACCGAACAGGCTTTAGAGATGTTACCAAAATCAATAAAATATTGCGGAGTACATACCAACGAGGCACTAAGGTACTTCTGTTCAAGTCATGGTTGCAATAAACCTATATGTCGAACATGCTGTATCGAGACTCATAAAGGACATAACTATGATAACCTAGAGAAATCCATTAACCAAGATATGAATAATATTGACAAAATTATTGAAATATCTGGTCGGAGAAAGAAAATGACCGAGGCCGAAATATCAAAAGCAAAACGCATTGAGGACATAATCATTAATAGCGGTCAGGTCGCAATTGGGAAAGTCGAGGCAGCCATGAAGGTAGACATGGAGATTGTTGAAAGGCACTACAAAGCTCAACTAGCAACAATCGAAAAAGTAACCCAAGAATCATTAAAGAGTAACAAAACTCACACTGAAAAGCTTGAAGTTGAAATGGATAAGGAAAATAAAACCATTCACCACCTACAAGTACAAAAGAAATATGGACATCCAGTTGAAATCATTAACTTGCGAAAAGAACTTTCACAAAAGGTTTTAGAACTAGATGGGTCGCATTTTATCTGTTCACAGATAAGCTCTGGCATCACTGTACCGAAATATAACGATAACAACAGACACAAACTTGAACTCCGTAATGTTGAGAAAATGTTAATGAACACAACTGAGAAAAATGAATCTTTTGCTTTAAAACAGGCGTCTTGCAACGAGGAGCTGGAACTACCCAGCAAAGGCAATAAACAAAATGAAGAAATTGAAGCTACAATGTGATTTCCACGAGTTATATGTGTATTACAAAATCAAGTTAGCATTTAGTACACGTTTGTAGCACACTGGTGCTTATTGTTGGATATCTCAACCAACTATTCACTGTTGTTCACGGCAACGGAGCTATTGATGAACGTAAGACATGATCAACAAAACAAATACCGGTGTGAAAGAAATAATGGTCCCCCAGGGATTATGGTCCCCTTTCTTAAAGGCCCTTACTGGCCCTGAGTGTGTATAAAATAATGAGGGAAAGAGTTGTATTGAGGTCACCATATAAATCAATGGAGAGTAGGACCATAATTTGATAGGACTTCCTACCCTTTTACACCGGTATATTGATATTTATCCCATCGAACGAAGTTCGGAAATGTAGAAATATAGATGTTAAAGAAGCACATGGAAGCCATTTTGAAAAATGGCGACCTTTCCACGCTATTTTGCGATATTTGCTGTAACTCGAAAAGTAGTGGAGCGATTTTGTTCATATTTGGTATGTGAATACTATAAGCATGTCACACTGTCTCATGAAACTTTGGGTAGTAGGCGGCCATTTTGAAAAGTGACCGCCATTTCTACATTTTTTACTATAACTCGAAAAGTAGTAGAGCGATCTTGTTATGTCACCACCAAAAGTGGTGACATATTGTTATGGTCTCCGTTTTTTTGTGACGGCGGTTGGTGATTGGCGGTTGGTGGTTGGCGGTTGGTGGTTGGAGGTTGGCGTCCGGCGTCTGTAACAATTTCTTACAACTTCCTATAACTTAACAAATACTGTTTAGATTGACTTCAATTTTTTTCTAAATCACCTACATGTTCTCAGAAGTTCAAATCTGACTTTAGATTTGACATTTGACCTTCAATGACCTTCTCAAGGTCAAAAAGGTCTTTTTTCAACTTGCTTCAAATTGACTAAATTTTTTTTTCAAAATCATCTACATGTTCTCAGAAATTCAAATCTGACTTTAGATTTGACATTTGACCTTCAATGACCTTCTCAAGGTCAAAAAGGTCTTTTTTCAACTTGCTTCACATTGACTAAATTTTTTTCAAAATCATCTACATGTTCTCAGAAATTCAAATCTGACTTTAGATTTGACATTTGACCTTCAAATCTAACTTTAGATTGGACATTTGACCTTCAATGACCTTCTCAAGGTCAAAAAAGGTCAAAAAGGTCTGTTTTCAACTTGCTTCAAATTGACTAAATTTTTTTTTCAAAATCATCTACGTGTTCTCAGAAATTCAAATCTGACTTAAGATTTGACTTAAGATTTGACATTTGACCTTCAATGACCTTCTCAAGGTCAAAAAAAGGTCAAAAAGGTCTGTTTTCAACTTGCTTCAAATTGACTAAAAAAAATTTTCAAAATCATCTACGTGTTCTCAGAAATTCAAATCTGACTTTAGATTTGACATAAGATTTGACATTTGACCTTCAATGACCTTCTCAAAGTCAAAAAAGGTCAAAAAGGTCTTTTTTCAACTTGCTTCAAATTGACTAAATTTTTTTTCAAAATCATCTACATGTTCTCAGAAATTCAAATCTGACTTTAGATTTGACATTTGACCTTCAATGACCTTCTCAATGTCAAAAAAGGTCAAAAAGGTATTTTTTCATCTTGCTTCAAATTGACTAAAATTTTTTTTCAAAATCATCTACATGTTCTCAGAAATTCAAATATGACTTAAAATTTGACTTTAGATTTGACATTTGACCTTCAATGACCTTCTCAAGGTCAAAAAAGGTCAAAAAGTCTTTTTTCAACTTGCTTCAAATTGACTAATTTTTTTTTTCAAAATCATCTACATGTTCTCAGAAATTCAAATCTGACTTTAGATTTGACATTTGACCTTTAATGACCTTCTCAAGGTCAAAAAAGGTCAAAAAGGTCTGTTTTCAACTTGCTTCAAATTGACCAATTTTTTTTTCAAAATCATCTACATCTTTTCAGAAGTTCAAATTTGACTTTACAAGTTCTCAGAAGTTCAAATCTGACTTTAGATTTGACCTTTGACCTTCAATGACCTTCTCAAGGTCAAAAAGGTCTTTTTTCAACTTGCTTCAAATTGACTAATTTTTTTTTCAAAATCATCTACATGTTCTCAGAAGTTCAAATCTGACTTTAGATTTGACATTTGACCTTCAATGACCTTTTCAAGGTCAAAAAGGTCTTTTTTCAACTTGCTTCAAATTTACTTAATTTTTTTTCCAAATCATCTACATGTTCTCAGAAGTTCAAATCTGACTTTACATTTGACATTTGACCTTCAATGACCTTCTCAATGTCAAAAAAAAGTCAAAGAGGTATTTTTTCAACTTGCTTTAAATTGACCAAATTGTTTTAGGTGGTGACATTTTGTCATGTTAATGCCTTGTTCATATTTGACATTTGAATACTATAGGCATGCCACACTGTCTAATGACACTGTCTAATAGTAGGCGGTCATTTTGAAAAAAATATCAAAAATATCCGGAATATCATGGATGTAATAATGTTCATACCACTCTAAGTCCGATTACAGTTGTATAACATGGGTCTATAACAACGATATACAGTGGAGAGTGGTATATCGTCATCGTATACAACTCCTCCGTATACACTCCAGCGTATACCACTGTAGAAGTGCATTCTGGGAACCAGTGAATATTGACCGAAGAACGAGGTGAATGTTTTGTTACATATGATTTCCTAGAATCAAGTGACGTCATAAATGGTTCCCGCATGATTTGCTAGAATCAAGTGACGTCATAAATGGATCGTGATCAAAATCGGCATTACTGAGTTGGCTATGGGATATTTTTATGATTTTTATAATGTTATGATTGTGTTTGAATCAACTGTAATTGAACTTAGAGTGGCATAATAAGATTATATAATGGTTCATTCTGTATATCGTGCATTTTATACTCTCGTGAGAATATAATATATTCACTCGTTCGCTACGCTCACTTGTGAATATATTATATACTCATTCGAGTATAAACACGATATACAGAATGAATCATTATATAACCTCATAATCTACCCTGCGCTGCAGAGTCTAGTTATAAACTTGAACTTGAGAGACCATGCTCTCTTTTAAGAAGTGAAGTCGAACGAATGCAAAAGGTACAGTGAGGTATAATGTATCTTCAATTGTATATCTGTGTCATCTCATCATTAGAATAATGATATAACTATTAATGTCAATATACCTGGAGTCATTGAAAAAATAAATGAAAAACGATATTGTAGAATATTTATTGCAAAACGAAGACAGTTTTATTTCAAAGCTCTCAAAAACTTTATTTCACAGATTTGAAACTTTATATTAAAGTTCCGACTTTTAGCAGTAAGCCATTATGTTCAGAAAGCACCCTCTTTCAGCAAAATATCCTGGGCTCATACATTGCAGGTTGTTCCTTTCAGTTTTGTGTTTATTTCATTCCTATTTTCAGAAAATGTTCAGTAAAATGGAAATTTGATTGTTAATCTTTAAGGACTTGGTCTCTTTGCATTTATTCCATACCAGTAGTCTTTACCAACCCTGGAAAGTTTAAAATCAAATCATTATTTGCAAAGGAATGCGAATGTATTTCAATCTACCTTTTTATATCTTATACGCATATTCTTATTTTAGGTTACTTTCATAGGCAGACCACTAACAGCCTTTAAGCCTACCGCAATTCTTTCTGTCGAATTGATCATAAATATTGTCGTTTATGAAATATCAATTCTGCTTCAGAGTATTGTTTGTTCAAAGATACTATCAGTAGCTGATAACAGCTTAACATTAGTTTACATTTAGTAAATCATCTATTGTTGCATAATGCGATAAAATTTAATTCTATGTACCTGTTTCTCATATACTCCAACAGGGAATATTTTATTGCTTCACCAAAATGTTCGTTCTTATCTGCACCAGGTGGCCGACTGCCTCTCTCAGGGGCAAGCTGAAAAGTTAGACACGTTGATGATTTAAAAATTGTAACACCAAACCTAACTCATTGATGCGCTATGAAATGTATTAAAGTACTGTCGAAATTTACGCAAAAAATCCCGAAAGATTGACCAAGAAACTCCTACTTGAAGGAGTCCTGTGTTCTTTAATGTGCACTCATACATAGGCAGACAAGTGGATCACTCAGTCAAACAAACTGAAGTCGTGTAAATCCAGAACTTGGGTAAAGTCAGAAATATCAAAATAATCAAAAATATCAAAAAATGAATTTAACCCTAACCCTAAGACCATGAATGTGTGTCAAAAAAATTCCATAGACACAAATTTGTGTGTCAAAAAAAAGAATTTCATAAATACAATAAACTTATGTGTCAAAAAAATAAATTTAACCCTAACCTTAACGCTAACCCTAGGACCATGATCGAATCCGTGACCTATGCGTTATGACTGGTATACGCTCTACTACTGAGCTTAACGGGTGGACTATTGTTGAACGTGGCATCGTCAAACTTATGGTGATGAACATTCAGCATTTACATTGCTAAACAGTGATAAGTGAATCTATTTGACATGATATCTAGGATGATGGTTTATTTGCAACGAAATAAAAATTCAGAACTACCATTTATGCAGTGTTGTAAAATACACAGCAATAATGCACAATTATAAAATTCCTCAGGAAATACAATAATGTATGAACCTCTTCTGCGATTTCTCTGATATGATAAGGTTCAAAGCCGCAACACCCTCCGATATATCGTACTCCAAGATCATAAGCTGCTCTTGCATATTTCCTTGCATCCCACCTTGTTATGGATCTGGATTCAAGGGCTAGAAATAGAAGCTTTCAGTTCGCAAAATAACCAGATATACTACATATAGTAAAAGTTTTACCGTAAATTACTTCAGTGTTATACGATTGTATTATCGGTCTCAAAACAATAGGCATTACATGCATTACAATACAAACTTGGCTATGCTCATAAAGCCAATCTAAAACTACCTAGTGCAATTGAAATTATATTTATTTCACCTAGTGGAAATTCGGGAACTTCATGGTATCCATCCTTATTGTGTTCACAGTCACCAGTGTGGAATGCAACAGGCTGCATAACTAAGAAAGGTTCTAAGCCAGCAGCATCAAGGCTTGTTTTCATTTTTTCAATTGTCTTTAAACTGGTAACTGGCCCAAATGAGCAGTTGACGCCCACTAGGTCAGCCCCTGAAAATATATATGTCGCCTGAAAATACCCAAAATATCACATATCAAGGTTCGTGTGTGTATGTGTGATCAATACATGCACAGTCAAAGTCGTACAAAAGGTTTCATTGTTAGATACACTGTCAGGTCTACCATCATAATATGTTAGTCTCAGGTTTTTCATATTAAAAATATATGTTAAGACCCTTATATGTACAAGTCAGGGTTATACCTGCTGCGGCCATTCTAACAGCACATTCCCCAGAATCTACATCTGATTTATCTGATGTTGGTCCTATCCTCATGGTGGCGCCACATGGCTTGCCTGAAGCCTTCATAACCTCTATGGCCCACTCCGTCTCCTCTATCGTAGCAAAGAACTGTAATAAGTGAGATAACATTATCATACGACGTATGTGTGCTTTACCAATGTATAAATCCTTTTACCTGGAGTATTATCTTCAACGAAGAAACGTTTGTATTCTTTTCCAAAGTAGCTGTACCGGAGTTTCTCTCGAATAGGCCCACGGGCGTTTATTTGAAAGAGAGGTGTATGGAAACGTTTTGTTCCCTCTTAGCTTTTTAAAGGCCCGCGAGCGTTCATTTCAAGGGCTTCTTAATAAACGCCCAGTGAAATTGTTTAAAACAGTGTTAATGTTTTTAATGAAAAATTTGACACCATTTAATTGTTAAATTATAGATTATATTTCATATCGTATCAATAGAACTTCAGTTTACTATAATATTGCTTGAGCGCAAGTACAAGACCAGCATAAAAATGCTCAATGCGATCACTGTCTCTTATCAAATCGTAACAGAAAAATACATTCTTCGTCAGTTCAGAACAATCACAATCACTGCTGTGGATCAACTGGAAACGAAGACACAGCCTGTTCTTGTATTAGAATGGATGTTCTCCAATTCGTAAGAATTTTCGCCATTTCATCCTTTGATTTTAGTGTCCCTCGAAATAAATGCCCATTGGCCTATTTGGAAAGATAAAAATGTTTTTTTGCCTTTCAATAAAGATCCATGGACGTTCATTAAAAGTTCTTTCAAATAAAAGTTCTGTGCAAAATAAATGCCCAGTGGGTCTATGCGCGAGATGCTCCGGTATTGCTATGCAGCTTATCAATTTCCTTTTGAATTTCTGTTGGATATTGACAAAATTCGATTAAAATTGGAATTAAAGAAGCTTCAATTTTCTGATTTATGATTATATTCCTCGGGTTTACCAAATATAAATGATTATGAATCTGTTTTTAAGAGACAATGTTTTGATAGTTCTAACCTCCAAAGAAATTTTGGTAATTAGATCGTTAAGAAAAATGTAAAAATACCAATTTTCTCACCTCAGCAAGCATAAAGTCGAGATCATGCTCCATGTAAATTTCAACTTGTTTTCTGAACTCATCTTGTACAGCTTGTTTTCCTTTACCCTGGCCATATGAGGGAGTTGGTGAAAGACCTCCACACGTAAGAGCATCGCCCTCTGCTGCCACCTCCTTCACTAAATCACATCCCGCCTGATTGATCTCTGCCACCTAGTGAAAGTACAGAAACTTTGTTTGAAAGTTGTATGAGGTCACAAATTTGTTTTCAAAAATCGATTTGATCTCAATGTTTTATTTCAACAATTTGAGGTTAAGAACTGCTCAATTACATTTAAAATTATCCACCTTTGGACAGTCATATTACTGTCATTTTCCAATTTTTCAATGTTGTATTCAATCCTAAGGCAAAAAGTGTTCTTTTCATCACCAATATCAGAACATTTACACAATACAACATGTCACCACCAGTTACTGGAAGTTATAAGATTCTGTTAAAGACGCTGAACCCCGACATTGTACACAAAAAAGCTTGAGACTAACAATATGTCATCACTTCTGGTGGGGACATAAACACCTGAGTACTCACAGTATAGTTCTTGCCCGTGCTGCTGGACTTGAGTTTACCCTCAGCTGCATAGAAAGTGAATGATTGGAGAACATCTGATCCTGCCCTTAGAAACTCTCTGTGAAGCTGTCGCACTGAAAGTAAATGGGTACAAAATCCTGGAAACATTTCATTTATTTCTAATCCATTTATTTGTTTTTAATTAATCTTTTATGTAGATTTAAAAAAGTCTGCAAACTGAACATTTAGATAAATATTGTTACAACTTACCCGCTTCAGGGTATTCCAACACAGCCTCTGGCGTCCAGTTTCCTGCTGTGACGTAGCCTCGTTTTTCCAAAGCAATTACCATCCCACCATCTCCTACCAGAGGACGTTCTTTCATCACATCCAAGACATTGCGTCCTCTCACTTTATATTCTATAAACAGTTGAAAATCTTAGCATGACAATATATCGAATGGTCATTTCTCATTTCGCCACTCTTTATCTCTTACGTTCGCTTCTATTTTACACATTGAAAAGTTATCATATCCTTTATATCTTGCCCATGGCCAGCTTTTACCAAGAGGGAGCTTCTGTCCATGGGGGGTTGACAGTTTTGGTTAAAAAAGTGCGAAAATTGCTCAAAACGGTGAAAACTGCATGATTTTGAAAGAATTTCTAGCCAGGGGGACGGGGGGGCTTCCCCTTTCAGACCAAATATCAGTTTCTGTTCACGGGTCCAAAATCAAAAGTGTGAGTCAAAAACGCCCATTCTTCTCTGTGAAAAACTTATCGTCAACTTTTCTGCAACATGTCTATTCTTTCAAACCTTTTCATCCCTTCTTAAAGTCCGTACTTGCTTGTACCTAATCCCAGTTCTCTGAAAGCAAACGCTCCCCGACTTCCTTTTTACAGATTGAGAACGGGTTTGTGTAAAAAACCGGGTGACCGGGTATCCTACCTTCCAACCAGGGTAAGGAATTTGATTTTTTCATTTTATGCCTCAAAACGCCGAACTGACATCCCAATCAACGTACCTGTGACACAACCAATCAAGCAAACAACCAAACAAGCAACAACATTTATTTACCAATAAATCAACCGGCAAAACGACAAACAAAATTAATATAATGTCAATTAGTGAGGCAATGAATCAAGCAACTAAAGTTGTATTGTACATCGTACACTAATGAACAGATAAAAACGGCAAATAACGTTTCAAAGGACCTCTCCATTGGGATCTCCCCATGGGAAAAAATAATTCATCTGATTTTTCAAAATGAGTATTCTGCTTCAATTATTACATTTATATGTACTCTAATATCTTGTTGACCTATATTCAGCACTGTATTGATGTATAGGCCACTTATTAGGGTCATAGTTCAATCATGAAGTGTAGAGGCATAGATTCCAAACCAGGAAGTATTTTTGTGTCTGTCAAAATCCATTTACATCCTACGCATCCCTGCATCTTATCCAAATATGTTACTACATAATGAAATATAATAGTATAATCTTTGGTTTTACAAACTTGTATGATATTTGATAAGTGTAAAAGTTGTTTTTGGAGCATTTTTCTATAGCCATTTTGTAGGGAAAAAAATGATGAAAAAAATGTACAATCTTTTAATTTTAAGTATGACCTGAATCGATTGCAAACTTCATATTTGCACATTTGATGAGATAAACTATTGTGAAATTATTAAGTTTGCAATCGATTCAGGTCATAGTGTATTTTTGGTATTTCTGTGATAATCAATGGAAACCAATGGCCTCCATTGGGATCTGCTGATATCCTCATGTTAAGTCAATGGTGCACATCCCCATGTAAGTCAATACAACCTTACTGAACAAAATGATCCCTATCTCAGCTTATGTGTGTCCGAGCACTTTAATATTTTCCAAAGTATTATATGACATATTAGTCTTCATGTTACACCTACGAATGATTCATTTTGACCATAGGGATATTTGCCAATAATTGCACCTTGTCCTTTATGTAAATCTTCCAGATTTGTTTATTATCTAGAAGAAATCGCCATCATAGAAAACAAGCATCGATATCCTGTCAATCACTCAGACAATAAATCAAGCAACTAACGTCATTGTACGTGTAAACTGTGTAAATAACTACCTAGGACATCCGAAATTAAGTCTCTTGCGGGTTCTTGGTAAAATGATAACGTAAAAACATTGAAGGGTAGTCTACAAATGTGCAACTTTTAAAGTTGGTAACCCTGCAAGGAACGTTAAGTATCCAGTTACCCGGCCACCCGGCTACCCGGTCACCCGGTTTTTTACACAAACCCATTGAGAAACTTGTCCTTTTCAACCATCTGATCACATTTTTAGAGAACATTTATCCAGTTTTTCCCTGGACCTTTTTCGCAATTTTTACCCCTCCCAACCATTTTCATTGAAACATATTGAGATAAATTCCTCGTTCGCCACAGAGAATTACTTGTGCCCATCTGGCAGAAGAAATTCTTTGTGAGAGCTACTCAGCTAGACAATTTTTCCAGACAAAAAATTACTTGATTAACGCGTGTCACACGTAGCTCGCGCTCTACCCCGACTCCTGATAAGTGAACAAGGGTCACCGAAACGTGAGTTTTTTGAGGCTATGTTATCATTTTAACCTTTTGCACAGATGACTGAAGATATTATATTGAAAATTGGTCAGTATATCAACAACATCCCAACATCTAGAGTTTGTTAGGGCTTGGAGGATAATGGAACAATGTAGCACCAAAGTACGACAATATATCCTTCGATTTTTTTAATTTTCCAAACGATTTTAGTCGATCAGTGAAGCGAGACACAAACGATCAAAGAAAACAGAGCAACGAAATACTGATGAAGTTAGATGTGACAAAAATTGAGATAAATAGAGGGTTAGTAAGAGTTTTTTGGTGGAATGTTTATAACTTCAAGGGTCATTGTCAAAACTTAAAACAAGTGTCAACGCTGTTTTAACATAATCATCTTGGTAAAAACGTCTTGGGTAAAACGTTGGCGCTCTTCCATAATTCTAATATATGAACAAAACTTCCTGCTCTCTTTCATGCTTTTAACAATGCTCTCTTTGGGACATATAGTTTTGCGATGCATTGCGGAACAACCTTGAACGGAATAGCTTAGTCGAACGTCCTCAAATACGGAATTCCGAACGAAATGCGTTCGTTTTTCTTAGGCGTTCGTTATTTTATGTATCGGCGTTCATTTTTTCAAGTTCTTATATACAGAAATATTTTTGCTTGAAAATTATCAGGTAAAATGCAAATTTACGTGACGTATTCTGTCACACAAAAAAGCTGGCATGACTTCAAATTCTTCAGCAAATACGTGACAAATACGCAAATTGCGGGATTGGTGGATCGGACCTGCGCCTGCGTCCTTTAACAAGTACTGAACTACTTTTTTTCATTTTACATGTATACCATAGGTGATCGCAACCCCCCCCGGAAACAATAAAAATAGAACCATGAGTTAGAAGAAGAGAGCTTTAAAATGCTTTTTATTTGAAGCATCTAGCTCGATTTTTAAGGAAGTTGCATCAATTTTTGCAAAATTCAAAATAAATCTTATTTTTTGGCTTGTTTATTCCAAAATCGCATCCCTGACTGAAAAACGTTTTAGCCAAGACGTCTTGGAATGTTGCGTGTAGTGTAAACCGGGCAAGTGGGATATAGTTGATGCAGCAACTTAATCAGAATCAAAACAACAATAAGGAAACTGAGAGAAGGCTGTGATATCTCACGATGTGAAAATACCTGAACGCGTGCAGTTGCGCAAACAAAAGTACTGTGAAGTGCACAGAGACAAAAACATAACATGCGCATCTTTGAAATAAACAGCAAACTGTAGATAATAGTACTTCAAGGATTCTGTTTCTTGTTCTCAATATGCAAATCACAATGATACTGACAAAGCGACGCATTCATTGAGTTTAAGTTTAAGAATTTTGACATTAAATGTTATCAGTATAATTTATAACCAAAGGTCAGGTGGGTGATACTAAAACTATAACACTATCATTGATGTGTTAAATTGCAAATGGATATTTTCAACTGTTGACCTCAAATTGAAAACCTAGCCAAGACTTACTTCCTGCGAAAGCTATTTGGATTTTGATATAATCACACTACTATACCTAACACCTAGAAATGCATAAGATACTTTGTTTGTCTAATTGAATTGTTTAATATATTTTTGAAAGTGCCTTACTAGCATCTAATTTTCAACCGATAAACCATTCATAAGGAACAGACAAATAAAAACAAATACATAATCATTACTAATAAGCCAAATGGGTTGCTCATGAACACCTAATGCAAGGTATAGTAGTGTGATAATAGCTTTCCCACGGAGCATTTGGACAGCTCAATGATCGTGACCTTTGAAATCGAATTAAGTCGATCCGCGGCTTACTTTTGGTCTCTAACTGTGTCTTACATCAGTATCATCAATCCGTGTAAGTATTGGAGCGCTGGAGTACTTCTTTTTCGATCAAGACTTGTAATTGTTAGTCGAGTGAATCGTTTTACTGCCAAATTCCAATATGGCGGTTTCTGCTCGGACATTTTCGTAAATCTCCGGAGGTTGTCCGAACCTAACTAATTCTCAAAATTCATTTCGTTCGTTGCGTATCTCGCACCTAGCAAACCGCCATATTGGAAATAGGTCTGTAAATCTTTAACTCGATGAACAATTTACAAGTCTTGATCGAAAAAGAAGTACTCCAGCGCTCCAATACTTACACGGATTGATGATACTGATGTAAGACACAGTTAGAGACCAAAAGTAAGCCGCGGATCGACTTAATTCAATTTCAAAGGTCACTATTGATCAGCTGTTCACTTCTTCGTTTGAGAGCCATAAGTTTCAAAATCTAACATGGCTATCGAAGTGAGTAAGCCAAGACTGTTTTTGTAGTTTGTTAATGTTGTATCATTTTTATTTGTTTCTAATTTTTGTACAGTAAGTGTTTAAAATAACGTGGTTCATGTTCACGGATACTGTATAAATGACAACGGTAGGTGTTGATGTAAAATCGAGGTGACAACGGTAATATTTGACAACGGTATATGTAGAGAACGGTAAAGTGTCTATTTACCGTTGTCATTTTCCTATGTTCCAATGCAATACATCCGTTGTCACATTTTACCATATCATATATGCCATTGTATTGATTGTGGCGATTCACGACTCAATTTGATCGAAATTGGGATTTCATATGAAACATCATCACAAGCACAGAATTAGCGACGATAGAATCTCATGAAACGAGGATTAAGTGATTAAAGAGTTGAAGCGACGGTTATGTCCGCCATTTGAACAGCTACGCGTGGCTGGAACGCGTTATCTATATCCACATTGGACACTGTTTTTACTAATAAACAAAAACTTGGCACTGATATACTGAAGCCAGACTGAATAGACAGCAACTTAGTGTAAAATATATACGTACTCTCCTCTTCTGGCGCCGTTGACATACATTTAGCTGGGCACGATGACTCTAGAATATGTTTGGCCCTACAATGAAATAAAAAAAAACAACAACACAATGCACTACGACAATATTATACAATAAAATACATTATCATACAATAAAATACAATACAATACACTGCAATACACTTCATGATAATACAATGCAATACATTTACATTACAATACACTGAAATGCAATACAATACAATACACTACAGGCGTTACAATACAAAATACTACAGGGTGTTTCATATGTATATGCACCCCCCATAAACTCAGTCGTACATGTGGCATTGCTACCCTATCATGTTATATATACAGACATTTTGTTCTCTATAGAAAGTTACATAAGATTGCAAAGTTTCAGAATCCAAGGGTGTCTATCAAAGTATGCGGGTGAGAGGTCATTAAGAGGGCAATTTCTGGTAATTTTGGGGACTTAGTCTTCTGATAGGGTGCCTCCCTATAACACTGCAAGAATCCTACTATACATCTTTAGCTTTGTGCATAACAGTCACACACGTGTGAACTGAACTCTGCCATAATGACAACCGCTACACACCGGAATAGCCTGACAACGGTAAAGTCAGATACCGTTGTCACAAATGGCGGATATAACTGTCGCTTCAATGACATTTTCATGAACTTTATGTTTCCTTTCCATAAGGAACAATATGACTCGCATATAACATGATGGGGAACTACATGTATGAGTTAATGGGGGGGGGGGTGCATACATATGAAACAACCTGCACATGACAATATAGTGCATTTATATTTTTGTACATTTTTATATTTTTGTACATTACAGTACAATGCAATGTAAAACATTACACTATACTACACTACACTACACTACACTACAAAACAATACAATTTACAAGATGCCCTTGTAGACCTAAAATGCAGTAAAACCTGTGTATGTGAACCTTTATTTAATAATTGTACATGTCTGCAACACTTAGTGTTTCTAGTAAATTGTTGTTGTAATAAAATAAATGCTCACCTTTGACTGAGAACTCGTAATCCTTTTTTGGAAAGCATTGTTGTTGAAAGTGTTTTACCACCCCTTGAGCTTACAGCTACTAAACTGCGTTATCTCTTGTATTTTATCGAGCTCCAACCACTCGAAGGCTTTATCAGAAATGTTCTAGACCTTTGTAATATAATATTATGTATGGTGTGAGCAAATACAAAATACGAACAGTCTATCTGTATTTGTGATAATTATAAGCCATACAACATAATCAGTCCATTTCAATATTGAAGATTCACACTGAGAGTTAGACGGTCAGTGTAAAAGTAGAATCACAGTTTACTAGATACTTCGTAAAAGGTCATAGCTGCATTTGTTAGCTGAGATCTCATATGCTGTGCTAGTTACTTATTGGTTGTGCAAATCAGAGCCTCAAAGTGCGAAAAATAAATGACGCGATAATACGAGGGTTGTCCAAGTAATGTAGTCTACGAGGGTTGTCCCATAAGTCTTGAAATGTTTATTCTTATTCAAAAGTTTTTAATGAATTTGGCTGAAAATTGGTATGTATCAAGATCAATCAATTATCTTCAACATGTGATAGTTTCATAACAAAATTTTGAACTTGAGTAACTATTATGGTTGCTATGATTACCGGGGGAGTCGGGGTGGGGTAGTAATGAAATATAGTAAAAATGTAAGATGGAGCCATGGGAGTAAGGATTTTAAAGGATGGTATGCATCTTCAATGTGAATCACCTGTCAAGATTGACAAAAACACTGTATTCTTGGTAAAATCTTATGAAATACCTCTATGATGTCATAATAAACAAGCACAATTGGTCAATTTTGGTACAGAGCCACAGCATTTTGAAAATCAAAATGGCAGGGATTTTGACACCAGATGTTAAATTTTTGCGTGCAGTTGTGCAATACCACGCTTCCTAAGGGCATACACATACACAAACAAGAACAGCTATGGAAAAGTATATAAACAGTAAACTCCGAGTGCACCTACAATATGGAGGTGGCAGAAGTTAAAAACTGGATATACCAGCCTGGAGGATGCTCCTAGAAGTGGAAGGCCAAAATCCAGTGACGATCACATATCACATATTGCAGAGAGTATAAGGGCTGAAAGGAGAACTACTCAGTGTAGGAATATCGCCCTAGACTTTGATATAAGTAAGAGCACTGCTCACAGAGTGATGAAGAAAGACCTTGGGATGTCAAAGGTAACCCCTAGATTCATTCCACATATTCTGACAGAGGAGCAAAAAAGCAACGTGTTGAGCTGAGCCAGGGGTTCCCAAATCCTTAATTTTTACGTCATATTTGTATTTTTATCCTGTTTTCTGCCCCGGGTACCCCCCCCCCCCCCAACATTCCATTTTAAATCATCTGTAATATTGCCAAATGATCTTATTATGCTATGGAACTTACAGAGATAGTAGAAATATATCTAAGTTACAAAATGTGAAATTCTCATCATTCAGTGTAGCTCAATTATTTTATGAATTAGAATAAAAATTTTAAGAAGTATGGGACAACCCTCGAATATAACTTTAGGAACCGAGGGTTCCCATCCAATGCAGGCGAAATGTATAATTTTTTAATCAGAATTTTTCATACCGACAGGATGTCTACATCTAGTTTTTTGTAATATGGGGTTGAGCACAGAAATATTTTGATTGACAACTCCACGGAGTAGCAAATCCCAATGAACACACTAACATCTACAGTTGGGGACAAAAATAAATGACAGGTCGATTTTCGATCACCATTTCCTAATTATGGTGGTCTGAAAGCCCATAATTTCCAATATTGTCTAGATACATATCCCTTAAAATTTGTATATTTTACATTTTGTATAATCTCATCCACTGATGTATGGCCTCTTGTAAATTCTCTTATTTTTAACATGGGAAATCCTCACTTCAGCAAATCCACCTGTCATTTATTTATGTCCCCAACTGTATGAAATTATTCATGAAATTATGTCACCAAAATATATAAACATAGGAAACAATAGATACGAGGGATGATCCAAAAGTCTTGGACGCCCCGCTCTAACTTTGCTATTTTCTAATACAATTACATGAAACTTTCAGATAATAAAGATCAACATCTTAACAACTTTGCGTATAAGTTTCAACAGAAAATAATATAATTTAGCTACTTTTCTAAAAAAAATTTATACCGGGTCCTTGCTACCCGGAACGGTATTTAAATTTTTCACAAAGTGTATGTTTTCAAATAACTCTTGGATTAAAAGATGGCGCATGGTTGAAAATCCTATAAAAATGAATGGATAATTAATGCAAACAACAGTGTCACCTTTCTATGGCATTGCTAAAAACATGACATATATAAATTGGTAGATCAAAAATATTTTTTAATGATCTAGTGTCAACTCTGATGTGGTCTGTTTGAACAGTTTCTGGTGTCAAATGAAAAATCAGGTCTTATTAATCCATTGGAAATACTATGAAGATCAAAAGTGAGACTTAATTTACGCACTTTGTCCCTTTAACTGGCCTATAAGTGAAAATGTTGCAGTTACATGTGTGACGATCCTTCAGATTACTTTGAGCATGGTAATGGAATTGCCTTGAAGGATTGTCACTTTGTTAAATTTCTTGCTCTTCACTCTTTACTTAATATTTCAAGAGTTATAAAATAATTTAAATTCTGTAAAAGGGTAGTCTGTATTACTACTTTGGCTGTACTCTTAAAGTATTGTTAGAGTTTAATCATTTTACTCTATATTTATATTTAGGTTAACAACCTTCTCTTGTGTTTTTCTTGTAATATTATTTACAGGATTAATGTCAACATATATATTTTGTTCATAGTAAGATTTTAATGTGAAGGTTTTAGGCCAAGGTTCATGTTTAATGTTATGTTACAAACTTTTTAGAAAGGGCAGTTGTCTGGGTTTGTTTCAAAATCCAAAGTGAGGCTTATTAAGCTTGATTTAAGTAAATAAGCACGTTTTAAGTAAATTGTCTTTTTCTGTGCTTTTACTATTCGAATTCAAGCCGGCCAGACATGGAAAACATTTTGTGGAATTTTAAACATTAAATCGTCACTAAAATTGGATATTTCAATTGCCGCAGATAAACCAACTTAGGTGTACGAGTTGGTAAAGGTAATTGACTTGATTTAAGTTGTATTTTTGCAGAGTTCTAGTCTTTGAAAAGAAGTATCTGTGCACTTGATTTTTTCCTTAATTTTATTTATTTGCCTTGTGAACATCCCATGTTTAGATTGTCCCAGGGATTGTTAAGGAACATTTGACAAGGTTAACGCAAAGTTACACGCAGAGTTTTTGTCTTAAAGAACCTATGTAACTTATTAACCAGCGTCGAAAGCAAGTTCCCGGGGTTTCTTATGAAACCTTCTATACAACATCCCCACAGGGAATCGTTTAGGAATATTTGACAAGGTGTACGAAAAGTTACAGTCTTTACGAGCCTTATGTAACTTGCTCTAAACCAGAGTCAACTGCAAATTCCTGGTGTTCATAGACACCTCTATACGACACCCCCCCCCCCCATCCAGTTTGGGACTGTATTTAGTTTGTTCACAGGGTAAATTTTATTGATACACTAGAAATACTCCTTTGTATATTTGTATGTTAAATTCTGGGTAATTTAAAGGTGAAATCCTGGGCTTTTGGGACCATTATCAAACAACTGATCATCGAAGTACTTTTAAGGGTCATGGTCATTCGAAGCCCATTTTCGGACTTAAGACAACACCCCCCCCCCCTTCTAGTTTTCCATGTCTGGTCTAATTCTATGTTAACCACGTTCTAATTCATTATAGATACTAGAATACTTTTAAAATACTGTTTCCTGTTTGTTTGCCAATTGTGTCTGATAGTGGCAAAATGATGTTCCACTTTTCATGTGAGTAGTATAGAGAGCTGATTTCAACCACCAGGGATTATATAAAATTGCCCTGTTGAGTAACATTTTTGGAAAAAGACACATTTTAGGCTTTATTGCAAATTGTTTAACTGAACTTCCATTAGCTGTGCTGTTTTATGCATGTTTAGTTTGAGAGATTATTTACTCGATATACCATCTCGACAGTACTGAATTGTGTAATGTTTGTGTAGATAAATAAATAGAAATAGAGTCGTTTTTATACATTGTATGAAAATCCACAGAATATCACTTCTTGTGTTCAATTTTTTATATATATGTTAGAAAATTCCCTCTCATTTTATCTAAAGTAGATTCTGGATTCAAAATAGATTCCGACTAAATTCCAGGTGACTTTAGTGATACTAACATTCAAGCAACAAGCTTTATCTTAGCTCATATTTGCTAAGGGCTTCTTTGAATAACAATCACTCACAATAAGTCATACATATATTTTCCCGGAAACTATGCAATAGTGCAGAGCTAAAGTACAATCCAGGATCTTACTTTCTTATTTAACCCTTCTCTTATTGATAATATTAGTGAGAATTTCATTCACCCTGGTTCCAAGTCGTTACCCCAAACATCATTTACTTCCAATGTTTTATTACTTGCTTGTTTAAATGGTGTACAAGTAATATTATCCCCTGATGAGTTTGACAGACTCCTGATTTGAAATAGCCCAACTTTAATTCTTACAAACTTTCCCACTTTTATTGTGACCAGCGAGCTTAATATACAGCTTGAAGTCCATCGTAGCCCTCTAGTGGCTAGGACTTCCACCTGGTTATACTCACACCCTAACATTATACTTATTTGATACAACTGAACACTGGGCACATTCAGAATCTAGAGTCTGTTGCCATTTGCCTTTATGAGACATACAACTTACATTGAAAACTGACAAATCTTACTTAGTCTATATTCAGATTTTGTTATCCCGTAATTGTTATCCCGAAATTGTCCCACTTCATCCCAATTATTTTTATCCCAGAATTTATCCCTAAATTTTTATCCCAGAATTTATCCCTAAATTGTTATCCCTAAATTTATCCCTAATTTATCCCTAAATTTTCATCGCAACATTTATCCCAATTTGATTCCATTTTGTTATGATACTGTGAACACGGATGTTGTTCAAATAAATAGGGATATACATTTCAACTTTTACTTGAACTTGTCCCGAAACTAAGTTAATGAAAACATCAAATCAAACTATTGACTCTTAGACTGTATTCTGTTTACGACCCCCAAACCACGCTACCACACGAGGGTCGTGACAGAAATGGTGGCCATTGTGGTGTGATGTAATACTTGACGTATTGACCCAAGCCCAATTTAACGCCATTACTTACGTTTATGCTAATTTTCACTCATTAATATTCAAAGCTAGATCATTAACTGTAATCAACAATGCCGGAAAAGTCGGACATCTTTAATCTGGCAAAGCGCACCCCATTAGCCGTGTCCGAATCCACTGAAAGACCCTTATCTAGCCAAAAATCGCAGGCGGAAGCTTTTGACACTATTATCCCCGGGTGGTTTGATGATTCTGAAGTTGTATTGGGCCATCAACACCTTAATGAACAAGAGTT